GTTCAAAGCGCAAGGAGTTTTTGTTGCAATGCTCCCACCAAAACGTAAACATCCTAAAAAAAAAAAAAAAAAAAAAAAAAAAAAAATTGATAATTACTGTTTTTAGCGTCCGTATATACGAAGCAAATCGCCAAAATAAAAACCCGGATCTTTTTTTTTCATTCGCAGCAAGTGCATTGTTTGCAACAGAATAAAAGATAAATAAATAAGCGAAAAGAAAACGCGTTGATGTGTCGCGTTTTTCTTCGCATCTCTTTCCTCGTCGGTTGCAACAAGTGCTCGCACGATATGTGATTCATATGGCGACGTCACAAAGTGATGAAGCAATGAGGCGGCACGTGTTTATCCCCTGGGGAACTCACGCGGTCACGGATACGTGCGCCTGTCTCGCGTTGTTCCGCGGGATGAAAAAGAATGCGATGCACGCATCGATTTCCCCTTTTCTGTATTTCCTATTTTATTATTATTTTTTTATTTTTTCGAGACGCCGGGATTAGAGAGCTATACATTCCTATTTTGTAGCCAACACTTGTTGCGGCATCTTTTAGCTTTTCAGGAATATCTCTCGAACTATCTTCATTGCACTTTAATTTTTTTTTTTTTGTGCTGTGGTTTTGTTTGTCGGAGTCTCGGAGTCGTCGATTATACCAGCGCAAAATTAACCGTCGCGAATTCGCTTAATCCTGCGGAATCTGCCGTCTTCTGCCTTTACGCATTATTCGTTGTCTGCTTTTGCGAAATTCGTCGCGCCTCCTTTCGCCACACCCCGACCTTGATTGGGTTCGTAGCCGTGCGGAATCACTGCACGCATATTTTGCTTGCTTGTTTCGCGCAAAATTCGTCTCGGCGTTGGCGTTATGTTGCCGGGGGCAACGTCACGGGTCTTTTGATCTTGCCTTCTGGGCAGGAGGCTCATCAGAACTCCTTCGGGGATGGCATGATCGATATACTGAATGCAGCGAAGCCATACGTCCTTTTGCCCTCTGCTTAGGACATTCCAAAACGTATAAAAGTTGGAACCCTTCGTTACAGCTTCAGCGTCCTCATCAACGGAGATCTTGACCAGACGGTTTAATGACGAAGGTCGCCATCTTGTCTGTCGCATCACAGGCCCACCTACCATATTATTCTTTTCGCCCGCGTCTTCATGCGAAAGACCCAAAGTTTACTAATAGACAGAGGATAAAAAAAATATCAGCACCATCAGCACTACCTATGAACAAAATCGGTATCATCAGCACCACCAGAGCTTCGCCCCAATCAACATCATTCATCACATGGAAATCCGGTCATTTTTTTTTTTTTTTTTTTTTTTTATTTAAGAGGAGCATATTGGCCGTTCTATCTTCGTTTTTGTTTTAATCATTTTTATAGTTTGCGAGTACGGTGCGTGCTATACCGCTACACTTCACATTTGAGTACTGCACTTTTCTGAGCGCCTTTATGACCACTTAATATGCGTAGAACGGTGCTTGCGATAAGAAGACGAGGACACAAAACGAAATGAAGCATACATTTGTTTTGCTGTCCTCGTTCCCGCAGCATAACTTCAGGCTACTTTTTTTTTATGCAAATGACGTTGTTTTGAACATGCTTCGGATCTGTGGAATTGTCTTTTTAAGAACCGGTTCGCGCTTGGTGGAACTGGTAACCAACCGTTATTCTGAATTCATATCACTGAACCAGAACCGAACCGGAACAAAATTTAAACGTACTGAGCCCGAACCGAACCGGAATAATGACCGGTCCGACACTCTGGGCATTACCTAGAGGCATAGATGTTCTGAAACATCTTGTAGCCGTCTTCTAGCCCAGCTAATCTACGCCATTATTTTTTTTAAATATATATATATATATATATATATAAAATGGCTTGCAAAGACCTTGCAGAATACGTGTCTAGACGACTCTGTGTCCAGTAGGCTAGAGCTGATATAAACTGTGTTAGATGAATTCAAATACGCGTTAAATGGAAACGAAATATAAAAAATTTCTCATTTGGAATTGCCGATTTGCAGCGGATTGCAACGGATCGTCCTGTGAAGCGACCGCCTCTTGCGACACCGGCATTCCGCCGAGGATATTGTTTAGACTACTATCGCAAGGGCGTATCTTCGGATGGGAAGTTCAATGTACAGTCGGTCGACTCGCATGATATGCCAATCGGCGATGAAGAGCTCGCCGTGCGACGCCGGCAATCAGTGAGTGTTCGCGGAAGTTTGCGTCGGGTGAGGCCTTTTTTTTTTTTTTTTTTTCGTCGTGCTCGGCGGAAGGATGTTGGCTGCACGCCCGAGAGCCAGATTGTTTCGATGACGAGACAAGGACGGCCTTGCACCCCTTTGCTCACACTTTCCGCTGCGGCCGCTTTATCTCCCAATTGCCCCTCTCCCCTGCTTTTCCTCGTTATCTAGCCGTCTGCGTCGTGTGATCTGGAGATTGGATCTAGAAGGGACGTCCTTCACGAATGAAGAGCAGACTCGCGCGTCCATCTCTATCTCCGTATTCGGCTTTCAGCTTGGATGTCTCGCGGGGTCACTAGAGCGGCGAGACCATGACATCGCCCGAGTTCTCCGAGTGGCGAGACAAAACACACCATTACAACGGGGCCGAAGTCCCCGAGCGGTCGAATGAAGCTCGGGACAGGCTCTGCTTCTACTGACTCACGGTGTGCTCGTGCCATCGGAGTCAATCCAATGCCGACTAACTGACTGTATTGCCATTCCCCCCTTCTTCAACCTGCCACCGCCCTGAAATGTTGCAAAATCTTGATTAGTTTTAAGCGTCAAAGCAGCTGATATCCACGTTCAAATTGGGATAGGTATATATTGTTACGCGCGTTTCCCTTTTCTAAAACGAAGCCTCTTTTGGCCGGAACTTGAGGAGAGTCACAGTTGATCCGAGCTGGAACCTCTTGTCGATGCACAGCGTCTTGCACAAGGGTCGACTCCGTCCGCCCCTTAGTTTCGTCAGAGTCCTTCGTGGTTTCGTGGTTTCGTTTCCCAGAGGGGAGCGCACTCCAAGCGGGGCGAGCCGAGCGCCCGAGAAGCGGACGATAAACTCGCCGGCGCGCGTCACCTGACTGATCACGTGATTACAGTCGGGGGAAGCACGTGTCTCGGCGCCTCCTGAGCACGTGATGCGCACTCCGCGAAGGGGGGCGTGGCAGCGGGGCACATTGCAGAGAGGTCGAAGCTGCTGTTGCCTACCGCCTCTTCCTCTCCCAATCCCAGCTTGCTCTCATTTTTTTGTTCGTGACCTCTTTGTCACCTTCCTTCCTTCCTGTCCTTTTTCTTTCTTTTCCCTTTCACGATTACTTAACCGTTTAGTTTTCTTTCGATGTATTTATCGAATGAATCTTGGCGATAACGGGTTACATTTTCGAGAGTGCTTTCGCGTGTTGCCCCGCACACCTCCCGCGGGTGTGCGACCGCAACTTCTGGCACGTGCGCTGCTCCTGAATATAGAAGCGGATGACGTTGCTGTCAAACAAAGGGGGCGAGCGAGCTGACCGCGTTGGTGGTGTGCACGCCTGGCCGAAAGAATAAATGTTTATCCTTTCACCTCGTTTTTAGGCTAGGGCGGGTTAAGACGACGCAGTGGAGCGGTTGAGCGCTCCGTTTTGACGATGCTCGGTCGTTTACGCCTGTACCGATGTGACGGAACCGCGAGAGGTTTTCTCCCTTCGCGGTAGGATAGCTTTCCCTCTTGGCTTGGGTGTCGTGTGGTGAATGCTTCCCACGTTGCTCGCGTGCGTTTACGCAGCAGCTGAGCGTAACTTAAAATCCAAAATACATTTTAAAAAAAAGTGCGAGGAACCTGAATTCAAAAAGGAAAACCACAGAAAAGCGCTCACGAATCAGTGTTGGGTAAAGTTGTATATCTAAAAAGTACCTACTTGAAGTAATATGTGCAAAAAATGAGAGGATATGTACTTCAAGTAAAGCGGTAAGCACGCCATGTGCAATTTGCTGCAAGTACTGTAAACACAATTTACTTTCAAAGTACAAGTAGTTCTTAACAATCTTTCATTCCACTATAGTTTTTTGTTAACTGGTATGCATTGCTTTAGGGGTAATCGGGGATGCGTCAGTTATTCTCGGAAATAGCGGCGAATATTGGATAAAGTCAAGCGGCCACAGAGTAGTAGTTTTACTCTCGCTGACAAACTATTTAACCCAATCGACTTATAAGTTGACAAATCGTAATTTTGTGATAAAATTTAGCCAGACCAAATATATGGCCGAAGATACTTTGAAGTCGGAAGCTCTCCTCGGGAAGTACCAGAAAAGAATACTTACAGTACAAGTACATAATCGGAGAATGTACTTCAAGTAACCAGAGTTTCCTAAACCTACTTTAAGTTGTACTTTAGTACAATATTGCACTTAAAGTACTTCCCAACACTGTCACAAGCAAATAAACCTCACTGTCGACCCTTCGGCGACTCGAATAAACGCGATTTTAGTCCTGTTTGCACCGTATAGGTAAACCGAAAAATATGTTAGAATATAATAATGGCAAGAAAAGTCTACTTTTTGCATCTGCAAGAATGCAGAATTGTACAAGCAGAATCTTGATCAAATCAATGAACTTGCGCCTGTGCGTCTCCCAGCATAGAGTGGAGTATAAGTGAAATGATCTGAATCAAATTTTATTGTATGTTTTAAAAAGCTGTTTGAAAATTATATAGTATACATGTGCAGCATAATACAATAAGTGGCAGTAAAGCGAAATTTGCATCGTTAGGCCCGCATCTCTCCAATCCACAGAAAACAAGACTCGACACCGGGTGACAGGAAGCTATAGCCTTTCAAAAATAGCTTATCATAAAAAAAGAATTTAACGAAAATCTGGTTGAGAACACGTTTATGATTTTCCAGAGCCGTATGTGGTGCTCCATCCACTGTGTGCAGAAGGATTTCGTTGTCCTTATGACGTGAGTCGTTATCGGAGACAGTCGATTATAATAACCACACCGCCTTCGCTCGGACTTCTTGCAGCGGACGATGCCCGCCTGACGGACTTGGCGGGCAAGCCCACCCTGTTCCAGTACCTGGACCTGCCCCAGCCCTCGGACAAGTCGCTCTGCACATACATCTGGATCGACGGCACCGGCGAGCACCTTCGCGCCAAGACCCGCACCATCAACTTTGTGCCAAAGACTGCCGAAGGTGAGGGCTCGATTCGATTCAGCACCTCTCCCTGTGCACCTCCCTTGGATACCCAGCCTTTAGCACATGCTTCTTAACTTTCATGAAGAAGGCCGTTTGTATGCATAGAAAATTTTGGAGGAGGCCGTTTGTATGCATAGAGAATTTTTTTGTTAATTGTGCGTGCATGAATGTTTTTCCTTTTTAGTATACTACCATTCTTGTAAAACCCTTCCAAGTCCTCACAGTATTGATGAATAAAAATAATGAGGTAGACTGGCGTTGATCTGGGACACACTTTTGCAATGGGCGCCGACAGGGTTACAATAGCAAGGAAGTATGTCGGTTGTCCCGCCTCCAGCGACGAGCTTCCAACCATTGTACAAAAAGAAAAACATGACGTCACAGCACATTCCAGATGTTGGGGAGATTGAAGAAGCAAATTTGGATGTCCCTTGCATTTTTTTTCTTGGTTCTGTCTTGCAGAGCTGCCCATGTGGAATTATGACGGCTCCAGCACGTACCAGGCGCTTGGTTCCAACTCCGACGTGTTCCTGAAACCCGCCGCCGTCTTCCCGGACCCTTTCCTGAGGGGCGGCAACAGGCTAGTCATGTGCGAGACCTACAGGCCTGACCACACGCCCACGGGTAAGGCAGATCTGTTCGTCCAACTTGCCGTCAACCGTATGAGTGTTGTTCGTGATACCTGTGGCCCAGTAGGGGACCTGAAGAAATGTGAACTCTGGCCCGATTACAATTGACGAAGTGCCGAAGCCGGACTTGCACGAGATGGAGTTAAACATTGCCCGCTTTAGTGAGCGAGATGGCCAGCAGTTGTTCTTCAGCCGTGAAATGCTTGGTTCATTCTTGCTGTTGTTGCTTTTTTTTTTTTTGGTGGGGGGCGGGGCAGTGCAGCTGTGGGGTGTCGATCACATCTTTTTTTGTTTGAGTACACTTATATAAGAAAGGTGTTAAGAAATGATCAGCTGCGTCATTTGAACTTGCCACATTGTCTTCCTTGCCTTGCCTTCTGTTCCTTCTTGTCCCTGTCCAGTCTCGATAATCAGTTTCAAGAATACCGCGTAGTAGCAGGACTATATGCATATATGTGACTTCCTACAGCTTTATAATTGTTTCTTATTGCCTGTCAGCTTCATTCTCTAAATGTTTAAGACTTTTGTTCACTAATGATTTCGGAACTTGATTTGTGAACTTCGTGGCCAGTGGAAACGAAATGCAGTCCAATACTGTTTCAAACGGAGGGAGGAAATCGTTGTACGAAAACGAGCAGTTTTTTAGTACTGTCACATTTAGGAACTATACTATGATCTTCCGTTGAAGGCTGCCTATTTAGAAGAGCATGATTTTGCTGGGAGCAGGTTTCTTGAAATGTGTACATCACCAAAAGAACTGGGTTCACAAAGACCTTACCACACTGGTTTTGGAAAGTCCACTTCCTTGGTATTTTTTATTTGGAGCCTTTCAGTTGGTTTTCTGGCCTAAAAAACATCTTACCATAACTTCTTTTTTCTCTGGAAAGTAATATTTTACCAGTATTACACGGACAATGTACTTCATAAAAGTGTCGGCTAAATACATTTTAGTTGACTAATTCTTTTGGGGGAGATGGAACTGTGTTGGGGATTTTCTTTCTCTCCCCCATGTAGGGGAGGCGTTTCGACCTCGAAACCTTTCCCTTACTACACCACGAAACAGTGTGCCGTAAAAGTCCTCCACGTTGAGCCGAGACTCCTGGTTCCTTGCAGAGACGAACCACCGGCACAAGTGCGCCCAGACCATGGAAAAGGCCAAGGCGGAGGAGCCCTGGTTCGGCATCGAGCAGGAGTACACATTCCTGGACGCGGGGGGCAAGCCCTTCGGCTGGCCCCAGAATGGCTTCCCAGGACCCCAGGGCCCCTACTACTGCGGGGTAGGAGCGGGCAAGGTCGTGGGACGAGACGTGGTTGAGGCACACTACCGGGCATGCCTATACTCGGGCATCAACATCACGGGCACCAACGCGGAGGTCATGCCTTCTCAGGTGCGCCCCTCTCTCGTACAATCCAATTGTGGTCGGGGACGTTCTAAGGACCCGGCGGATGTGCATGCAACAACGCTTCGGAAGAAAACTCCCGCTCGGAGCGTCTGCTGGGGCCTTAACCTGTTGCCGACTTTAGCATACATTGTCGCCAGGCATGGGAAGGAAACTCCACAGCTTTGGCGACTGTTGCTGAACTTTTCATTTCATTCCTCCCGTTGTGGGTGTGTGAATAGTTGTTCATAGACGTGCATTTGTGCGTGGCGGAGTGCATCGTAGCCGATCGCGACTAGAGGACACTCTAGCGCCACCTGTTGGGCAGCCCCGGAACGCCTCCGTTCTGTGTATAACTAAACTGGAGGTTTCCCGGTATTTGCGCCGTCGGAGCTATGCACTCTCTACGATGAATGGTTGCTTATAACATTGTAAAAAAGCACTTCGAACCTCCATGGAGGGAACAATGCGAGGAGCTTGGCACCGTCCGCAATGTGGGAACACTTTGCCCGCAGTGGGAGTTCCAAGTGGGCCCCACCGGCGGAGTGCACGCCTCGGACGAGCTCTGGGTCGCCCGCTACATCCTGCACCGCATTGCCGAGGACTTCGGCATCGTGGTCACCTTTGACCCCAAGCCCATGAGTGGAGACTGGAACGGTGCTGGGGCTCACACTAACTTCAGCACCAAGGCCACACGTGCAGAGAACGGCATCAAGTAGGTTTCTGCAGTGGCGTTTTAATTTGTGGGCTTAAGCTATGAAAGTTTTGGTGGGAGACTGATGGCTTTGCTCGTTATTGTTCGCCGACAGTTTGGCTGGGGTGCAACTAGAGAGAGTTGCACCACAACACATGTATTGATTGTCACATAAAAATACTATTTGTAAAATTTTCAATATGGGAGACTGAAAGGATGCAAAACATTTAGCTGTCAAAATGTATTGCAGTGGTAATTAATATGCCCTGTACGTGGGTGATGTTCACATGAAATTAAGTGGCTACATATATTTGGAAAGTGCTTTTTCGGAACGATCTTCGGAACGATCGAGTTAACTGCGCAGTGTACTTTAAAGTGAAATTTATAACTTACTCCTCGAAACATTTAATATTTCTCGATTTTACAGGAGTAACCCTTTGAGTTTCATCAATTTTAGCAATACCTAGTTAAATGGCTCGAAAAAAATAGATTATCTCATTTTCTTTTCATTTATTTGTCATCTCTCATGAGTGGCTGAAGTTTTTTTTTTAGAAAACAACCTTGCATGGTGTTTTATCACCCTATTATAAGTGACTTTTAGAATAATGTACACAATTTTAGTGCATTTTAAATTATTACTCTATTATTATTTAGTGCAGTTTTAGAATAGTGTTTCTCCACCACGACGTAAAACCCAAGCATCTTGCGCTTACCATGTCAGAAAAATGCAGTAAAATTTTTATTGGAGACTAAATGCTGTAACTTATGAAAAAAAGGTTGTGGTACAGAGTAACATTTTAGAATAGTCTAAATATGAAAATGCTATGCAAGTAGTCGACTGGTCGTGTCATATCTGCAGGAGAGATCTTGTATACTGAACTTCGCCGAGAACCATTCGCGCGTCGCACGCAGTAAGTTGCCAGCGATCGTTGCCCACCTTGCTGGGTCTTCAAAACCGTTTGTTATGTGCACCTTCCGTAGGAGTGCAATGCCATCTCGTATTGAAAATGACAGCTGCAAGGATGCTGCGAAAGTTGCGCTAACGCAGCCGCGGTCCTGAGAGCCGCCATTTTCTAACTGCGCTCATCTTGGATTTAGGCAACTTCTAGGAACAAGAAGTACTTCCAATTGGCATTGTCCGGTATCCCCACACTGCGTCATTTTATTTTGCAGACATTTGTTTACATATACCCTGTTTCTTTGCATCTACTCTCCCCATCAATCTGGAAGTTTGAAAATGCCCTTCCTGTAGAACTCCCTTCCAGTTTTGCACAGACAATAATGCACTGCTGCCCGTCTCGTAATGTTGGCGTTAAATGTGACCCCTCGCATATCCAAACAGATGAAAATCTGAGGGAGCCAGATATGGGGTGTAGAGTAAGTGTGGAAGAGCTTTGCACCCTATTTCGTCAATTTCCTTTACTCTTAAGCAAACACTGCAAGGATGCACATTATCGTGTTGCCCAACGGAACCCAATGGGCACAACAAATTTTTCGATAACGTAACTTTGCCGTGTCCTATATCAAGTGTTCTCACTATTTCATCCAATGTAATTCTCCTGTCTTCTTTGACAAGTTCATCAACAATCTCCTTGTTGGCTTCCGTTGCGGCACACTTCGAGGCGGACCTTTAATGCTTGTCTGACCTTTTTAAATGTCTCCTCCATCTTCTGGCACTGCTCGCACTAGTGCAGTGCCAGAAGTCCTCTAAAACTTCTGCGGCAATAACATTTTTTTTTTCTTTACGGTAACTTCTTTGGTTGCATTTCGACGAAACAGGATTTTATGGACGACCATTTTGTTTTGTTCACTGGCGATTAAATTATGCAGCCTGTTTGTGCCAAATGGCAATCAGTGATTAAACAAGAGGTAGTGCCACATGCCACCAAACATTCATTGTCATGCTCTTTCAAACTCTCATACAAACGATTGTTGCCCTTTCAGTACGACCCTCGTATTTAGCTCTTAGGCAAACGTTGGCCGCCTCTTCGAAGCGTCTGTTCTAACGCACGGCGACCGACTTGCGCAGGGCCATTGAAGCTGCGATTGAGCGTCTGTCCAAGCATCACAAGCGTCACATAGAGGCATACGATCCCAAGCAGGGACGCGACAACGAGCGCCGCCTGACGGGCCACCACGAGACCTCGAGCATCCACGACTTCTCGTCGGGCGTGGCCAACCGCGGCTGCAGCGTCCGCATCCCGAGGGCGGTCGCCGAGCAGAACAAGGGCTACCTCGAAGACCGCAGGCCTTCCTCCAACATGGACCCCTACAAGGTCACCGAAGTGCTCGTCCGCACCTGCGTCCTCGGAGAGTAGGTGCTCTCGAGAGGCAACACACTCGTTGTTCTTTGAAGCACTTCCCGGTCTGGAAAAAAACGTTGCCATTTTGAAAATATGTCTGGGTGTGTCCGTCTTTCATGCCCGGCTGTTGCTGGTGGGTTGGATTCAAATTTTAAAAAAATGTTGGAAGGAATTATTACAGGCACCTATTACTGGGATTAAGAGTTTGCCAATTAGAGCTTGCCCAACTTTTGCTTATGAAGTGATTTTTTGCAGCTGGGTATATCTGTGCTTGGGGAGCTGCCAAACTGAATGTATATTTGAAGATTTCCGAGTTTTAAGGAACGTTGAAATTGTGAAAATTTATTCGTATTAGTTGGTGTTTTCGATGTTGGCGAGTAAGCGGTTAGTTGGAGATGTGGAATCCGTTTATTTACTGCGTCGAGGTCTGCTGCGATTGTACTGATCCGATCGTTGAAAACTTGCCATTCTTTTTCGTAATATTTTTTTTTTCTGAATCTGTATGATCTTTGGTTTGATCAGGGCAAGCCCACACCTAACTTCCCAAGTGGTGATCTTACGAGATGGACACTTGATGGCCCCATCTGTTTAGGCAAGTTTCTGACAGGATGTACCAAATGAATAATGGGGTTCCATTTTTAAATTTCTTTTTGTAAAAGATTTTTTTGATTATACATGTCATACGGATAATTTCTTGATAGAAATTGAGTGTCTGTTGGCCTTGAATTTGAATGTTTGTGTTCCTCTTGGAAACTGGCTAACTGTGCACGGTATTTAGATATAATCCTTTTCCCTCTAGACTTGCAGATTGAAGTCGAGCAGGTTTTGTTTTACATTTAGAAACATTTATACCTATGAAAATTTTGAATTGTCATGCAGATTAGAACATTAAAAGTATAGCTTGAGGTGCTAAATGCTTGGTAATTTTTGAGAGAAAAAGCATGAGGATTTTGAGTGACAAGTGTGCTCACATTTTTAAACACATTATGTTTGTTTCTTGTTTGATGCAGGCACAGTAAGGAGCCTGATGTTTTATATAAAAAAATTTTGACTGTGTCTTGTCACAAATACTTCCCTTTGCTCATGATCTTCCGTTTTCCTAAAAAAAAAAGATGTTGGAATGTCTTTTTTTCTTTTTTTGTGCAAGCTCTCTCGTGGATGTCGCTCATGTGAGCAACTGTTTCGTCAACAATGTCTGCACCAACTAACTCTAATGCCTGCGTCTTTTTTTTTGTGGCATCAACATTCCACTCGTTGTGTACAGATACACCAACTTCATTTTTTCAAAGCCTGTTCTGTAAATAAGAAAAGTTGTATTTTAAAATGCTTTTTTTTTTTTTTTTGTGCCTGCTTCAGTTTTGTGCCACATCCTTTTGTGCTTTTATTGAATCGACCTTCTCTGAGATACTTGTTAATTAAAAAGAAATATATGACTGCTTCTTTTCTGTTGTTTGTCCTTTGTTTTTGTTTTTTGTACTAAACTTATAGTACACATTTTAGTAAGGTGAAACTACAAAACTTGAACTTTTGGTTTTCATATGTCATTTCTACATTTTGTATAGCTATAGTAATTGGAGGGGATCTTGACGTTGGGCAAAAAATCGGAGCCCTGGTGTTGCAGAAAACTCTGTGGGGTGTACTTGTGGTGCCGTGTCGTTGTGTAGTTCTCTACATAGAATTTTATGGCTTTAGAGACCTTCAGCCAGTTTAGATGTACCTTATCATGTTTGCCCGTTGTTCGTGGCTCTATACTGGACGTGGTAGCATGACAAGAAGGCAACAATTTGCGTTGGCACCACGCCACACCCTTTACACACTAGACTTCCATGTAGTGTGGAAATCTTGTGGGCATGTGATATGCTCCTTCATGTTATATGTCCCAACCAATGGCATAGACAGAGGGAGGAGGAGAGGGGGGAGGGCCTCGTGGGGCTGACTGAAGCCCATCCCCCCCCACCCCCTTGCCAAATCCCCAAGTCGGACATAACCAAACCCCCCCCCCCCCCCTCCCCTCCAAAAAAAAAAAATTTGGTTATGCCATTGGTTGTGGCTCTCTGCAGTGTTTGGCATAAATATTTGGACATGTTAGGAAACTGTAGAAAGAAATGGTGAACTGGTAGAATTGCCATGCTAAGAACAAATTCTTCAGCGCTGTATTCCTAAGGCAGAGTGAGGGAGTACAGCTTGGTCAGGAGGCACCCCTTTCCTGGAAGCATGGGGTTTCAGCCACGAATAAAGAAGTTTTGCAGCACTAACTCCGAGGAGCTCTTGCTGTTGTCACAGCAACGAAAAGTGTTGACCAACCGATGGAACAAGTCTTTCATGAGCCATGTTAAAGGTGTCTTTACGTTGGTTATCCGAGTTGTCGTGGCACCTTAGAAATGCCTTGTTGAAATGTCTTTAAGACAACGGGATCAAGTAATTCTATTTTGCAGGAGATGGGTAATCTGCATGCTTTGCCAACGAAAAGAGATAGTATAATTATTAAAAACCGAGCGTGTTGGTAAGGATCATTTATACACGAAAGAATGAACACATAGGGGAGAGCACTGAACACATCTTTCAACTAGCAAGAATGCATTTTTGTTTGTTGCGAGTTAAAAGCTATCGTGTTATGTGCTCCGTCCTAATGCATTTTTGTTTGTTGCGAGTTAAAAGCTATCGTGTTATGTGCTCCGTCCTATCTGTTTATTATTTTGTGCGTAAATAAGATAGTTGTCGATGCTGTTGCTTCCTGACAAGTGCCGTGGTTTCATAGGTACTTCAGTCCCCATATAAACCATTCGCAGTTGGGTCTGTTAAGAGGTATACATATCAATAGCAACAATGTCCCTTGCCTTCGGGCTCCCCGCTGACGACTCCAAATAAGTTGTGCTACCACAGCACACTAGTGCAAGAGGAGAATCATTTGAGCCCGTTGTCTCAATTGTGGCTTGCCTACAGCTACAGTGTGTGAGTACTATCATTGTTTTGGTGCAAAGACTAGATAGATATAAATATTAAAATATGATATATTTTCTGTACATAAGATGTTAAGGCATGCATGAAGTGAAACTACAAGAACATTTGTACGCTCTACAAGGTGAGGTTCGGCAGAGAGAGAGAGGGACGTATGGTAGACATTAAGGTGATGTTTCGTGCTATTAAACATTTATGGAGTGATTTACCAGCCTCTGTGAATAATTTGAAAAGAATATTGTACAGCGGTATAATTACTACTGCTGCTTCGCTTGCCTGCCATCTGGAAGACCGTTATTGTCGCTATGTTGTAACGATCGCCCTCGAGTGAATAAGCAAGTCTGCTGCACGTGCTGCATGCCATCTGAATGCTTCTGGATGTCTTGTAGAGTCAAGTTCTTGTGGACATCGCTGCTGCAGGTGATTCTCTTCCCGATGAAGCTGATATTTCTTTCACGTTTTTGCGCCGGGGAACACGAGGGACAGTCCTCAAAGGATGAGGGAACAACCTTTTTTAATGGGCATCTTCGTGTTCCCTCTATGCTCTGTTTCACCATACAACAGACCGCAGCGGACGCTACGAGCCATACCGGCCAATCCAGCGCTGCGACAAGTGTCGTGCGACTACGCACGCTGTACCTCTCCTGACGGTCATGCGACAAACGTACGGCACTGGACTGGCTTCAATGGCTTGTAGCATTGTCTGCTGTCTATCGTAAGGTGAAACGAAGTAGAGGGAGTCTGTCTCCTTGGAGTGCTTGCTAGATTGCTGCAGTTTGATGTTGTGTTCGGGATAGTTACCATGCATCGTGTCGCTGGGATTCAGTTGTCTCTGTAGCTGCCATCTGTTAGAACCTCGAGAAACTATACGTTGTGAAACTTTTTCTTGGCATCGGAGCAGCATTGGGGCACACAGCAGTATGCCATTCGTTGCTGCAACAGTAAGCATATACGGTACTCTCACAGCTGTATGCCAGGTGAAATACCGCTTCCACTGCAAGAGTGAGAGTGGTGCATTGAGCGGGTCTGCTATGCAAGCGTGCTCATGAGATAAAAGCGTCACTCAAGATATGCTCGTGCTTGTATAGCATCAAATTCACTCAAAGTTATGATGAAGCTCTCTGGTGCATATTGAAGGCTAGAATTTTAACGGTTCGTTTAACAACATTAAATCCGTAATGGGCAGAAAAGTTTAATTGAGCAGATATTTAACTACAACATAATGGATTGATGCCATTTGGAAATGTGACCATTACTAGACACATAAAATAAGCAAAGCAATGTGCAAACAGTTGCATAAATTGATTTATCTGTGGGTGCAGTTTCGAGGAAAGTAAACAATTTGTTTCCCTTCATGAGCAAGCGAAGCCAAAGCGCAAGCATGTGTCCCTGAAAAACCCTTGCACTGCACAAGTGCTCGTGTTTGGTAGTGGTGCTGAAAACTTTATCTTGTGCTATGCTGTCAAGGCTGGCTACCGTAGTTTCCGCAGTGCTCCAACTCAGTCACTGCTGCGGGGCACAAGTTTGTCTGCTTATTTTGCAAGAGTTGGGGAGACGTCAGAACGCCGAGCTTGGACTGGCTCTGATGAAGGGATACGTGGGTAGACCTCCGTGCTAGCTGCCTTGAGGTCTACCCACTATTTTTCCAATCGAAACCAATCGGAGCTCGGTGTCGTTCTGACGTCACCGGAAGCCCTGCGCAAGCAGACTTGTTCTACGAAGTCACGTGCTCCCGCCTCAGTGCGGGGCGGCGGGGCTGCAGACTGCAGCACCGCGAAAGCTACGCTAGCCCCTAGCCTTGACAAAGCAGCACAGAATAGTTGAGCCCGAGGATAATAATAATAATATTTATTGGCTCAGGAGAGCCGCGGCACCACAGAAAGGCGACAGCCCGTACCATGGAGGCCCGCGGTGCCGCGCAAAGCTGAATTTGCTCACCTTTTAGAAATGCAATGGGCAATCACCAGATTTTCAGACGGCGCTCAGAGCTGCGCGAGCGTCGCCAGCGTAAAGTCCCTCGATGTTTTAATATCCAGGGACGTTACACGAGCGCCGAAACATCAAATTGCCACACAGCGTAGATTTAACTGTCGCGCGCAGACGCAAAAGAAAGATGTCTTCCCATTAAGCTCTGGTCGCGCGTTGAGGAGCAGAGTCTGAAGGGTCTGAAGAGTTAGTATGTATGATCTCTATGTTCTGAAGAGAACAAAATAAGCTTTCTACACCACGCGGAAAAAAAAAAGAAAAAGCGAAGAGATAAAGTTAATAAAGCTGGCAAAGATGGTATTTGGCAGTATCTAGACCAAATTAACGTTGATCTAGAAGTGCTGCATCGCTAGGGACGCTAGGCGACCATTATCGACCACTAAGAGCAATAATTCGCAACGCTGAGGTTAGGAGCGTAATAGGCGAACGTACCCGTTGGTGACGCTTGCGATTTGTGTTTTGATCGATTTTGGACATTTTGGATGCGCGCTGAGGCTGAGGCCTGAGGTGCGGAGGCGCTAAGCGACTGCGGCGCCATCAAACGCCGTTGCAACATAACGTAACCCGTGATGGTGTCAAGCAGCAACTTGGCGTCGCGCGTACGAGTTCACGCGAGGTAGTCGTGATGATTGTTCCTCATCTTCGTCAGAAATGACACTACGCTTGTTGACGGAGCGAACGGTAGCAAGTTGGCCTCTTTATCAAGCCTGTCTGATCGCAAGTTGGGGATAGCTGCGTCGATCTGTGACATTTGTACGCGAGCCCGAGTTTATCTCCGGGGGCCCGAGGTGTTGTGGTTTTAGTCGGCCCAGCTGATTGATTCCCTCGCAGCTTTCGAGGGACAGCCAAGAACGTCGCCGACTCTGCGCGTATCCAATGCGTTTCTGCCGTCAGAATGGGCTTCTACCTCCAGTTGCGGCTACTGCTGTGGAAAAACTACACGCTGAAGAAACGAAAACCTGTGAGTTTGTCGCGATCGTTTTCGTTGAGGCATGACTGTGTGTGGAACGGCTGTCGTCGTTTGTTTTCTTTTTGGTTTGTTTGTTCGTTGCGAAATTCGATCACCTTGTGACTCGAACTCAGCTGCCGTCTTTAAACAGTTCGCCCTTATGTCTCGGCGTAAGTTATGGTTCAGTTGACATTTCTATTAATCCGTTTTTCTAATTAAAAAAAAAAATGATTTTGATCGATTTGATTTTGAAGATTTAAATAAAGGTTTAAGCGCCTGTGCTCTGTTAATTTCTTTTTTTTTTTTTAATATTTTGTTTCTTCGTTGAACTAAGCTGAAATAAATGATGAAAATTTTTCTCCAGGGTTTATTTTCATCATTACTGTCCAGCTCGCTTGCACCTTTGCATTTTAATTGCATTATAATGAAATAAATAAACATTGAATTTCTTTTCTTGCTGTCGCGATGTAACCGAAGCTAGTTCGATAAGTAACGAAAATTGGGAAGGCATATTCAGCTGCGATGTTTTTGTTTATAGAAATCACAAATCCTTTGCCCATAAAAAAGTAAAAATTTCTTAGTAAATATGTTTCCTTTAGCTAGGAATTATGATGAGCTCAGTGCTTCTTGACACTGTCATTATTGTATGCAGTGAACAACGAGTTCGATATGTGGTTTCCTCTTGGCACATGTTCAGCGTGGGACCATGGCCATGAAATGAATAAAGTCATGTCAGTTGTCATTGGCATGCGTAGTTGACATGTATTGGCACGCATGGAGAGCAAAGGCCACCAAAGCAAGGTTTACAAACACAAAAGGCACGAGGAACTGCTTTGAAGTGCAGATAATACATTCTGCTCTGACAGGCGATAGCGGCAGCTTGCACGCTGCCATACGCTCAAACATAAAAGAGAGGTGACACCACCTAAAGGGTTCTATATGACTCAAGCACATGAGTTGCTAGGCATCTGAATGGCCTCCTGGAATTGTACCATATTTTCTGGTTTAAATATATATATATCTCTTTTTTTTTTTTTTGTGCTGCGCAATATTTACAGGAATGGACTATACAAGCATTAGTCTTTCCGAGATCGTCATTATGACAAGACGTGACTTATTTGGTGAATAACAGGTTATTTTAATTAAAGATGATTTCTGTACATATGTGATATGCTTCTTTGAGTGCTCTAATAAAGCAGGCAGTTTTCAAGGTGTGCTTTACATGCAGACTAGGCACCAGGCACTGGTTCTAAGGAAAACAAAAAACCTTGTTTCAACTGAAATTTGTCCCTGCGAATTGTACATTGGGCGTGGACTATAGTTAAAAAAAATGTGGTACGCAGCTCAAACTTTTCTTGGGGCTCTCCCAAGCAATAGCCAAACTAGAAGCAGATGGGGGTAAATCATTTCATCACCTTGCAGCAAGCCCATGAGTATAAGATAAGCTAAGCACACCGATTTTATCACCATGGGTCTAAAAAGAAAAAAAAGGTGATAGTGTCCTGCATGACATTCTCACCTCCTTGTCAAGTTGTATTTGGCTGCTGGCCATTCAATATTTAAAGTGGCTGACTCGTCTTATTACGCATATAAGGCATTTTCTTGTGCTGTTAATTTTTATAAAATTAATACCTTAAAATGGAGCTTTGCCCATATCTTTTCTGCTTTGTTTGCAGGGCTGCACAGATGCCTAAAAAATATGTTTTCAAATAGCAGTTAGTAGATTAAACCTTATTTACAATGATAATACATTATCTTATGACCTTATCTCACAAACAACCTGGTATGTCTGACAGAGAGCATTCGCTAAGTTCTGAATATTTCTTGTCAGGAAATATATTTCTTCTTTTTAGAAAGGACGACCTGATGTTTGTTATTCCTCTTTGCAGCTGGTGCTGCTGTTCGAGCTAGTCATACCGCTAGTCTTGTTCTTCATTCTCATTGGCATACGGAAGAAACAGCCTGCTTATCCAGTGGGATCCTGTGAGTATACTTTTCCTAAGTGGTCTTCAGTTCCAGACTAGAGTCACTATATATAAGCTCTGCTTCAGAGTGAAGCATGTTCTGCTATCTTGTTATGAACCACCTAGGCAACAGAGTTGTGGCACCCACAAGGCAGTCGGGTAATGGAGTGTTGGTACTCTGAGCATAGTTCATTTTATGGCTTTAGTCCAAACCAGTTTGCCTTTGATCTAAAGCTCTAAAGTTCCTTGTCCAAAAGCATTGACAAAATAAATCGACCTCCCTCAAAAACGGTGCCTTTGGTCTGTCTGCTAAAGTCATGCTATTTTTTTTTTTAGAGCCATGTGATTCTCTCTACAAGTTTGTGTCAGTCTGGAAGCAAGATATCTGATTGCCATGTACCACACAAAAATTTGAAATGATTCAGGGGGTTAGAACTTAGAAATCTCTGAACTATCCCTTGCCACCTTTCAAAGATCTTGTTAAGGGTAGACTGCTGACCAGGGGTGGCCAAACCGCGGCTCGCGAGCCGCATGCGGCTCTTTGCTGGTCCAAGTGCGGCTCGCGGATCCCTCGTAAGGGACCCCCCCCCTGCTTCACCCCTTTCCGCGTTTCCCCAGGAAAAAAAAGAAGAAAGGATTTCAGAATAAAGCACACTGCAGCTTGCAGTTTGGCAGCCTTGTGCCCCCATACGTACGGTCAGACTCTGAACAAAAGTTAAGTTTGCCCCCCCCCCCCTCCGTGGCTTTTAGAAGCTCTGTGGTTTTGTTTGCGGCTCTTAGGCCAGGCCAGCCTGGCCACCCCTGCTGTAGACCATACAAAAAAAAAAAGCAGTTTACCGGAACAATGCGAAACTTTAAAGGCCGATGAACAGACTCGAGATTCTGCAAGGCAGAAGATCCTCCTCACCATGGGGAGGGGGAAACAGGCAGCGGGGGACAGGGTAGAAGGGGGGAAAGGAGGAAGTGACAGAAAAGTGGAAAGCGCGAACTGGTCGTCGGTCTTTAATGAGAAATTCAATTTTCTCAAAATAATGAAAAAAAAAAATCTATATTTATAGGCTGGCGAATGGGCCGAGTTTTATCAGATGCATTGTGCGAGCATGTCAAATGCTGTATAGAAGAAATAAAGAAAACTGAAATATAATCATTTTGCTCAGATAGGATTAGGTAAGGACCATTTGTGAAATTCTTTGCTGGGGGAATCAGGTCGGCAGAACATAATTATTTACTAAAACCAGCTTTATAGACCAACACGCGACTCTGACGTCACGCCTCTGGGGTGGTGCTGTTGTCGCCACGTCGCATGCGCAGAAGCTTCACTTTATGTGAATCCGGTTTTTGCTCTCGTGCAGTGCCCACACGTTGTGTGGGCAAACGCAGGCTTGTTTGTATATACTGTGTCGGTCTATAGGGCGCTCGTTAAGAAACGCGGTGATTATGATAAATTATTTTTGTGAAGGCTCAGTCAGTGCATCGGACCTGGCATGGGACAGTTAATTAATTGCTTTATTAATAACATGGGACAGTACATGCACCTTATTTCACTGAAAGGCTTATGTAGAAGTGCTCTGTTTTTTTCTTTCTACATTGAGAGGTACTTTTTGTGCTTTGATGACTTACTTAGTGATATATTGATTTGTGATTAGATCATTGTGCTCTGGTTTCTTTCAGCTTCCTTCCCGGCCTTTCCACTTCCCTCAGCTGGAGTCATAGCCGTGATGCAGGCTTTTTGTGATAATGGTATCAGGGACAGCGACGGATTCGCTACATTTCCCAACAGCACGTAAGTGCAACAGAGAAGGAAAATCTCGTCACAAAACTATCAGTGCATTTGCATATGTAGCCTTGGCAATAGGCACAGAAAGAGTGTGTTGATTTCATTGCGAGCAGGGTTGGCCTTGAAATGCAGCAGCTTGTGTTATTTACTTCAGAAAAGAAATTGGGCCAGTATTTTTTGACTACCAACCCGTGGTGAGGAACAGCATAATCATCAGACGCCATTTTGAGGCAGTCTCTGTTTTCGCTGTCTTCAGCTGCGCTTAACAAACCCGACTTTTTCTATGGCTTCTCAGTTTTAGTCTTTGCATCATGCCACATCCTCGAGCATGCACGTCTTGTCTTCGTAGCTAGTGTTAACTTCGCGAGTCAGCTGTGGTTCTATCAGTTTTCTGCAGTCCTTGTGTCTGTAACCAGTGGCAGGTAAAGAACTTGCAGTAGACGCTTTGCCTCAAGCACAAGCTTTCAGTCTTTGATAACCCTTCATTGCACGTGCAGCCAGAGCCCAGGGAAGGCAACAGGTGCGTGCTGGAAGGCAGTGCATTTCGTGGGTTCTTGACCTGTCACCGACTATAGTTTAGTTACGCAGTGCAAGAACCACAGCCATTCTCTTTAATTGCATCCTGTTTGCACGAAAGATGTGCAATCCATTGCTTACGGAAATCGTTGCACTGGACGTCAAGGAGGAGTGATTAAGTGAAGCGTGTTGTGACTATAGAGTTAATTAAAAGGAAACGTTCCGCGCATTTCGGCCGCTTCGAGATGGCGGGGCATAGACGTGGACATCGGTGGTCCCAATGTATACACACAAAAAAAAGGCAAAATGCCACTTACAAGGTCTGTACCTAGTTGTTTTTTAGCTTTATTTTGCACAAAAAGACCGGCATTGTGCAAAATGAAGCTGACAAGCGCTTGAACAACTTGACTCGTTTTGGCACAACGAACACGCCTAATCTTTCATGTGCTCTCCCTTTCCTCGTTTCTGTCATTCTCTTTCTCATTCTTTTTCTCGTTACAACCAACGTTGGCACTTACAATTTGCCGCTTTCTGCACGCGTCTTCAACCCCCCCCCCCCCCCCCCCCTTTCCGGTTGTGACTTCGGCAGGGTGACGTCCTTCCTGGAACGGCTGAAGAATGTGTCAAAGCACCACAACTTCTTCCAGCCGGGCTTCACCCTCGGGGAGATGGACCTCATCCCGTCCATCTTCAAGACCATAGTGGAAGACCCCGTGGCCCTGCATGACCGCTTCGCCCAGGCCCCCGGCAAGTGCGGCCTAGAGCCACCAAACGAGCTACGCTTAGAGCATAAGTTCTCAAACTGTGTTCCCAGGAAGCCTGATGTTTCCTAGAGTACCCTCACGGCTGCCCCAAACTTTCCAATTTCCTCGACCGTGCCTGCCCATGAAGTGAGGCGTCTTCCGGTTCAAGCTCCATCTTAGCAGATCTGAGCCACACATTGATGCGTAACAATGAGCCAAACGCTCCCTAGTACGTGCACTATTGTTCACATGGTCTGTAGGCTTTTGCAATGCCTTGTCGTTGCATGTTTCAGCACTTATGGAGAACGGAAAAGCGTTTCCTGTGGTTTCAGATAAAGCTGCGGGCAACCGGCAACAGTTTGTGTTATGCACCAAGATGGCTGATCTGTTGTTTCTTTGAGGCGTAGCCTATTTGTTGACTCTAGTGCAGCCTTGGCACACGTTGCTAAACAGGCCACAGGTTGCATTATTATGGCTATTTTTGCTGCGGTTTGTTTGAGGGCTGGAGTCTGGGCATTCCAGGATAATTACGATCTTTGAGAAGTTTCGATACAATGGGAAACTGTGTCTAAAATGAAGGTGATCGTTTTGAAACTTTTGATTCTGCTTCATAAAAATATGGGCTGTTTTTTTTTTTCTCTATTTTAATCTTAGATGCTGTCTCTCCTGTTTATTACTTCTTTTCTTTTCCCTTATTCCCCGTTTATTGCTTTATTACCCGTTTCTTTTTTATTGGTTTTAATTTTTACTATCTCTTTAATCTTTACTACCTGATAACTTTTTACTTTTTTATCCTTATCCCTTTATTTAGTTCAGTATATACTTTCGGCCATTTCTGGCTATTTTTAGGCGCTTGAACTATGTAAATGTTTTTGCATGTTCTGGCAAGGTTACTTTTGCATGCACGCTTGTTCTTACATCTGGTGTCCCTGCAGAGGCTGCAAGTCAGCTTTGTCTCCTCTCCCTTAATTTCTCCACCACCCTTCCTCAACTCAAAGTAGCCAACCTCGGTTGGCTCCTGTTTTACAGCGATAGCTGTTACGGCCTCTTCCCACCACTGGAAATGATGTCCGTTGTTGTAGTTTCAATTGTTGATGTAGTAGTTGTTGACGTAATATTTGGCGTGGCGATGTCGGGCGTCTGTCGTGGACGTTGCCAAATTCTTGAAAAAGACTGCCTGCCACCCGTGGGAATCGAATCTGGGTCTACTGGGTGCAAACTGAAGGCATTACTTAGGGTTTCTGTAGTAACCAATGCCCACAGCAGGCACTCTCTGGAACAAAACAATAACCCATAACAAAATGCAGTTGCAGCACTGTCAGCGCCAAAAACTCGTGCCGGGAGACGCCCGTTCACGCTTTCCGGAAAAAAGGAGGAACAAAAGCGTTTGGAACCAAATGGTCAGATGTCTGTTTTGTTCCAAATGCTTCTGTTCACGCACCCCACGGTGCGTGAGCGCGACGCCGAAACCCAACGACTTTGCCGTGACTTGTCGCAGCTATCACTGTGACTCTATTGTGGATTAACACAAGACTGCTAAATCTTTTATCTCCTGCACTTTACTTCTTGCATGCCTCAAAACTTGATGAAGTGTCTCTTAAAATTTTTATTAATGTTTTTCAGACATTGAAATAGCCGTTTCAGCCTTCCTTCCTCATTGCTCTCGAGTTCCCTTCGCTTGTTTCACCGGGTGCCCTTTATTTCCTGACGTTTACTCGACAGCGTTGACTTGCAGACTTTCAATGTTCTTCATGTTATTTCCAGCCATGAGAATGGACTACTTCCTCAAGGACCCCAAGGAGCTCAAGGAAGTTCTGGTGAACAACCTGTCGTTGCCGTCGAGAGATCTGGACATCCTGCTGAACTCCTCCCTGGACATGAAACAAGTCAGTTGTCCTTGGGTTTTTTTTAAACTGATGAAGTAGAAAGGATAAAAATGCGGAATGGTATTCTTATGCAGAGAGCAAATCGTCTGCTTCTTGCGCAGGAGTTGCGGTGACATCAGAACGACACCGAGCTCAGATTGGCTTTGATTGAAAGGATAGTGGGTAGACCCCAATGCTAGATGCCTTGAGGTCTACCCGCTATTTTTTTTTTCAATCAGCCAATAAGAGCTCGGCTTTCTGACATCATCGCAACCCATGTGCAAGGAGCAGACGAACTTGCGCTCCACATAGAGGCTAACCCAGAGCTCGTTAGCATCCATTGCATGCTGCAGCCCTGCACGGTTGAACCTATAGCTGGTGACATGTTAAGGACCCAGTAGACGCTCTGCCTTAGTGTTTGCCCAGTTGGCCAACTGTAAACTTGTGCGCTGCGAACCAACTGTATGTGTGTTTACACGCGTTGCATGCTGACGACACTTTCAGTCACTCCACACAACGTTCTGTCACCTCATTCTGTGCACTCTCAATGCCACTGCAAAAAAAAAAAAAAACCAGAAAGAAACCCACAAGGCAGTGTTATGAAAAGTCTTGGTGGCAAAGCAGACGGATGTTAAATTTAAGCGCCGGCCGCCGTTCTGATAAAATGCAGTTGTGCATATACGCTGGTTTTACAGGTTCATCGAAATACAGCTGCAAACTTTTTGCTGTAACATAAGGCCTAGTTTACTTCGTGAGCCCTATCTGTATTCACCGTCGATGGACAGTCCTTTTTTGTTGCCTCGTCCAAGACTTTATTCTGTGGCATCTTTTTAATCGAGGTAAATTCTTCTTCTTTTCGTACAAAAGTGTATGTACTGGAGCAGTTGGCCTTAGTTGTGTTGACAACTCTGAAAGCACCTTTTTTTGTAACAATGTCTGTCAAGCAATTTCATGCAAGCGGGAAGGTAAGTTGTGAATGACACTCTCATAAAGACTCTAGCTTTACTGACACTTTTTTTTTTATAGGAACCCTTGGTAAGTTCTTGGAAGTCACCTCAATTAATTATCTGTCAGTGCTGCCATAGTACTGAACAAGCACATTCTGTTCATTACAACAGATGGCATCAAAGTCACAAAACGAAGACTGTGTGGCACGCAGGGTCATATTGGTAGTGGACATGTGCCAGGTTTGATTATTACAGTATTCATGCTGAGTCAGTGCAGGTACCATGCAAGCATTTTTGCGTGCGCCCTGTGATAAAGCATGGGTACGAGTGTTTACTCATTATCTGTTAATTAGTGATCATAAACAAGATCATAAACAAATATGACTATATTCTTTCACAGAAACATTGGTATTTAATTGCAGGAAAGTATTGGATTTTCTTTCCAACTGTTGAGTGATGCCTATATATGTTTAAAGTTATTTTAATTTTGTACCAATCTTCTACTCATAAGTTGTTTCACGCAGTGCCTACAGATCATTATCGTAAGATTTGGAGGTGCCAGTGCTCGCACTGAAATGGAATTTAAAAGAGAAATTAAAGGATGATGCAATGATGAAATCAAAGCTCTGAAGTGAGAGCCTTAAACTTTTTGGGATAGCTGCAGTTGCCTTTCTTTTTAAAGGGCACCGGATTATTGTCCGTTGCCCTTTCTGAACAAAGTGCGAACAGAGCCACCTGAATGGCTTCCTTTCACATTACTCTCCCTCATCTTCACTCATTATGAATGTGAAAGTAGGCCATTTAGAAATTGAACAAAGGCATCATGGGACCCTGTGGTATGCACTCCTGAGAACTGTTAACCGACTTTAATGCAGTATTCTTTTCTCACTGCAGGTGTACCTTTCGGTGTTTGGTCGACAACAGGAGGACCTCGTGAATGTGGTGAACACGTCGCCCCAGTCCCCGCAGCCGTTGCCCGTCCCCCAAGCTCTCCGCCGGCTTGTGGGAGGTCCCTTCCCCGCCGTCCCCGCGGGTTCCCCCTCCTCAGGGGTTTTGAGCCCCATGTCCCTCAAGCACCTGAGCTTTCTGCTGAGGCTGATGCGCTCGCACCACCAAGAGTTTGCACTCCTGCTCGGCGTGCTGCGCTGGACCCTGGACACCGACGGGAGGTCGTGGCCGCCGCCCCGGGTAGACCCCGAGGAAGCGGCCTCCAGCCTCGTGGTAAGCGAATCTGGCTGCAGACGTTGCAACTCTCTGTGGGTGTTAGAAGTTGCAGTGTGATGGCTTTGCCCGTCGCGCTGCATGAGTTGCGAGTGTTTAAGGCTGGTTCGGACATTCGTGTTTGTGTGTGGCCGACTAGATTAGGACCGCACAAAGGTGGCGGTGAGGGCGAGTCGGTACATTATCAACGAGGCAGAACAGTTGGCTAAGAACAAAGACAAAGAAAAAGGAGCTAAACAGGACGAGGTTTGTCCTCTTTTAGTTCCTTATTCTTTGTATTCATTCTTAGCATGCTGTTTTAGCTTTTTGTTAGGGCCACTTATGCTGGTTGGGATGGGTAGTTTCCATGGAGACCGAGGTCTGTGCAATGCGTCATAAAGAAATGCAAAGATTCGTAATGCAGTCGGTTTTGTGCAATAAAAAACGGCTGAATCGGTCTTTACGATCATGTAGAGCGACCTATAACTGTGCCGCATGATTTTGGTCCCAACTGATTTTCTATTGGTCATTCTAATAACTGAGATTAGCTTGAAATGTCAAAATATAGAATTAATTGCAGTGCAAAAGCTTCGCTCATTGCACTCGTGCCGGTTGTGATCCCTTACAGTCATGCCGAGCCACCTATAATAGTTTCACATGGTTTTTACTTGAGCCCACTGCATTTGTATTGTTCATTCTAATGACTGGGAATAATTTAAAACTATGTAAATACAGTAATCACCATTGTGTTTGTTGAGCGGTTTCCAGACACACAATTCTCAAAACTCGAGATGAACAAGATGTTTTTTTGTTTGGCCAAAGGTGTAGCCTCTCAAGGTCACAGACTGGCCTTGCAGTGAAAAGATGGTAGATTCTTTCAGTCAAAGATTACTCATTCGATTTAACTCTTAATAGTACTGTAGATCTTACCAGGGGATTAAAGCCTGACAAAATATAAATTACACGTACAACAAAATGGAAGCACATCGCTGCTTTCACATAGTGCAACAATGCTCTAGTGAAGTTTCTGTGTGCCATTTCAATTCACTATGGCCTCCTATGAGGTAGCTCAACAAGCTCAAATCCAACAAGACAAAAAGAAAAGCGCAGCAAGTAGCAATTTTGTTATATTGTTATCGGCTGCGTCATACATTGATTCCGTGGCACCTCTTGCAGGCATTGCTGTTGTCACCCGAGGTCCTCAAGATCTCTTTTTGTGAGGACCAGGATATGCCAGATGTGTTCACTTTCAATACGTCAACTGTGAGAGAAGACTTTGTAAGTACTTTATTCGGCATACATGCAGTGTTGTCGATTAGTGCTGTTTATTTTATTGTATTCCTTTCATTGAATACTATGGTGGTGTAAACAGTTTTAAATACTTTTTTGCCATTTAGTGCTAGTATTTTATGTATTGAGGACCTTAATTACTCTACCTTAGAAACCTCACCAGGAGAAAGCAATATGATTTAGACAATGAATTTGAGTGACTCGGGGAGATTGGATGTTTGTTAAGGTTAACTTTACTCTTTATTTCACGTTACTGCTCTCATTCCCCCGAGTTCCACGCAGTACATGAAATTGTTTCCACCTCTCCTATTCCTTGCACTTGCCTAGCTGTGGGACTTCCCTAGCTGTCACATGGTTCCCAGATCTTTTTCTGCTCCGCCTGTCCTTTGGGCATAATGTAACATTGACCCTCATAGGTTATTGCTAGTATGTGCAATGTAAACAAAAAAAAATCTCATTACCACTTTTTGCAATTGTTCTTGGACATATGCCTACAACGCATCACAAAAAGCATCTGACAACTTTGTATATACTGGCAAACTTTTTTTTTTTTTTGATAGCTGCAAGAGGGGCAGTCAAATTGATCAGACCTGGCTTTTCCTTGTAGCAGGAACTTCGCAGCCGCTATTGCAACCTGACAAGCAAGGAAGCCGACATGCTCTCGATGGAGCTCAAGAGACAAGTGAATATCAGGAAGGTTGCTGAAACGGTCAGTAAAAATGCACTTACAGTAAAGTATGTATTTTTATTAAAAAGACACGTTTCTTCATTGCCAGTTTGTTCAAGGTAGAGTGGCTGTGATGTGTTGGTAGCTTCTAGCGACATGTTCAGAATGTTTCGTAAATAACAGGAGTTTCTTGTGAAGTGTGCTGCGGGTTGTACTTTAGAAATATATGTTTTAACTAAATCGTTAAAATTTTTTTTTTTTAATTTTACAGCAGACCACGCTACATAGTATTCTACAGAAGCTTACCGTAAAGTTCTAAAAGAACGCTCACCCAAAATGAACAGATAAATGGTGATAAACATGGGGTGGGTCATCTTTGCAAGTGCCACAGGTAAACTTTATAAAAAATTAATGCTAAACGCCCTGGCACTGGGCTACAAACCACGTGACACGGGAACTGATACCGCAGATCGTGGATGCCGCAAATTCGTGTTTCACGATGTGATAAACACGCAGGAATTTGCTACGAACTCCTGTGTCACAGGAAAGGATATCGCAGGTTGCAGACGCCTCAGCTTTGCATTTCACGGTGCGAAAGACCCGCGGAAACCCGCCGAGAACTCTCATCTCACGGGAAAGAATACCACAAATCGCAGACGGAGCAAATTCAAGTTTTACGGTGCAACAAACACGTGGGAACCTGTTACAAGCTTGCCTGTTACTGGAACCAATATCGCGCACACAGATCGCAGACAAAAACGCGGTACGCTACATACTCTTAAGTTACGGGAACAAAAATTACACGAGTGCACTTACGACTGTTTATGTGTAGGAAGGCGAAAGCCAGTCAAGGTTGACATCTAGGACAACCTCTAATATGACCTTAAGGATGATGTCTAGGATGACGGCGAGAACGACGCCTAAAAGACGACGTCGAGAACGACGCCTAGGATGACCTCTAGGACGACTTCCAGGACTACCTCTATGACAACGTCAAGGACGACATTTAGGACGACTTCTAGGACGACCTCAAGGATAACGTCTAGGACGACGTCAGGAACGACGTCGAGAACGACGCCTAAAGGGGGACACTTAAAGGAACTGTGCAACGACTTTAACTTTGAAAGAATTTGCATCTTCTACTTTTGACTATGTTTATCTTGTCATAGAGGACAGAAAACACATATCCTTCCTTCAAAATGTTGCAATTCCGCCGCGTAATCGCGAGGCAAAAATTAGAATATTTCCCGACCTGCAGTCGCGAGTGGCGGCCATGAAAACCACGCGGCACGACGTCAATGGGGGGGGGGGGGGGGGGGACTTATGAAAAAGATAGGAAGTTGTGCAAATACTTGCTTGATAAAAGGTAATTTTTCTATAAATATTGTTGTTTAAACATAAATATAAATACGTCAAAAACCTGGTATCGTCGACAAAACTTTTATTATACGGAGTTTTAGTGGCGCCATCTCTCCGATGTCAACAAAACTGTCAGCTCTATTTGCTAACGCGAACAGCCGCCAGAAGCTGGAGAGGGACGGGGGCAGAGCCGAACGGGGATGGCCGGACCCGGATGAGACTTTCCTTCTTTCGCCATGTTAATCTCGCTTCGCAAGCACATGGTCACGTGGTCGCGAGCGGGTGAGTTCTCGCTACTCACTGATGGCTCTAGAGAGAGAGCTTCACCGGAACCCCGCGCTTCCTCCATTGACGTCACAGCGCACGTGACTCGGAAGATGGTGAAGGAGTTGAGAGGTGCCGAAAACCTCAATCTTTGTCCATTTTTAATATAAATTTAGGACATGCAGGCAAAAGCGGTTTCTTGTTCCTTACTTCAGAAATGTCGAAACACTAACTTCCAAATTATTTAAGCAAATCACTGAAATTGTTGCACAGCTCCTTTAAAGGCTGTAGCGTATTTGCGTGGGCAACGACATTTGCCTGCGGAAGCCGCCATAGATGTAGACACTTCTGCCGATGTTGAGGCCGTAGATGTAGACACAGTTGCGTCGCAGTCCATCGTATGAAGCACACGTTTTGAGCAGAGATGAAGTCCGAAGTGCACCTTTTGCACACGGCGCTCCGGTGGTAACATCATGCTGATGACATAAGATGACGCTTGATGACATCAGGCTGATGACGTTTGATGACATATTTTTATGGCCATCTTTCGGGCACAGCGCCGCTGCCGCCGCTTGTTTTTTATGTAATGTGACAAGTGAGGTTTTCCCAGAGGTCTAGCATGACTTCTAGGACAACTGCAAGGATGACACCAAGGGTAATGGGACAAGTAGGGTCGCCCACTGAGTGCTGCAAGCCGTGCAATTAGATTTTACCGGCTTTTTTAACGCCTTTTTGCTCAATAGGACAAGTAAGGCTTTCGCCTTCATACCGCAGATCTCAAACGCAGCAGAATGTATTTCACGAAGCAATATACACGCGGGAACAACTTGCGTGTAATCGAGATTGTGCGCGCAGATCGTGGACAAAAATGTGGCAGTCCGTTAGAAACTTTATGTCATGGGAACGGATACCGCAGATTTTGGATGTAGCAGATTCACATTTTATAGCGCAACATACACGCGAGAACAACTTGGTGTTAGGGGAGCTGATATAGCGCGTCCAGATCGCGGACTAAAATGCAAGAGCCCGCTATGAACTCGCTTGTCAGACGTGCCGGTACAGCAAATTGCACGTTGAATACGATTCAGTTGGACATCGTGTGACTTCCGACGGGAATTGGGGGTGGGCGATGTTTGGGCATTTTTATGTTACAGATATTTAGCCAGAAAAACGGGATGGGCAATCTCTCACGGGTGGGCATTCTCCCGGAACTTTAAACTATAAAAAAATATAAATATATATAAAGAAATCTTTTACAGCGTCATTTTTACTGGGCTTGTTGTACTGAGCGAGTGTTGTGTTGGCAAAAACGAACGGAGCATGCGCACGTCTATTGCAGGTGGCTTTGGTGCTGGGAGAGGGCGAGTAAAGCAGTGGTACCCTCGCCATCCTCCCATTTCTCGGTTGCCACATATTTGCGCTCCAAACTTCTTTTTTTTTTTCTCGTAAACTATTTGCATATCTTTTTACTAGATGGAGCTGTAGTTTTGGTCTCCGAGACTGTTGCCAGACTACCAGATTAAAAAAAAAAGTGTAAAAACCGGACCTATTAAAAAAATATGTAGTTTGTAGCCTGTAGGCAACATTTGTCAACAAAGGGTTAATCACGATGTGATATCAAAATGTTGCACCAACTGGCGCTGTTCATTCGCATCACGTTGCATAATCTTTCCGCTCAAATTTTTACTTTGTAGTTAGACCTTGCGGTCCTTTAAAATATTGCACCTTTTTTGCTATTGCGATTAACCTGGAAGGACACCTTTTTTCCCTTTGCGAACAGCTTGCCCTCGACCAGTGGAACCTGACAGTTGCTCACAAAAGAATCTCAAAGTTAGCTGCTGACGTAAGTATTGATTTGAATGCTTGATTAAAATACTAGCCACTTTTTTATATTACGTGTACATTCAATATTTAATTTATTACTCAAATTCAGCTTTTTTGCCTTTGTTGTGTTCAGTTTATAGGAAAAAGAAATCTCACATTTACACACCCCTAGCATTTGGGTGTTTCAGTGTCTTTCCTAGTTTTGGCTTTGTACAGGTATGGTTATGTATTTCTTACATACCTAAAAAGGGCAAAGGTTGAAGTAGTTTGAAGGGCATTGATTGATTGATTAATCGATTGAATGATTGATTGATTGGTTGATAAAGGCAATTGGGAACAAATGGGGCAGTGGTGTATATGCAGATGTAGAGAAGGCATTGCAGCAGGGAAGAAGTGGTACGAGAGAAAGGGCCATCAATATGTTGTGGACGTACATACAGGATGGTCATGGGGACCTTCCTATTATGATATCTCATGTTAAACTTTTCTTCTCTGAATCACCTAGCTCCTAATTGCATGCCTGGTCGTAATTTGCGGGCAATTGGTTGCAGCTACACAAGTTCAACCTTTTTGAGACTGCCGTGCAAGAGATTTCTGAACTAGCCCTGGAGCTGCCCCAAGACGCCTGCCACACCCTGAAGGACACCAACTCCACCGCACCGGTGAACGCTTCCATCACGGACGAGAATGCCACGGCATCGGAGAGCCCCGAGATTATAGACAAGGTGGGTGTCCTTGGATTGTTCAAACTCAAAATGGTCTGTTCAGGCTATAACGTTTGATCTATTTGTTGCTAGGATTGCATAGACAGAGGGGTATAAACATAAGGGTGGTCATCACACATCTGTTTGGCAGTTGAACTAAATTTTGTGCGATTGGAAAGGCTCTTTTTGGAACAGGCACGCCTACATACCTACCAGAAGTTTTAGTTCAGTACTATATTGAACATGGTTAAAATTGCGCACAAATAGAAAGGAACAGAGAAGAGGGAAGAGGGAAGAGACAAGCACAAACTCACAACTCAGTGTATTGAAGGAAGACAAAGGAACAGCCCTCTGTATCAGCTCGAGCCGAGGCCACATTCGCACGGGGGCACCCGAGCACGCGGAGGATACACGCCATCAACCACACTCAAACGACAGTAGAAAGGCTATTTCCTTGTCGGTTAAAGCCACAGAAGGATGGCTGACACAACGCTTGCCCCGTGCGAATGTGGCCTCGGCTCGAGCTGATACCGAGGGCTGTCTTCCTTCTTTGTCTTCCTTCAATACATCGAGTTGTGAGTTTGCACTTGTCTCTTCTCTCTTCCCTCTTCTCTGTTCCTTTCTATTTTGCGCAATTTTAACCATGTTCAATCATTACCAACTCGCCCAACTAACAACTTTACTTCAGTACTGTAGTACAGACATTGTGTGATTAGCTTCGTTAAACTTTTGTTAACAGCATAGAATTTGAAACAATCTTTATTCTTTATTCATCTTGAACCTGCTGTGTCATCAGGTATTATCACACGGGGCAAACAAACAGGAAAAAAACATTTCTGCTGTTGCGGCACAAACAATCTTGCAGGGCAGAGCATTCCACTAGCTCTTAACTTTTGTTGATGGGATCTTTACATTGTGAGATATATTTAGGAGCTAAAAAATATTAATGCCAGTGATATTATGATAGATACTACATAAAAATGTCAGACATAAACATTTTCGTTGGATTGCCATTGTGATCGAAACTAGAGCAACATGTCTTTTTGGAATGCCTGCACTGACTCTGCCAGTTGTATTGGAGATGGTATGTAGGTTGTCATCAGTTGTCTTTGTGCCCAGGTCAAGAAGACCAGGCCCCAGTACGGGCTTCTCAGGATTTGGCTTGGGATGCAGCGCATGATCTGTGGGAAAGTAGGGAAGTCCCCGGAGTCTGTTTCTGGCGACGGTGAAGACATCAACCTCAGTGAGTGACCTTTGCTTGGGACAAAGGAACTAATGAAATAATTAATTTTTTGTTTAATGTGCTATAAAAGCATGGTGGATTTGAGAAAGGCTCAGGACAAGACTATGAATATTGAAGTGGCAGTTTGAGCATGGAGATAAGATACACATTATCATTTCATAATTATTTTAATGAAGTGTGTTTATTTTATTCTTTGTACATAGAAATGCTAGTGAAAGGTGCCTGGGTTACTTTTTATTATTTTGGTGCAGTATCATAGTTTTGTCTCCTATACTGGTGAGTACCCAGACGTCTCCACCATTTTTTTGCTTTTGGTAATTTTTGTGTTTTAGAAGCATTTAAAGCAGGAATGTTGGTTATTTTTCTCAGAATCACCTTGATCTGTAACACACGTTTTAGCCACTGTTGAATGTGTCGTGTGCCAAATATTTGACATATTGTGCATTGTTGTGCTCTACAGATGACATTGGAATATCGGAGTACCAGAAGGAGCAGATTGGAATTTTGGTTCATGTGCTTTATAGCAACCCTAAAGTACTTTACACACCAAACAACACCGCAGCCAATTCCATCGTTGAAAAGGTAAGAAAATGGACTGCCTTGCGTATTTAGATTGCGGCCAGCTTCCAGACAACCTGCAAACATATAAAGCTCTGCAGTAGGTCTCTCATGTGCCATGTATGCTCAACGATGGGTGCGGAAGCTGATTTAGCACAAGCCACAGTGAGGATCTATCAAGCGTACAAAAATTAAGAAAAATATATGGACGTCAAAATGCTTGGCAACATTTCTGTAATTAGTCTGCAGAGGTTCTCTTGAACATGTTCTGTTTCTACTGAGTTTTTATATCTCACTTTATAGTTCTTTATTTGTTTATAAGAAACTCTGCTTATAATCATATGTATCTTTTCTGAAAAATAGTTTTAGCTTTACATTATGAAATCCAGGATTTTCTTTTCACTCCTTACTTCTATTTTGCCAAATGCATTAGCAGTTTTGCTTGTTGATGCAATTTGCAACTTGAAGGTTTTAGCACAACATTTTTGCTATTTGATGCTTATAGTTATATCTGAGAAAACTGAATGAGACATTCTGCAGGGATTTTAATGGGCCAACCTTTGGGTTTTTTTCGTAGGCCAATGAGACATTTGAGCTCCTTGACACTGTGACACAGTATGCTAAGAAGATGCTCAACATTTCACGGGACATCAGGGACTACCTGGCACAGAATACCAGCGACCATTCGTTGGCTGTGCTGAGACATGTATGGCTTTTTACTTCTCACCTCTAAGCATGAACTTGATGTGATTTGAACTTCATTGTTTTTGAGCTATCATTCAAGTATAGTTCAGATGATTGCAGATGAAGATATAAATTTAGTTCTTAGAAAGTTACTGATTCTAGCTCTGCTGCAAATTACATTTCCTGCCATAATATAATTGCGAGATTTACAAGGTTCATGCCAGTATCGGAGATGCCCATTTATGGTAGTCATGTGCGAATACAGTCGCCGACTGATTTTTCGGACTTGGAGGGGATGCCGAAATGGTCCAATATTCAAGCGGTTCAAAATCTATTTCAGCCAAATTATAAAATGTTCGCACATATTTCGCTGCGTATTGTCCACTTTCCACTTGCTTGATGTAAATTTTAAGTTCTTGTGCAACTTCCGCCTTATAATTTTCACTTTTCACTTGTTTGTTGGTCTGTCTGATCAAGGTGCTGCACTTCGTTGGCGCCTTCGTTGGCACAAACAGCAAAGTTAAAGTTGGTGCCATTTGGCACTATATGGAGACAATGTTTAGTCTACCAAGCGCCTATCGGAAAAAAACCTTCATGCTCAAAGATCACAAGAATGGCAGACCCGCGGTTGCATTCGCACTCGCACTCGGTTGCTCTCGAAAAACACGGACCACTAGAAGAACTGGAAGAACCATAAGTATGGGCATAAGTATGGGCAGTATGGTACCGGAAAAGCCGACTAAAGCCTCAACCCAGCTTGTTTATTGTGTAGGACATGGTATCGAGGCTACAGAGCAAAATTAAAATAACCATAATGGCAGCGACTAAGCTGGCTGCACTATTGTGGCTGTAAACTGAGGAAATCACAGAAATTGTGTCCGAACTATCGAGCAGTAAGCTTTATGGCGTCCGAAATTTTGGTCAATGTTATACATTAACTCTACGGGGTGAGTGACGGTTCGGCGAAAACATCAGAAAATTCGGACGGATCCGAAATATCTGAGTTTGAAAAATTGGTCGGCGACTGTAGTGAATTTTGAGTTTGAAGCAAATTCAAAGCAGGTAGTGGTTTTGGCCAAATATTTTCAAAGCAAATATTGAATAGTTTATCCTTCCACTACTGTTGCACCATGTTTAAACAAAAACCTAGCTAAACTCGTGATGTTTGTTCCCAAGCTTCCACTTGTCTATTTCTAAGCTAATTTTAGTCTAACTATATTTAGGGACTGTGACCTCAGAAAGTTCAATGCCTTGAGATGGCAAGTAAACAATGGATTTAACATAAGATGAAAGTTAGAGATGCCCAGCTATATTTTATGGAGTGGATTTACAAATCTCACTACTATATGCAAATATTTTTTTTTCGATCTCGAGTTTAAACAAAGAAACTTGGAGGACGCTTAAGCTTCGCGTTTAAGAGCGGATTGTGGTAGCGTTATCGGGCCCCGTTCGCATCGCCTTCTCATTCACCGTGCAAGTGTGCCTTGCGTGGCCTATACCTTGTTTCAGCTAAAATCCAGACACGGCCGATGCTATAAGCGCGAGCTCCATATTTTCGGCGTCCCTGCCAATCATGTGCTCTCGTGCAGTGTAATAACTGTTCAGGGCCACATGCCTGCATTTTTAGCATCAGTTGCATCTGGACTTAAGCTGAAACAAAGTATAGTCACTAGCGTGTCTAGCTCGCAGCCAAATGGTTGTGGGTTTGAATCCTGCGTAAAATTCTTAAAATATGTCTTTTAAGCAAATGGATTACTTTCTAAAGGGAAATCATTTGAGACATGCGGCAACCTTTAATTCACGTTACATGTCATGTTTTTCAATCGCTTTCATCCCACGCTTGATGTTCCACGTGAGCGTTGTGGGTTGTTTGAAATTTCCGCGCGAGGTCACGTGGCTGTGATGTCATGACCCTATTGACCAATCATGATTCGCGTCACGCCACCGAGGCTGGCTTTTCTGCTACACGAGCTTCTTAACGATAATGCGTTAAAAAATCACAAATGATAAATGCAGGTTGTCAGGGCATCTCTGCCTGTCTTGCATAACAGCCACAGTTTAATTTTGAAAATTTTACTGCAATGTAGATATCAACTTTCCCAAAGTTTCCTTTTTTTAAAGATTATATACACCAGGTGCATGCGTGCGCCGTCTCACTTTGAAAGTGTTTTTTTCTCCCAAGCACGGAACTGCGGTACTGTATTAATAAATTTCCAAGTGTTGATCGCAGCGGTTACCCCGTTAAGTGCGCTTCTTATTGAGCACCGGTGCACTGCAGAGAAGCAACACCTGTGTAACTCGCTTTCTCTGGTGTCGCTTCTCCGCAGTGCGCCCATGCCTGGTAAGAAGCGCGCTGTACGGGGCTAACCCGCCACGACCAACACTTCGATTACTACGAATATTGCAGTTCCTCTAGAAGCGAATATCGAATAATGTATTATTTGAAACTACTATTCAAAGTTTCGGATATTTGCACAACACTACCATTTATGAATGTGCCCTTCACACTGACATAGAGTAACTGCAAAGATAGATTAAATTTATGTGCCAAAGTTTATCTATGTTTAATATATTAATTAGAATGTATAGAATATATAAAATTTGAAATTGAAATAAAAATAAAATTTTTAACAAAAAAAAAGAGCAGTTGAAAAATGTAACATTTTTTGTATTGTCTAGAATAAATTCTTAGGTAGGAACGCTGAAAATGAAATCAACAAGGAGTGTTACGGTTAAATGCTTCTACCCTTGTTGGTTGGCTGTTTAAAAATAACTGCTTGATAGGATGAAATGTGACTTCTGAAACTTAGTCTACCATTTCATGGCAATTTCTAAGCTTACAGAGATACATCAAGGGGAGACATAGGTCTTTGGCACCAAGCACTCTCTAAAAAATCGTTTTCTTTTTTGCAAATGGCTATTTTTGAAATATGCAGCTATTTTTCTTCTGATCTGTTAAGTTTCAAATTATTAGACCTGAACTCGAGCCATAATATCAGTTAATAATATCTATGCCGACTGAATTTGCATTGAAAATTATGTTAAAGCAGGAAGGATATTTCAGCATCTAGGGCAGATAAAAGTATAATTTCTTTTGCAAAATCTAGTTAAATACGCAAAGCGCACAATGTTGGGAGCAGATTCTTCAATATAGGCATATGAAGTTCTCAGTTTTGGCTATTGTTCTATTACCTGGTAGCCACACATTGAACACTAATCTTTAACAAGTGGTAAAACCACTAATAAGGATTCAGCCTCAAAAGTACTTTTAACATTGTATTCTTTACAGTTTATAGTATCTCGCCATGTGTTACGCATAATATTTTGTTGAGCAGTTTTTCCATATTCCGGAAAACCAAGGGGCGTCAGACTTAGATATCTTGAAGACTGGTTGAGAAAAATGAACAGGTATTTGAAATCGGCAATAGAAACTGCACAAACATGTGTAGTTTCATTGGGTTTTCCGAAACATTAAGGCCCATTCACACACTTGCAACCTCTTAAAACTGTGTGCCTCGAAACCTCTTGGTTGAACTCCTGGGATGGGGTTCTATCCCCAGCCCTTCCCGTCTTCAGTCTGGACGAGCATCATACCTGCGTGTGGTCGCGTATCACTTCTGTACGGTGCATAAAACACTGAACATAGGAAAAAAAATTTTTTTTTCCTACCCTATTAGGACAGGCATGTCTCAAAATAAATGTTCGCTTAAAAAATATTTCTTGACCAATATTTATTTTATAATTTAAATTTTTAGATATGTGGGCAAAACCGAAACTGTACCCCTGTGGGATGATGATGGTAGTGTTTGTATCCAGCTAGTGATGTCCAGTGCACTCAGAGCGCACACAAGTTGGGTACAAACGCTATCATCATCATCCCACAGGTATACAACTTCGGTTTCACCCGTAAATCGAAAAATCCGTATTGTAACATAAATATTGGGCAAAAAAATGTTTTCTTTTTTTCGTCAAACATTTATTTAGAGTTTTAACCAAGTGGAAAAAATTTTTTCCCCTACATTGTGTTTTTTTAAGAATTAAAAGCTCCAAGACCAGTGTCTCCCCTTAAAAAGACCCCTGAAAAGGAAAAAAGATTTTTTCTAAACAGTCTAATGGGACACACATGTCAAAAAACAAACTTTAAGCGAAAAAAAAAAAAAAAAAAACATTTTAGAGAACTATTGACGGTGCAAGACACAATTTAGTTGGTAGTTGCCTCCTTTCCACTCGTTTTTTCAGCGTTTGGGGCATGTGGAGGAGAGGTGGATTGGCTTGGCCATCACGTTGAGATGGAAAGAGCGTACGCTCATTTTGTGACATCATGGACCTTGCGCACAGAATTTCAAAGAAATCTCGTGCCGTCAATATCGCTCTAAAATTATTTTTTTTCCACACAAAAATTAATTTTTTGACATGTGTGTCCCAACCAAACTTTTTTAAAAAATTTTTTCTTTTCAGCGGTTTTTTAAAAAATGTAATGGTACAGAATTTACCAGCTTTAGATATAGTGAACTTGAAAGTCGAATAAGGCAATTCACACCTCCTGTGCAAACCGGCACAGGAGGTGTGTATGTAGATGAGTCAAACGCGCCACCCGTGTGGATGCCGTTACAGATCAGGGAGAACCTGAGGCGTTACCCGCTCGTCTTTGAGGTGGCGCGCAGCGAGGCGCTGCGCGAGTTTTCGCTGGGGGGGGGCGGGGCCTCGGTCATCGAGGACAAGGAAGCCTTTGTGCGCCGGCTGGACGTGATCGACAACGGGGCCTGCTCTTGGATCGCCCTCATGTCGGGCCTCAGCCTCAACATGTTCCGTGGCTTCAGCACGGAGGAGGACCTCATGGCCTACTTCAAGGGCAGGGCATACTTCGACAACGTCACCGTCCTCGCAAGTATGTCGGTTTGGTTGGTGGGACGGGCAGATGTCTTGGAGAAAGGGAGGGAAATTGGGTCTCAAGCCGGTGCAGTTGTACACGGACATTGTTATTTGGCAAGCTTTAAAAGAAGTCAGAGGACACCTAAGCACTTCTTATAAGTTGTGAATGTGAAAGCATGAATGTCATTCTTCCACTTCCTTAGTTTGTCTGCGGCGTAGTGGCATGGACGGCCACGTTTCGCCGGTCGACGGCGGAGCGCGCGCACTCGTGAAGTGCCCGCGCCGCGCTGAGCTCGGCCTTGCACCCTCTCTAGAGTTTGCCCGGGCAAGCTCTGCGGCCATCTCTCTGTCTGGCACGGCTTCAAAGCTGATGACGTCGGTTCGCTCTATGGGACGGGTAATGCTTTCGCATTCATAATGCCTAGAGTACATAAAGCGCCTTCACGTGCAGCTTCGATGCAAATGCACGGCTTTCGAACCCCACCGGCCTAATTTTTCATTTTATTTTTTGTGGCTCTTCCGAGTGTTCTAGCGGCATCTTGTAACACATCACTTGTTTCTGTTCAGAATGTTCTAGACCACGTAACATAGTCTGTGCAGAGGAAGCCAAGACCGGCAACATCGAGTCACTCGCTCTTTAGTTGCCATTGCACAGTGTGCAGTTTAATCTTGTTTAGTTTGTAGGCACAGGTTTGTCTCAATTAAACATTTATTTTCAGTTCCACATTGTTCTTCTATTTTTATACGTCATTTTAATGTTTTCAAATCTTCACGGTCCAGCACGCACCATACGCACAAATGCTGAAAATGGCACTGTTCAGAATCTGTCTTCTGGAATGGTCTATAGCGAACCTTCATCGCATTGTAAGCTGTGTTTTGTAGAGGCCAACAGTATGTAATTGTAAAATTTAGATTAGGGATTGGGAAAAGGTTGGGAAATAAAGTTTACTTTTGTTGATGGGACTCAGAACCGTGGTTCAGAGCCTCGTACCATCATGTCTCGTGAAAATGAACCCCATTGTAGAGACTGGACACACCGCTAAGCACGTCCAGTCTTGAGAATAGATAAAGGGAACAAAGACACACGTGAGCTATAAGCTCAGGAGGCTCTGTTCCTTCTGAGACACTGGCTAAACACAACGTTTTCCAATAAGTCACGTGAAGAACACTCCCCCCACTTAGACATTCTCTTTGGAAGACTGTCCAGCCACAGCATTTTCATAAACACTGCAAAAAGTTTGTTCGGAGTTCCGGAATTGGAGTTTCTTGGTCATTGGCTCGACTCCTGGGGCATTCGACCATTGCCTTTAAAGGTACAAGCCATCAAAGATTTTCCGAGACCGACTTCGACCACCAAGCTTCGCCAGTGTCACGGTTCGATATATTTTTACTGACGCTTCATTCCCAACTGTGCGAAACTGCTTGAGCTCCTTGAGATCCTCCTAACAAAAAATGAGTGACAAACGTCGTCCCTTTCTTGGAATGAAGATGCGGAACATGCTTTCTGTGAGGTGAAGAACTCACTTGTGGAAGCAGCAATGCTAGTAGATCCTAAGCATGATGCCCCAACATTGCTGATGACTGACGCATCTGCCACAACTGTAGGGGCGTTGCTCCAACAGAAAGTCGATTTCGGACGTGAGCTATTTGCTGCCTACTTAGGTTTACGACATTTTTTACATTTTGTCGAGAGACGGCCGTTTGCCATGTGGACTGACCACAAGCCTCTAACTTATGCTATCTGCAATTCTGGGTCTCACCACACACCATGTGACGTTTGCCAGCTAGCCTCCCTGTCTGAATTCACAACATTCGTCACAATAAAAAAGCTGGCAATGCTAATGTCCTCAGCCGGATTGACTCCGTCAACACTCCGTCTACTTCTCCCGTAAATTTGGAATTGCTGGCCCAAGTGCAGACCACTGAAAAAAAATTGCAGACCCTACACAATTTATCTACATTGCTGCAACTGTGTGATGCGAGCTCCACCGTTATCTGCGACCCGCCAAAAGGAACGCCTTGGCCATTTGTACTGTGTGAGCTTTGACAACAACTTTTCGATGCGATCCATTCTTTTGTCGCATCCCGGGTCATACAGGCACCCCAGAAGCTTCTGTGCGACTGCTACATTTGGCCTCTCATGAAGTCCAATATTTGTGACTGGGTGCATTCGTGCGTTGCATGCCAGTGCGCGGAAGTCTAGCGGCATCCAATACCACCAAGTCGCCCGGTCCTCCAACCAGACAGTCGCTTCAACAAAGTGCATCGGGACCTGGTCGGACCACCACCGTTTTCTCAGGGGCAACGCTACATCCTAACATGCGTTGACAGATTTACACGGGGGCCAGAAGCAACACCACTGCCAGATATCACCGCCACCACCGTCGCCGAGGCATTTATCATCTTATGGGTATCCCGCTTTCGTTGCCCTTCAGAGGTTGTTACCGACGGATCAACAATTTGAACCGGCAATTTTTGCCAAACTTACTCGAGTGCTGGGCACCAGTCGCTTAAGAACAACTGCCTAACACCCACGATCAAACAGAATAGTTGAACGATTTCATCGCCGTTTGAAATGCTCATGATGGTACCTCGGAGTGGGTTCGTCATCTTCCCCTGCGCTTCTCGGAATCTGGCCAGCCTTGAAGGTGGACATTGGATACCCCACTGCCGAACTTGTCTACGGCACAGCACTTCGCTTTCCCTCAAATTTTTTTGAAGTGGTGAAGTGGTTTGCAGTTTGAAGTAGGTTACCCCAACATCAAAGACGGCTGGACTATGTAGAAGAGCTAGAGACTATTTTTACTAATTTGTGACCGGTGCCCATGCTGCAAGCAACTTTGAAATCTCCCTACGTGCCACGAGACCTCCGAGACGGCACTTGTGTTTTTGTGAGGCAGGTGCAAAAGAAGCCACTGCACCTACATCACATTGGACCCTTCCCAGTGGTCGAAAGAAAAAGCGATACATTTGTTCTGCGTGTTAACGGCAAGAATGACATTGTTGCATTGGAAAGACTAAAGCCCACACATATTGAGCAAGTGCACATGCAAGGATGGTGTTACCTGACATCGACCAGACGACTTAGCGAAAGCAACTTCGCTGGCACCCGGATGTTTGTGCACCTAGAGCGTTTGTCTTACATCCTCTCTGAGGAGGAGGGGGCATATCTGTAAGGACTGGACATACCACTAGGCATGTCTGGTCTCAAGAATAGATAAAGAGAAAAAAAAAAACATGTGAACTATAAGCTCGCAAGGCTCGATTCCTTCCGAGACGCCGGCTAAATACAATGTTTTGATCACGTGTCTCCTGCCTGCCCCTTTCACCCCACAATTTATATGGATTCCCATTTATATAGACAAAGCTTTTGGGGATGAATTAGATGATTACATGCATTTTTGTCCCGTTTTTATGGACAATTCACATTAAGGACAATCTTTGGAGAAACAAAGGTGTTTATACTAACGATACTTCACTGTAATGACAACGTGATCACTTTAAATGATGCTATGGGCGATTTACATCAATGCTTTAAATATTGTTAATGCAATAGGTTGTAAAAGAAGCATGGGTTTTATTTGTATTCTTGAGTAGAGCATGAGACAAATCTTTTTATTGTGTTTAATATGAACACTGCATTAGTGCGTTTTTGTGCCCTTACAGTGTCTAAGCTTATATTGCTGTGTTTTTTCAAGGAGAATATATATTTCAGCTCAGTGTACATAGTTGCCCAAAACTCAGTCATGTTTAATCACCATTGCTGCCTGGTTCCTGGTTCTTTGCAGGTGTACTGTTCCAGATGGATGCAAACGGTTCTATGCCACGTCACATGAGCTACACAATACGCCAGAATGCGTCGTTTACGCCAACGACCAACCTGATGCGCAGCCGCTTCTGGTTCCCGGGTCCCCGCAACTGGGGCTACGAGTATTACCAGTTTGGATTCGTGTGGCTGCAGGTAAGGTGTACAAGAATGCACTCATCCTAGCTTCAGGGCTTATGCCACATCCACATTAACGGTTGAACCGCACTTGCAAAGCGGTTGCAAACACATTTGCAAACGCAGTTGCTTAAAGATCCTATGCAATCTCACATGCATCTAATAAAAACGAGCAGTTCCGCTTTGCAGTTGTGACTCGAACAGCGGCATAGATGCACCCTTAGTCTGTTTCTGATACATTTTCCCAAGCTGGTACTTCACTTGAAACGCTCTTTCAGCTGGTTTGGAGAGGCTTTTCTGAGGGAAGTTTCTTGTAGCATTGAAAGAGCCATATTACTTTTCGAATGGTGATATGGCTCTTAGTTGCTTGTATGCTAACATAAACAAAAAATGTCTCCTTTTTTTTTTAAAACACAAAATTAGGTTATACAGTCGAACCCGGATATGTTGACTTCAAAGGGGATTGTAAAATAGTTCGATATATCGATAATTTAGTATACAAAAACATGCTAACTTAAGCTGCAGCTGAAATTTTCGCGTGTCTCTGCTAATACCGAAGGCCGCGACAAACAGGACCTTACCAAATGGTGCCTCTAAGAGCCGCTAAATGCAGTAGAGCTTAGTTGGGGAAGACCACAAACACCGCCGGGTTTACGCGACAGTGTTTGCGATCAGTTAGGCCTGGCCATGACCTCCACACAGTGCCGGCAACGAAACACAAAAATAATTTTAAAAATGAAAGAACGGAAAAAGCGAGCTGCATAAAAAACAACTCTTGATCCATAAAATACAGTTAAGCAAGCAACAAAAAAGAAACCATTTTTGACCACCTGAGTCTGGGTGGAAGAAACACGACGACGTCGTCGTGTTTCTTCCACCCAGTCTCAGGTGGTCAAAAATGGTAAACTTACACCAGCTCGCCTGCGCCCTAACTGTTTTTTCAGAAAAGAAACCTCACTAAATTCAGGCAGCAAAAACAGAAAAGCAAAAAAAAAAAAAAACGGGCAAAGGAATATTGAGGAAGGAACAAGGTAAACAAAGGCAAGGCGTTCAAAGTGCGATTGCTCAACCATTGCTAAACAGTTGTTGTCGACACACTCAACTTGACGAAAACTTTTTTTTTTTTTATTTCCTTACGGTATTTTATTTTGGGGCTAATAAGTCGCTTAGCGACACTGGTGTTCAGGGAAAGAGTGCACACTACCCTTCCAATAGCAGGCACTCCCTGCCCCCCCTACGCATGCGCATGCCTTTCCCCTTGCTTTTGCCATCCTCAACTTTTTTTTTTACAACTGTTTCTTGATTGTGCATCTTCGTGCGCGTTTGCTGGCTTGGCGGTCTGCCAGCCCCGCAACGCAAGCTATGTGCTCGCCGCTGGTGCAATCTGATCGCGGGAGAAGCACTGGGCTGCAGCCGGCCGTGCATCGTTCGCTGTATTCGCTGTATCGAGTGTCCCCACCATGGGAGTTTGATCCAGAAAAACAATGCTCCTATACTTATTACATGTGATTTTCAAGGGGATGTTTGGACTGTTCGATATAAACAATATATTGAAATACCCGGGTGTGGTATAACCGGGCCCGACTGTGGAGGGATCATGGTGGCGTATTATCTGTGCATGAAAACAATTTGCAACTTGTGAAATGGGCTTGCCCATCTCAGAGGTGCATTTCTCCCTATGCACAGCTGCACTGTGGAACAGCAGCATTGCCAGGGGTTTGCAGATTTGCCACTTTATGCTTGCTTGCAGCCAACCACATTTCATTGTGTACATTGCACGGGCAAACATTTTTCGATTGAAAATTGTTTCTTCAAAGTTAGGGATGCATGGCAATTGCATGAGTGTCCAGGGAAGTCTGTGTGGCGTGTTTAACATGCATATTTTTTTCGCTCGTGTGCTCCTGTGTCCCAACAACATCTCTTCTTTCAAGGACATCCTGGAGCGCGCCATGGTGAACTTGTACACTGACAAAGATGTCACGGAACCTGGGACATACATCCACCAGTTCCCGTATCCATGCTACATCCAGGATCAGTAAGTGCTTTAGGACTTGCAGAGTCCTGAGCCCCAGCGCTGTCTCTCCTTTGCATTATATATGCCCTTCTCTGTTTGGCAACAAACTCGGTGGTGCTATCTATCGGGTACTGCTGGCACACTTCTGGTTTACATATAATTGCTAATTTTTTATTCATCACTCTTTCATCATAAGAGTGAATTACGTCTTACATTGCTATAAGTGGCCATTTTCCGAAGATAGCGCATACATTTGAGTTTGCAAATGCTGCGAAACCCGCCGCCTAGTTCAAAACCGAAAGTTGTTGGGGGCTCTTAGCACACTGGCACCACTACGTCTTAACTCGCACGAGAAAGAGCTAATAGATCATATCATAATGAACCACTCTCATTGATTGAAAAGTAATTAGTAACATAATTCAAGCAGGGCAATTGGAAGGTGCACATAATTTGCATTAATTGCTAATGGGATGTGTAGGAATCACTGTGTGCTTTATCTGATATTTTTTTAATGATGCTAAGCCACACGAGGGAACTATGCTTCATGTCTCTATAGCTTTGTGCGAAGGAGTAGCTTCAAGAGCGAACACAATGCTTTGAGCGAGTTTGCTATGTATGCATGCTCGTAAAGTGAAAGCACCATCCAAGACAGCATGCTCATGCTTGCAGCATCAGCTTTGCTTGCACTTCAGGTGAATAGATTATAGTGCTGTGCCTGATTCTTTGAAATATAAAGTAAGATTCACGAGGTATTCTGTGTTTCTTGCAGTGTTAACTTCACATTCTGCAAAAACAAATTTACCTGATTTGTGTTGATGGTATCTCCCATGCAGGTTTCTCTTCATGATTGAGCATGTCATGCCACTATGCATGGCTATATCTTGGGTCTACTCCGTGGCAATGCTGGTCCAGAACGTTGTTTACGAAAAAGAGAAGAGGCTCAAAGAAGTGAGTAACTGGCTCAAGAGCTTTTTAAGGCAGTAGCTTTATAGGGCCAAACAACCTCGGGAGTCACATAAACACGAAATATGTAGGCTTGTCAGTCCGTAATTGCTAAACGATCTTGAAGAAAACAGCAAGTGGTGCCAGGGATTGAATCCCGGTCACCGGTGTGTAAGATGAGCGTGCTGCTGACTGAACTACGGATCCAGGAATGGGAGGAGCAGAAGCAGGTGGTGTGGGAAAGCATGCAGAGTGGAGTGGGGTGGAAAGGGCAAGAAAGAGGGGCAGAAACAGGTGGTGTAGAAAAAGCACGGGGAACGAGGAGGAGTACAAAGGGCAGGAAAGCGTGATCCTCTTCTTTTGGTGACCCAGAATATTCAGTGCAAAGGTTCTGTATCCGGGAGGTGCTGAAGGGAAGTGCATGCAGCGTCACAAAGAGACAAAGGTGTGACATAATGTGTTTCCACACAAAACCGGGCCCTAGGCACCACCTGAACAAAGAGCACCACCCACCCCAGACGCTGAAAGACTGAGGGTCATCCTGTTCTAGGCACCACCCACCTTTAAACATGCTTGTCAGAATGGCCAGACGTGCAGCCAATTTTTTGTTTAACATAACATTGATGAACCTGTCCTTGTTTTGAGCTTTCGTTCATAAGTGGCGTGACTGAATGTCTTTAACTAAACTTGCAGCATTCCTTTCTTTTTCCGTTCCTTCGTCTAATCGTTATATTAGTAAATGAGTAAATAAATTGTGTTGTGTGTTTGTTTAGACAGCGAAAAGATAGTCAGCCTCAGCGGGCATCTTGTGTCGCTGGTGTAGATGAGAAATTTTGCCAGTGCAGTACCACCATCCTGAGGTCTTTAACGTGCATCATGCAGTAGTGATACACAACTGCAAGCCTGTACGATGCTCATCCAGATCAAGACGAGCAGGGTTGGAGGTTGAACCCAGGATCTCGGGGTTCTGCAGGGCAAACTTTCGCTCTACGTGATCCCAGCTGTGGTGCGTTTACACACACGGCCAGCGATCCCCCAATTGTTTTACAGTAATCCCTCGTTATAACGAAGTGAATGGGACGGCAAAAAAATTCGATATAAGCAATAATTAGATAAAGGCGATAAAACCAAAAAACAGTGCCAGCAGCCTTGAAAGTAGACAGGAACACTGGGGAACACTCTGACTGTATATTTAATCAAACAAACCTTGGTTATGAACATAACCAAGGTTTATGAACATGGCCAAGGCATATCACGGCACCTTTCAAGGCATATCACGGCAGCGAGTAAAAAAATAATTAGGTGTAGTTTGCCTATAATTTCATCCAAGCATCAGTTCTCCTCGAGCTGCCCCAGGCATCACAAGAAGACTGTCCCCGCCGCTGCACTCATCCTTGTTTTGAAGCAGCCATAGGATGTTTTGCGTCTGCAGTCGTCGGCGTTTTCCGAGGTGCCTCTCTGACGTTGCTTCGTCTCAGAGAGGCACGTGGCATGTTGTTGCTCTTGCCACAGATGCTGCGATCTACGATTGCAGCATCCATGGCAGGAGAAACAATGGGAATGTCCACATCGACAAGCGCAAACAAATCAAAGTTATCCTCGGTGGCTTTGCCAACATGTTTTCACACAGTCGTGTAGGGATCGTTGTAGCTGTGGAAATCGTGTGCCGGGTCAGCAAGCATGCTTCTGAGTGAAAATCTGACGTGCGCGAAGCAGTTAGCGATCTTTCATCTTTGGGTCGCGGGTGCACTTTCTCCTGCATAAGAAACTTCTCGAATATGCGACTTGGGCCGGCCACTTTCCTCAACCTTGCAGATCTAAGCGAATTTTAGTAAACACCCTCAATCTCCTATTTGCGACTCCAGCGACCTATAGGGGGCGCCTCCACCAAACAAACATGGCGGCTGAGTCCAGGTCGCGTCGGCTCGGCCGGGCCACCTGAATGGGTGGCGCATTCAATTTAACAAATTTTCTTTTGTTGAATGCCCAATTTTATGGGTATTTGAACTGAGACAGTTAAGTGTAGCCGGTGCACATAAACTTGCCGAGCATAGTTTTGTTTTGCCGGTGTTTTTTTTTTTCTTTTCATGTCAAACTTTCATTTAGGAGACTTCGATCAAAACCGAAGCTATGGGCTTAGGAGAAACGGTAATAGACTCTAATTAGTTTTGATCATCTAAGAAAAGCGGCGAGGGCTACAAAATTGTTCCACCGAGAGTAATTTTTAGCTAACTCGCATGCCTCGACCAAGCGACTTATCTGTCCGCGAAATTGAGCTTTTGTGCCAGTCCGCGTTTCAAGAAACAGCTCCAGTCGTGTGCTTGGTCAAGAACACAGGCTGCAGGAAAATTACGAAAATTAGCAAGCGCTTCTTGAGCCAAGGAGTATGTCAACTCCCTGGCACTTCACTAAGCAGCTGATACTCATATTTCAATTCAAGTTTTAGTAGCCAAGGTTTAGTAGCAATCGAGAAGTCATTTTGACGAATATGCGGATTATGTATTATATTACGTACTATGTCCCCTAAAGCGATATTAGTATATTCTTCGGGTTGAAATATGAACTTAGTTAACTAATTATTAGGTGAGCTGCTGAATAAAAGTATATTTGACAGACAGAGAGATACTACTTAAACTTAGCCAAATGGTTTTAGCCGGTTGAACGGAGACAAATGTGGACAAACTGAGGAGAGTCTTCATTGGAGATTCACTCAGACCTCTCTGCATTGAACTTGACTTCGAATCCTGAACGGATAAAATGAGTATTTTTTGTGGCCGGTCAACCTTAGCAATGTAGACGGATATTGCTGCTTGCTTCGACAGGGGTTATAATATAAATATTGGAGGGGCGCGATAGATCCTAATGACGTGACAGCTTCCAACTTTGCGAGACGCGTCCCCCACCTTTTGAAAGCAGATAATTTCCCTCATTAATTATATGCAGCGAGCAAGTTTTCTGAATTAATTAATTGCGAAATTAGCCCAACTCCTTCAATGTGGTCTTTTTCGGCGAAAAGCCGCCAAGATGAATAGCCAACGCACCGGCCGGCGTTAGTGGCTCAAATTAACTTGAAGCTAATCGAGCACAACCAAACTCAAGGAAAGCAGCTATTGAACCTTCCCATTCACTTGACTGCAACATTGGTGTCCCCTCCAGTGAAACGCTTCGTCTGTCGACCTCAGTCCACTGTTCTACATTCTTATCAAGAAACCGCTTATCAGTTACCAAGCAGTCGTCACTTTGAATGTGATTAGAGACAGGTGAGAAATCAAAACGTTTTTCCGTGATTCCTCCTTATCCAAAAAATTGAAAGCACGCGACCGTGTGTTGTGGAGTAAACGGGCTTTCAAACACGTGATGGAAAGAAACAATCTACTGAGGCTTCACCACACTAATGAACACTCAGGCTAAGGTGCTTTTTTACGACACTGAAGTAGGCAGTCACATTCAACAGCTTGAGCTGTTGAACCTCATGTCCGCGTCGCCTTTTTTTTCCCTCGTGCAGCAGATGGGTTAAGAAATTTTCGGACCTTCATCAAATTACATTGCTCGCCTCCGCGCCGACAGCACGCGTCTGCGTGCTGTCGGCTCAACGTCTATACAGGAGAGGGCGCTGCTGTCAAATACGTATATAATCGCGTTAAACTTTGTATGCATTGGCTCAACGTTTATAGATGAGAGGGCGCTGCAGTCAAATGCTCAAATGCGTAAATAACCATGTTCCATACCACAGATTTTCTTTCTGAAATGGATGAAAACGAACGAAAGGCTCGGCATGCTGCGGCTCAGCGTCTACGCAGACAAGCACCACCAGAGCTTCGCCCCAATCAACATCATTCACCACGTGGAGATGCAGTCAATTTTTGGTTTTCGACTTATTGATCATTAAAGTGGCCGAGGCGAAAACCGACATTTCTGACAATAGTCGAGGATTACATGTTTGACCGCTCGCTATTTTTTCTTTTTTCAAAATAAAGCACTACGATTCTTTTGTAACACTTGAAATAGATTTAATTAAACTTAAGGAATATAAAATATTTTATATTTTGGAAAATTTTTTCAAAAATTGTCATAGTGTCATTGTCATAGAAAAGTTTGACAAGTTTTTTTAGTGAGATATGTAGGATATTACATTGATCTTAACATCACCTGAGGGCTCAAATCTAACTCTCTTCAATAAATACAAATTCAATGTTATACCTAAAAAATTAAATATGTTGCATACATTTGAATGAATGAACATTTAGAAAATCTACCCAATTCGAAATCAATGTTTTTAAAAGCCTTATTTTTATTTGTTTAGATTTTATTAGTAGCAAGTCATAATAGTGCTTTATTAGACATTATAAATATAATATATTGTATTTTGTTTATATGACTGGAATTTAAGCTTAGACCTTGTCAGATGTGCATTATAAAACGGTAAGCTTTGTCGCTGAGTAAAATACTCTTTTTTTATTCTGCATTACACACACTTTCACTTATTTTTAAGGTACATGGTTGTGAAAGAATGAATATTATGTGATTAACTGTACTATATGGCACAGTGTTGGCCAGAATAGCATTTTTAGGAACCGGGCAGACCTAATTCAAGCTCCGGTCCAGGGCACTCCTAGTAACGCACGGGTCCATTTCATTGTGAAGCCAGGAAGCTTCTGCCAGTCTCTGCGTCGGCTGTGCGTTGCAGCGGCAGTAGCGGGATAGCGCTGTAATGTCTGAGATCGCTATTTGGCACCAAAAAGCTACAACAATTTTTGCGTGGTCGGCTACAACAGGACATACAAGAACGCGCACATACAAAGCCTTATGGCTTCCCTTTGAAGCCGTACGAGGCGGAGCGCTGCGCGACCTGGGTGAAACTTGTCCATCGATGGAAGTAAGCGACATTTCTCACCTTGCAGTTCACGTTTTGCGTTAAGCCGCTGACGAATTGTATAATTAACGTTTTCTAGCGACGATGGAACAACATAGACACCTACAGCAAACTAAAATATGCAGCAGAAACTTCACCAGCAACGGGAACCGGAATGAGGTCGCTCACCCAATCTACACCCACCCCTGGATGTTTCCATCAGCCTATAGGGAGAAAGTAGTGCTGGGAGTGGGGGATCGGAATGAAATCAATCAGCTGGTTGTTGTCAAGCTCATTTAGAAAGCAAAAAACATACATCTTTAGCAGAGTCCACTCAATGCCACCTGAGAAAACTCTTATGTACTTACGTGAAGCTTGACGTTTTTTGTGGGCGTGCTCAATTTCGCCTGCGAAGTCCAGCACGCCAGGACATACAGTTTTCATTGATACGGACCTTCTTCACGTCATACACAAGGCCAGATTCGTGAAGGAGTTTTCCCTTCACCACGTGGGCACCACGAAGAAGCTTTCCGGATTCGGATTCGTAACCGCCTAAAACCTTGTCGTAATCCACCGAAGAAGCTTTCTGGATTCGTAACCGCCTTACGACAGGGACACTGTCCACTGTGCTATTCATTGCCATTACTTCCTGACGAATCTGCGTCAGCTACCGCTAGGTTACGGCAAGCAATAGGCGACTGCCACCGGCTTGCCCACTTCCTATCCAAGGACACTGTCACAACAAACAATAGGCATCTGCTACCGGCTTACCCACTTCCTATCCAAGGACACTGTCACAACAAACAATAGGCGTCTGCTACCGGCTTGCCCACTTCCTATCCAAGGACACTGTCACAACAAACAATAGGCGTCTGCCACCGGCTTGCCCACTTCCTATCCAAGCACACTGTCACAACAAACAATAGGCGTCTGCCACCGGCTTGCCCACTTCCTATCCAAGGACACTGTCACAACAAACAATAGGCGACTGCCACCGGCTTGCCCACTTCCTATTTAAGGACACTGTCACAACAAACAATAGGCGTCTGCCACCGGCTTGCCCACTTCCTATCCAAGGACACTGTCACAACAAACAATAGGTGACTGCCACCGGCTTGCCCACTTCCTATCCAAGGACACTGTCACAACAAACAATAGGCGTCTGCCACCGGCTTGCCCACTTCCTATCCAAGTACACTGTCACAACAAACAATAGGCGACTGCCACCGGCTTGCCCACTTCCTATCCAAGGACACTGTCACAACAAACAATAGGCGTCTGTCACCGGCTTGCCCACTTCCTATCCAAGGACACTGTCACAACAAACAATAGGCGTCTGCCACCGGCTTGCCCACTTCCTATCCAAGGACACTGTCACAACAAACAATAGGTGTCTGCCTCCGGCTTGCCCACTTCCTATCCAAGGACACTGTCACAACAAACAATAGGCGACTGCCACCGGCTTGCCCACTTCCTATCCAAGGACACTGTCACAACAAACAATAGGCGTCTGCCACCGGCTTGCCCACTTCCTATCCAAGGACACTGTCACAACAAACAATAGGCGTCTGCCACCGGCTTGCCCACTTCCTATCCAAGGACACTGTCACAACAAACAATAGGCGTCTGCCACCGGCTTGCCCACTTCCTATCCAAGGACACTGTCACAACAAACAATATGCGTCTGCCGCCAACTTGATCACTTCCTATCCAAGGACACTCTCACAACAAACAATAGGCGTCTGCCACCGGTTTGCCCACTTCCTATCCAAGGACACTGTCACAACAAACAATAGGCGTCTGCCACTGGCTTGCCCACTTCCTATCCAAGGACACCGTCACAACAAACAATAGGCGACTGCCACTGGCTTGCCCACTTCCTATCCAAGGACACTGTCACAACAAACAATAGGCGTCTGCCACCGGCTTGCCCACTTCCTATCCAAGGACACTGTCACAACAAACAATAGGTGACTGCCACCGGCTTGCCCACTTCCTATCCAAGGACACTGTTACAACAAACAATAGGCGTCTGCCACCGGCTTGCCCACTTCCTATCCAAGGACACTGTCACAACAAACAATAGGCGACTGCCACCGGCTTGCCCACTTCCTATCCAAGGACACTGTCACAACAAACAATAGGCGTCTGCATCTGGCTTGCCCACTTCCTATCCAAGGACACTGTCACAACAAACAATAGGCGACTGCCACCGGCTTTCCCACTTCCTATCCAAGGACACTGTCACAACAAACAATAGGCATCTGCCACCGGCTTACCCACTTCCTATCCAAGGACACTGTCACAACAAACAATAGGCATCTGCCACCGGCTTGCCCACTTCCTATTCAAGGACACTGTCACAACAAACAATAGGCGTCTGCCACTGGCTTGCCCACTTCCTATCCAAGCACACTGTCACAACAAACAATAGGCGTCTGCCACCGGCTTGCCCACTTCCTATCCAAGGACACTGTCACAACAAACAATAGGCGACTGCCACCGGCTTACCCACTTCCTATCCAAGGACACTGTCACAACAAACAATAGGCATCTGCTACTGGCTTGCCCACTTCCTATCCAAGGACACTGTCACAACAAACAATAGGCATCTGCTACTGGCTTGCCCACTTCCTATCCAAGGACACTGTCACAACAAACAATAGGTGTCTGCCACCGGCTTGCCCACTTCCTATCCAAGCACACTGTCACAACAAACAATAGGCATCTGCTACCGGCTTACCCACTTCCTATCCAAGGACACTGTCACAACAAACAATAGGCATCTGCTACCGGCTTGCCCACTTCCTATCCAAGGACACTGTCACAACAAACAATAGGCATCTGCTACCGGCTTGCCCACTTCCTATCCAAGGACACTGTCACAACAAACAATAGGTGTGCCACCGGCTTGCCCACTTCCTATCCAAGCACACTGTCACAACAAACAATAGGCATCTGCTACCGGCTTGCCCACTTCCTATCCAAGGACACTGTCACAACAAACAATAGGCATCTGCTACCGGCTTGCCCACTTCCTATCCAAGGACACTGTCACAACAAACAATAGGCATCTGCTACCGGCTTACCCACTTCCTATCCAAGGACACGGTCACAACAAACAATAGGCATCTGCTACCGGCTTGCCCACTTCCTATCCAAGGACACTGTCACAACAAACAATAGGTGTCTGCCACCGGCTTGCCCACTTCCTATCCAAGCACACTGTCACAACAAACAATAGGCGTCTGCCACCGGCTTGCCCACTTCCTATCCAAGGACACTGTCACAACAAACAATAGGCGTCTTCCACCGGCTTGCCCACTTCCTATCCAAGGACACTGTCACAACAAACAATAGACATCTGCCACCGGCTTGCCCACTTCCTATCCAAGGACACTGTCACAACAAACAATAGGCATCTGCTACCGGCTTGCCCACTTCCTATCCAAGCACACTGTCACAACAAACAATAGGCATCTGCTACCGGCTTACCCACTTCCTATCCAAGGACACTGTCACAACAAACAATAGGCATCTGCTACCGGCTTGCCCACTTCCTATCCAAGGACACTGTCACAACAAACAATAGGCATCTGCTACCGGCTTGCCCACTTCCTATCCGAGGACACTGTCACAACAAACAATAGGTGTCTGCCACCGGCTTGCCCACTTCCTATCCAAGCACACTGTCACAACAAACAATAGGCATCTGCTACCGGCTTGCCCACTTCCTATCCAAGGACACTGTCACAACAAACAATAGGCATCTGCTACCGGCTTGCCCACTTCCTATCCAAGGACACTGTCACAACAAACAATAGGCATCTGCTACCGGCTTACCCACTTCCTATCCAAGGACACTGTCACAACAAACAATAGGCATCTGCTACCGGCTTGCCCACTTCCTATCCAAGGACACTGTCACAACAAACAATAGGCGTCTGCCACCGGCTTGCCCACTTCCTATCCAAGCACACTGTCACAACAAACAATAGGCGTCTGCCACCGGCTTGCCCACTTCCTATCCAAGGACACTGTCACAACAAACAATTTGCAGGATTCAAGCTTTAATTACTGTCATACAAACAAAATACTATTTTCTGTTTCTCTTTGCTGATAAGCTATAATCATACCTTGCTGCTAATAAAATAGAAGGAAATAAAAATTAGGGTTTTTGAGAAAATCAATTTTGAATTTCGTAGATTTTCTAAATGTTTGGTCATTCAAATAATGTATAAAATTTCATTTCATACATCAAATATTGAATTTGTATTCACAAAAAAGAGCAAGATTAGAGCTTTCTTGTGATTTCCAGGTCAATGAAATATCCTACAGGTCACATGTAAAAACTTGCCACACTTTGCTAAAAATGAAGAACTAATTTTGAAATTTTTGAAAAAGTTATTGTAAAAATATATTTTTTTCAATTCCTTAAGCCTAGTAAAATCTATGAGTGTGCCACAAAAGAATACTCATGCTTCATTTTGAGAAATGAGAAAATGGAGAGCGGTGAACCATGGCAATCCCGGACCGGTGGGAGGAACGTCAGTTTTCGCCTCGGCCACCTCGACAGTCAATAACCCGAAAACAAGCAATCCGCCAAGCTTCCAAAACATTTATTTTTTGTGCGAAAATTAAAAGTTTGACCCCACAACCGTGCCTGAATTGAGATGAAAGCACCAAGTAGTAATGTGCAGTTGACAGGGCCGATGAACTTGTCCACTCGTGTAATCTATATCCTTCTTTTCCAGGTGATGAAAACGATGGGCCTCAACAATGCAGTCCACTGGCTTGCCTGGTTCATAACCAGCTTCATTCAAATGACCATCACGGCGGCTGTCCTCACCGCCGTACTCAAATATGGCCGCGTCCTAACCTACAGCAACCCGTTAATTTTCTTCCTCGTTCTTGAGACATTTGTGGTGGCCAACATCACCTTTTCGTGAGTTCTCCCAAAACCCTACCGTGGGGCAATGAGCAAAATCACATTTCTGTACATTATTTTATCTTTTTGGATATTTGGGAAGTAGACTGAGTGAGGATTGCTGTGCTGTCACAATCATTGCTGAGTTATTACACGCCGTAAACAAGCGCTTACTTAAAACTGACCTGTTCTTTTTCATTTAAAATAACTACAGAGAGATTTTCTCAAGGGCAACAATACACAGACCGACCACTAGCCCTTCCCTTTTACCTCGTTATAGGGGGGATTTAATTTCATAAAATCATGAATCGGTACAGCTGGTTCAATTTCCAGTTCTTTTTTATTTAAAAGGGAACGAGCAGTATGGCTATTTTTTCCTTCTGCATATATTTTTAAGAAGAACTGTAGTGGTCATACTTGCTATTTACCTGATGGCAATATAGAACATTGTTTGCTAAGTTAAGTTAAAGGCCGACCTGCAAAACAATTTTCAACCAGGGTGAACATCTTCCTTTCCACCCTTCCCATTTTCTCCTCTCCCAATGTTATCTTGAGGGTGGGGGGACTCGTTTTGTTGCTGCATCTTGGGGCCGGATTAGCCGGTAGCTTATCCCAGCTCATCAACACCCAAGATGCTGAAACAAAATGAGCACCCCCCCCCCCCCCCCGCACCCCCCCCGGTTGTCAAGTTAATTTTAATATATGAACTGAGGCATGTAAATGACAGATTTGTCGCAGCTATCCCAATTGAGGGGATTTATAAATCTACTTGATATATGCAAATATTCTTTCTTCTATTTTAGATATGAAAAAAAAAAAGCATGAATGATGAATGTGGGTTGTCAGGACATTGCTGCTAACGTAACTCTTACACAATTGCAGCGGGTTAGCCCAGAGCCGTCTATAGAGTGAGTTTGGTCAATGGGAGGAGCAGGCAGAGCTTGGGCATGCACAAGATGCACATAGAAGGCTTGACATGCTCTCTTGGCCAACCAGAAGCTGAAAATAATCCCCTAGTAGTGGTAGCGAGAAACGCTTTTAATAAGTGCATAAGAGTTAAATGAAGTAACTCTTCATGGTTGAGAATATAGTTTACCTGATATCTCGATTACGATCATGCTAAAAGATATAAGAATTTAATGTGCCGCTTAAACTCTCTTTTGCTCGGTCAAAGTCTGACCACTCGGACGGCGTTTTCCCTGCCCTCAGCACCTGGCGTACGCATCACGTCAGTCGTTATCCTAGATTTTGATATTTGCAAGACCGTGATCAAAAAATCTTGTGCACCATATTTTTAGTCACTGAGAGTCACTCTGACGCACTTATTAATTTTGTTTCTTGCAACCACCACCGGGTATTATTTGCGACTTCTGGCTGGCCACATTTGAATCTGTGAAGACGCACTGGAACATGCCAAGCCCGCTCTCAGCCAATGGTGCCTCCTCGTTTGCCTCCTATACTCGCCAATGGATGGCCAAACTCTTTCTATATATGGCTCTGGATTAGCTCCGCTCAGTGCGCTTCTCACCGAGCACCTGTGCACTGTGGGAAAGTAATACTCCAGGTGCCCTTGAGCTCCGCGGGTATTGCTTCCCCGCAGTGCACTGTTGCTCGATGAGAAGCGCACTCAACAAGGCTAACCCGCCGCGATCAACGCTTCGAAAAGTATGAATATCGCAGTTGACCTCAAAGTAAATATATAATAGCCTATTATTCGAATATTCACACAACACTAAAAGCCACCCAAACTGTGGTTTTCAGGGTGTAATATTTACTCCCAAAGAAGCCACACTTTAATTCAGGTTCAGTTTCATTTAACTAAACCTTATTAAAGGCTGACCTACAAAATATTTTTCAACTAGGGTGAAAACCCTCCTCGCCACGTTTTCAATTTTCCCCTCTCCCACTCTTAAGTGAGCTTAGAAGTGGAGAGGTGGAAGGTTGGGAACAACCTTCACAAGCTCAGCTGAATTTTCGTTTAGCAAGGTGCATGGCAGGGAAGGCTTGGAGAAACTATTCGTCCAAAACCACTCTTCGCTTTGAACTCAAAATCCACTATTTGCACATGCCTAGCTTGTTTTCTGTGGGCTTATGCTTTCATGGTTTTCCCTTGAAGGTTTCTGGTGAGCGTGCTGTACTCAAAGGCCAAGCTGGCAGCTGCCTGTGCTGGCATCGTGTACTTTCTCACCTACGTACCCTACATGTACATTGCTGTGCGCGAAGAGGCGGCACACAACAACATCCCCGCCTGGCTAAAGAGCCTTGCTGTGAGTAGTACTGGCTCATTGATGGTGTTCCTTTCATATTTAATGGCTGGTGCTAATTGTTGTCTATATGAAGGAACGCTGCACTGACAGGCGTCTTTTACTTTGATGAAAAGGTACCTGATTTTAATGATTGGTCTGACTTTAGCTGTTAGACTTATCAGGGTTGTGCTGGCCATTGCTCAAATCATGGGAGCGTCAGCTGGAAAAGGTACTCTCATAACCATACCAGCAAAAGCAGTTTTGTCGGTTTCACTGCAGTTAGTGTGCCATATTTACTTGTTGAACATAGGCCAATCTTAATGTTTTAAGGAAGAGAAGGAAATTCATACAAATATTTCTTTCACAGCATCCCTAGTCACCGTAGCTAAAACTCATTTATCGTCATCATTAAAATATTCTGGATGGTGAACCACACTGTGGCACTCTTGTGCTGCCTTTCCCACGTCAAGCTTCACTGCTTTGCATAGTGCTTTTGCATCAGGCTTCACTGCTCTTCATCAATGTTCTCGGGGAAGCGGTTGACCAACATAGCATCTCGGTTAGCTTTGTTTGCTCGGAAATATTGCTCACTGTCATAAGTCTAGAACTTTGTTTGATCCCTAGCTCTAAAGGAGAATAAAAAAAAAAAGAAGAAATGGAAGTCAATCTATATATATATTATAAATAAATGTGGTGATTCTTTTTTTTTTCATACATATGGTATAGCCGTGCTTTGGGCAGCCTTCTGTTTTCGTACAATGATGATCAGCACCACTTGTGGCAAAAATAGAATGCATTGGTGTCAGTCCAATCATTGTACAAGGTCTTGAGAGACCAACCACATCGCAGAAAAAGTGGAGTGGATCAGTATGAACCTCGAGCAACACATCTTTTTGTCCTAGCGGTCTGTGCAACTGTTCTGGTTAATGCCTACTCGTCGTCTACCCTGATCCACGAGTGTTTCTGCTTCTCTTCAGGATCGGCTGCCACACTCTTACATAAAATTTCAAATTTAAGTTTTGAGCCTGAAGGCACATTTCTCAAGTTAACGTTATTTGACTCTGCGTTTTTGCAGTCGCTGCTGTCGACGACTGCTTTCGGCTTGGGCGCCAAGTACTTTGCCTTCTACGAGGAAGTGGGCGTCGGAGTGCAGTGGGCCAACCTGAGCATCTCTCCTCTGGAGGACGACGACTTTAGCCTCGGCCACGTGGCCGCCATGATGCTGGTGGATGCGTTCATCTACTCCCTCCTCGTCTGGTACATCGAGAATGTGCACCCCGGTCAGTGGATCCCAGTAACCTCATGAGTTTCCTTCTGAAGGCTTAGCCTACTGTTCATATTCTTAGCCACTCCACTCTGAGATTTAGATAATACACTCGTATAACTTACATTTTTTATTTTTTAATACCATCTCAGAGATGAATACACTACTAAGGCCCAGTGCAGCATTCCTGCATTCGTAAGCAGAGTGATAGCAGGCCTGCATAGCTGCCAAAGCAGATAAGACTTGAGGATGCAGCATAAAAAAAGGATGCAAACAGAAGGTGACAAAGCAAGTATTGAGCATATGACTCCTCTTTGAGAGAAAGAGGAAGATGCAGATCGTCTTAAGACTTAAACATGTAATATATGCAATGTTTTAATCTTTGCTATCTGAGAATCTAGACTTCTATTCTGACCAAGTTGTATATCCACGGCAACTGTAATTGTTGCTAGCTTACTGCCATCCTTTGAAGCAAATGCAAACTAGTCTATTCAAAAGAGACAGTGAAAGAGACTATTTAATTTAATTTTGAATAAAATGAATTGCTTTTTAAGATTGAGCAGCATGTAAATAGATTGCCAATATTTTCCAGTACTTCACCCCAAGATCGGTAACTCTACTAATTCGTCCACTGGTGTTGTCACTGCAGGGTCTTATGGGCTGCCCAGGCCCTGGTATTTTCCGCTGACCCACAGCTACTGGTTTGGGGGCGGCAGGTACGAGGCCGAAGAGGTGAATTCCCTGCGCTCCTTCTGGAGGAAGCTGCTCCGCAAGCACGGAGCTGCGCTCTCAGTCACCGAGGAGGAACAGGCCTGTGCCATCGACAGCAGGATGTGTACGAGCTCCCCCCTTGCATTGCCACATGCTGCTTGTTCCTCTTCGACGCTAGAGTGATTGACGCTCTATTCTCCGATGCTCTTCTGGGTGGTGCCATTTTGGTACTTGCTGTAATATCCCGAGTCATTGCCCACCGCCCTGCCGCCTGAAATTTATAAGAAAAAGGGGGGTGGGCCATGTCTCGGTGGGTAAGCACAAAAAGTGTAGAAAAAGCTAAAAAAAAAAAAAAACAGTTGTTTTCTATGTGTCTAGCACGGCTGCACAGAAGATTCAGTAAACTAAAAACTCGAATTGGTTTCACTGTTTTATACAAGAAATGCTCATAAAAGAATGTTTTACTATTGTGAAGTTGGTTGCTTGACTACGCGTGATGAACACCGTCAATCGGCATACAGCGCAAACGCTTGTTCTGTGAAAGCACGTTTATAAAACCGCTATGTTACCTTTATTAGGCTCCCTAGCCTTTGCTGATCTGTAGATGCGCTAGCATGACCCTTGGGAAATGCCACACGTCCCCCTTTGGGAAATGCTAAAACTGACCCCTTCACTTTTCTGTCTTGGCTTTCTCTTTTGACTTTCTATTTTGCTTCCTCTATTTCTTACTGCCTCTTTCTGGCTTTGTTTATCGTTTGGCAGGGGATCATATGGGACTATTCCAGTGACAAATTAACTTATTTGGGGTAGTAAATTGAATTGACTTTCTTTTTGTCCTTAGTTGGGGTGACAATGGATATCTTTTTTAATCTGTTGGGCACGTTCTGGCATTGGTCAATAGACTCGAAAGAACAAGCTTTTTTTTAATGAGAAGTGGATAGGCACTTGGAGGAAGGCACACAAACAATAGGTGTGGTTGGGTACCTCAGATCCTTGACTGACATTCTTACTGCTGTCAAAATGTTCTCAGATTTTGCATTTCATTGTGGTTCCAGTGGACAGCGGATATTTCGAGCCTGATCCAACAGAGTTGCCCCTTGGAGTTTGCATCGACAATCTCGTGAAGGTAAGTTTGACCTATGGGGCTGTCCATCAGTTTGGCATTTCTTCAACATTGAGTGAAGGTAGGCAATGGATGAGTGAATTTCTGAAACGGGCCAAATTCAGCTCTTGTGGTTTTGAGAAAATTTAATTTTCGTTTAGCAAGTTTGATGACCTGGCAACAAACTAATTAGGTGTTTGGGGTCAGCTGGATCATAAAGGTCTGCGGGAGAAAACTTTGAAAGCTGTGTCACAGATTGTTCTGGAAAATTTGCATAAAAAATACTTTTGCATTGTTTATTTTGCGCTGACTGATGCATAAAAATTAAAGGAATATTTAGGAACTTTATCAGTGCTAGTACAAGATATTTATAACAGGCTGTTTAACTAATCTTTCTCACATATATATTCAATTTTAATGTGCATGCACCTTCAGTAATTCTAAAAAATTTGCGCGGACGATCACGTGACGTGATGTGAATGGACAGTGTCGGCTGGTGCGACATTTCTATGACATTGCGTCGCGATTCACTGGAAATTTTGGTAATGTTGTGTCGTGTGGTATCTCACGTAAACCACAACCGATCACACACAGAACGGCTAACACCAAACACATTCTCGTGGATGCGTGCTGCACAAATTGCTTCGTTTGGTGACATTCTCTTTTATATGTTGCTTCACGTTCACACACAACATGACCTTGTCATCAAATGTGTTCCATCCTAACATCCAAGGTGAGACCGTCGGTGCCTACATATTAATGGCGTTTTCTCTCACGGGTGCCTTTACGCTGTCGAGCAGCCGCTGCTTGCTCTGGCGCAGGCTTCGGTCACCCCATTTTTGCGCGCAAAGGCTTAGAGCGCCGAGGGAACGGGCGAGTGCAGGTGAGAAAGAGCAGGCGGCGAGGAGTGTGACCTCATGACCCCCATCGCGATCACAATTGGCCCATATCGCTGCATCTCGACCGCGACTGTTATCAGCAAAAGGGCAAGGGTATCACTGCTGTACTTGTCCTCTCCCAGCACCAAAGCCACCTGCAATAAACGCGCCCATGCTTCGTTCGTTTTCAGCAACAAGACTTGCCCAGTACAACAAGCCCAGTACAGCTGATGCTGTTAAAAATAAATTGTTGCATGCAGTCAAGCTCACTTGTACTAACTGAATAATGAAGAAGGAATAAACATCTAGGAGGATGACACAAGCAGATCTTTCAACCAGCACTGAGCATATAGGAATTCCAAATGCGAGCAACCGATTTTAAAGGCGGGAAAATCGAAGAAAGGGAAATTAACTAAGAAGTGAAAAAGGAGGAGAGAGATGATAAGATAAAATGCAAACTCAGGTCAGTCAACTTGTTAGTGCAACTTGCTGCACCGTCGGACATGAAAAGAAGTTCATCCAATGCAAAAAGAAGGGGTACTTTATCCCCTTGGAGCTGCAGGAGCCAATGCATAGGTCAGGCTGGAAGGTGCACAAAGCACCGACTCCAGGAACATTACAAGGAAGTTTCAAAGACCTCACCTGATTTCTATCGTACCATAGTCATGCACGCCTGCGCAGACTGCAGGCCCCGCTTTGAAACGACAAGAATCTTGGGGGGGGGGGGGGGGGGGGGGGGGGGACATGGTTGGGAGGTTATGGAGTCATTTGCCATGAACAGCGCAAACAATGTTTCTAATTCCTCACTGTTTCTGATGAAGACTGAAGTTGTATTTGTCAAATCAGAGATGACTCTGTCGACCTGACTGCATTTTATCTTATTGTCTCTCTCCTCTTTCCTCTCTTCTTAGTTAATTTCCCTTTCCTCGATTTTCCCAGCTCTAAAATTGGTTGTGCTCACTTTTGGAATTCCTATATGTTGGTAGTTGAAAGGTGCGGTTGCGCCGTCTTCGTCCTACATGTTTATTCTTTTTTAATTCTTGACTTTCACCGATGCGCTCTTCATCCATTAATTTTACTAACTCATTTCAGATCTACAAGGATGGCAAAAAGCTGGCTGTCAACAGGCTGAGTCTCAACTTGTACGAGGGGCAGATCACCTCCTTCCTTGGACATAATGGAGCTGGAAAAACAACGACTATGTGAGCAATGTCTATGGCAATTTTCACTTGTGACTTTCTGAGCAGTGCTCTGCAAATTTCCAAATGAATGTCGGGGTCACCTTGGCACTATCCAGAACCACTATGCTTCGTGTGAATCGGGCAGTTAGAAGAAAGACCCTCATAAATTGGGTAAAGCATGTAACATGGCAAACGAAGCAGTAATTTTTTTCTAATTTGGATAGAGCTTGATGTTTTCTGTATTGCCTTTAAAATCAGGGGTCAAAGTCTAATCATAACCAAAGAAGGCCGGCGTGCAATAGTCAGCAAAATTTCCGAGACCATCGAGCCGACAGATATGCTCCAAAAGGTCGGCTGTCTCTCCTAGCACACCGGCGCAAGGCAGCGAAGTTTGACGCTCGCGCGCCAACTTGAGGCGACGAACCTTCACTGCTTTGCACCGGTGTGAGGTGGTGGAGCTTGATGCCAGAAACGCAGAATTCTGAAGACAACGTTTGTAAGTTTAGAATATTCTAAACAACTTGACTACTTTGAGCAGTGAAATTGTAGAGCCCTTCCACTTCACGTGAAGATGGAGGACCAGCGAAGCTGTTATCTTCACGACGTCTAGGACGATGTCTAGGACGACATCATAGACAACTTCTAGGACAACCTCGAAGATGATGCTTAGAGGACGACATCTAGGATGACTTAAGGATGACTTCTAGGAAGACCTCGAGGACGATGTCTAGGACAACCTTAAGGACGACTTCTAGGACGAGCTCAAGGACGATGCCTAGGATGACCTCAGATGACCTCAAGGACGACTTCTAGGACGACTCCTAGAGGATGACCTCTCGGATGACTTCTAGGACGACCTCTCGGACGACTTCTAGGATGACCTTGAGGACGCCGCCTAGAGGACGACCTCTTGGACAACATTAGGAAGACTTCTAGGACGACCTTGGGGACAACTTCTGGGACGACCTTGAGGATGACGTCTAGGACGATTTCAAGGCTGACTTCTAGGACAACCTCAAGGGCAATGCCTAGGAATGACAACAATGGATCAGGATCTCACTATCTAATAATATCAAGGAAGGCTGACTCGCACTGGTTGCCCCTCTTTTTGTTTTTATGTATTCATACTTGAACCCTCTTTTTCGTTTTTTTTATTTATTCATACTTGCCATGACCAATGGGCAGTTTTCTGTCAACATGTGTGGACACTTTTTTTTACCAGACCCTAGCGTATAACAGCTTCACTGTAAAAAGCGTGCTGGGAGCCAAATTAAAAAATAAAAAAAAACTGTGTTTCTGTTGTGCTTCTCTGTAGACTACGTCAATATGGTGTTAGGGTTTAATTCTTTCAGCAGACCTTTTCTTACACAAGGCAACCGACTTCGTAAGAGCCCTTACACCCACTCCACCACTTCTTCCTCCTCTCCTGTGATCCCATGGCTCGCTCTCTTAACGCTCCTGCGCCACCGCATCGTCGACTGTCGTGGCACTTGGTCCGTGGCATTTCCCCCTTCTCACAGTGCAATAGCATTTTTGTTTTTTTTATCAAGGCCATGTTCCGCTAATAAAATTGAGATGAACCTCATTCTTTCACTCAGCACCCGGTCGTAGCAGAACAAGCCCACCTTGCTTCTCTGTTCCTAGCCAAACATTGTTCCCTCTTTTACGGCATCTTATTGGCACAACTATCGCGTTAAGTCTCAGTGGACTGCCATGCCTGTTCAGTGATGTCCTCTTCAGTCTGCTCCTTTTAATGTGAAAGCATTAACTGTCCCATGAAGCAAGCTGACGTCATCAGTTTTAAGCTCGAAAACGGCACCTAGTTTCCCTGCTCCGAAAGGTCCCACTGGCTGGCATGCGGCGACGAGGCTCCCATTGGCTGCTGCACCCTTTAGTTTCAACAACCGTTGCCAGATGGTGCTGCGTGTCCGTGCCGCCAGCACGCCGATAAAACTAACCGCCGCAACCTTATGCCACTACAGGCCCTGCGCCGGTTAAAACGGACACATTGGCGTGTGCTCCGAGGCTTCTGCTCGTCTCGCCGCCGACCAACATGCCGTCGCCTCTATCATCCGCATTGTCGGTGGTGCTTCTGCCACAACTCGAAAACATTACTTGCACCACAAAACTCTGCGGATCACTCCGCGGCGTTCTATTGGACATTCAAGCTTTCGCATTCACAACTCGCAAGAAGTGTTTGGGTGTCTTCCGAATTTCGTTTTTAATGCAATAGCTTGCTTTATCTACCCCCCCCCCCCCCTTCCCCCCCTATTTTTTGGACTTTCTGGCCTCCTAATGTGCAGTAGGCATGCACAGTAGACCATTTCAGCTCACATTCTCACACTCCTTCACATTCGCACACTTTTCGAAGGACCTGACGACCTTGATGTTGTCCTAGAGGTTGTTCTTGAGGTTGTCGTAGAAGTCCTTCTTGAGGTCGTTCTAGACATTGTCTTCGACGTCGTTCTCTGGGATGTCATCCTCGACGTTGTCCAAGAGGTCGTTCTTAAAAGCGTCCTAGGGGTCGTTCTTGACCTCATCCTAGAGGTTGTTCTTGAAATTGCCCTAGAGGTTATCCTAGACATTGTCTTTGATGTCGTCCTCGAGGTTGTCTTAGACGAATGGGATAGCAATTCGTAAACAACCAACGATAGTGGTTTCTGCTGCACTTTTTCTTGTGAGGCAATGTGAAAACGACCAGTGCACTTCTAGAAAGCGTATGCCTTCTATCATGGGATGGATGAATGGATGGATGGTTTTGGCTATAGCCTTTGTACAGGGCGCTAGTTTGCATATCCTAGCCTATGAGTATTTACACCTCTCCACTTTAAATTTTGCTATAAATGTCATCTCCCGTTAAGTCATGTACCCACCCCACCAATCTTCTGTATTATCACAATTTTGTAGACCTTCTCCGCCAATCTTGAAACCTTCCTTTTGTGATTGTAATCCTTTGTTTTGTCACTCTTTTGTACTCACCAGCGAAACCCACTGCTCCGACAAAAATTGTTACGGTACTTTTTCAGAGAGGGCTGGACGAAGCTGGTGCACCTCATGACTAGATGTTCTACTATTGCGCTTCCACTACGGCATACAGCACATATGTTCCTACCCCTTGAGGTTCAGCCTTATGCATTACGTCTTTCTCCTTGACACTCCTGGTCTAGCTTCGAGGAGTAAACAACTTTTCTGTGAAGGATCAAACAGCTGTTCCTTTCTTATATCCTGTTTTTGTAGCCTGCAGATTGCTTAAGCTGACTTTACAGCGGAGCTGTTAAGGGCTAGGTTCCCCAGGATCGTGTTTGGTACCAAGCAAATGTCGACTCAAAACTTTGGACTGCTACCACCATCTATGACTGACGATGGCAACCAGACAACCAGCTTGCCGGCCTCGCTCATAAATGGCTGCAACTTTTCCAGCCTTTCCACTCTGGTTTTCACCAAAGTAGAAAAGGCTGCATTTTTCTAGGCGTCGTCCTAGATATCGTCTTTAAGGTCGTCCTAGAGGTTGTCCTTGAGGTTGTCCTATGCGTCATCCTCGAGGTTGTCCGAGAGGTCGTTGTAGAAGCCATCCTTGAGGCCGTCCTAGAAGTCGTCCTAGAATTCATCCTTGAGGTCGTCCTAGACGTTTTCCTCTAGGTCGTCCTAGAAGTTGTCCTGGTTGTCGTCCTCTAGGCGTCGTCCTTGAGGTCGTCCCACCATAGTACAGCTTCTCTGGTCTTCCGTCTTCACCAAAATGGAAAGGCTGAAAGTTTTTAGAGCGTAGCTCTTAGGCGCCCGTTTTCGGCTTCAGCGGCGTCGCCGTCGGTATCGGCGTAACCGCGTGGTGCATTATGGGACGCGTGACGTCACTGGTGACGTTACTGATGACGCCATCAGGTCACGTGACCCCGGCGGAGTCACTTGACCCCGGTGACGTCACGATGACATCATCAGGTCGCGTGACCTCCGTGAGGTCACACAAACAATGTGCCATATTTTCAGGGGTTCCCTCTTTTCGTTGTGAAACACCCTTATTCCGGAGTTGTCACTGCTAGAACTTGGGCCAAAGATGTCCCCTTCCATAAGTCTTAGTCCCTCTAATGTATTTCGGATATTTGCCACGATTACTGTGACCTCTTTCGAAAGTGTGCCCTCTGTTATCTCACAAGAACATGCGGATAAAAGACGCTTTTTAAAGCCACGTGCTCGCTCCTCTTTGTCAGCACTGCAGATGTCTGAGGTGGAGCATACAAGCTGCATAATCCCTGCACAATGGCGGATGCAGGCGCGAGCTCCTTACGTACAATTGCACCTTGATTGCACGAGCGCATCAGCAGCTGGAGCAAAAGTGGGAGCTATACCCACTGGAGCAACTTGCACAATCTGCGGCGAATTAAATGTTATCGCAATTAATAACTACCACTTCCCCAGCCTCCTTGTTAGTGCAACGATTGAACATCGGGCTCACACTCTTGGGGCCCTCAATTCGATTCTCCTTGAAAGATTTTCGAAATTTTGTTTTGTCTTCTTAATTTATTCAGTTACCACCATCCTGCTCATGCTCATTCATTTCATGTAACAGAGCAGGATTTTTCCTGGGGGGGCTGGGTTCTGAAAGAAATGCTCTTGCATTTAGTGACAAACACTTTTCAGAAATCATTAGAAGTTTTGAATATTCGGATGCTTCTGCCAGCCGGGTGAGCACAGAACTGTTCTTAAGTGCTCTCTTTGTGGTGTTCGCAGGTCAATATTGACAGGACTGTTCCCACCAACGTCTGGCTATGCCCTGATCTATGGGCGCGACATCCGCACAGAGATGGACGTCATCCGGCAAAACATGGGCATGTGTCCTCAGCACAATGTGCTCTTTGACGAGTGAGTACTTTGAGTTGTTCTGGCGAGTTCTTCCTCAAACAACTGGGAAAATGTTTGATCTTTCATTGTGCTCAAGGAAATCACATCCTCCGAGAGAGAGGAGCATTTATAAAACACTCTGTAACTGATCATTCCCACCCAGAGCCGTATATGAAGAGAGTTTGGTCAGTCTATGATCTCGCCGCCGTAACGCTCTCCTCCCAAGTGAGCCAATCAGCATGCGGCGTAGAGCAAGAGGCATGAGCGCATGCGCGTGAGCTCCCGGCTGCTCCCATCTGAGTGGGGAGAGACGCCATCTTCGATCATTCTCCCGGCAGAATGCGTGGGATCGGCATCTAAATCTCGATTATTGCTTTTTATATCGCTGGCTCTGGCAAGAAAATGACATTCTGTTATTCCTTGGTGGGTTAAAAAGCTAATAAATGAAAATTTTTCAGCGTTTGGCCACAAACCTTTATTCAGGTGAAAAAAAAGTCGGCCCGTAGCAGACAACACGTAGCCTCAGCAGTGCTCTTCTCCGACAGCGTTGCGAAAAAATGGCGGTCGTCTCTTCTTTGCTCCCTTCTTTCTCTCTCGCTCCTTCGGCGCTCTCCTCCCTTTCATTTACTTTTCTCCTCTCCGGCGCCTTCGTCGCCACACCCACTGGCCAAACTCTTCCAATATACGTCTCTGTTCCCACCAAGTCAAATGTGAAACTTCAGTTAAAATTTTACCTCTCTTTCGTTGCCGCAGACTGACAGTGGAGGAGCACCTTTGGTTCTATGCCCGGCTCAAGCAAACCCCAGACAGCAACATCAAGGACGAGACCGATAAGTAATGCAAAAGTTTCTTTACCCAAATCATGTTTGTATGCAAGCAACACTGCCATCATTTTCAGTGATGCTGCCCCCTCACTGCTTGATCTTTAACAAAGGAGCTTTTTATCAGCGTGACTGAGTTGTCACCAAATAATATTTTTGTCAAGATCTGCTTGAATGTAGAGAGCGTCCGGTTAGAGCTGTTGTATTTTGGCACGATGAGTTACCTCTTTTGCAGCACATCATTTATACTTTCAGTGTCGTAACAGATGTCTCAATGAGCGCTTTATGTTTTGTGATGCCCTCTGAGCACTTGCAATGCAGAGTGAAAACTGACTTCCTGTGTCCGTACCACCAGGATCATTCAAGATCTGAGTCTGCCACTGAAGAGGCACAGCAAGGTGGACTGCCTCTCTGGAGGCATGAAGCGCAAGCTCTCGGTGGCCATTGCCTTCGTGGGTGGCTCGCATGTGGTCATCCTCGATGAGCCCACTGCCGGCGTGGACCCGTACTCACGGAGGGCCATTTGGGACCTCATTCTCAAATACAAGAAAGGTTAGAATCCCTTTTTGTGTTGGTTCCTGAGAGCTTTTGCTGCAGCAGTCTATAATTATCTTCATGAATTTTGTTACACATTGAGCAGTAATTAATCTCATAGTTCAAAGCAAAGTGGCCACAGTTGTGTTTTCGTGCAAAGGTTAGGTTTCTGCTTAGCTTTTGCATGAAGGCTGTAGGTACACACACACACACAAAATTTTAATTCAGAACACCCCTGGCGCTTTGCAGTCTTGTAGCTGTTGAAACCGGTATGCACTCAGTGGTGTCCATACAACTTTCCCACGTTTTTGTAACTGATTTGTATAGTTTGTGTGCTTTATTGCAAAGGCCTTTCAGCCATTGGTAATTGCATTATAGAAATAAATCAATAAAAGAAACAAATATTGCAGAGCGCACAATCCTGCTGTCAACCCACCACATGGACGAGGCAGACGTGCTGGGGGACCGCATTGCGGTCATCTCGCACGGGCAGCTGCGCTGCTGTGGAACATCCCTGTTCCTCAAAAACAACCTGGGCAAGGGCTACCACCTGACCCTGGTCAAGCAGCCCCCACAACACCACTCAGGGGACTGTGGAGTGGGTGAGTTGTCCTTCTTTGCTCTCTTCTGGCCGGTTCAACAGAATCTGCTTTTACATTTTGTAGAGGGATTGGTTGTTTTTATAAAAATGGAACGTGTTGCAAACCCTGCGAAAGGTTGCTTTTTTTTTTATAGCCCCAAAATAGAAAGGGGCTGCATGCCCTAGTAGTACTTACATGTTAAAATATGTAAAGCTTGTAAAGAAGTCTGACCTTTGCATTGTACATAATGCAACACTGTTAGCACAAACAAGCTACCAGTGGCTTTTCCTGTTCTACTCCTAAAATTGAATTATCATCATCAAAAGTATGTACTACTATGGTAATGCTTACTCGGAAGTCTAACCTAAGCGATAAAATTTTTTGCTCATCAAAAGCTTGTAGTGTTGTGCGGATATTTGATATTTTGAATAGTAGTTTCGATTAATACACTATTCAATATTTGCTTTAAGATGAATTGCGATATTTAAAATTTTGAGTAGTAGTTTCGATTAATACACTGTTCAATATTTACTTTAAGATAAATTGCGATATTTGTATTTTTCGAACTGTTGATCGCGGCGAGGGGGGGGGGGTGGGTGGGGGTTAGCCCTTGTTGCATGCGCTTCTTACCGAGCACCGCTGTGCTGCGGGGAAGCTCAACTCGCAAAAGCGAGCTCCACAGGTGTTGTTTCTTCACAGTGCATGGGTGCTCAATGAGAAGCACAATCAAGGGTTTAAACTGCTGAGGTCAACACTTGGAAAAGTATGAATATCGCAATTGCATGCTTGGGACAGAAGCACACTTTCAAAGTGGAATAGTACATGTGCACACATGGTGTATTTAAAAAGAAACAAACTTTCTGAATGTTGAAATCTACTTCACAGTAAAATTTTCAAAATTAAGCTGTGTCTATTGTGCAAGAGCACCGTATTTACACGAATGTAGGTCGACCCATTTTTCAATTTTTGAAAATGTGAAGTGGAGGGTCGACTTACAAGCGAACTAAAGCATTCTGCCGTCGACAAAAATGAAATGATTGCGATATCAAGAACACCTCGGCTTGTTACGAGTTCAGCCGGCTGTACCTGTAACATTGCGCTGCTCTGTGCACTCATTTTACAAGTTCTTAATTTTTTTTCAATTTGCACAAATGAGTGTTATTGATAGCGATTCGCAAATTAGCCCAAATGTACGGCGGTGAACGGTGCACGGCGCACCCGACTCCCGGGGGTGGCGGAACTTCTTGTAAGAGTCACTCCGGGGGCTGCTGGAACAGCCTCATGCCTCACTCCCCGCGGCTTCTTTTCGCAGTCGCAAGTCGTTTGATCGAGTGTCAAGATCGTGCTGGAGCGCCATCTACATTTTTTTGTATTGACATGCGTGATCCGGGCAGTTTAGGTTTTCAGTGCTCGTTTATGGCCATTCTTCATCCAGAAGCAACCAATAACTGCGCTGCTAAATGCAAGTTCGACCCGTTGGAGCGGGTGGTGCTCCAGTGGAGTCTGCAATGGCACGGGATCTTAACTGGTGGCGAATGACGAGCCGTCCACGTGCCAAAGTCTGGATAGGTGGCGATACCTTCCGGAGTGGGAGGTCAGGCTTGTAACGTACACCGCAAAAGTGTGATATCAGTCCCTACCTGTGACGTGCAACACGATCATGGAGCAAGCACGGAAGATGCAGTTGATGCTGTCATTTGCGAAGTGCGAGATTTTGTTGGACGACACCAACGATGTGCTTTGAGAACATAGCAGAAATGACTATGGGACTGACATCATCAGTGCAGACAAATTGTAGTCTAGTCGTGGACAGAGTGAGAATGACAGGGAGCAGCTTCAGTTGTCCCGCCTCCAGCATGAGCTTCCTAGTTTTGATAATGCCTGGGCATCTCAAGCGCCTTGCACGGGCATGCGCAGCCCAAGCACGCAAGAAGGCATCGATCGCGTGCAGAAGGCTGAGCTTTCGAAAGAGATACCCTGCCATTCTCATGTGTTCGCCGTAAAATGCGCCTCCAAAGATTTTTTTTTGCTGATGTGTAATGTGTGGGGGGGGAGGGACTTACAGTTGTGTAAATAGGGGCCCTGATAACCTGCAATCGTCAATTGGGATTTTTTTTTAATTCAAGTTTGAAGATAGAATATTTGCATATAGCAAAATTGACAAATCCAGTCAATTAGGTATAGCTAGGCATCTCTGTGGGTTTAATTTTATATAAAATTCGTTGTTTAAATGCCATCCCAAGGCATTGGACTTTCCAAGGTCACAGTCCATGAATACAGTTATATTAAAATTAGCTTATAAATGGGCAAGTGGAAGCTTGGGAAGAACATTCACAAGTTTAGTTGAGTTTACATTCATAGCATGATGCAACAGTAGTTAAAGGCTTGAAGAAACTATTTAATGATCGATTAGAAAATATTCATCCAAAATCACTGTGCTTCGAATTTGTCTCGAATTCAAAACCGCTATTCTCACATGACTAATAGATTGATTGTACTTAGTAAAATGGAAAAAGTGCCATCAACATGTTCATGCTAGCTGTGTTGCAGAGTGTGCAAGAGGCAACATTTCTGTCTATGTTTACAGTGACAGACCTTTTGATGATTGCTGTACCACGGAAAGTGAAGTGGTGCAGTTACGTGTGGCAACGAAAATATAAAATAGCTATGTCAACTTGTAGCACTACTGAAAGTAACCTTCAATTGTTGTTAGCCATTCTGTTTTCTCATGATAAAATAACTGACTTTGACTTGCTTCGAAAAGGGGGGCAACTTTCATTTTGCTACTGTTTTCTTTTTGTCAGAGAAAAACTAGACATTACCTGAGACGCTTGTGTGGAGGAAACCATGCAATTTCGAAGATGACGTTTTAACTGACAAAGAATATCCAATTTCTATGAAGTATACTTCCTTGCTGTCATAATTAGATGTTTTGAGTGGGCTCTTGTGTGTGTTTGAGAACATTTGTGCTCAAGTACAGGTGATGATAGTTTGAGGGAAGTTAGGTGTCACATGCTAGATGTGGCCTGTGTGTTTTTAGGCACTTTTATGATCCTGCTGACCTGAGTTTGAGAAAGGCCCGTTGCCTTCATTGTGTGTGCGCAGAGAGCTGCGAAAGGGCGGTGACGAGCTTCATCCGCCGGCACGTGGAGACTGCATCGTTGGTGTCGGAGACGCAGCATGAGCTGCACTACATTCTGCCGCTGCTGGAGCTGAGGAAGGGCAGCTTTGAGAAGCTCTTCTCAGCCCTGGAGGCGAGCCTGGGCTTCCTAGGCATCTCCAGCTACGGCATCAAGAACACCACCCTGGAGGAGGTCTTCCTCAAGGTGGCCGAAGAGGCCAGCCGCTCGGACTCCGAGAGTGAGCTGCCCTCCTTCAGCTTGGCTATGGGGCTTTTGCAGTAATGGCACCCTGGTATTGCCTTTCGTGCCATGTCTGGAGTAAAAGTAATTGCATTGTGTGCTTGTTCAAACAACCGGAAGTTTGTCAGCCCCAAGGGCATCTGGTTTCTCTTCTGTGGATGAGATATCTAGACAGTGCAGAACGACTGCAATCGTGTGGTCTTTTAGGTGTGTCACACAGTAGAGATATACATTTGCATGCTGGTACGATGCTTACCCAGATCAAAAAGGGGGCAAGGGTTGGGATCAGGGGCGGATTTAGAGGGGGTGTCCGGATGTCCTGACCCCTCTCTTGATTTTTACATGTGTAAAATTTAGGACGTAAAACAGGGGAGAGAGAAGGAGGGGGTTCCTAAACATATGGTACGCTGACCAACACCTGACCTCCCCCCTCAGGAAATTCCTGCATCTGCCCCTGGTTGGGATTGAACCCAGGATCCCTGGGATCTGCCACTGAGCTTTTTCTCCATGCACTCCGAGGTGCAATGCTTGACCTTTTGAAGCTCAAGCTTTTTTTCTTCAAAAGACGTATTCCAATCGTTTCTTTTTTTTTTCTTAAAAAGGAGAGCACTAAAAGTAAATCAATGCACAGTTTTTTGTTTTTTTTTATTGTCTGTTGGCAGCACATATAGTGCGTGCAAGCCACTCAGATTAAGAAAGCATCGAAGTAAAATATTGAGGACGAAAATTTGTCGCCATTCTTTCATTCGGTTTTTTCGCGTGTCCACTTCCAATCAACATTCTGGTGGTCTCAAATTCTGAGCTGGATGTACTTTGGAGAACTTTTGCATTGGATGACTAGTTTTAATTTCCCGATTTTCATTCTGAGAAGCGTTGGAAGTCTGAATAAAAAAAGCCAACAGGCAAAGCAGCCTCCTCCAGTGTATCACTTGAGCAGAGTGTCGACATTTGAAGCTATAAGTAGCCCCAGCAAAGTGAAACATGGTGCAAATGAAACAAATATAGTTCCCCAAAGACACAACAAATAGCAACACCTAATTGGGTGTTGCTGTTTGTTTTGTGTCTAGGCAGGAACTTTCAAATTCATAATCGTCGCCGTACATGTACAGTCGCGCCCGTCAAAGGGTTAGCACATTTGGCCACCAATCTCCTGGGGTCTTTATTGTGCTTTATACAGGAGTATCATTGTCCTTTAATATTAAGGGTCAAACTTTAGTCAGAACCAAATGGGGTTGACCTACAGTAGTGAGCAAACTTTTCCAAGCACGGTAATCCTACCAACGTGCTCCGACACGTCTGCTGTTCCTTTAAGTACACCGGTGCAAAGCAATGTAACTTCGTGCGCTTACACTGATGCGAAGCAGTGAAGCTCGATGCCAGAATACTGTCTTCAAATTTTCGCTTAAAGAGCCCCGGAAAAAAAAAAGATGTTTCTTGTAAACAATCTAATTGCGACATGCGCATCCAAAAAAAATTTTTATGCGGAAAAAAAAAAAAAAAATTTTAAAGCAATATTGACGGTGTGAAATTTATTTGAAATTCTGCACGCAAAGTTATGACTAGGGATGTCGCGAACCACCCTAGGTTCGATTTCGAAAGGTTTCGATATTTGCGAAGCGAACTGAGGTTCGATTTAGAAAAATTTCGATATTTTCGTACCGACCGAGGTTCGATTTCGAAAAATTCGCAACTTTTGACCACAGCGGAGTTTCGAATTCGAAAATTTCGAAGCTTTCACGGTTTCTAAAATTTCGAATTCGAATATTTCGAATATTTTTTTACTTCAGGTTCGATAAATTCGAAGATTTCGAAATTCTTTGTAAAAAAAAAAATTCGAAAACTTCGAACGCTTCAAATTTTTATAGACATGAAGTTCGAACAATTCGAAGATTTCGAATTTCTTTTTGCATAAAGTTCGAAAAGTTCGAAGGTTTCAATTCTCTTTTAAAGCTAAATTAAAAAAAAAAAAAAAAAAAAAACTTCGAAGATTTTGAATTTTTTTCTAATCCAAGTTTTCAAAGTTCGAAGTCCGATTTTCAAGTTTTTCCACAGTTTCAGTTTCAAATAACGTTTTCACGACTCACTTGTTTTCACAAAATCAAGTTTAGAAAAGTTAGGGTGTGATATCTAGATTCTGCGAAGTTGGTCAGGCAATTAAATGAGACGACGAGTGTCCCGGACGTGCTGGAATATTTGCCAGTGCAGAATTGTGAACGCCAGCCCCGGGGGGGGGGGGGGGGGGTCTTTAATCTGCATCACGCAGTAGTGATTGCACGAACACACTGTTTTACGAGACTCATCCAGTTCGAAACGGCCAGGGGCGAGCAGGAGGTTGAGGTGGAGAAAAATCTTGAAGCGACCTGGCAAACTAGCTCGCCACCCCTTGCATGCTGGTAGTAATCCGATCCGGTGAAGTTTATGATTGTCCTGGAGGTTTATTTTCTGGGACGGAGGAATCGCCTCGCAAAAAGCACGAAGCCGACACAACTCGAGGTCGAGGAGCGTTCTACCATACAAGTGGCGTCGGAAGAGGAAAAACGGGGGGAAAGAGGGTAGCGGGGGGGGGGTGCTTCAGCCTCCTTCTCCCCCTTGCAGGTATTTCGGACTGTTAAAGAAAACAATACGGGGAAAGAGGGCGTGGTCGAGCTTATTTTAATCTGAAATTATTTATGCATATGTATTGCTACTGTTGCTCTTCACTGCATAGAAGGTTGCGTAGATGGTCATTGTTAGAAACTCGTTGTCAGAAGGCACTGCTCGTCACATGCTTAGTGGTTCGGAAGTTCAAAGCTGTCTTTTCGACCTAAACACCTGTGCCAATAGTAACAAAAAAAAAAAAAAAGAATAAATGCGGGAATAAAAAGCAGGAGAAAAAAAATACTATCAAGAATTCGTCGGAAGTGTTCTATTCTTGCATATTCAGAGGTTCAAAACTTCGAAACAAGTTTCTTTTACCAAAATGTGTACAGGCTAAAAGAAACACGTCCCAAAAACGTGAAGCGAAAAAAAACAATTTTTTTTTCTTTTAATGACGTGCTGAACTTGAACACTATTAGAAATCTTCTCCCATGAGTTAATTTATTCCTTAACGTGAAAAAAACAATAAATATATTATTTTGTATTCTGCAGATGGCAAAGATATGTACTGTCTGTGGTGTTAATTTAAATGCGATACCTCAAACAACTTAGACGAAAGTAAATATCAAGTTTAGGTCATAATTGCAAGCAGATACATGTTTGGACATTTCTTCGAAACTCATGTTGAATAACAATAATCACATCTTAAGACGGCACTTACCTAGGCTATACATAGATCATTCTTAAAAAAAGTATAACATATCTACCATAAATAGCTCCGGCTGCAGCGTGCTTCAAATCTTTCACAAACGATAATCGTCAAAAACCCGTCGTCCTCCCTCGCCCCTTCGGGGATTTATTTCTTTAAACCTAAGCATGCCAGAACATTGAAATAAACGACATTGTCTTTCGTAAGGAACGCAGCACCGCGTGTAAAAGTTCGAGAAAAAAAAATTACGAATGTACCCCACTACTTGAAATCAAATGAAATCGTCCGCCGGTCTTTCGAAGTTCGACGAACGTCGAACTTTTACCCTAAAAGTTCGAAGTTCGTCGAACTTCTGACTTTTCAGAATTCGAAAGTTCGAAACTTTTCGAATTATCTTGATAAATAAGTTCGAAAGTTCGAAATTCATCGAAGTTTTTGGTCAGTCAAGTTCGAAAGTTCGACAAGCATCGAACCTTGCAGCGCAATAAGTTCGAAAGTTCGAAAAAAATCGAATTTTTTAGCGTAATAAGTTTGACGGTTCGAAAAGCGTCGAACTTCTTAGCTTAACAAGTTCGAAAATTCGACCTCCGTCGAATTTTACGATATAGACAATTCGAAAAATCGAAATCTTTCGAACCTTTCGAACCGCTTGATTCGATCATCAAAACTTCGATTCGAAAAAAGTTCGCGGCATCCCTAGTTATGACTTCAAAGAATAGTCATTCACTCTTTTGACCTCAACGTGAAGGCAAAGCCGATACACCTCTCCTTCACGCACCCGAAATGCCAAGAAAGGAAACAAGTGGAATAGAGGTGACTACCGACTAAATCACTTCTCATGCCGTCAATATTGCTCTTAAAAAAAATGTTTTTGGCATTTTTTCAGTTTAAGGGATTCTAGCGACATTATATATGACTTTCTAATACTATTAGAAAAACTAGAATACTTTGAAGAGTAAAAGTGTGCCACAAATCAAATAAATAGCAACCACTGTTTGCAAATTACTGGAAGTTTAAAGTATTCACATATTTTTAATTAAGATTTATACCCTTCGTTCAAAGATATTGGTATGAAAAACATATTTTGGTGGACTTTTAGCCTTTTCATCCTGTGGAAAGCTATACCTTTGATGAAACGAAGTGTCTTAAGAAGTCCAACTAATTTCGTGTAGCAGTGCAAGCGAAGGAGTTGTATTGAGACTTGAAGTCATATTTGTTTACAACTAAAGCATTAATTGCAGCCCTGTTAGGTTAATGGCATCCCACGTCTGTTGCGTGCCTTTTCTCCCAGGCTTCGATGAGCCCCCGAAGAAGCCAGAGGTCGTTTCTTCATCGAGGTCAAGCCGCGCGCCCTGTGCGGAGGAGAAACAGCCACTGACGGATTTCGGGTACAGCCTGAGCGAGCTGTCCAGTGGTGCTGGCGATGAGGCTGGCCAGTGGAACGGATTCTCGAGCCTGGGTGTGCATTGCTTTTTTTTTTTAATCGAGTCTCGCGAGCTGCATCGTTATGGCATCTGGCATCTGGCAAAATGGAAATCCAAGGCTTCAGTTTTTTTTTCTTCTGAATATCAAATAGCTTTTTTTACCCTATTGACCTTTGGAAGTCTGTTTTTATTCAGCTAGATTTTTTTTCACTTTCAAAGCACCCGCTTTTTTTTATATGAGAACTTTGGAAGCTGGTTGTGGCCAACTGGTTTCACATTGAGGTTATACATTGATAGATAACAAAACCTTCTTGTTCGAACGGGCCGTTTGAAAAAAATCTCTCGAGTGAAGGTATTGCAACAACAGAAATTTACTGCTTGACATTTTGGGAAAGTTTAAGTTCTTCCACGTCACTTTAATTGCTGAGCCCATTTTGATAAAGGGTGTCTCTCTGCACATTTTGGTCTGCACTACGGCTGGGCAGGACCAAGTTGTGCATGGAAACACCAAGTCTCGATCTCGATTATTTGCTTGTGCATCGTGTTCTTTAGTGGGGAGACTGCCCTTTCAAGACACACGCACACACACACAATGTGGGAATGTCTGCACACAAGCACACTCACCTCTGCCCACTTTACAACTATTCCCCCTCCACCTGCACCCTACCTCCCAAGAGAGTTGACTTGCCCCACCAAAAGACCACTAACCTGACCTACTGCCAATCCCGATCCAGTACGTTCACAACGTGCTTGGGAAAGGGTGGTAGATCTACTGCTCGAGCGCCGGACACGGTGTTTGCCCAACAGTAAAGATTTTCCTTCTCTCTTTTTCTCTAGGAGAGGAGGTGACGGGCAGCTGGGAGGGCAGCGGCCAGCGGGTGGAGGGCAAGCTATTGCTGCTGCAGCAGCTGAGTGCCATCCTGCTCAAGCGCTACTACTGCACCCGGCGCAACTGGAAGGGCCTCTTCTCCCAGATCCTGCTGCCCGCCTTCTTTGTGGGCGTGGCCATGTCGGTGGCCCTCACGGCGCCCCACGTGGAGGACCCCCCTCCCCTCGTCCTGTCCCCCTCGCGCTACTACAACTACACCCAGCCCAGGGGCAATGTGGTACCTTACGCCTTCCGGGACCACCCCAGGCCCAGGCAAGTCTCCTTCCCGTGGGGCCGCTGCTTTTTCGAGTGGAATGCTTGTATGGGACACAGTTGGATTTAAGAGGGGGAGGGGCGAGCGTCCCCCTGAGCCCCGCAAGGTGTACTTTTTATACAGCAGTAGCGGTTAGTGCCCTTTTCCGGCAAAAAATGCTTACTATGTATGAATGCAAAAATCTGCTCTACAACAGAGGCACTGCTCTCCTAATCCCCATTGTTCCTCACAAGCTTTTTCTGACCACTACAGGTGTCACGTGGTCCACTAGAGTTATGTGACCATATGACCACTACAAGTGCCATGTAGTCCCCTAGAGTTACGTGATCATGCTGCTCAATCACTGGGACTTTGAGAATATTTGAATTTCCAAATATTAGTTTCTAGTAATATGCTTCTCAATATTTGCTTCGAGATGAACTGCAATATTAATGTTTTTCGAAATGTTGATCAAGGTGGGTTAGCTCCGTTGAGTGTGCTTATTACTGAGTACCGATGCACTGTGGAGAAGCAATGCCCCCGGAGCTCACTTCCGTGGGTGTTGCTTCTCTGCAGTGCACCGGTGCTCAAAAGCAACATGCTCAACGGACTAACTGCCGTGATGAGCATTTAGAAAATTAGGAATATTCCAGTTGCATGCTTATTTATTTATTTATTTATTTGTTTATCTCCCCTCAGAGCCAAAGCAATTGCAGAGAGGAGTTAATTTTTTATTTTTTTTTTTAAGGAGGGACATGGGCTTAAATTGAATATTTAATTTATTTATGTTTTTTTTTTAATTTTGAGGTTTTTAGTTTTAGAAATTATACACCCTTACATTAAATTTGATAACCATATGCCAAAAAGTTATGTTGATATAAAATATTTTCGACACATCGTGAGGCAGTAACAAATAAAGGAGTTCAATGTTGGAATGCATTTTTCTCAGTTCCACTTTTAGCTGCAAATTTCATACGAAGGAATCTTTTGTTCAAAGGTAAAAGTATTCTGATACCACAATAAAGATGTTTCTGAGCTGAAATTTACTGTGGAATTGGGCTATCTACCTTTCTACTTTTTTTGTTGTTTTAAGTTGAACTCCTCATTGAAAAAAAAACTAGGTTTTCAAAAATTTACATAGGACAGATATGCATCTCATATATTGAGATAATAATCCTTCCTGAAATATTTTCATTTAAGTTATAAAAACTAGATAGCCCTAAGTCTCACATCCCCCGCTTTATATTCGAGCAGTCAAAATATTGCTTATTAGATTCATTTGCATATCATAGATGTTCTAATAAAGAGTGATGCATCTTCATATGCAGGTATGTAAAGTTGTCCTAGATAGCTGGAAGTTACAGTGCACCTACATCTGACGATAAATCTCCCCTGCAAATTTCATTCTAATCGCTTGAGTAGTTCAGTAGTTCAGAAGCACACAACAGCATGGTGAACTAAAATAGCTGCTCATTGAAGTAATACAGGTTAATCACGGCATTTCTAAAACTGTTAGTGTCAGTGATTTTTGGCAACAGGCATGGGAAGGTTATTTCAGTTCAAGGAGGTGTTGGGAATAAAAGAATGATAATATGAGTTTGTCCTGCAGGATGGAATGCCAACGTTGTACCTATGATTGGTGCACGCTGAGAGGTAATGAGGTATATGTGGCTGGGCACCTCTATAGATTTATTTTTGTGTCAAAAGCGTCATTTACTTGCCATTCAAATGTAGGCCTTGGACTTTGTGAGGTCACAATCTACATGTATAGCTAGTTTAAAATTAACGTACCTTAGACATGGACTAAAGTTTGGGATCAACCTTCACAAATTCAGCTGGGTTTTTATTTAATAGTTGATATTTGATACACGATCAGAAAATATTTGACCAAAACCACCATTTCCTTTTAATTTAATTTGAACACAAAATCCACTATTTGCACATGCCTACTGGTCACATTTGCGTAATGATTATCAATTTAGTGAGAAAGCATTCTGCACATCTTCAACTTTATTTGTAGCATCAAGATTTTTAAATTCATAGCATTTATAAGGCCAACTTTTAGCACCTTAGAATCCCAGTCTGGGATGTAGACTCGTAGAGCGTGCATCGCAGAGCATGCAGACGGCGAATAATCTTGGAGCGGGAACTTGCCTTGATGTAAGCTCGGTGACAGCGAAGTGGACTACGCATACTTCGAAAGCTCCTGCTTCTATGCTTTGTGTATACCAGCAAAATGGTGCAGGAGGGACAGTGGCAGGCACAGTAGGGTAAAGAGGGAAGGGCAAGGGACGGGGCTGCAAAACGAGAGCGCCAGTCCTCGCAGCGACAGGAAGCCAGTTGACATTTAACGGCAATCGACCTGCAGTTCAAGCACCAGTTCATGGACAATCCGTTCAGTGCCGTGTGTAAGGTATGCAATACACTGATTTTGAGTGGACGTGAGCAACGATCCGACCTTTGGGAAATTCCCCCCAAAAAGAGCCAATTTTTATAGTTCTACTAGTCCCAAAAAGAGTATTGTTAAGTGTCCCCGTCGTCTTTTTTTCAGGTGGGACTCGGATGCGGATGCCCGCCAGTTGGCCATGACTCTGCGTCTGCCATCGGGTGTAGGGGCCACATGCGTGCTGCTGTGGCCCATCAACGAGACTATTGGGATTCCCGTGCAGCCGTCTCAGGCCAACTACTCGGACCGTTCACTGGACTTGGACGCCTTTGAGCCCGAGTGTCGCAGCGTGTTCGTCCCGGGACTGCCCCTGGACAATTTCGTGCCCCCGTTGCCCACTCCCGAGAGCCCCACGGGGACGGAGTCTGAGGAGGGAATTGCGCTGTCGGGGACGTCATCTGTCGCGCGGCACAGCTGTGAGTAGGACCGTGTCGGTTTATGACTTCTGCAAAAGTACCGCATGTATATCTGATCATCTGATACTGCATCATCTCGTGACTTGTATGGTTACTATGTGAAATTTCGCCAGACACTGTTTTGTATAATGCAGCTCAATTGCAACATCTTCATAAAGATTCAGTTCCTATTCTGACGAAAACCTAAACTTTGTTCTATGGCATACTTTACAGTGAAAGCTACAAGGTTTTTTTGAAGTGTTAACTCTTTAGCTGGTGCATTGTTTAGCAGGCTGAATAATAATGATAATAAGCCATTCTCCAAGCTACAGTGAGATTAGTAGTTAGGAAGAATGAAAACATCTAAGAACCCTTGCAAAGGTCATCATGAACACTTCAAGTAGATAGGTGAGTGCAGGAAGCGATATCCCATGTGTGTAGGTGTGGGAGTAGTAGATAAAGCTGATTTGACCATTTTAGAGCTACACACCATGCAGCATTAAAAGGGCCTGTAATTTTGACAGTGATATATAGCACATGACATGTGAAGTGGAGGAGAAAAAACAAGCATGCAAGCATTGATCGGATTGTTGATACCATAAGCCTGTGCTTGACTTGCATGGCCAAGCTATTTTTGGATTAATATAAGAAAGCCAAATGTCCGTTGTTTCCGTTCCCCGGCTTCAACTATGCACCGCGTGGGTAAGGAATAGACCAGCGATCATTTGCTGATGCCCCTTCCTTCTTTCGTCAGAAACTTTGTTGTGCTGCACAGTACACATTTTTTTAACCATGACTTTTGATTTTTGCACACAGCAAAGCATGTGAAGAGTGGCCAGGAGCGCTTCTATCCTTACTGCCAGTGTTCTTCGGACAAGACGAACTACGTCTGTGAGACGCACGGCTACCGCGACCCCCCGATGTTCCAGGCCCTCACAGGCGACATCCTGCTCGACATCAGCAGCCAGAACGAGCACGAGTATTACCTGTACACCACGGACATGTACCGTCTCCGCAGGTAAGGGGGCGCCCCCAACTGAACCATTCAATTATGACCGAGGTCTTATAATCTTCACTACCATGTGAAGGATTAAGCTGATTGAGCTTGCTGGCAAAATTTGCGGGAAATCTTTATTCGTTTTGCTTAGACTACGGGGACAGTTTTGCTTCTTTCAGAGTGTCACATATAGTTCTCGGTTCTGAGATGTGAGTCCCCTCAACTCAAATTTGTGCTTAATTTTTGCCCTTTCTGTTGGTGTCTCCAAGACTTAAGGGGCAAGGTAAAAACTAACTGTGTAAAGAAAAAAATCACGTGGAGGTATAAAAAGAAAACGAAAGGCATGCGAGTTTGATAAAAGAATGAACGAACGAAAAGATTGCCATTATGTGCAAGTGCATGCAAATTCTATCTGCATTATTGTGACTTGTTTTTGTTGTATTCTTGCACGTTGCTTATGAATAAGTTTGCACAACCCTATATTTGTGTTTCTACCACTTTGAAGCACTTTATTTTTACTTGTATATGTCCTGTCAATCATAATCTGATTTTTTTTTTGTCTTTAAGGTACGGAGCATTCTCCTTTGGCCTTTCTCGGGCCTACGTTCCTCCATCTTTTGGCAAGGATGCTCCTGCACTGTTTCAGAAGATTGCGGTCCGTGAAGTGGCCAAGGTAATTTCAATTAATTAAGCAAACAGGTACCATATTTACATGATTGTAAGTCACATTGCCCATCAGCAAAAACAAATAGTAAAAAATTTTTGAGGCACATTTTACAGCGAACAGGGTATCTCTTTCGATAGCCCAGCCTCCAGCACGCGATCGATGTCTTCTCATGCTTTCACTGCGCATGCACGCACGAGGCGCGTGAGATGCTTAGGCATTATTGGAACTACGAGGCTCATGCTGGAGCTGCTCCCTGTCATTCTCACTCTGTCCACGACTAGAGACTATGATTCGTCTGCACTGGTGCTGTCAGTCTCGTCGTCATCACTGCTACATTTTCAAAGCAGGTCGTTGGCGTCGTCCAACAAAATCTCGCACTGCGTAAATGACAGCATCAACCGTATCTTCTGCGCTTGCTCGGTGATTGCGTTGCACATCATTGCACCCATTGCGCACTTCTGCGGCGTACGTTGCAAGCCTGACCTCTAACTTCGGAAGGAATCCCCACCTTTCCAGTCTTCGGCCCGCGGAAGCCTCTTCGTTTGCTGTCACAGATAAGATCCCGCGTTATAGCAGACTCCACTGGAGCACCACCCGCTCTGACGAGCCAAACTTTGTATACAGCGGTGCAGTTGGTTGCTTCTGGGTGAAGGATGACCACGAACGAGCACTGAAAACCTGAACTACCCTGATCATGCGTGCCAATACAAATAAAACTTTCAGCCTTTCCACTTCGGTGAAGAAGGAAGAGCAGTGGAGCTGTAGCTTCTGTTCTCGGTGGTAACTTTCCAGGCGAGCAATCTGCTCTTCTTTCACAAGGGAATCTAAAGCTCTCGACGCACTGGAACTTTAGGCGATGGCGGCCTCACAGTGGCTGCGGATCCATTCGCGCTGCTGCGCACATCGCCGCCTGTTCTGTTCCCACTCTTTTTCCTCCGAAGGAATGTTGCTGCCATCCATGAGCGACGGCAGCAACCAGTTGTTTGCCGAGGCTGAAAGGGTTGCTGCAATCTATGAGCGACGGCGGCAAGCAGACAACCAGCAAACACAACACTCTATACAGCTACCGCAATCTATGAGCGACCGTGGCAACCAGAGTGTTGTGTCGACCTCGGGTGTCGACATTCGTTCGGTACCGGACACGATCTTGGGGAAACTAGCTGTTCAGGTTCTTGGGGAAACCTGAACAGCTCCACTGTAAAAACATAGTTGCTGCTCCAGCATGATCTCGACACTTGATCAAACGACATGCGACCGTGAATCGTGCGAAAAACTGCGAAAAAAAGTTGTGTGGAGTGAGGCGTGAGGCTGTTCCGGCCACCATTACGGAGTGGCACTTATAAGAAGTACTATCACCCCCAGGAGTCGGGCGCGCCGTGCGCTGTTCAGCTCTGTACATTCGGGCTAATTTACAAATCGCTATCAATAATACTTGTTCGCACAAATTTTAAAAAGTAAAAAATCATTCCCTTCTGTGACGGTGGATGAGCAGCGAAGCTGTTTAGCAGACGACACAGACCCCACAGACCCCACCCTGAGGAGCTTGAGGAAACTAGACACGCACGATGGGACCGCCACCCGGTGGAAAGTAGACACGTGCGACGGGGCCGCCACCCTGGGAGAGCGGAAGGAAAGGAAACAAGGCACGCATGCGCCTGGATTGACAACAAAGAGGGCGGTACAAGAGTAGACATGGCCGACACGGGTTGACAGCGGCAAATCTTTGAGAAACCTTTAGTATCGACCTGAGAGTCTACTGATCTTGAATATGATGCCTATTGATAACTAATCTACTGAATAGACCTACTGCTAAATTACCCAAGCATCGAGGAGAATGCAGAAAATGGCTTTCCACGTGCTGCAGATGCCGGCGTCTGCAGCAGTAACTGTTCTAAAGCAAAGGAATAAAACAAATGGCATCTTGCACACGCATTCGTCGACGCTTTATTTTGGTTATTTACTTTGAATCTTTTATACGGGGAAGGCGTGCGCATGCGATGCGTGCGACAGTGCGAGCGCAGAGTTTTTAGTCACTGCACACGAAAAATCTACGAAACCCTAGTTATAAACAGCTTCGCTGTAAAATGTATGTTTACATTCACGCAACAATTCCTTGTAAATATTCTGCTGAGCAGGAGGAATGCTTAAGCGAGGCTTCCAATGTATTTGTTTTTTTTAAATTCCTGAACAGCCTTTATTTTTGTTGGAAAGGCGACGAAGCAATTTATTGAACCATGGCTTAAGTGTATTAGATCGGATGGTTACACAGGTAACGTGACGTTCGACAAGTTAAATTAATTTGCACCTAAATAAATTCCAATTTTCATTAGCATTATGGTTATCAAAATTCTCACTGAAAGAAACAAAGTAGTCAGAGAGTTGGCGATTAATATTTTCTTTTGAATACAGACTGATTTTGGCTGCTTAATATCAATGAAACAATGTAGCACTTGATGATCACTAATGCCATTAACAGAAGATAATGACTTCACTAGGCAAGGCTCAGTACTAAGCACTAAATCAAGAATATTTGAGCAGCCGTCAGTGATTCATGTAGGGAAAGAAACTAGCTGGGTGAGCTTAAAGAAAAGGCACAAGTCAATAAAATCGTAATTTACATTTGCTTCCCCTGAACAACTTGGCGGCGAGGTGAATTGCTTGTTCAGCAATTCACCTCGCCGCTTGTTCATCAAAGCTCACGCGTGATCAGATATGGGGCATTTTGAGAGTGTTACCTGGCTGACTCTACCCTCAGTGTGTTTCTTTTCTTTGTTTGTGACGCAGGTCTGGTACAACAATAAAGGATACCATGCCATGCCCACCTACGTGAACAGCATCAATAATGCTATCTTGAGGGCAAATCTCCCACCTGAAAAAGGGCATCCTTCTGCTTACGGTAAGCATATTTCATTGTTACTTCGACATCTCTTATTATGTTCGAATGCTGCCCATGCCTTGGGATAGAATGGCTTCATATGCTCGCAGTTTATTTTGTCTGCCGCCATACTTCTTGAGATTCCATTTGTTTCTTAGAGAAAGTGCAGGTTTTTGAAGTTAATTATTGTAGTGACTCTCTTAGTTAACACACCTTAATGATTCAGAGATCCACTAATGATGATGTCATGTGCAGGCATACTAGGTGATATTCGCGACTCCAGCAAAACGGACGCCACCAAGCGGGAAAACCGGGAACCAGTCGGACCAGGTCGCTCCGCGCCCCTCCGCGTCCCTGGTAGCTTTCGCGGACACGTGTTGTCGGCGCGGTGGCGAACAATGTAATTTGACGAAGATCCGAAAATTTCTTAAGTTTTCCTGAGTGTTCATTAGTGTGGTGAAGCCTCAGTAGATTGTTTCCTTCCATCACGTGTTTGAAAGCCCGTTTACTCCACAACATACGGTCGCGTGCTTTCGATTTCTTGGATGGGGAGGAACCACGGAAAAACGTTTGGTTTCTTGTCTATCTCGAATCACATTCAAAGTGACGAGTACATGGTAACTGATAAGGGGTTTCTTTATAAGGATGTAGAACAGTGGACTGAGGACGACAGACGAGGATTTCACTGGAGGGAACACCAATGTTGCAGTCAAGTGAATGGGAAGGTTTGATAGCTGCTTTTCTTGAGTTTGGTCGTGTTCGATTAGCTTCAGGTGTGAGCCACCCACGCCGGTCGGTGCGTTGGCTACTTTTCGCCGAAAAAGCCTCTGAACCACACTGAAGGAGTTGGGCTGATATCGCAGTTACTTGATTCAGGAAAACCTGCTCGCTGCAAATGATGAATGAGTGGGGGACGAGTCTCGCAACGTTAGAAGCTGTCACGGCATTTTGATCTATCGCGCCTCCAATATTTATATTATACCCCTGTCGAAGCCAGCAGCAATATACGTCTACATTGCTCAGGTTGACCGGCCACAAACAATACTAATTTTCTCCGTTCAGGATTCGAAGCAAAGTTCAATGCAGAGAGGTTCTGCGTGAATCTCCGATGACGACTCTCTTCAGTTTGTCTCCGTGCTGCCGGCTAGAACCATTTGGCTAAGTTTAAGTGGCGGCTCTCTGTCTGTCAAATATACTTTTATTCAGCAGTTCACCTAATAGCTAGTCAACGAAGCTCATATTTCAACCCGAAGAATATACTAATATTGCTTTAGTGGGACATAGTATGTAACATAATACATAACCCCCTCGTCAAAATGACTTCTCGATTGCTACTAAAACCTGGATTGAAATACGAGTATCAGCTGCTTAGTGGGGCGCCGGCGGGTTAACATGGTCCTTGGCTCAAGAAGCGCTTGCTTAATTTTCGTAATTTTCCTGCAGCCTGTGTTGTTGACCGAGCAGACGACTGGAGCTGTTTCTTAAACGCGGATACACGCAAAAGCTCGATTTCGCGAACAGATAAGTCGCATGGTCGAGGCATGCGAGTTAGCTGAAAATTACTTTTGGTGGAACAATTCTGTAGTTATCGCAGCTTTCCTTAGATAATCAAAACTGATTAGTATATTACAGTCTCTCCGGAGCCCATGGTTTCGGTTTTGAACGAAATCTCCGAAACGAAAGTTTTACATGAAAAGAACAAAAAGCACCGAAAAAAAAACAACAACTATGCTTTGCAAGTTTACCGTAATATCCCGAGTCATCGCCCATCCCCGAGCCATCGCCCACCCCATTTTTTGGGCCAATATCGATTTCCGAAAAAACACCGAGTCATCGCCCACCCCTTCAAATACCCCAGCGCGGACTCAGCGATCCGTGAACACTCAAGCTACCCGAATGACGCGGCCGCGGACCTTACAGTTGGAGGACGTCCGTGACAAAGTAAAACGAAGGAGGGAAAGACACTTCTTTTTGTTTACGCATTTCCTCCGTGAGCGACCCCAAAGTGGTTGTGTATCCGTGCGAAAAGAAAACGATGGAGATAACAAAATAAGAGTTTGTTAACGTAACCGCGGAGTGTTAGGTCAGTCTGTCTCCGCCGAAGTAAGGTCACCGCGAACCCGCTCCTTCTTCCCGCCCGTCGCGACCGCGGTTGTGCAATATTTTAGGCAAAGCCAACGCGTAAATAAAGCTTTGCTGGAACGTAGACGTTTGCAGAGCGTCCCAACCGTGCATTGATAGCCCGCCGTGCACCGACGCACGTATGTACGCACCAAACAAGAAAGTTGCGCAAGAGCTTGTAATTGACAAGGCGCCCGACTTGGCCCGACGCCAAAGTATTTGCCAACACGACCGCCGACTTTCCCGCTTTCCCAGCATTGCTCTTGGTCGCTTCTTTGGTCTGCTCGCTCGCTCGCTCGTTGCGCCTGGTTGGTTTTTCCATTTTCTTGTAGACTTTTCTTTCTTTTTTTTTTTTTACTAACTAGGAGAACATAGTGGTGACATTCTTTCGCGGAACAAACGTTCGCGCTATATGCAGATCGGCGGTGTTTCTAGCGCGTATGCAAGCAACGGACTTCGCTATAGTAAAATATTCTTTATTGAGCATTTTTTTCTATAAAACAATGAAACTAAATCGAGTTTTGAGTTTGATGTATCTCTTGTGCATCAGCGCTAGATACGCAGAGAAAAATAGGCGTTTTTTTCCGCTTTTTTTCAATTGTTTGTGCTCACCCACCGAGACATGGCCCACCCCACTTTTTTATGAATTTCAGGCGGTAGGGGGGTGGGCGATGACTCGGGATATTACGGTATGTGCACTGGCTACATTTAACCGTCTCAGTTCAAATACCTATAAAATTGGGCATTAAACAAAAGAAAATCTGTTGAATTGAACGCGCCACCTGTTCAGGCGGCCCGGCCGAGCCGATGCGACCTGGACTCAGCCGCCATGTTTGTTTAGTGGTGGCGCCCCCTATAGGTCGCTGGAGTCGTGAATTGTCTCAGACATGATGGACAACGAATGTTAAGAGTCCTGCTCCTCGGTGGTGTTAATTCTTTCTTTTTTAATTCAAAGGCCGACATACACTTCGCACTTTCCACTTTTCCTTGCTTCCTCCTTAGTTATATCCTCCCCACCTTTCTCCTTGGCCCAACATGGCTCCCCTCGCAGCTTAGGAGAGGACGCACTAACAGGATTATCAATTATCTCCCTTGCAGAAATTCGAGGTTGCATGTTGGCCTCTCACTTAATTTTCCACTCTCCCTTGCTTTGCTGTAATGCAAAGCGAGGGATGCATTATATATATCCGATGTGTTATATGCAAAGGAAAACAAATTGCTCATTATTTATGTGGGTCTGTTAGTTACACATAAATATAATGACTCAAGCTTCTTTTTGTACGTGCAAATCAAGCTTAGTAGTGAATTCTCTGCATTTTTGTTTCTCTTTTAGGCATCACCGTGATCAACCACCCCATGACAGACACTTCGTTCCTGCTCTCGAAGGATCAAATGTAATTTCCGCTTCTCAACGGCAGCGTTTGCGCACAGTCTTTACGTCGGTGAACCCGCATCTCTCGTTTAAACTTTTCAGCCTCCAAGGAACGGATGTGCTCATCGCCATCTTTATTATTGTGGCCATGTCCTTCGTGCCGGCCAGCTTCGTCCTGTTCCTGGTGTATGAGCGCTACACCAAGGCCAAGCACCTGCAGATTGTAAGCGGTGTCAACCCCATCGTGTACTGGCTGGCCAACTACTTCTGGGACATTGTAAGTGCTGCCGCTTGCTATACTCCCTATAGTTATCCACAGGATGGGAATGGCACGGAGGAGTTTCAGTCGTCCCACCTCCAATGCGAGTTACTTGCATTCGACGATGCCTCAGCATCTCGTGAGCCATGGCTGCACGGGCACACACGTGCAGCCATGGCGCAGCAAAAGGCAACGCATGCATGCTGAGGCAGGGCGTTTGAAACAGATGCCCTGCCATTTTCGCCTTGTCAGTGGCAATAGTCGGGCGTTCTCAAAAGCTTTAATCTCTGGGACTGCCTGTCTTTCTCGGTTGACGGCCATGAAACCTCTCCAAACCCTAGCATTGAAGCAGCAAAGCACTGCAGAGGTTTACAGGCATTGTAAACAGTAATGCGGACAATAGAGAAGTGCTTGGTTTGTGGTTACGCATCAGTGGATGGCTCATATATTTTTTAAAGGGACACTAAAGTGGAATCTAAGATTGTCTATTTATTGTGATAACTCAATCCGCGGGCTCTAAGCATCCTAGAAGACCCGAAATTGCAATCAAGAGCAGCTGATTTCCCTCTTAAAAATCCAGTGAAAGATTGTGCCACACCCCCCCTTTCTGTGCTATGGTGCAAAACACCAGGGGAGCCGTTGGACGGGAAGGCAGCAGGGGAGGGCGCTGACAGACAACCACTAGTGACTGCTTTCTGGTGGACTTCTATAATATATAATATAATTGTTCTGTGTATGTTTATACAGCCGGAAGTTAATTTGCCTTAGTCTGTCTGGTGTCTCAGCTGTACATGAGCAATTTAGCCAGTGCAGTACAACCGCTAGCCTGGGTGTACCGCACTGGCTAAATTGCTCATCTACAGCTGAGACACCAGATGCCCGGCGATGTCTGGTTTCTTTTCGAATTTTCAAATACGCACACATTAGAAAAACAATTGTAGAGCCCTTCCGCTTCACTAAAGATAGAGGACCAGCGAAGCTGTTATCTTTACGACGTCTAGGACGATGCCTAGAGGACGGCGTCTAGGACGACCTCTGGGATGACCTCGAGGATGACGTTTAGAAGACAACCTCAAGGACGACTTCTAGGACGTTGCTAGGACGACCTCTCGGACAACCTCAAGGACGACTTCTGGGACGACCTCGAGGATGACTTCCAGGAAGACCTCAAGGATGACTTTTAGGATGATGCCTAGAGGACGACCTCTGAAGACGACCTTAAGGACGACTTCTCGGGACGACCTCAAGGACGGCTTTTAGGATCACCTCAAGGATGACTTCTAGGACGACCTTGAGGACAACATCTAGGGAGACCTAAAGGACGACCTCGAGGATGACACCTAGGACCACCTCTCAAACGACCTCAAGGGCGGCACCTAGGACGACCTCGAGGATGATGCCTAGAAATGATAACACTATCTAATAATGCCAAGGAAGGCTGAGTCACGCTGTTTGCCCCCTCTTTTTGTTTCTATTTATTCATACTTGATACCTCTTTTTGTTTATTTATTCATACTTGCCACGACCAATGGGGAGTTTTCTGTCGACATGTGAGGACACATTTTTTCCCAGACCCTAGTGTATAACAGCTTCGCTGTAAAATCCGTCCGCTGTCACTCATGGTTGTCTGTCACGCGCCCTCCCCTGCTGCCCTCCTGTCCAATGGCCCACCCTGGTGTTCTACGCCACGGTGCAGAAAGCAGGCGTGGCACAAACTTGATCAAATTTTTAATAGGGAAATTGGCCGTTCTTGAATGTAATTTTGGGTATTTTAGGATGAGCCCGTAGACTGAGTTATGACAATAAATAGACTATCTCAGAATCCACTTGAGTGCTCTTTTAAGGGGGGACAAAAACCTAAATACAATTTTTTTTTTTTAATTTTCAGTTTTGAGGTTTTGGTTTAAGAATATAATTATGAACCCTTACACTAAGTTTGATAACCATACACCAAATAGTTATGTTAATATAATATACTTTCAGCACATCGTGAGGCAGTAACAAAGTAAAGGAGTTCAATGTTGGAATGCAGTTTTTAGGGGCGAAGCTCCTTAGGGTCTAGCCTTGTCCGTCCGTCTGGCCGGCTGGCGTCCGTGCTCACATAAAAAGAAAAATGTTTGCGCAGTCGACAGGATTCGAACCTGTGCGGGGAGACCCCCATGGATATTTAGTCCATCGCCTTAACCACTCGGCCACGACTGCGGGACGAGTAGGGGCCTCTGAGATGTTGTAGTAACTCAAGAGCTGGGGTCTCTGTCATGGATGAAACGTAGCATGTAGCCACTCAGCATCTATACAGGAGAGGGCGCTGCGGTCCTTAATGCATATATAATTGAGTTAAACTTTGCACGCATTGGCTCAACGTTTATAGACGAAAGGGCACTGCGTTCAAATACTCAAATGCGTATATAAGCATGTTCCATACCACACATTCTCTTTCTGACATGGGCCGTTGACTTAAGCGGTAGAGATGCGTTCCCACGGCTTCTAGCGGATCCATGCTGATCCTCTAGAAGAACCACTGGCTCTGCATTTCACCGACTGTAAAGCAGTAATAATGAAGTTAAAACGCAACCCTGAACTCAGCACTACCTATGAGCAATAAAAAAAATCAGCACCATCAGCATACCTATGAACAATAAAATCAGTATCATCAGCACCACCAGAGCTTCGCCCCAATCAACATCATTCACCACGTGGAGATGCGGCAATTTTTTTCAGTTCCACTTTTTGCTGCAAATTTCATATGAAGGAATCTTTTGTTCAAAGGTAAAAGTATTCTGACACCACAATCAAGATGTTTCTGAACTGAAATTTACTGGGGAATGGGCCTATCTACTTTACATTGTTTTAAGCTGAAGTCCTCATTGAGAAATAAACATGTTTTCAAAAATTGACATTGGACAGATATGCATCTCATATTTTGAGGTAATAACTCTTCCTGAAATATTTACATTTGAGTTATAAAAACTAGATAGCCCCAAGTCCCACATCCCCCACTTTATATTGAAGCAGTCAAAATGGTGCTTAATGGCATAGATTTCTTAACAAAGAACGACACATCTTCTTGTTCAGGTATGTAAAGATGTCCTAGCGAGCTAAAATTTTACACAGTACACCCACACCTGACATTATGTCTCTCCTGCAAATTTTATTCCGTTCACTTGAGTAGTTCAGAAGTTCAACCTCTAGCCAGTGTTTCCATTTAAAGGGCAAGTCCACTCAATTTCGTAAATTTTGGGATTATGAGTGATATTACATGAAAAAGCACAAATAAAAGGCACTACGTCATTCGCTTTGCGAAAAATGGGATGTATTTGTGAAATTTTACTTTAAACATGAGCAGAAACCGAAACATCGGCTCCGTCCGGCAACATTGACTTCGGGCCGCCAAAAATAGACGATTTCATTTAGCGCTCTCAGGGTGGCGCCATTTCGTTAGACCGTAGCGCCCTCTCCACACATCCGGGAAGTTCAGCAGGTTCGGCGGGGTAAAACGAGAGAGAGGGCACGCGCCCGACTCCGTTAGCAGACAACAAACCATGAGGTTGCCGTCCTCGATCTTTGGGTTGTACCGGCGGGCTGTACCGGCGGGCTGTACCGAACATTGGACTCTCGCTCGTGGCTGCTGTCATAAAGTGGTTCACATTCTTAGAATATTTATGGCTACTCCAAAATCAGCCTATAGCATTCTGTTGTTTTATTTCAGTAAATGATAAACTAGCGTATCTTTGTTCCGTTACTTCAATAGCAGTGAAGTCAGCTGGCACCTCAACCACTGCGTCATCGCGCCAGGAGAGCATGTTTTTATTTATTATTCCAGAATTCCACTCATTGTCGCTAAAGGCCTACACCAGTACGAACTTTGTATAGTAAAATAGCTACAGCAACCGGATTTACTTTTCGCCGGAGTGACCAGCCACTCTGACACAGTTTTTCCTTTTTAGGGGCGAAGCTCCTTAGGGTCTAGCCTTGTCCGTCGAGCGTCCGTGCTCACATCGATTGCCATCCCATCTGTCTTCTTTAAAAAAGAAAAAATGTTTGTGCAATCGACAGGATTCGAACCTATGCGGGGAGACCCCAATGGATTTCCAGTCCATCGCCTTAACCACTCGGCCACGACTGCGGGACGGGTAGGGGCCTCTGAGATGTGGTAGTAACTCAAGAGCTGGGGTCTCTGTCATGGATGAAACGTTGCATGTAGCCGCTCAACATCTATACAGGAGAGGGCGCTGCGGTCAGATGCGTATATAATCGCGTTAAACTTTGTATGCATTGGCTCAAGGTTTTTAGACGAGAGGGCGCTGCGGTAAAATGCTCAACTGCATATTATATAACCACGATCCATACCACACATTCTCTTTCTGACATGGACCGTTGACTTAAGCAGTGGAGATGCGTTCCCATGGCTTCTAGCGGATCCAAGCTGATCCGCTGGAAGAACCACTGGCTCTGCATTTCACCGACCATAAAGCAGTAATGAAGTCGAAACATAACCCGGATTTCAGCACTACCTATGAGCAATAAAAAAAAACAGCACCATCAGCACTATCTATGAACAAAAGTCAGTATCATCAGCACCACCAGAGCTTTGCCCCAATCAGCATCATTCACCACGTAGAGATGCGGTCATATTTTTTTTGTTTGCACGCAGTTAACATTGCAAATAGACTCGGTTTGTCTTTTTATCAAGCATAGCATTATACAATAACTTGCATATTAAAATCCGTGCATCTGCGCTAGAAATTTCCAAAATGACGCGATTTTAATTAAACCGAGTTTGAACGCCAGCTGGATGTTAGGTACAGCCCACACAGCGGAGCAGACGATGTGCGAGGTGAGAGGGGGAAGGCATTTTTTTCTCTCTCCGCTCTTCCTAGTGGAATGGTCTATAGACCTTTTCATCCTCCTCCGCATGGGCGCTGCCATCTTGGAATCACGTGACGCGGCAGCCATTTGGTTGCTTCAACTTGCTCCTCTGCTCTCCCCTCCGCACCTTGGCGGATGCGTTGTATCCGTGTTTTTCGTTGCTTTTCACCGCGCTTTCTGGCCTTGCTTCGGAAACTGTAGTCCGATATGTCTACTCGACGACTAAAGCACCACGAGAATTTATAGGTTCTTATGTTAACTGTGGTTTGTTTAGTAATAGTAACGGAACATTCCCAGTAAGAAGCGCGTATAATTATATCGCGCATTTAGGATCGGAAGGCGTCAAGAATAGTCAGCGCAAGGGGACTATCGTTATTTCCTGAAAGTATCGTTCTTTGTATTCATAACATATCGAAAATAGTTGCTTTTGATTATGTGAGGAAACTCGCGGAGGAGATGGACAACCAATGTTTAACTTGTATTTTATGTGACGCTAGAAGTAATGGTACGTCAACATCAGGCGAATTGTTTGTTCATAATATCACACCTACATGTTGATGAGGTTCTCAATCTTTTTTTGCGACATGAATATTCGGTTGGTCGGTTTACTTATGAAGTTTAAGAAATTGTATACCGTGCTCGCTTCCATTTCGACAGTCATTTAAGTGATTTATTGATTATATTTAGATAACCAGTGTCATCCACTCAATTTATTTTAACACAAAGGTTGGGACTTCCCGCGTAAGAAACTGCCACAGACACTTAACGGTAGCGAGTTTTAGAATAGCGTGCACAAAGAAATAACGCCGTTTCTATTTGCAAATCCAAAACGCGGTTTGGGTTCGGCGAGCATGCTCAATAACGACGACGCTTTTTTTTTTTTTTTTGCGTACGCGGTTTTAGTTTTTGTGCGTATCTAAAATCCGCAATATTTTACGCAAAAAAAAAAAAAGAGCCGTTCGCATAACAATTTTTTTAGTCCAGGATTGTCGATGGTGCGTAGAGGTTTACTTTTGGTGGCTGGCGACGCCTAAATTTAGAGAGCGAATCTGTTCAAAAAAATTAATATTTGTTCACACAGGTTCGTAAAGTGGTGCCTAGCGCTGGAATTCAGCCAAACTATGCGAGGCATTTCTCTTCCTGAGCCCTTTAATTTTATTTGGCCACTTTAACGGAAGACAAATGCCAGATTTAATTTGACGGGCCTGTCACTTATATCTTGAGTAAGCAATGTTCATATAAAAATTATTTATTTCCTAGGGCCAATATCGCGAAATGCTGCTTATGAGTACTTTAGCAGGGTTGACAATTTAAGAAACTTCCTACTCAGCATGTCAAAGCATGCTCGAGTACTGGATTAAAAAAAAAAAAATAGGCCGAGGCGATGCTACTCCTTTATACCATTTATCTGCGTCATTACACGAAAGGTTTTATTCTGCGAAGTTCACTAAAGGTTGGGTGCCCACGAAACCGAACAGTGAGTAGTAAACTCGCGAGTTCATCTGTTCTGGCCGATTCAGGACATTGCTGATCAAGCTGTCGATATGCTTATTTATATTCACATGTTAGTCTCTTCATTGTTTTGTTTTTCTGGAAACTGGTGTCATCGGGTACGGCTGTATACGATGGTAATTTCCCCTGTACACCAGTCAGGCGTTTCGCAATTGACCATAATCAGCTACATCAAAGGAGTGGGTAAACAAAAAGCCCACAATTTAGGCTAAGGTACATCTCGTAGTCCTCAAGGTGACTCCATACCATTGTTTCATTTGTTGTGTGCTACAAGGAAACTAATCGAATCACAAAATTAAGCAAAAACAACGTAAAACAGCAACACAGCCGCGTTCACGTTGAAACCGAAACAGACCAAAGTGAAGCAACCTGATGGCGCCGAGTGTGTCAGCGCCCTCTATCCACCGGTGAGGCAACTAATAAAATGAAAAGGTCTATATGGCTACCACATGGTACGAGCACTCATCTGATCCTGCGACGAAGGGCAGGATCGGAGCGGGCCACTGTAGGCGCGGGCGTGCCACATGCAGCGGAGGTGCGTCTTAGTTCATGCCAGTGGTATTTGCTAATACCATATTTTTCGGTGGTTAACACTCTACAGTGAGCTGCTCCAGTAATTCTCACCTTCATAAAAGTATCAATGCTTCATGTGCGTCAAGGCCTCTGGCATAAAGAGCTGTCATTCGTTTCCTGCTGCTGGATTGATAGTCGCACATAGTAGACTTCCACATGTAGTATGTGTGTAATTTTTTGTGCCGCTAGGGAATAGATATACTAAGAAAAACCTAAAAGATTAAATTTATTATTATTAAATCTGCCTTTATTAAAAGGATTCTCTTATCCCTTGTCTACTGACATTGAAGAGAGGAGGGGGGGGGTGGATGATGGGAAGGGGGTAACGTGGAGGTGTTAGAAGATTAAAGAAGTCCAAAAATGTGGCTATTGTGCAGAGGCAGAAAGGTTGCCCTCATCGCAGCTCTCTTCCCCTGCCATCAAATTTTCTCTAGAAATGAACCAAACTGTAACTGGTGCCGCACTTTGTCTTTTCAGTGCAGCTATGTGGTGCCTGCAACATGCTGCGTTCTCATTCTCCTCATCTTCGACATACCCGCCTATACGTCGGCGAAGAACTTTCCAGCCGTTCTCTCGCTCTTCCTTATGTATGGGTGAGCATCGCCGATTGACCATGACTATTTTTGGATAGGCCAATAATAGTGTTTGGGATGTGCACATATTGGTATTTGACTGTTAACCTATGCTTCTGCTTTTTTATTGAAAATTTGAAAGCGGAGCTGGTGTGTGCGGCTTGTGTCTCATTCTTGTCATTTTATCTTAAAATAACCAGCAAGCATGTACTCACAATTTGAAGATGATCTTGAAAAATGTGTGTGTGTGTGTGGGGGGGGGAGTACTTGTTAGGTCTGAGAGAAGAAATGCTGAGGGGGCACGTGACAGGGTGAGCTTCACCGCTTTGCATTGGCGTGAGTGCATTAAGCTTCGTTGCTTTACACTGGTGCGCGCACACCGAGCCTCTTCGTATGGAACCGGCATGCTCGGAGATGCGAGCGGTTCAAGGATGCGCACATAATTATAATCAAAGAAATATCATGCGGTTTTGTGATTGGCGTAACTTGGTCTTTTGGTGTGCATTTTAGTATTCCTTCTTCTGTCTCAGGCTTTTCTTTTTTTTTTAATAAAATTCCCAGTTAATGGAATAAAAAAACAGGCATGTTACCTCATGATGAAGAAGACATTTGTCATTTAATCTTTCTGCCTTAATTTCCTATTATATGTCGACTAAGGTCTGAAAGCATTCATGAGGTATTTTTGTCAGAGTGCTATCTCCGCCGTCTAATAATCTGTGCTTTCCTTCTCCTTGAGCACCCTGTCTCGTGTCATTTTTATGTGCCTGCTTTTATTTAAGTATGTGTCTTCACTTTTTTCTCGTTTGTAGGTGGTCTATCACACCAGTCATGTACCCGGTGTCTTTCCTCTTCAAGGAGCCCAGCACAGCCTACATTTTTCTGATTGTGATAAACCTGTTTGTAGGAATCACTTGCATTGTCACCAGCTTCCTACTGGAAGTATTTTCCTACGATGCTGTGAGTTCAGCTTTTTTTTCTCTCTGTTGTTTTAGTGGTGTGCTAAGGCCTCACCTTCATTCATGCATTTGTCACTCGTGAGTCATGGATTTCTGTTGAATCACTTATTGTTGAATAATGGGAGCATTATACATTTACATGACTGAACTTGATATTTTAGATATGCTGTTTTTATTCCTCAATAAATATACTCGTTACATACAACGCTGTGGCTAGCGTTACATCCAGATGGAGCACTGAAACGCGTAGACCTAACCCTCCCCCCTGCCCTCCTCTCTCTCTCCCCTGTGAACCTAGGGAAGGCGGAGATTTTGACATAACTTGGGTTACATCGGACGTAACGCTAGACACTTCGTACATACAATGCAGACAATGGACAATATAAATTTTAGATTAATAATGAAGGGCAGTATTTTTTATGTAATCTGTGTGAAATACAGTACACGTAGCAGGGCGCGTTGAAAACTACAGAATACACAGAAAGAATAAAACACATGAAGGACGAACACAGACGCACACAGTTAAAGAACTGTGTGCGTCTGTGTTCGTCCTTCATGTGTTTTATTCTTTCTGTGTATTCTGTGTGAATACAAAAGGGAATTTTTGAGAGAACAAATAAGGGCATTTTTTAATGTAATCGTCACTGAATGCATCCACCCTTTTCTGATAATGTGTTGGGCAATTCTTTGCAACTTGCATACATTCAGCTTACGTGAACCCAACAATTTTTTGCAACTTCCGTAAACCTATTTGATTTATGTTAACCCAATGATTTGTTGCGACTTATGTGAATCTATGGAAAAAAATGCACTGCATCTGCCTCCCTTCAAAGTGCATGAAGAGCCAGTCACTGCTATGACAGAAGAACTCTACATAATTTTTGTTGAAGAAATTATTGCAAGAAGGTTTTCTGATGATAAGGGGCTACAAGTTGCAATTTTCAACTGATCTGGAAAACGTGAATTTTAATTTTTTTCTTCCAAGAAGGTGGTCCGAGTTCAAACTGAGCTTGGTTTGTAGAGCTCAAAGATTATTAAGTTGAAAAACAATGTTATTTTTCCTCAATTGCAGTCAGTTTTGTAAGACTATAAGATAGCAACTCAGGCGAGTTGGTTCATGACTAAATCGAGAAAACAGTGCATCAAACACAGACAAGTAGAAGTGGACAGGATGAGCACGGACTAACAACTAAACATTTATTGAAGAAACCCATAAAATCTTTCAGCCTTTCCACTTTGGTGAAGAAGGGAGAGCAGCAGAGCTGTAGCTTCTGTTCTCGGCGGTGGCTTTCCAGCCGAGCGATCTGCTCTTCTTTCGCGAGGGAATCTGAAGGGCTCGACGCATTGGAACTTTAGGCAATAGCTGCCTCGCGACAATTGCGGAACCATTCGCGCTGCTGCGCACGACGCCGCTTGTTCCGCTTCCGTTCTTCCTCCGAAGAAAGGTTGCCACCATCTATGAGCGACGGAGGCAACCAGTTGTCTGGTTGCTGCCATCGCTCATAGGTGGCAGTAGCTGTCCAGAGTTCGGTGTCATCATTTTTTTGCTGGTGGACACGATCCTGGGGAACCTAGTCCTTTACAGCTCCACTGTAAAAACTAGCCACTCTCGATTTATTTGTGAGACTGCTTGCAGTTCTGAAGTATATGATAAGAAGAGCATGCACTGTAGCATACTTTTATGCTCCTTGAGGACAATATCCATAAAGTAAGATCCTTTTTTTCTAGTTTAAAATTTTTATTTTTACTACTTACTCACTGATTCAGAATCTTAATAGAACTCTTGACACCGGTTTGTGTGCTGCGATGCAACTTTTGTTTAGCACTTTGAATGCAAGATATTTTGCCAAATACCAACCAAAATTTTTCTGCTAAAAATATGCATTGCAGAGAAAAATGTTAGATGCAGTGATGTGATTGCTGCGCCAATTGCGTTAAACTGTGCCAAGGGGCTAACCCTGCTACATACTGCTACACTGTGCAAAAATATGATTAATTTGCACCAAGCCTGCACCAAAAAAAAAAAAACAATTTCGGTCGTCTTTCGAAACCGGAACTAAACTGAGTACCGTAATTGAGCATGCGTGTTATGTGTTGCAAGTGGCCGCCCGACACGAAATACCCTGCATTAATTGTCCATCCGGTCTTGCATGGTTTTCCCGCCATCTCGGGTTTGGCGCTCTCGTCGTCTCGTCGCTCTCGTCTCGCATTTTTGTTTGAAAAATATTTTCAATGATAGGCGCAGGTGTCTGCGGACGCTCCGACGCTGGCGTGCCGCCAGGTACCAGCCATGCAGTCGTGCTGTGAAACAGAACCACGTTTTTGCATGGCGGGAGTGACTTTCTGAGCTTAAGCACTCGCTCCTGAAAGTAACAACCGTGGGAAAACTATATTTTGTCCCTTTCTTCCATTCACCGTGGTCGCGCGACTTCGGGTGTTGCCTTCCCCACGTCGCTGCAGATATGGCGCTTTCTAAAATGAAACTAAGTACTGCCACATGTTCATCAACATCCCTGTTCTAAATCATACATTACTACAAAAATCCCTCTTTAACTGAAAGACTGCTGTGTCGAAGTATTGATTGCCTAGGTTTCTCTCAGTAGGCTCTCTTTCGAAAAGGACCCCGGTACGTGAAAAATTTGCCTTCGAAATACAGTTGTTGAAGAGAAGTGAGCTAAAGCAAACAAGGCAATGCCTGCACGCTGAACCCGCACAGCACGCTTGTTTGTCTCAAATTCAGTCGTTGCACTAAGTGCTCCAAGAATTTTTTGATCCTGACTTGCGATGTCTTGTATCGGTGTGCTCAGGTTCTTTGTTTTGTGTGTATGTGTGTTTAGCTTGTACTTTTTTTGCCGGCCTGGCAAGTACGCACCGCTGGACCGTTGTCTCCGCTCGCGCGACGAGGCACGCGCAACTGCAAGCCTGCCGAAGTTTCCCTCACGTGCATGCGAACACGATTGCACGACGGAGGCACCAGCCGGGACGCTTGCAATTCATTGTTTTACGTTTGCTTACCTTTGACGAAAATCTGGCACGTCGGGAACCAATAAAACGGTGACAAGTGGTTTTTCGGAATTTCTCGGAAATGCCTACAGCACTGTACACTTGTGGGACGTCTCAGCAGTAAAAAAGTGGAAGCCGTTTACAATTCCCTGCAACGCCGAATTAGAGCGCTGCTCTTAAGGAGGAGTAGGGAAGGATACTGGGTGGGGGGGTCACATGACCCCCCCCCCCCCTTTCTGAGGTCACCGAAGGTACCCGAGGTCCTCCCGAAGTTCTCCCGAAGGAAGCCAGGTCCTCCCGAGGTCCTAGGGGGGGGGTCGCGGTTACGTCGACGGCAATGCCGACGCCGCTCAAGTCGGAAATGGGCGCCTAAGAGCTGCACTCTAAAACACAGCGAGTTCTGTCACAACATCTCACATCAGGGCACAATACAGCACAAAGAGTCCTTCGCTTGTGCAGCACTTAAAATGAATATTTTTATTTTTACAAGAATATCTGCTTCAAAAGCCACTTTTGCTGCTCCAAAACTCTGTTTTGGCTGCTCCGAAAGATGGTCCATAATGGCTTAGGCCAATCACATCACTGTAGATGCTGTATTAGTCACTGCCGAGAGGCCACTTTAGTGAGGTACAATGCATTTGAGATAATTAGCGTTTTAATTATTTTTGCATAAATAAATTTCTAATAATAAAAATAAGGGTACAATTTCGATTAGAAAATCTCTGGGCACCATAAGAAAAACACTGAACCATGAATTTTAGTAAAGCATTTTACAAAGTCTCCCCAAAAAAACGCCCACGTCTGCTAATCAACCTATATTTTTGCACCAGCCACCCTGCGCCCTGTGGTCAAAGTGGCAATTCCAATGGCTGCAGCTTCGCCTCCGATGAGTTGTGGTGTAGTAAATAGTATTAATGCGAAAGCATTAACTGTCTCATGGAGCAAGCTTACGTCATCAGTCTGAAGCGCGAAAACGGCAGATAGTTTCCTTTGGTTCCATTGGCTGCACGTGTCGACGGGGCTCCCATTGGCCGCTGCGCTCGTCAGTTTTCACGACCGCTCACCCCATGGTGCTGCATGTCCATCAGCGTGCCGTTAACACGGAGCGTCCGAGGTCAGCGTTGCTAGGGGAGCATGCATGCTAACCGGCGACGAAAAGTATGCAGCAGACGAAAGAGGGAGCGGACGAGTGGCTTGCATGCTTTTGCATTCACAACTCATAAGAAGTGCTTAGGTGTACCTTGAGCTTTTTTCGAAAAAGTGTGGTCGAGGTTTGGTGAAACACCCTGTGTAGTACTCATGTACCTACTCGTCTAGTGCTGCTATAACATTTGTGTTTTGTTCCTGTTTCTCTCTAAAGTACCTTGGGGAAGTGCATCATCTCCTCAAGACCATCTTCCTGATGTTCCCAAACTACTGCCTAGGAAGGGGTCTCATGGACATTGCCTTCAACGAATATCAGAACTTCTTTCTCTTCAAGACAGGTAAGCAGAAATTCTTGCTGTTGGGTACCTCTAGATTTTTTGGGTTATCTGTTCACATAGAATACCTAACTGCAATTTTTGTTAAGTCCTTTTGTGATTGGGTATGCACACGGTACAAGTGCAGGCTACATGTTACTGTACATGGCGACTTGAATTTGAAAGAATTGCAAATGCCTTCGTAGAAATTTTAAAGGTCGCTGGTTCGAGCTACAGCTGGTCCAGTCAGTACAGCCAAACCTTTCCTCTTGTAAGGGACATTCCACAGTGTAGACCGCATATAACGTATGTCGCGGGAGTTGCGAAAATTCGGTGGGGACCCGGGGCCCCCCCGAAATCTTCCATTTTGCATGGATCTTCCTCTCCCCCCTCCCCCCTCATACAGCATTTTGTCATTGTGGCCCCCCCCCCCCCCCGAAACAAAATCCTGGCTACGTGCCTGACCGTGCTATAACCAAAACATCAATTTTTCAGGCCAAAATACATGCCATCAGACAACTTACCTTTGTAAAAGAATTTATTTTATGTTAGATGAAAAATAAAGCTTAGTTTGAGGAAAGTCGTCTTTATCTCATCAGACTAGTACACTTCTCTCTCAAGTGTGTCACACATTTTGAAAGAAATGAGTGACTTTTGCCTGGCGCAACCTTTTAACGGCGTCGCGGGTTGCGGACGGACGTAGCGAGCGTTCAGGATTGCTAACCCTAATCACTTTTCTCCGGCGATGAAAACGCGTGAAAATTCGCATCCTTTATACGGTACGCGCCAGTAATACCTTCAACTTGAGCACAGGCATGAAATGCTCCAAATAAGAAATCCCGGCGATGTTCGAAAACACGAATGCTTAGAAAGCACCACTGTAGTCGAAGTAAACAAACACAACGACACGGGCGTTTCTGCCGTCTTGAGAGTGCCGCCACAACATCGCCGCACGAGTAGGTGGATCTTCCCTTCTAATACGTGCTGGGTTATCATAGCGACACACAACGAAAATTCAGTCAAGGATAGCGCTTTTACGCGGACCGATGAGCTTCCACCACGCCGTAGTTCACTTTGGGAGGCACTCACTTGATTGGGTCCATATCACATGAGCGAATGACGTTTTAGCGAATAACGGGGGCGCGCGTTAACCCATCCGCCGCGCTGCGCTTTACGCCGCTTCGCGGCGACAGTCTGCGGCGGCTCATTACAAAAATGTGAACCCACTTGGCCCACCCGAAAATGCCGCTTCGCGGCGTTCGACTATTCACTAAAGGGTCGTTTGGTGAAACGTGGGCATTCGCTAAAACGTCATTTGATCGAGTGAGTGCCTCCCCACTTGATCGAATGACGTTTTAGCGAACGCCCACGTTTCACCGAATGACACTTCAGCGAATAGTCGGACGCCGCGAAGCGGCGTTTTCGGGTGGGCCAAATGGGTTCACATTTTTGTAATGAGCCGCCGCAGACTCACCGAGCGCGGCGGATAAGTTAACGCGCGCCCCCGTTATTCGCTAAAACGTTGATTCACTCAAATGTCGCTGTTCGCTAAAACGTCATTCGCTCATGTGATATGGACCCGTTCACTTTAGCGCCGTTTCCGTCGACGATCACAACCGACCCCATGTTCGCGGATAGAAGGAGCCTCCCCGCGACCGGCATGCAACGCGCGCGAACACTTCTCCTCGATCTGCGATTGGTCTGTCGTTGCGGTTGTTTGTTTCCAACGCAGCGGAGGGACGCACGCTCGTGCGCACGTGAACGACAGATGCGTGCGTCCCTCCGTCGCTATGGCAACTGAAGCCTCTCTCTTCGCTTTTCCCCGCTTCTTCGAGCCTTCGAGCGCTTCGAGCAATCTCCTTGCCCCGCGAGTGCCGCTTGCGGCTATTGCGGCTCGCGCCGTTATCTAGTGTCTCACAGGGAAGCGTGCTCGCTGCGCCGCTCAGTCGGCGCGCTGTTCCAAAAACCGCACTATGAAGGCCCGTTCACACTCTTGCGACTGCTTGCGACCTCTTAAACCTGGGTTTCTTAAAACTTCTTAAACCAGAGAACACACTGGCGCCATCTATTGGGAAGCAGTGTAAACTCGGCGGTCCGGCATATTTTTTTTTTTATTTCTCGCGCAATATCCTTTCTTTTTTGGCTCGAAAAACTTTTGTCAATGTTATAAACGAGCCTTTCTATGGGTATTACGCACATTTGACCTCGGAAATCCCGCAAAACCTTCGCTTTTGTGAAATGCAGTTCTAGGGTCACCGCATAGATGGCGCCACAATGTCAGTGTGTCCCTCATTCTAGAAACATTTAAGAAGTTGTAAGAGATCTCGTCTCTCTCAGTCGTACTCGGTCGCAAGAGTGTGAACGGGCCTTCACCGGTATTTCCCTTCGCGCGCCTACATTTTAAGTGGTATGTAAATACATGGAGTTCTATGGGAGGCGAACCGGTGGTTTAAAAAGGCCGCGTTATACCCGGTCCTGCATTATAAGCGGTTACGTTGTAAGTGGTCTATACTGTATCTTCGTAATGAAAACAACCAGGGCAAGATACACTAATTCTGAGGCCATTATTTGAGTCTTGATAGTTTTTATCCTACTATTTTAATCTCGTTTTAATCTTTGTTATGTGCTCTGCTTCATAAATCCTCAGCTTTTTTGTGTTCAATCTGTCTGTCGTTAAGGCTGAGTTTAAATGTTTGTAATCAAGTGGGATCGACTGTGTCAAGATCGTTTGTGACTGCTTATGACGAGATTGTTTCTACGGCAACCAAAATCTGCCCACCGTCTTGCAGTGGAGTGGAAGGAGACGGTCACGCTCAGATGTAAATGTTTAAACCAGTCGTTAGGTTGTGGGGTAAAACAACAGGCTCAGGCTACATGTGCTTGGTTCCCATCGTTGTTCTTTGATTGACTCAATTGGCACTAAACAAATGGAAGAGGTGGCTTCTTCGGCATAAAACGCAAGCTTCTGCATGCAATGGAGGAATGTGCATTTCCAGTAGTACTGGAAGTGGAAAAAAGTTGTATAAATTTTTGTGCACAAAAGCATGTTTAAAACAATAATGAGTGATCATCTAGAATGTACATTGGTCTCTACAAAAAGGTTTTTGACACAATTTATTGAGACAGCCATATGGTTTATAAATTTGATTTCTGATATTGAAAGCAGTGCCTTTAGTTGTTGGTAGTGATGATGACTTATATCCTCATATGCTGCCTACACTTGTTTGCTGGCATTGGGCAACCCCATGGAGTGGTCTTCTGCAATTAAGTTATTTAAAGAATATAGCCACTCCCCCTGTCTGGGTAGAAATCTCGTCACTTTCTCTTGCAGGTCGTTACGACAGGATGAGGTCTCCTTTTGCCTGGGACTTGGTGACCAGGAACCTGCTGGCCATGGCACTGTCGGGAATGCTTTTCCTTATCCTCACCCTACTTCTGGAGTTCAACTTTTTTCTCAAGCCAAAGTGAGCGTGTCATCTCAGTCTATGCTAGTAATTAATGGGAGGCTGGAGCTTTCCTTGAAAGTTCTTAATGTCTATTCTTTTCTATTGAACCATTTTGAAACCAAAAATAGGAAAATAAATTTATAATAAATTTAGCGGGGAAATTTTTCCGCTAGATTTAGCGGGGAAATTTACCCATAATGCACCGCGCGGTTACGCCGACGGCGACGCCGACGCCTCTCAAGCCGGAAATGGGTGCCTAAGAGCTGTGCTCTAAAAATGAGTGAGACAATTAATATGTCAACCTTAGATGCTTTTAATGAGAAGCATTCTTAGAATGTTGTTGTCATTTGTCCCACCAGAGCAGTGCTGTTACATAAAAGCACAGCATCAGCACAAAGAAAGGAATTTTTTCTTTTTGGGGGGAGGGGGAGAGAGGGAGGGAGGGAGGGAGGGGGAGGGGGACAGGAGATTTCTGATTTTTGCACCAGGTGGGGTGGGGTTGGGGGTGGGGGGGATTTGGCTATGGAACTGGGCATGAAGAGTTGGGAGGGGGGGGGGGGGGTGAATCGTCTGCATTATTATGATCAGAGTTGCTATTTTAAAACTGCGACTGATTTTTGCTTTTTTTTTGTTTGTTGCTTTGATCAGTTGTTTTCAAATACTGATATGATGGTTCCACAGGAAAGTGTGTGTGCCCGAGGGTCTCAATCTGGAAGAAGATGAGGACGTGCGAAACGAAAGGAGGAGAGTCCTGAATGGCCGAACAAACACCGACGCACTCTGCCTTATGAACCTCACAAAGGTAAACACTCCCATTGCCACTCAACACCCGTCGGTGCTTGCACGTTTCTTTTAGCTGGCCAGACAGTCGGTTTTCCTATTTCATTCTTTGCTATACTTATGTAATTAGTCATGCAAACTAAGCATCTTTTTTGTCCTTCAACATTGCTGAGCAAGTGTCGACGCTTTTGAGGAGCAGTGACATTTTTTCCAGGCTTTTCTTAGAAATTCTAAGTACAGAGGCTCGTTGTTGCTCAAAGACCTGGAACAACTTTGATTGTTAGTGTAGAATTTGGAGCCAAGGTTTTATAGTGACAGCCCAAAAAATTACGGTCGTCCTTCGGGAAGTTGTGCGGTCGTCCTTCGCGAAAACTCCCGGTGAAGTCATCATTGCATCGTTTGGGGAGCAAACGCACGGGTCTTGTCTTCTAGGTGATATATGTCAAAGACAAAGTATGGATGAGGCACGGGTGTGAAATCAACAACAGAAGTGAAGACGACTCGAAAAAACAAAACAATGTTGGCACAGCGATAGTAGCGAGTTGCGCAAGTGCAGAGCTGCTGTCGCTGTGACACTCGTTACGCAGTAGTGCGAATTATTCACTCGAATTTTTATTGCTTACAATGTGTGAAGCTACTTGTATCATGTGGTGATGCTTGGAGTTGATTTAAGTGGAAGAACAGTTATGAATTAAACACCACTGTTGATGGCAGTGCTGGTGCTCGAAGAAAGGTCTGCAATCTTTGCCTCACCATTTGCTTGTTTGTCTCTATATAAGAAGCAGCAATCAGCTCTCTGTGTGTTGTGTGAAAGGGTAGCCATGCATGTTTTGTTCATAAAATGGGTGTCAGCCTTCTCAAAGTCACTTATTGTATCGAGGATTAGACTTCTGGATGTTAGTCTGCTTTAAAGGGCTGCTGACAACCCCAACATTGATACTTTTTTTTATTGTCTCAAACACTTCAAAGTGGCATTATATAACTCCCTAAAAAAGAAAAATATTGCACTGTGAGAAACAAGTTTTTAGTGCAACAACGCACCCATCAAAAATCTGCGTCTTCCTCCCCATCAGGCTCCTCCTCGCTTTGTTTTTGCAGTGACATATAGATGGCGAAGGCATTTTTCAGAAATTTTGAGGCTTTGCAAGTTCTGTGTTTTTAACAATTATTAATGACATTCAACAAATATGATTTTACTAGGTTTGCTAATGCAGTAGTATGCTGCTGATTTCGAAATATAAAAAAAACAATCGGAGACCAGAAGTGTTAATGTTGAGGCTACAGTCATCTTCTGGCTTTTTCTCCTTACTAAGCAGAACACTGCCTAAGACACAGACTCTAACTGAAAAGTGATATGTTGTCTGCACGAGGAGAGAGGAGATATTGCGAGTGCAGTTGGTGGACACCTACGTGCCCGTGATTTGATCGATGAAAGGGATACAGAGAAATTTAAACGGCAGTTCTGGTCTGAAGTCCTTCATAAAACCAAGGAGTGTGCCATTACACTATGGTGTCTGCATGATTGACTTTTGTGGGAACTTCATATCTTGCTTTACGAAATTATTATTTTCTTCTTTGAAAATATGCAGTTCCCATGCTTCGGATTTTGAGGATGTTTAAGGATAATTTCCAGCTTATATTTTAATTAAAAAAAAAAAAAGTGCTGTCTTCTTTGGCAAATAGTCTGCAGACTATACATGTTTCAAAGTTGAAATTTTACCCGGTGCAGACTATCTGCAGGTGCGAACTGTACAAGGTTTTGTATTTTTCTAAATCGGTCACAGTGACAAGACTTGAAGAATTTTATGAATAACAGAGTACCTATATTAATATATATCGTACAAGCTCCTCCTTGAGCTAATATACAGCAGGCATTTGTCAAGATGTTCTGTGTACAATAATTTTTACATTCGGATTAGGCACTAAATGTGGACTATGCACTGCGTGCAGACTTTGTACCGGTTGCAAACTATCTGAGCAAAACCTTTTTTTTTTTTCAGCTGAAATCGGACTATACATTGGGTGCGGACTATAGTTAGAAAAATAAGACAGATGGGCAATTTGGCCAGTACAACATGACTGCTGAACTGTATTGTGTAGTAGGGATTACTTAACTACACCCTAGCACAATGCTAATCTATATGAAAATGGGCAGGGGATTAATCAAGCACAGGACACTTGCGTTCTACAGTGCAATTTTTGACTCTGCATTCCCTGGTATAAGTTCCCTGAATTTGTATTTCTTGGCTCCTGGATTTCAAACAGTTTTCGATGATGCTAATGAATGACAGGAACCTCACTTCAAGTCATTAACTACAGTTTGGTACCTCTTCTTGTGTTGCAGGTTTATCATGCAAGGAAGCTGGGAAAGCATTTGGCAGTAGATAGACTGTGCCTCAGAATACCAAAAGGAGAGGTCTGTTTTCTTTTTTTTTTTACCCTCAGTTTGTATTGTTTTTTCTTTATGGGTACATACATCCCTTTATGTTGTGCTTGAAGTCATTGCAATATGAACATGATTGACCAGAACTGCTTTTGAAACTTGCTTTGCAACTCTGTGATCATAACCCCTGCCTTTCAGTGCTTTGGATTGTTGGGAGTGAACGGAGCGGGGAAGTCGACCACCTTCAAGATGCTCACGGGTGACACCGAGATAACCTCCGGAGATGCATTCCTCAATGGTTACAGGTAAGTTGAATGTGTGGCTTGCAGAGGCCTAGGACAGAAAAAACATTTCTTAATTCCAACATATGATAATATGCTCGACGTTTGTGTGAAGCTCTTGAGTTTCAAGTGTCTTACCGGTAATTAGGAAGCAAAAGGGTTGGGACTAAAGCATAGTCAGTTCTGTGCCTCTTTGCAACAGTTCGGAGAAAGGTATGGGTTGTGTAAATGGCATACAGAATAAAAAAAGAAACATATAGACTAAGGTACATTAATATTTTAGGAACAAAAGTCTCACTTTTTTGTGCAATGGAACTAATAGCTTTTAAGCAAAGCCATAGAAGCTAAGAGGTTTATTTTATCACTGAGTAATGTCATCAGTCAAAACCAGGCTAAAATCTCATTGAAATAAGAGTTTCACACATTTGCACCGGTGATCCATAGTTTGAGACATTGTTCTGTTCCCTTTTAAAATGGTAGCTTTATAGGCCAACGTGCCATTTACAAACAAGCCCTCACAAGGTGTGGACAAACGCGGAGTTTCCCCACGAGGTGTGGGCACTGCGCATGCGCAGCAACCAGATTCACGTGAAGTGGAACATCGGCGCATGCGCCCGCGAATAGCAGCGCCACCACAGCGGCATGACTTCAGTGCCGCGTGTTGGTGTATAGGGTCAACCAACCTCGGGAGCTATGTAAGCATAAAATCTGTAGGTTGGTTAGTCCGTAACCGCTAAACGATCTTGAAAAAGCTGGCAACTAGTGCCAGGGTTCGAACCCCAGTTACCAGTGTGGAAGTTGAGTGCACTGCTGTCCGAGCTGCGGACCCAGCTAGTAGGAATGGGAGGAGCAGAAGGAGGCGGTGTGAGAAGCATACTTGCCAACCTGTGGACTTTCGAATTCGTAAAACTCCCACGGCCGCACCCGGGCCGGGGGGGGGTCACAGGTTACGGGTTACGTGAAGCGATGTGCAGCTTAATGCCAGCCTCGCCACCGTTCGAAACGCTTACATCACACGTCCACGTGCTAAAGAATCTAAACTCCTCTCCCTGTTTGGTCGGCACGAAGCACGGGAATTCCGACCACGACCGGCTTTATTCTGACGTGTAGGACTTCAGGAACACCTGAAAGTACCTCTTTTGAGGTTTGGAGTTCGCCATTTGCGCCGCGAAGCCGCCGCGACCAGGGGAATGTTACGATTACACGTGCAACGGACACACACAGACGCCACATTGCTCGCCTCGAAACTGGCCGAAACAGAGAGGCCCAAACACGTCTGAACATGCCGAACCAACATGCGCCGCCGAACACACGAACAAAGGCTTTGGGCTTTGGATTGGTTTTGGATCCGTGGCCACCGGATAGACGGTGGCCACGAATCGCCCTCTTGTGGCGGTGCAAGATACCGCCAACGATGGTTTATAACCTCTGAGATCCCAAAGCGCGTGCGCTTCAGGATCTCGGAGGTTATGAACGGTTTTACAAAAAAAAGAAAAAAAAAAGTAAAAAAAAAATAATTCCTTGTATAATTTTTTTTTATAAAATTTGAAACAAGATTCGTAAAATCGTTAAATTAGTCCCAATCATACATTTTACGAAAAATTCGGAAGAGTTGGCAGGTATGGAGAAGGCATGCAGAGTGGAGAGGGGGTGGAAAGGGAAAGAAAGAGAGGAACAGAAACAGGTGGTGTAGAAAAGAGCACGTGGGACATGGAGGAGGGGAAGGGGCAGGAAAGCGCACTTCCCCTTTCTTGATAACCCAGAAAATTCAGCGCAAAGGCACTGTATTTGGGTGGTGCGAAAGGGAAGCACGCACAACGTCACAGAAACAATGGTTGCATAATCGGTTTCTATACAAAACCCTGCCGTAGGCACCACCCACCCCAGGCACTGAAAGACAAAGGTTCATCCTGCCTTAGGCACCGCCCACCTTTTAAAGCTACTGCATCTAAGTGCGTTTGGCAGAATGACCAAATACATATGCAGCCAATGTTTTTGTGCGTCTTGTGTCTCCAGTTTTTTAACTCAGAATTTGTTGTATAAGTTGTTTTCTATGAGAAAATTGTCATGAACGAGCATCCTGAACAAGCATCATGAAGGAGCATCAGGAACGAACGTCATGAATGATTGACATAGACGAGCATCATGAATGCGCGACATACTGGAAGCGTTACACGATGTTAAGGTTATATATAAAGCTTACAAAAGTCCATTTAAAATCAACATAAAAAAGACTCTTTAGAGGGGTTCGAGCCTGGACCGGTGCAGTGACCGTCGGATACTATAGCCACTGAACTGCGTAGCACACCTGTTCTGGGGTGGGGGGATTGGGCTCCTGGCAGAATGTGCCGGTGAGAGAGGTGTGACGTCGTACGATGTGACCGCTCACCTTATTGAAGTCAAGCATCATGCATAAGGTAGCGCCCATGCAACACGCTCGTTCGCTTAGTCTCGCCCTGCAGAATATGTCCAGCGCGCCCTCGTCTTCGTCAGCATGCGAACGGGACTTTTTAGCACAGGTACAAACAACCGAAACCAGAGAGATTCACTAAGGATCTCAGCAGGAATCGGACTCTGGACCACGCTGGACCAGTCTGTGATGGCAACCACACAAAGACGATTAGCGCCGTGACGACAGACTCGATTAGTTTTATTGAATCATAGCACCGGCTGTGATTGGGTGATTGAAATGAAATATAATCTGCAGGCAACTGTTGGAGGCGAAGTCCAGCATAGTACTTAGTCCGCAGGCGGCCGTCGGCGCTCAAGTTTGGTTCCTGGTGAGGTTTGGTTCCCCACATGGACTTGCGACGTCACGGGGTGAATTGTGATGTACCGAGGGATGTAGCGCAGTGTGCGTACCATGAGGGACTCCTCACAATCCGAGAATTCATGGTCCGACACGCACCCGCAAAAGAAGCAGAACAAGCGGAAAGCTTCTCTTTAAAACGAGCTCGCGACACTTGCACGCCCCTCCCGAAAAAATTTACACTTGCTCCGCTCGTTCCGATGTACCCAGAGATCACGAGTGCTTCAATCGTTCCAATGTATTCGGAGATCACGAAACCACCCAAGACTTTCCGCAACCAAGCGTAGCGAGTCGTAACGCATGCATTACAGATGCAACATATTCTGTGCACCCCGGGCTTATCGAAATCATTGAGTTAAGCTTATATTCTCGGGAACTGGGTATACTCAAATCTCACCTTTAAGCGTGTTGTCATGCGAAGGAAAAAATGGGAAGTCCACAAGCAGATTGTCAATGATCGTAGACACGGCTAGACATCGAAGCCTGTTTTACTTCAATCGTGCTTTGCTGCTCTTGTCTTTCAGCGTTTCTCGTGAGTTGAACAAGGCCCAACGGTTCATTGGCTACTGCCCCCAGTTTGATGCGTTGTATGACGAGCTGACAGCCAAAGAACATCTTCGTCTGTATGCCAGGTTCCGAGGAATCCCAGTCAAGGAGGAAAACAGGGTGCGCCTCTTCATGTTCATTGTTTTTTATATCTGCAAAACGGGCAGTCCTTGCCTGAATGTGACACCACTCTTCTAATAAAAAGAGGCACAAGTGATTTCTGCAAGGTTTTAGTTAGAAAGCATGCTTATCATTAAGAGTAGCTATACCGTAGTCTGTTGTTGAGTATTTAAGAGCAAGTAAAAATATAAACATTAGTTTCTCACTGTGAATTCATAAAAATTGCTTCCAACTTGTGAATAGATAAGCTCGGAGACTGTCCATTTCTCCCAGAATATTTTGCATCACATTTGGCCAGAGGCTGAGCTCTGCGCAATGTATAGTTTATTTGTGGGGCAAGAAACACGGTTCAGTGTGCATAGTCTGAAGCCTGGTGCCCAACATGTGGTGCAAGCGCATGCATCATGTTCGTGATGGTAGCTTTGGTAGGCTTGCTGTTGCACGTTTTTGTCATCACAAGCAAATTTGACATGGTGGTGGCCAGGTGCCTCTCAATCATGTGTAAGTTACTTGTACACTTCAGTAAACCTTCTGTCGTTATTTTTATAAACTTGAAACATTATGGTAACATTTTTTGTGGGCAACCAGCTTCTTTTCTATTGTCGCTTTAATGCATCTTCTATGACAGGTAGTCCCCAAAGTGTCAGGATACCAGATTGTAACAGGCCTTGCTGTTGCGATAGTTCATGAAAATTTTGAATCTTGCAGGTAATCGAGTGGACCCTCCAGAAGCTGGGATTGACGTCGTATGCGGATCGTGTTGTGGGGACGTACAGCGGCGGCAACAAGCGCAAACTCTCGACGGCCATTGCCCTGCTGGGAGGACCTCCAGTCATCTACCTGGTTGGTCATCGCTCTACTTTTGAGGTTTCCCATTTCTGTCGTGCCATTGAAACCTTGCGGTTTGTGTGTGCAGGACGAGCCCACCACTGGCATGGATCCATACACGCGCCGCTTCCTCTGGGACCTCATTCAGGATCTAGTACGTGGGGGCCGCTCCGTCATCCTCACTTCGCACAGGTTTGTGGTCACAGTTTTGTTAGCATTGATGGAGTGAGCGGCAAAGCAGCATGGTAGCAATCAACCGACAAAAATTGGGGATCCACTATTGATGATGATAATCTCTAGAGAAAGGAAACAGGGGATGCAAAGGACAAACAAACAAAGTGTTAGACTGGTGGCAGCTGATAAAACCCGTTTGCTTTACTGACGTCTAACTCCTGGTCAGCTCAGTTGGTAGAGCGCTCCACTGGAAATGAAGAGGTTCTTTGTTTGATTCTTGGACCAGGCAGATTTTTTCAGTCGCGCACCGGTCACCTAGCTGTGTTTGGAGAATTGTGTTTGTCCTTTGTCTCCTCTGTTCCCTCTCTCCAGGGATTATTTTCGTCATTCTTGTCCAGCTCGCTTGCACCTTCGCATTAATTGCATTATCATCCACTATTACTTTTTTCTTTTTATAAAGTGTCCTTTAGGAGCGAGGTGTGCTTCAGAAGGAAGTCACCTTGGAGGGGTTTTGTACCATTATGTTTTGCTCTGGTTGTGACATGATGCTCCGGGCTGGGAATGTTTTCATATCCTGATGGGCATCATATGAAAAAATTGTAGAGCCCTTCCGCTTCATGTGAAGATGGAGGACCAGCAAAGCTGTTATCTTTATGACATCTAGGACGATGCCTAGACGACGACCTCAAGGACGACTTCTATGACGACCTCGAAGACGACATCTAGAGGACAACGCCGAGGACGACCTCAAGGACAACTTCTAGGACTATCTCAAGGACAACTTCTAGGACGATGTCTAAAACAACCTCAAGGACGACTTCTAGGATGACCTTGAGGACAATGCCTAGAGATGATAATGAGGAATCAGGACCTCACTACCTAATAATGCCAAGGAAGGCTGACTCACGCTGGTTGCCCCCTCTTTTTGTTTTTATTTATTCATACTTGTCACAACCAATGGGGAGCTTTCTGTCGACATGCGAGGACACATTTTTTTCGAGGACGCATTTTCGCTATAAAATGGTAGATAAGATAAGTGAAGCTGCAATGGTTTGCATTGTTAGTTATATTCTTATTGAGTGCAGCTGCTTCATTAGCAGAACTATGTGCCCTGTACAGTTCATGTCGAAACGGAACTGACCCTTCCAACACTGCCTTTGTGCTTTGGACTGTAGTTCGAAAGATTTTCAGTAATTGCTCTACATTTCATTCAAACATCTTATATAGCAGTACAGTGTAGACCGCATATAACGCATGTCGCGGGAGTCGCGAAAATCTGCACTATAAGCGGTACCGCGCTATAACCAAAACATCAATTTTTCAGGCCAAAATACATGCCATGAGACAACTTACCTTTGTAAAAGAATTTATTTTATGTTAGTTTGAAAAAAGTCTTTATTTCATTAGACTAGTACACTTCTCTCTCAAGTGTGCCACACATTTTCAAAGAAATGAGCGACTTTCGCCTGGCGCAGCCTTTTGACGGCATCGTGGGAGGGGGATGGACGTTGCGAGCGTTCAGGATTGCTAACCCTAATCACTTTTCTCCGGTGATAAAAACGCGTGAAAATTCGTATCCTTTATACGGTACGTGCCAGTAATAGTACCTTCAACTTGAGCACAGGCGTAAAATGCTCCAAATAAGAAATCTGGGCGATGTTCGAAAACAGAAATGCTTAGAAATCACCACTGTAGTCGAAGTAAACAACCACGACAACACGGGCGTTTCTGCCATCTTGAGAGTGCCGCCACGACATCGCCGCACGAGTAGGTGGATCTTCCCTTCTAGTACGTGCTGGGTTATTCGCTCACACAACGAAAATTCACAGTCAAGGATAGCGCTTTTACGCGGAACGATGAGCTTCCACCACGCCGTCCACGTCAACGATTACAACCGACGCCATGTTTGCGGATAGAAGCAGCCGGCCCGCGACCGGCATGCAACGCGCGTGAACACTTCTCTTCGACCTGCAATTGGTCTGTCGTTGCAGTTGTTTTCCAACGCAGCGGAGGGACGCACACACATGAACGACACATGCGTGCGTCCCTCCGTTGCTATGGCAACTGAAGCCTCTCTCTTCGCTTCTCCCCGCTTCTTTGAGCAACCTTCTTGCTCCTTGAGGTTGGCATCCTAACTGCCTACCTATTTCATAAGTGATACATTCATCAATTAAATACATTTGTGACATGTTCCTACCTAGTGCTTCTTTTCTTTTGGGAGTTTCCAGCCAGCGTTGCGGAAGACAAAGACTCAAGCTTTAGGCTCTCCAAGTACAGCCATCGCACAAATCCTCGCGTTCAGGTCGTTGATGCCGTCATTTTGGAAAAGGGATCCTCAATCCTTAAGCTCAAAACGGACTCTTTTACAGCGGAGCTGTTAAAGGCTAGTTTTTTCAGTATCATGTCCGCGGGCAAACAAATGTCGGCACAAAACTCCAGACAGCTACCGCCATCTATGAGCGATGGCGGCAACCGGATTGCCGGTTGTCTGGTTGCCGCCGTCGCTCATAGATGGTGGCAACCTTTCCAACCTTTCCACTCTGGTTTTCACCAGAGTCGAAAGGCTGACTTTCTCTAGGCGTCGTCCTAGAAGTCGTCGTTGAGGTCGTCGTAGACGTTGTCCTTGAGGTTGTCTTCGAAGTCGTCCTAGAAGTCATCCTTGAGGTCGTCCTAGACATAGTCCTTGCAGTCATCCTAGAAGTCGTCCTTCAGGTCGTCCTAGACGTAGTCCTTGCAGTCATCCTAGTCGTCGTCCCTGAGGTCCTTGAGGTCGTCCTCTAGGCATCTCCTCGAAGTCATCCTAAAAGTCGTCCTTGAGGTCGTCCTAGACTTTGTCCTCGAGGTCGTCCTTGGGGTCGTCCGAGACGTCATCCTTTAGGCATCGTCCGAGACGTCATCCTTTAGGCATCGTCCTCGACGTCGTAAAGATGACAGCTTTGCTGGTCCTCCATCTTCACGTAAAATGTAAGGCGTCTAAATTTCTTTTTCCCCCCACTTTCCTCTGGGTGTTGCAGCATGGAGGAATGTGAGGCCCTTTGCACCCGGCTGGCCATCATGGTAAACGGGCACTTCAAGTGCCTGGGCAGCATCCAGCACCTCAAGAACCGCTTTGGCGAGGGCTACTGCATCACTGCACGCACCAAGGGAGCGTCGCACGATGCCATCTCGGCCTGGTTCCACAGGGTCTTCCACAATGCCACTCTCAAGGCAAGATGGTTTCGCCTCAAGCTAACTTAAAATAGCTTTCTTAATTGTACTGTAAAAAACATCATTTTTTCAGGCTCAATATTTCGTGAATTTCCCAACGTGAGAGCTTTGAGAATATTTTGCGAGCACAAAATTTCTTAGTTTAGAGTGATATGTTGTGTATTCGTTACCAAGAGCTGATACATTCGCACAATAAATTTTTCGCGGTATTTTTCAGGTCGCGAAGCTTGAGAAAATTATTCACAAAAATTTAGTTGTTTACAGTATGTGTAGTACATAATTGTTCTCAAAGGCGAGGACTACCTGAATTCAAGAGAATATTGTGATGTGGGACACAGAAAAAAGTAGTGTGCAAAGCAGTGCATTGATAACCTGTGCACTTGCGGCGGTAAGGCAAAATGACCAGTACGAGGAGATTGTCTGAAGGTCAGAAATTGTGTACATGTGAACAGGAAGTTTTTGTTGTTTCTGCTGCTATGAGAAAGCTTCCATTCAGTACTGGGAGCTTGTTTGCTTATAACTGTATGTGCAATAATTCCAGACAAATGTTCGTTATCATTGTGTGCTACCTACCTAAAATGTTGAACATACTTGTTAAGTCAATGTCTTACTTGGATCTACTTACCACTCTTCATATTCTGAGTTACCTATTTGGATGGGGTTGTTCGGAGGTTTAATTCTTTAATAACTCTCCTGGAAAAACAATTCCAACATACAGAATTATGAAGAGGAGCCATATTGTTTCCTCACCTTAAGGAGTGGTCATAATGTTTCATGTTTAAATTTCACCTTCTGTACGATTACTAGTACCACTTCGAGTACACCTACCCAAAAGAAGACCCTATACATAAAAAAGTGTAGGCAAGCAGCACATTAACCATTCAGCTGACCTAAAATTTCTACTACGTACATACATAAGTCGTGAAGCTTCTTCCGCTTTGTCTGTTTCTTAAAAGTACTAAAATTGTGCGGTTGCCAATTGCAGGAGCAGCACTTCAACATGCTCCAGTATGAGCTGAAGTCTGAAAACATCTCCTTGGCATACGTCTTTTGCCAAATGGAACAAGCCCTCGGGGAACTTCCCATAGAGGAATATTCCGTGTGCCAAAACACCTTAGACAATGTGAGTGACGCAACTGGATGCTTCCGTCATTCCTCACTTCGATTTTTGTGCAGTGCTAGTTAGGTGTTTCAAAAAGGCGTGTTATCGAACGTAACTAGTTTAATGCTTGACAAAAGGTTACAACGTGGACGGTATCTGCGTCCGCCATGCTCGCCGGTTTCTTCGTCTCCTGGCGTAGAGGAAGGGGGAAGGCCCGTACGCCACCGCATGCCTTGGGTGGTGGCGCCATCTGTCGGCTCATCTTGTAACATCCTCCTTTGTTTAAGTAGGGACTACCCCACAATAAAGTCTTGAAACTTCTTTGGTAGAGCTGCTGTTCTCTTTGGGCGCGTAGGGGTATGGATTGGGGCGAATTGGTGGTCAGGCTCGTACGTCTCAGGTACTGGTGTCGTGTCTGGTTCGCGCTGAGGGGAACTTTTGACCTGGGGTGTTCTGTGGTGCCCACGATCGTCCTGAGTAGTAGTAGGGACATCTGCTTCAGCCTGTTGGCAACTGGGTACATCTCGTATGTGCACTCTGTTGCGGCGTAGCACGCCGTCACTAACCTGTACCTTATATGACCTGTCACCACATTGCTCCTTGATGGTTCCCTTTGTCCATAATGCTTCTTTGGTTGGGAGAACCATCACATCTTGTCCCATGCTCAGAGGATGGAGGTCTTTAGCCTGTTTGTCGTGATAGAAAACCATCCTTCGTTTCTTCTGCTCCAACTGGTTTCTGGCACTGACAGTTTTTGGCAGCAGCTGCTTAGTTGTCGTTGGTACACATGTGCGTGTGCGTCGACCCATGAGGAGCTGTGCAGGGCTTGCATGCATGTGTTGCAGCGGCGTGTTACGATGGTCGAGAAATGCCATCTGAGGATCGCCATTGCTTTCGTCTGCTTTCTTTAAGAGCATTTTGACAGTCTTCACGGCAGACTCAGCCATACCGTTCGATCTTGGGTATCGTGGGCTGGACGTGACATGTTCGAAGTTCCAATCTATTGAGAATTTGTTGAACGCTTCACAAGCGAACTGTGAGCCGTTGTCTGTGATCAGAACACTTGGGATGCCGTGTCTTGCGAAGTGTGCTTTCAGTCTGCGTATCACATGGGCAGATGTTAACGAGTTGAGTTGGTCGACCTCCCAGAAGTTGCTGTAATAGTCCACTGTGACTAGGAAGTGCTTGTTCTTGTGCTCCAGTATGTCGCATCCAACACGTTCCCACGGAAAGTCTGGTCTCGGGTGTGGTTTCAGCGTCTCTCGTTGTTGCGCTGGTGCATGTTTCTGACACACATTACAGGCTGATATGTGGTCCTTGATTTCAGCATTCATGCTCGGCCAGAAAATACTGTCACGTGCACGTCGTAGAGTGCTTTCGATACCCATGTGTGATGAATGTAGCTTTTCTTTCATCTCTCCTTGAAGTGCTTTTGGTATCACCAGTCGTTGTCCCTTGTAAACAATGTCATCTTCCACGACAAGTTCGTCTCGGAAAGGGAAGTACATCCTGATTTCTGGTGCAACATTGTGCCTTTCCTGTGGCCATCCTGTTAGGATCACTGCTGTCAGCTTTTGCAAGGTTTCATCCCTCAGGGTTGCGTTGCGGATCTTCTCTGCAGTATCCTTTCGCACAGGTAGGTGGTTCACCACGTTGATGTCTTCAAGCTGCTGTTCGCAATGGTCGTCTGGCAAGAATGCTCGTGACATCGTATCGGCCAGTAGAAGTTCCTTTCCTGGTCGGTACTGCAGGTCAATGTTGTAGCGTTGAGTCTGTAGGATCATCCCTTGCAGTCTTCTTGGAACTTGGTCCAGCTGCTTCTTCATGATGGCTTGTAGTGGCTTATGGTCTGTGATTACAGTCGTCAGTCTTCCGAAAGTGTACTGGTGAAACTTGTTCAACGAAAAGACTATGGCAAGCATCTCCTTCTCTATCTGGGCATACCGGACTTCAGTAGGCGTGAGAGCTCTGCTCGCAAAGGATAATGGCTGTCCATCTTGAAGGAGTGCAGCTCCTAAGCCACGTTCACTGGCATCGCATTGTACCATCAGCGGTTTCTGCGGATTGTAATATGCCAACACTGGGGCTCTTGCTACCAAGTTCTTTGTCTCTTGAAATGCGTTGTCTTGTTCATCGCTCCATGCCCATGGTTCACTGTTGATGACCAGCTTTCTGAGCGGTTCTGTGACCTGGGAGAGCTTTGGCAGAAAGCGTGCAAGGTAATTGACCATTCCACAAAAGCGTTGCACACCTTGGACGTCAGTTGGTGGGGGCATTTCTTGAATGGCTCTGACCTTTTCAGGGTCAACACGTAGTCCGTCTTTTGTCAGCAGGTGCCCCAGAAATGTTGTACTTGTGCGATGCAGCTCCGTCTTGTCTCGGTTGAGTCGCACACCAATCTTCTGACATCTCTGCAGCAGGTTTTCCAGCTTCTTGTCATGGTCACTGCGCGCTTCTGCATCGGTTTCGCCGATACCATATACTAGAATGTCATCTGCCACACACAGCACACCACTCAATCCATCCAGAGCTGACTGCAGTCTTTTCTGAAAGATTTCGCTGCTGACAGCGAGTCCAAATGGGAGGCGTAGCCATCGGTAGCGTCCCATTGGTGTCTGAAAGGTGGTGAGGAGGCTAGACTCTTCGTCCAGGATACATTGCCAGTAGCCGTCTCGTAGGTCCAACTTCGAGAATATCTTTGCCTTTGCGACTTCAGGCAAAATGTCATCCAAGATCGGTAAGGGGTGCCTCTCCCGCTCTAAGGCTTCGTTGAGAGCCTGAGGATCAATGCAGATTCTCATTTCACCATTTTTCTTTGTAGCGATGACCATTCGGCTGACCCAAGGTGTCGGTTCCGTGACACTCTTGACGATTCCTGCTTGTTCCAATCGTCTTATAGTTGTCTCGAGTTGAGGCTTGATGTTCACTGGGACTCGGCAACTTGTCACTGCTTTGGGACATGCCGCTGGTTTGGTCACAAGGTGTACGGTCCCGGGCAGAGAGCCTACAGAGGTTCCAAAAACATTGGGGTACCTCTTCGTAATGTGGTCTCTTGAGTTCACTTCACCAACGCTGGCAACCAGGTCGTAGTCAACCGTGATTAGCCCGATCAGTTCAGCTGTCTTGCGTCCTATGAGGGGTGTGAAGTCGTTACGGACCACAATGAAGTCAACGACGTGTTTCTGCCCGTTGGCTGTAGTCACCTTCAGCCTTGCCTTGCCAGATGGGATGACTTTCGTGCCATTCCACATGCACAGGGTTGTCGAGGTTGGCTCGATCTGTCTGGGCGTCACACTCTTGTAGTTGATAACATTCACTGCAGCTCCACTGTCCACTTGGAACTTGACTTTTCTTTCATTGACGGTCAAGGTTGCAAATAACGAGCTTGCTTTGCCGTCCTGCACCGTGAGTATCTCTTCTGTTGAGTCGTCGTCGTGCTCCTCCACACTGGCGACGGTCTTGGTGCTTTTGCATACCGCTGCAAAATGGTTCCGCTTCTTGCACTTGTTGCAGGTTTGGTTCCATGCTGGACATGCTTGTCTTGCGCGCTCGTGAGTCCTGCCGCAGTATTTACAGCTCTGTACTGGTTGCTTGAACGCAGTCTGTTTGTCTTTCTCTCGGTCGGCACGTGGTTGTCGGCGGCGATTGCTGCTACCTTTCATTGCGTGGACTTCCTCGGCGACCGTGGTGCCTTCTCTGAACACCTTCATTTGAAGCTTCGTCGACTCGTGCGCTAGGCACACTTTGACTACTTTTTCGAGCGTCGGTTTCTCTAGTTTCAGAATGTCCGCACGTGCTTTCTCGTCGTTTACTCCACAGACGATTTGGTCACGGATCATCTTCTCCTTTTCTGTTCCGAAATTGCAGTCGCGGGTTTTCAGTTTCAGGTCGGTCAGAAAAGTGTCGAACCTCTCGTCGGGGAGTTGTACTCGCATGCGGAAGACGTAGCGTGAGTACACTTCGTTCTGCTTCGGCAGAAAGTGCGCATCCAGTAGCTTCACAACGTGGTCGAAGTCAAATTCAGGGTGCGGTCTCGCTTCCGTACACTCTCCGAACTCCAGAGTATTGTAAATGTCTAGCAGGCTTGGTCCTCCAACCGTGAGAAGAAGTGCGACTTGCCTTTCCGATGATGCTCCAGCGGCATCGGTCGCTTTCAGGTACAGCGTGAAGGCTTGTTTGAACGTGCGCCATTGTTCCGCAGCGTTGCTGGCGTTTTCAAACTTCGGCGGCGGCGGGATCCTGTCCATGCTTGCTTCCGTGGTCGTGGCGGTCGTAGCTCAAGCGTTGGCTATTGCCGCTTCTGACACCATGTTTCAAAAAGGCGTGTTATCGAACGTAACTAGTTTAATGCTTGACAAAAGGTTACAACGTGGACGGTATCTGCGTCCGCCATGCTCGCCGGTTTCTTCGTCTCCTGGCGTAGAGGAAGGGGGAAGGCCCGTACGCCACCGCATGCCTTGGGTGGTGGCGCCATCTGTCGGCTCATCTTGTAACATTAGGCTTCCTTCTGTTTTTGATCACAGATAAACAAGTAAGTAGACTGTACAATCACTTATAACTTGGAAGGATTTTTGACACTGGACTACCGTTTCAGCATTAAAATGTGGGGGCTAGAGGCACGCGCATCTTGAGCTCCGAGCTTACAAAGAAAGCCAGCGTGGCTGTCGCTTGGGGCTAGGCTCGTGCCAAATGCACCGATGGAACCACTATACGAGCGTGCGCAGATCCTGACATACAACGGTGTAGTCGGCAAATGGATAAGATGTTGGATTCCTTTTCGAGGCACTTGCACCATAAAAAGAAGAAGCAGGTATGCGTAGCAAAATGAGAGCATTTTAGTCTAGGTACCGCTATTGCAATCAACTTCTCTCACACCTGTTTAAAAAAAAAACAGTAAGGAGTTTGAATCGAATTGAGTACTAACCTTCATACTAGACGTTTTTAACCCATGCAGAGCCTTTAAACGGAATCTCGTCAGCGTGCCTCTCGAGCCCACCAGTCCCCTCGTTTCTCCCAGGTGTTTATAAACTTTGTGAAGCAGCAGTCCGAAAGGGGCCGCGAGCCCGGGGCATGGTCTGCGGGCAAGCGCAGCTTGGTCGCCTCCGGCCAGAGGGGCCGCCCTCCCCTTCCTCTGGACGACACCATTGGGGACAGCGACGAGGATGAAGACATCCAGCAGCGCCTCCAGCGATCCCAGGTAAGGGCCATAGACGGAGCTACAGCCATAGCCGTAGAAGGAGCTACAGCTATAGCCATAGATATAGTATAGCTGTAGCTGAACCAAGCCTGTGTGTGCAAACAGTATTGAAAACTGGTTGTCGTTTAACACTTGGAGGCAATGTCAACAGCTGCACTTTTTAGTGCCAAGCATCATAGGGCCAGCTCTTGGGGTCTTTCGTGTTTGTGCTGCGATGTAGCTTTGACGACATCACAATTTCGTGCGATGGTACCGCGACATCATCCCAAAGGCGCTCCAAGTGCATAGCATTTATAGACAACGTCATGGTGTCATCTGACATGGGGCGACGCCATGAAGCGACGCTTTGACGTCTAGTCGCACCACGACGTCACAAAGGCTTTTTTCACTTGCACAGTGCATTGAGGAGAAAGGGAAAAATGTTTCGATGTTCCCTCTCATGCTCTTCACAGTGGCACAAATCACACTGCCAGAATAACATTTATAAACAAGTCTGCCTCAGGCCAAAATATTTTGCCACATCAGCAAAGCGAAGTCCTTCCGTAAATTCAGTAGTCAGTCGTTTGTATTAGCGTATTTCCTCGCACAATGAACACACCCACGTAATAAACGCACCCCCCAAATCGGCTCTCAAAATTTCGACTTTTTTTTTTTTTTCACTCGCGTATTAAACGCACTTTCAACTCAGAAGTCAAAATTTTGACCCCCCCCCCCCCCCTTTCCCCACGCGCGTGAAATGAACGCACTTTTCTATCCTGGTGCAGCCAGGTCGCGAATGCAAGGGCAGCGTGGGCGAACAAAACGCCTTGCAAAAGGCATTAAAAAATAAAAAAAAGATCCAACGAAAGCAAGAAAAATACAACATGGAGAGGAGCTTTTTTTTTTTTTTTTGCACAGCGTAGTCTGGATTTTGAGTCGCACACCGCGTGCAATGAGATAAGAGAGAGAAGTAAAGAAGCCCTCTGGGCTTACAAAACGCCTTGCAAGAGGCCTTAAAAATAATAAAAAAAAGATCCAATGGAAGCAAGAAAAAAAAGAAAACATTGAGAGGAGCTTTTTTTTTTTTTTTTTGCACAGCACAGTCTGGATTTTGGGTGGCGTGCCGCGCGCAAGGAGATAAGAAAGTGGAGCAGAGAAGCCCTTGCCTAAGCAAAGCACGCATAATGAAGGCATCCTGCCCTCGCCTCCTCCTCCTTTTCGCACTTTGGAAAGAGAACGACTTCTCGAAATGGACACACTTTTCTATCCTGGTGCAGCGAGGTTGCGAGTGCATGGGCGTGGGCAAACAAAACAGCTTGCGAAAGGCGAAAAAAAATTTAAAAAACAAAAAGAAAAAAAAAAAAAAAACAGGGAAGCAAAAAAAACAAACATGGAGGACCTTTTTTTTTGTGTGTGCATTGCAGTTTGGTTTTTGAGTCGCGCGCAAAAAGATAAGAAGTTACGTCGATTTTTCGAAATAAAAGGTCCGTTCAATATGCGAGTAAATACGCACGCAAAAATTTTACTTCGCGTAATGAACCCCCTTGACTTTGCATCGATTTTTTGGAAAAAAAAAAAAGTGTCCATTCTGCGAGTAAATACGGTAGTGCCAGTTCAACTCGAGGGCAAGTGTGTCTAATGTCTCATTTTAAATGCGGTGTTGGGGGTGATGGGACAGGAATTGGTCTGAGGAGGAAGGCATAGAGATGTTCTGTGTGTTACGTGTGGCCCGCGACACTTCAATCTAGGTTGGGTCCTGGTTTTGCTGCTAGTTTAAGCTTGCATTGTTTCCACCACATGTCAAGGTCAAAAACCAGAGCTGAACGTTAATGTCTCCTTTCCTATTCTCAGAGTCACTTGGCCTTCCTCAACATGGATGTGGACTGTTGAGGTCCGCCACCGCCTAGTGCGCCGACCGAGCAAGACGAGAGAAATGGTCCCTCGTAGAAGCTGCCTCTGCATAATCGACATTCTACTCGCTGCCCCTCGTGATCGGGCGTTTTGGCCTACCGGGGGCTCCGACCGTGACCGGACGACGGCTGCCGCCACTTATTGTGATCTTTTCTACTTGGTCTCGTGGTATTTGTCCTTTTTCTAAGTCCACACATTCATTCTAGTCAACTCGCTTACTTTTGATTTTTTGCTACTGCCCACGAGAGTCCACTGCCGCCATACTTATGCATTAGCATGCCGTACATTAAAGGTGGTCACATAGAATTGTTTTCTGCCAGTGCCTCAGGTCTGTGTACTTGTCACACCCGCCTTCTCATCTCGTTTTTCATCGAGCCCTTAGAATTGTGAAGTTTTTTTTCGTGTACCTCTCATACTTACCAAGAACTTTCGAGCAAGAGTTGCGGCTTAACAGCACGCTTAAGGATGAGGGAATTTGTGACAAGAATGACGGCCAGGCCTCTGAAGCACCTTCGGTAAAATTATTTTGTGACAGTTTGGACCGAAGATGGGGCCGAGGCTTGAAGAATATCGAGATTGAGAACTGGTCGGAGGCTGCTTCTTAGTGCGATTTCGGCCGTTAGGCAACAACATTCACGGCAGCGGAACAAAGAGTGGGCTTTGTCTTGGGTCGATACCTGTGCTTGTGCGAAAAGGAAACCCCTATATAAAATATTTGTTCTTAGTCTAGTTTGTTTTTTCATTATTTTGTGGTACGGGGCTAGTTTCTGCGGCATAAAAGTGCTGCTTTTATAAAATAATAAACAGCATTTTATGGTTATAGAGCATTTACATATTTCCCGAATCATATTTAATGGACAAATGCAATTTGCATTTATGGACTACCAGTAAAGCAAAAGGGCACATCATCCAGTGTATCCTGCAGGCGAAGCCGGGAGACAGGAATGGCACCCAGACTGCACGCTGGCATTTCTGGCATGATCGTGCAGAGAATTCGGAGGTGCAGAGAAATGTTGCCGAATGTGTTTGGAGACGGCCTCCTTTTTTTCTACAAAGCCTGTCAATCCCACAACGAAGCCATTGAGCGCGTGGCTGCCGGAAAAAGGCGAGGAGCAGTGCCAAACATACACCCATATGGTAGCGCATAGCCACTTTTACGTCACCCCAAAAGTGGCTCTGCGCCAGCAATGCGCACGGTGGTCTCTCCACAGAATAACAACAAACCGTAACGGAGAAAAAGAGAAAGGAGGCTATGGGTGCATGAAGAAACAGGGAAGGGGCTGAAGAAAGGAGGGTCTACGCAAAATGTTTTCCTTTCCTGAAAACAACATAACAAAAAGGAGCATGTTCGTCTTTCCGGATTTTACCGCTGAGGCATTGCTTGGGGCTGCCAGAAAGAGCACGCCCTTTTCTATCTCTTCTAACAGCGGCCACATTCTTTCGCGATTTGACAGGCTTTCCAGAATAAAGGAGGCTATGGTTTGGAATGTCGGGTGTTACGATAGCCTGGTGAAACTTCTATGGAACCTGGGCTCCGTGCAATGGCAAGTCACAAATAACCTTACGATAATTCAATCGTAATGTGCAAACAAAGAAAAAAAAAAAAAGATTTCAGTCCGACATTTGCTTATGCATGGTTTTCCCAACACGTGCATAAACAAACCAACTGAAAAGGATTAAAAAAACAAATCAGTATCCCAATTGAGTAACTGTAAATAATTATGGGGTTAGACATTATTTGTTTAGTCATATCGGCAAACTATTTACAGTTACCCACAAGCAGAGCCAAAGTAAGGCAATCTATTTATTGAACTATGTGGCTTTTGAAGCCGCAGATATACGGTGTGCTGTCACGGGAGGATTTTAAATTTGTCGAGCTTCACAAGTTGTTCAGCAGTTGGTTTAAAAATAAATCAAAATCGTCTCGCAAGCTTCAAACATTGTTGTTCTCACATTGCACCATGTCATCGCTGTGTGCAGTGCACTGAAAAAATACACAGATGATGTTTGAGAGACATGAAAGTGTGTACGCGAGGATTGGTATGCAATTCTGCTAAGGTGCATTGGCTGTATAATAACATGCTCTCTATTGCATACCTCAAGGCATGGATTTCCTTAACAAGTTGCTACCTTTGACAAAGTACTGTGATTATGCTATTATACTACTACTATACCAAGCCACTTGTTATCATATTCATGCATATCCTCGCTGTACTTTTTCTACTCGCGCAACTGTAGTTTCATTTGTGATAGTTCTGTTGCTTTTGAAAGTCGGAACTGTTATATTTGCACTATTGTTCTACTGCTCAGTTTGTACATAGTTTAATTTAGAAGTGCTTTTTGTATTTATTGTTATTTTTTGTGTTTATATGGTATAAAGATATGTGCTTATAACATTAAAATTTATCTGTGTGCATGGGTCATTCGTTGCTTTCTATTTGATCTTCAACACAACCCTGAAAAGCTGGAGAACATTTTGATTTTGCATAGATCATTAAAATACTACTTATAGAAGTTGTTATTGGCATTTTAGATGAATTCCATCCTCTTCAGTGCAGTCAGATTGAAGTCATTCAGTGCCGATTCATGGCCCCTGAAGACGAGCGTACATGTTCCTGTGTGCCTTTTGAGTGTTGTAGACTCGTAAATCGGAGCAAAAAAAAAAAAACTATTTTTCCCGTTGTGCAGTTTTTGTGGCTAAACATCGCTATAAAAAGTGTCCCATGCAAGTGATACGCATAATCGTTTTGCTTGGTGTACAATTTGCGAGTAGTTTGGGGCAAGCAAGCAAGCATGCTGCGTGTGTATGCCCTTTACTGTGCAATAGTTTCTTTTGACTGTCGTGTTGTTCCAAGGAATTTCTATTAAACAATTAAGCCATCCAAGAGAGTTCAATGCAAGTTTCTTCCCTGGGTAGGCTTCGGTCTTTGACAAAACGCGAGCTTTATTCTCGGGATAACAAAACCATTGAAAACTGCTTCAAATCTCTGTAATAATGTTCCTTCACACCATTTGCTATCACCTCTTGTTTGTTGGCCAGATATTGACCAGTGTCATACTCTTAAAAAACATGGATTCTAAACTGGGTTCCCCGGAACATGGGGGTTCTCTTTTCTCAGCCGTCCCTGCTGCCAAGTAAAACAATTTTAACACAAAATGTGTTTTATGGGTCATTTTCTACAATCAAATTGTCCCGAAGGAACGTTCGTGAACGAGCGACACGCTGGAAGCGTCTCGCATTTTAAAGGCCAACGACGAGCAACCAGAAAGGAGGAAACTCCCCCTCCTTTCCATTCGAGAAAGAGACACCCTCCTCCTTTTTGCGGAGATTTGTTGAGAGCAACACCTCCTAGTCTAGGACGGCTTCGGCACTTGCGAGTTGGCATGCAAAGATGGCGGAGATGCCATGACCCGGCGGCCGGCAGCGGTGGCCCAGCGGCGGTGGTGCTGACAGTGCACGTAGTACAACCAACTGCGCATACGTGGCTGTTCAAATTGGGAGAAGACGTCGGAGCTGTTTGCACTGTTTCTTTGTTTTCCTCCACCCGTCGTCCGCCCTGCCTTGGCTTAAAACGTATGCGCGCGTTTCTTCGGCGGATCAGCGTGCCAAATAAATGTTGCGCTACAGGATATCGCAGAAACTTCAAAAATACCGAAAAAGCGTATGTGTTTAAGTTCCCTCAGGACGCTGACCTGCGGCAAGCGTGGACAAGAGCCATACTGCGGGAGAATCTTGCGTCTCAACACACCAGGGTAAGAACACTCTCTCATTTTGATTTGCTGTCTCTCTTGCATAGCTTCAGTTGCTTCCCAAGTTCTTCTGAGCTTCCGTCGAATGACTTGCATTGGTTGGCATCATGTCGGGCGTCATTAAAAAATGGCTCCATGTGCTCAAAGGCCGTTAGTAGTATGTGGTTACGTTCGACAGCTTACGTCGAGAACTTGAGATGCGACTGGCACTTAGACAGCCTGTTTGTACAGAGCCCGTCTTGCCCATGCAATTCCTCTTCCGGATGGATATGACATTGAATGCTGTGCCAGTTGGCCAGGTTAACGGCTCCTTCATTAAACAATTCATTCTACTGCTATGACTGGGCAACCACAGATTTTCCTCAGTTTTTTTTATGCTGTAAAGTATTTAAAAAAAAGAAAGGAGGCATGTAAAAAAGTCACATCTATCCGTGTAAAAAGATGTGCACATGAAAAAATGTTGACAAGCGTGTTCGTGCACAAATATATTTATCGGGGAATCTGCACTTGGTGCGACACAGGGGAACCAAATAAAAAGTACTCGCAAATTGCTGTCACTTATACAAAGGCAAATTTGTTTCTCAGGCGTGCGAGCTTGACTTCACAAAGCGATATCCTTCAAAAGACGTCCATTGCATTGCATTCACACAAAAATTTATTCCTGAGGTTGCATTGCTGCCCAGACTTACTTAAAAGCGGATGCCACTAGGTTTTGTACCAGGAGATTTTTAGAGCCTTCGTCGAACTGACTGCTGCAAGACAGATTGGTTGATGGGATGCGACTTGTATATAAGCAAACAAAAGAAATAAATTTGCCGCACCAATGTATCTACGTACAACTCAGTTTGCACGACTACATTACTGGCTGTTCAGAAACCTTCATACTTTGTTGAAGACATGGGATGAAGGACCCAAAAGTTGCATCCTGATAATGTTGGCAGTGTAAGCTGCTCTCATTGTATGATAAACTTCCGAATCTTGAATTGGAAGATACACGAGAAGATTTCAGGTAATTCTAGTTGCAAAAAGAGCTAAACTGTCCTTCAGAATAAATTGAAATCCTTGTCTAAACTTTTTGCACAAATAAAAACTCGAGGTCAAAAGGAACATCGGACCTCTAGCTTTTGCTTTTATATACACAGCTTAGTTTCAAGCCAGAGTGGTTATTACATGTGTTTACTTCGTAAATTGTGCTGGTACTGTGATCTGTAACGGCATTTTCGATCGTCCTTTACCATGCAATTTTTGGCAAGTACTCTTCATAAATAATCCATCTTGCGGGTATAATTTCATCATTCAGACTTTCGTGCTTACGAGAAAAACATATCTATCTTGAGACCTCATTATACACCTACCCTGTTCTTCCATTTTACATCAATGAGTTTATATAACAATAATTCGCCAGTTGAAAATCAGCTTCCTAACTCAAATGATCTGCATGGTGGCCTTTAAAGAAATGAACTCGCATGCATCAATAAGAACTCTGCCACGACGGTAAATCCCCGTGAATTGCCTTCTCAACGCAGCCCCGATGGCCTTCTCTTTCAGCCATGCAGACAAAGCGCTGAGGCCTTCCTAGTCTATACTCCATGTCACTAGTTGTGTGCAGTGCAGGCGAAGGCAATGCCAGGCAACGAAAGAAAGGGCGAGTACGAGGGAGGCAGGACGGGAGAGGGGGGCAATGGAGGGCAAGGGGAGAAAGGGAGAGCACAAGGAGCATTAGAGAAAAGAGATTTCTCTCCTCCTCCCCAGCCTTCCTGGTACTTGCATTTTCTCCCCTTGCTTTAAGGTGCCTTTGCCTGTACTGCACGCAACTAGTGACACAGTGTAAAGGAGGTGTTGTTCAGAGACCCACTCATGTGTATAGAGGGGGAGGTGAGAGTGCGAGGGGGAATGGAAAAAAGGAAACTAGGAACTAGTTTTCTGCCCGGCAGAAGACGTTCCCGTAGGTCGGTTACAAGCCCCAACAGGGCTCGAACCTGGGTCTGTACTAGCACAGCTCTTCTGGAAGGGTAAATTCTTTCGTTCGAACGCAAGCGTGCTGGTGAGAGCAGCAGGTTTTGGATGCAAATAATAAATAGAATACAATTAAAATAAAATGAGTAAAAAGCAAATAAAATAGGCAATAAAATAAAAAATAAACAAAAACTTTTTTTTTGCCGTCAAATATTGGGGGAGTACCCACCGCACTTTCACTGAAAATTGGGTTAATCTAGACATAAGCACTTGTCCGGTAAAATTGGGCATTTAACACATCATTTGCAGAATTCCCAAGTTTGGGAAATGTTAATAGTGGGTTCTTGAACGAAATGGGAGCTTCCACATTATTTTACGGTAAATACAAAGATGAAAAATCTAGCACAAACCCCCCATGGTGTGCAATTTGTGCAGGACACATTCTGCGCTCCCTGGTCTCTGTCGGCATGATCACGCCTCTATAGTTTTCTAGTTTGAAGCACTTTAGCAGAACTACAGTGTGAGCAGCACACTGGATAGTATGAATATTATTGTTTACTTGGTCTGTAGGCTTGTTTGCAACATTACTGCATCAATGCTGAGACTGGGGAGGGCTGTCTCAGCTCATAGAGTGGAATGGGTGTTCCTCAAGATCAATCTTTCAAGACCCCTGTTCTAAACAAACGTCAGGTGCAACATGGGTAAACTCAGCGTCACTTTTCAACTTTCCGCAAGCAGCACACTTCATCTCGGTAAATTGTTCCGATTACACACAAGCTAGGCAATCTGAAAATCATAAAGCAATAAAATTCCTGATAGTGCTCTCCAGTAGGCACATCCAATTTGCCTGCGCTGCCTGTGTTTGCATAGACCAGTACGCCGTCCGTGTCCCCTGCAAAGCGCCGCCACCGCTCTGTACACGCACAAAGTGCCACGAAAAATAAAAACCATGAGCAGTGCAATTTGTTCCTCATAGACCCAGGTTATTAAAAGGAATTTTAGATTAGTAATGTGCAACTAGATGATAATTCAGGGCCCCTAGCATGCAATTGTCAGATATCAATGCAGCAATTAAGTGTTAATAGCTGGGGGAAAAAAGTTGGTTCCCCACAAAATTCCGCATGTATACTTTCTGTGAGCAGAATCAGATATAGCAGCTGCACAAGCCTTGTCTTCAGGCTGGCATTGGTATGACACTGCAAAAGCTGGAGATGAACCACAGTGATGAAAATCCAAATTAACTGAACTTTCTATTTTTATTGACCTTCAGAAGAAAACACACAATAATTTACTTACAACTCTTACTAGTTTTCAACAGGTAATCATCCCACATTTGCAAAAATATTACTTTGATCAGGCATTGTGGGTCTATATAAAAAGGATGGTAGGTGGTCTTGAGGATTTGAATATCCCTGAATTGGCACTTGATGGTTGAAGGCATGGCACACATCCGGCCATGCAGTGACAGTAGCCCTTTAAGCAGCACGATTTGGCCCCAGGAACACGCACCGGAACAGATTCACGGGTCCACTCTCTCACATCTTCCGGATTCTAGATTAACACCTCGCGTATTGAGAGAATCGAGATACATTAGCACTCATCAGTTTGAAGAGTCCAAATCGACACTTATTAAGTTTCCTTTCCCCTAGAACTGTAAAAGATTTGAATAATCTCCTGCACAATATTTGTCATTGGACTGTTTAGATGAATTTGAGAGTGCCTTTCTGAATGTATGCAAGATAGACTGACAAATAGTAGTTCAAATTTTTTTGCTAAGTAAGGGTTGTTGAGTGCCGAAAATTGTTTTGTTGAATGCTAGATGATATATTGAATGTTTGTGCTATTTCAGCCGCTTTATTATAAGTAGATGTCGTTGAATGCCTACTGTATTGTAGTCCTGATGTTGTATGTTTGAGTGTTCTCTGATACCCCACACCTGTTAAAGTCCCATACTTTGGGTGAACAGCGTTCATAAATAATAAATTAATAAAAAAATTTTGGCAAGACATTTTTGACTAGCGGTAGCTCAATGTACCATCGTAGAACCTTTGGTGATACTGATGTACACCGTGACAACCTATGGTCAAGGCTGGTAATGGGGTTTCACAAACCCAGATGGGATCATACATTAAGCCTGAACAATTGTTAGGGGAAAAAAAAGGCTTTTGGTAGAACTCGCCTATTTGAGTTTCACCAAAAATTCTCAGTTTTCAGACTGCAGATTATTTCGACAGGAAGATAGGAACTGTACATAGTACCGATCTAAACATATCTTCTGAAAGAGCTTAAGAAACAGCCTAGAGCCACAGTACGATAAAACCGAAACCAAAACTAACCTGCATCTTTTTTGGTCCACCGTTTTGCTCTGGTGTCGAATGTATAAACATCAGCACATGGGCAGCTGGAGCTTGTTTTGCCCAGCGTCGGAAGCAGTCAAAAGGCTGCCACGATTGTCCATGGGAAAGAACGGCTGACGATTCTTCAAGCTTGTCCGAGTCAAGCAATGATTAGCAAATATCACAAGATTTTCAGCATGAAATTTCAGACAATTCACCATTCATACTTGATCCGCCAACATCGCCTTCGGGGAGACATGGTGGCTGCATTCGTGATCCACCTACATGTGGAGCCAGATACTGCCTCAAAAGCAGAATGGCATGGAAAGTCCTGTTTGCTAGCATGGTGCAAACTGTTCTCTAGCACGACCCGAACGCTAGGAGTCAGTGTTTGCATTGTTCTGCTCGGACCCAACTTCTCAGTCGGCAACCAATGAGACATCACTTTGCTGCATTTCTTCGCGGTGTTAGTGCACACCACAGCACACCAGCAATCCAGCCACTGCATGCCGCAAATAGCCTAAACAAGGCACAATCTGCAAAACTATGGATGCTCACTATCGCTACAATGCACAACGCTGTGGAGGAAGGGGTGTCGTCTGTTTTCGGATACAACATTTGACGTCACGAATGCCCCTGCTCGTTGTTGCCAGTAGAGCAACAGCCGACGATTCGGAGGTGTACACATAAACTTAAAAAACTGTGTTCCCTAAAAAGAAAGTATATTTCGATTAGATATTGTGTAAACATATACTTGGGGGTGGATATTTAGTGCACAATGAAAAGTTTATAAAAATCGACAACCATCAATATTTTTGGAGCTTTCCTTGAGGGACGAAGACTTCCTCTTATTCTCATTAGACACAACAAAACAGGTACAAATGCCAAAATAGTTTGTATACAACAATAAATGTCAGGACTAGTAGGCAAGAGTGACAGCAATAGCATAAAAATAACTGCGCCGTAAATACAATACTGGACGAGAGATTCAAACTGGGTAAATGCTTTTGGAGGAAAAAAAAACATGGCATCCCACTGTACACATTTTACCGTAAAATACCGCAGAAGTGCCCACTTTGTTCAAGCGCCCAGCCACTATTAACATTTTCCAAATCTGAGGATTCCGAAAATCATACGTTAAGCACCCGATTCGGCTGGATAAGTGCCCATGTCTAGATTAACCCAGTTTTCAGTGAAAGTGGAGTGAACGCTCCACCCTCGGTATTTTACGGTAGTTTGAGTACAGTTTTGCTCATGTGATCAGCTGAACCAAGTGTCACATGACAAAGAGGCTGCGACGAGCTGCGGAAGTTGCTCGTGTACAGAAAAACATAACGACCAAACTTTTCATTTGAGGCACTAGTTATAACAGCACCGTCGGACATGGAAATTATGGTGCATGTTTTCGTCTAGCGGTATGAGCCGTCCACGACTGTGTTCCACCATCAAGACCGATGACAACCCTAATCTCACCAACCTTGTTTCTTGCTAACCGACACGAAGCTACAACTGCGAGCGACCCTCCACGACTCACTAAAGTCCCGCATGCTTCCGAACGTGACACCTCGCTAAGGCGCGAGGCATCAAAGGGAATGGGATAGATCATCTACTGGAAGCCCTTCAAGTTGCCGTTGGATGCAGATCTCAGGCAAGAGAGAGTCCCGCAGGGGGTAACCCTTGTCATCCAGCCTCCTGGCCGAGGTCGGCTCGCAGCTGTCACTGCAGTTCAAGTTGTCGGCCAACCTCATGTTGGCCCCAATCGCCGTCTTGGCAGGCCCTGGGCCCGTGTCCAAAACTGGCTTCTTGTACCTATAGAATTGTGGGTTGGGTATCATTACTGCAGAAGTGTCTTCAACATTTTCATTCGGCAAGGTAGTAGGAGACGCAAACTTACAAGTAGAGAAGCAGCGACGATGTGACCACCGAAACAGACGACAAGGCCATGGCGGCAGCACCCATCCAGGGGAGGAGTGCCACTCCAAATGGCATAAATACGCCTGGCAAATTGGAAAGCATTAAATTAAGCAACATGCATTGACTGGGCTCGGAAGTTATGTCTGACAAGCCACATCTCGCTTGCAACAGGCCGACGCATTGCTCTAGAGCGGGGGTGGCCAAGCTGCGGCTCTTGGCGTTTGAAAGGGCGGCTCGCGGCTACCTCCGCTACCTCCCCAACCTCCCCAACCTCCCCACACACCCACCCACACACACACACACCCACCCACCCACACCCCCCCCCCCCCCCCCCCCACACACACACACACACACACACACACACACACACACACACACTCCCCCGCCTCCCTCCCGGTCACACAAGCACTTCCCCCCCAAAAATAATGGAACGCGTTTTAAATCAAAAGACAGGTTGCTGTTTCTTAGTCTTGTGCTACTGCTACAGTCGTACTGCTTTTGACTCGGATAGATTGAAAGTATGAGTTTCGGTTGTTGCTCTGTACAAAAGTCTGCACCCCCCCGCGGCTCTTGGAAGTTTAGTGGTTTTGTTTGCGGTTCTTAGGCCGGGTCAGCCTGGCCACCCGTGCTCTAGAGTGACCAGTAGCATGTCCTTACACATATTGCAAAAAGAAACAGTAAAATGACATCTGAGTGAATTTTCCTTAATGGAAGATCAAGAAAAATTTCCAAGTAGGATTTAATGTTTTATTCAATTTGGTGCAATAAATCGCTACTTATTTATCAATATAAAAGCAAGGTTTCTTAGCACCTATAGAGATATCCTATACAGGCACTATTCCAGCGCACAAAAACAGTACAAATGTCACGTAAGGAGCAAACAGCAATGCACAATGGCAAGCAAAAAAGCGCTGCAGTATCAAATATAAATGCACTCTCCTTCATTTGATTGCTTGAGATTTCCTGATCACACATGCTCGAAGAGAGAGAGTTAGCATGGCTGGTATTTAGGTAGATCAATACCAGTTATGGAATTCCTTCATACAAGATACCAAGAATAAAAAAAAAAAAAAGCAGAATGGTAAGTTAGACTTGCAATGCCTGCTTTCTTTTCACCCATCTGTCAAAACAATATTTGGAGTGAATTTATCTGCATTTTGTAACAAACACTAATAATGTCCAAATGGTACCCCAAGCCTCTACTGACAATGGTTGCAGTCAAACAAAAATACCCCATTCCACAACAAACTTGGTGGTTTTGGTATCAACCGCTGGAAGCTGGGGTCTCAGGTTGATGTCGTAGACTAAGAAGGGCAACTATTACGTCGGACGAAAATACAGTGATGCAGTAGCAGCTCTGTCATCTGCTCCGGTTACAGCACACGTACCGCATCACAGTTCTTTGGGCTCACAGGATTGCAGGTTCCTGGTTCGTGACAAGATCTCGGCTCTTGGCGATTGAAATTGAAACTACCAAGTACAAATATTGCATTATTAAATTATTTATAGCATCTTGATAAGTGATGCCACATGTGCTATATACCCTAATGTAAAAAAGGCAACCCAAAATTTAATGTTCCCAGAACCCGACACGCACAGCAAGGCATGTCCATTACGAGTACTATCATGAGGCTTCTAGAGGTTTGTACTCTGTACCTGCAGCCAAAGGGATGCCGACGAGGTTGTAGATGCTGGCAAGAAAGAAGTTGATCCTGATTCGCCTGACCGTCTTCCTAGACAAGTCCACTGCTGCAATCACGTCGTAAAGGTTGTTCTGAAAGTATTTTTATAATCATGAATCATGAAGCGATGTTACCTTACAGGCAACCCAGAGTCATTCAATCAGTTTGATCAAGGCACAATGTTGTTACTCTTTAACAAAACAAAAATTAAAAAAAAAAAAAAAAGCTCCCTTTGCAAGGAGTGTTTTGGCAGTCCCAAATGCACAAAGTGTTTCGTGCTTTCTTCCATTCACTCATTTCAAGAAGTTAGGAGTATTTGCAACAACGAAGTCAGCAGCACAGGCAATAAAAAGCAGCTTGGAGCTCAAGAGACTGTACCATAGCATAGTGGACTTTACATTGACGGGATTTTTTTTAGTTGGTCACGATACAACCACTCAACTATACTATCTACTAGCCTTAGTTCACAGTATGTTTGTAAAGACACAGGAGCTCTGCCCTAGGCTGGTAACTCCTGGCTGCTTTCTGATCTACAAATCTGATCCCATTTTTTGGTACAGGCACAAATCTAAAAAAAAAATGCTCCATTTGGGTTATTGGTTCTAAATATGCTATGCCTTTTGCTTGGTCACTGTTTTATGTCTTCCTCACAAAGTTACATCTTCAGAAGGCTCCTAAACACGCATAAATGCCATGCTCGTGTAAAGCTTGTTATACAGAGTGAGAATGTGCCAGTTCTGGAACACAACCAAAGCCCTGAAAGGAAGCAGTGAAAAGAAAGAGACTTGTTTACTAACAAGAAGGGCTTATGTCTTAGAGCAGTCAAGCGAGCACACCTCGCATTTACAGTTATTAGTTGGCTGTTTATAATATGCTCACTTCAGCTCAATTGGCACCTAATGGCCAATAGTGGAACCTTGTTCCTTGTTTCAGGACATTCTACAGAACGTCGAGTGGCTCTGCTAGTGCAGTGATGGAAGTGCTGCGCCAACTGCGCCAAATTGCGCCAAGGACGCAATCCTGCTACATGTAGCGCCAAATCGTCATTTTACCGAAGAATTGCGCCATGCCTGCGCCGAGATGAGATGTAGCAATAAAAAATAAAAATTGAAGTCTTATCAGAGCGCGTGGTGGTACCGCGGTATTCTCCGCGCCGCAACTGTTACGCAAACCGAAACGGCGAGGGCGCATTATCATCATCATCATCATTGAAAGGAGCAACGTTAGCAACATCTGAGACCAAAGCCGCAGAGACTAAGCGGAGAACCATCCCACTAAACAGCCTATTTAAAAAAAAAAAAAAAAAAAAAAAGGTCGAGCTTGTGGATGTTTTTAATGTTGGCCCGCCCTGTTCCCGTGCGCTAGCTACCAGCGAAGTCAAAGCTAGCGCGAGCCCAATGCTCTGTGCATTCCTGACTCGCGCGTGGGCTCGTGCAGTGTCGGCACCGTTACGGGCTCCATGCGCGCGCTTGTAGCTTCGGCTGCGCTCGCACCGAAGCTGAAACAAAGTATAGATGAGTTGCACCAAACTCTGGATGTAGTGCTGGTAAAGCCTCACCGTCCTTTTCGGAGCATAAAGCACTGCGCGACTCGCGCGTCTGCGGTGTCTGCTTTGCGGGTGTCGCTTCTCTGCAGCGCGTCGGTGCATGCCAAGGAGCGCACTCAACGGGTTAACTCGCCGTGATCCGATCGTGACTTCGCCAGCACATCGAAAATGAATTGGAATTTTTGAAGCGAATATCAGATACCGCAATCTTTGAAGCTGCTGCCCGAAATACAATTCTAATCTGAACTAAAACATTCCACAACAGTGAGGGTCGTTAGATGCTGCTGCAGATACCTTAAGAGAAGTGCAGGCTGATAAAACTTAATATCCTGTACCATCAGAACTCAATGTGACATATTTAATTGTATTTCTTTTTATCTGACGAGCAAATAAACTTTATATAAAAAAAGTTTTTTTTTTGCGTTTACTTTGTTGAATTTTATAGTCTTAAAAAGGCGACAGGCGCTGTGTTCCAATAATAGAGATGGGCTTCCTATAGCAATGCAGCATTATTTAATTTTCAAGTAATGTGCCAACATATGCCGGACCCTGCTCCAAAAGGGCCACTAACTGCTCCAAAACAACATTTTGCCTGCTACAAGGCCTGCTCCAAAAGGTCAAATTGCACTTCCATCACTGCTAGTGCTCTTACCCGTATTAAAACGAGGTCTGCAGCCTCTATGGCCACGTCCGTGCCATTGGAGAGCGCAATCCCGACGTCCGCATGAACCAAGGCAGGCGAATCATTGATCCCGTCTCCCACCATGGCCACCTTCAGGCCACGGGTCTGCAGCTGCTGCACTTTCTCTGCCTTGTGAGAGGGCAGCACTTGCGCAAACACCTCGTCAATGCCGACCTGCAGCAGAAAGACCAGGCCCGTGGTCATTGTCGAGGTCCTGTTGTATTCAAGCGAGAGTCCTCGGTCCAAGTGTAGTTTTTCCCTCCTCGTGCGTGTGTTTGTGTAACCACTACTATGCGATGGGGCTTCTGACAATGGTCTTCCTATGACTAACGATATCTATGGATTCCTCAAAGTCTAAAGAGTCCCAAATTATCCGCATGCAGACCCCTCTTTCGTAAAACGCGTATTCAATGTCTCGTATGCCTTCCCTTTTCTGTGCCAATAGGACGGAAGTCAACAAACCAGTGCACAAAAGTTTTCTTCAACATTTCAATGTTGAGTGAAGATTTTGTTTGCACTTGCTTGCATGTCTTTCCTTTCATGACCTCAGCAGCGTGAACTTGCATTGGCTTAGTGTCAGCACTTCACTAATCCTTTCTTCTCAACCTTTTTCGCTCCTCCCATTAATGATCAATCTTGAAGCTCGATGAAAAAGTTTGGAAACGGTTAAACAGTTTGTTGCTTTCACTCTTCTTGGCACAAAAGGAAGGCACATGAGACATTATATACAGAGAAAGAAAAATGCCCCCCCCCCCCCCCCCCCCCCCGCCCCCGCCCCTTTTTCACCCCGCACATCGTTTGTGGCTGTACCTAACATACAACTGGCATGCAAACTCTGTTTAAAATTGCATCGTTTTGGAAATTACAAGTGCAAATTCACAGATTTTAATAATAATTGGGGTTGTGGGGATATTTATACAGCATGTAGTTGGTCTGCCATTAAAGTTGCGACGAGTCCCACGCTGTAGATGAGCAATTTAGCCAGTGCGGTACAGCCGCTAGCCTGGGGTCTTTAACGTGCATCACGCAGTAGTGATACACGACCGCACGCCGCTACGATGCTCATCCAGATCGAAACGGGCAGGGGTGGGGCTCGAACCCAGGATCCCTGGGTTCTGCAGCGCGAGCTTTCGCTCCACGCGCGTCGAGCTGGGTGTGCGCTTCAGCCCACTCGGCCACCGATGCCCCTCGCAGATTTTGATGTGGAAGTTATTGTGTAATGCTACGTCCGATAAAAAAAACTAACCGGGTCCAATTCTAATGCTACCTGCCGTGCAAAAAAAAAACAGAAAGTGGAAACTGTCCTAATAGTGCTGTTACCTACCGTGCCAAAAAAAAGGGAAAACTATGTCGAGTGGTCGGTCTGTCCCCCCTGGCGATAAGTAAATCTGGTTGCAGTAGCTTTTTTACTTATATAAGGGTCGTACTGGTGTAGGCCTTTAGTGAAGATGAGTGGGGAGTCTGGAATAAATAAATAAAAACATGCTCTTCAGACGCAATGGTTGAGGGTAGTACTGCCGGTCGATGCCACTGCTATTGAAGTAATGAACTAAGATAGGCTAGATGATCAGCTGTTGAAATAAAACAACAGAGCGCTATAGGCTGATTCTGGAGTAGCCATAAATAATCTGGAAACAAATATCACTTTACAATGACAGCCACGAGCAAGAGTTTTATGTTCCGTACAGCCCGCCGGTACAGCCCAAAGATGGAGAACGACTCCCTCCTGGTTTGTCATCTGCTAGCAAAATTGGGCGCATGCCCTTTCCCTCGTTTTACCCTGCTGAAGCTCCTGGATGTGTGAAGAGGGCGCTGCGGGGAAAGAAATGGCGCCACCCCAGGAGCCCTTTTTGGAATGGTCTATAGTACATGTTTCTTTTTAAACAAATGGAACATGCAAGCAGATAATTTGCAGTTTCTAAACTTTGTGCACCACAAACTTTGAGTAAGAACCATAAAAAGGTGGTCACAAACCGCCCTGGTGCAGCCTTAGAAGCTGTCCGACATCTCGTTAAGCCGACAATCAAAGTCAAACTAAACCAAGAGAACCAACGTTGGGAAAAACGACACGAGCACCTCGGGAATTCTTGTAGGTTGTTTCACTCCCAGCAACTATACACGTCAAGTTTCCATTAAACTAAGGTAACATGGTTTCGGTGCTTTGATGGTAATAAATTATTTTTTACAAGTTGCACTATTTTTTTTTATTTCAAATATTGTTAGTTTTTGTCAGAACTCTTGCAGGAGTGGGAAGAAAAGAAACACTTCAAACAAAAATGCACTAGTTCAAAAGCCACACCCGTTCATTTACATAAAGATCACAGCAACATATCCAAATTTCTAGAAACATGCTCAATGAAGAAAATAACTTGTCTGCATCTTGACATGATACAGCACTTTCATGCAATTAATTCCACTCGCGTAGTGTGCGGGGAAAACATTTTTTTTAAAACAATGCTTGTTATATCTGTATTCTTGTATATGTCGACTGTGTTTGTTTCTTGAAATTCTAGATTGGTGAGGCATAATGTAAGATGATTTGCCGATCAAAAGAAGGTCTGTGAGAATCACAAAGAGAAGCTTTAAGAGCTTGGTTTTTCACCTACTGTTAAGCGATGGTAGATTGGCTTGAAAACAAAGCTAGGTAGGGGAGTTAAGTCGGCGATATCTAAAAATATAAAGCGCACCGCAAGAGCTGGACTCTTTCCAATTCCTGCTCAAGGTAATTCCTGTGAGGGTCCCAAACTTCGGAAGCATATTCAAGTAAAGAGGCCTAATCAGCACTTTGTACGTCATTAGCCTTGTTTCGATGGATGCAGACTTAAGGGATCTTCGGTGATAGCCCGATCTACTATTGGCCTTTTTAACTATTCTGTAGACGCGTGTACAGTCGAACCCGGATATATCAAATTCAAAGGGGATCGTAAAATACCTAGTTCAATATATCGATAATTTGATATACAAAATTATGTTAAGCTCCAGTTGAAATTTCCGCGCGTCTCTGCTAATACTGAAGGCTGGGGCAAACGGGACCTTACCAAATAGAGCCTTTAAGAGCTGCTAAATACAGTAGAGCTTAGCACCTGCGACAAAACACGAAAATAATTAAAAAAACGAAAGAACGGAAAAAGGGAGCCGCATAAAAGAAAACTTTCGATCCATAGATTAAAGTAAAGCAAGCAACAAAAAAAAAAAAGCAGCAAAGAAAAGAAAAAACGGATAAAGCAATAGCGGCGAAAGAAAAATGTAAACAAGTGTGATATCCCAACTGTTGTTGTCAACACACTCAAATTGACTTTTTTTTTTTTTTTTGCTTATTTTATTTTGGGGTTAACAAGTCGCACAGCGACAGCAGCATTCAAGAAAGAGCGCACGCTACAATTCCAACAGCGGGCAATCCCTGCCCTCTTTTGCCATCCCCCACTTTTTTTTCTACAATTTTTTTTTTACAGCTGCTTTTTTGCTACGTATCCCCAAGCGTATGCTGGCTTGCAAGCTATGTGCTCACAGCCGGCGCAATGCGACCGCTGGAGAAGCAACGGGCGGCCGTGCTATATCAAGTGTCCCGGTCATGGGAGTTCGATCCAGAAAAACAATGCTCCTATACTATTACATGTGATTTTCAAGGGGATATTTGGACAGTTCGATATAAACAATGATTCGAAATACCCACGTGTGATATAACCAGGCTCGACTGTACTCCAGGTTAGATAGTTTGTTATCGTGACGCCAAAGTAATTTCAATTCTTCCACTCGAGTTAATAAAGCGCCATTATGGCTGTAGGAAAATATTAGCAGTTGATGTTTGTGATTTTCATACATATTTTTTTTTAGGTTTAGAGACATCTGCCAAGTGGTACACCATTCGTCCATTCTAGTCAAAAATTGATTTAATTTCTCCTAATCGGAGGCCTCAAGAACTTCGGTGACAATAAGAAAAAAACTGTTTGCAAAGAGCTTAGCGTGCACTTCTTCATCCCCTATTATATTGTTTATAAATACTAAAAAACAATAATGGGCCCAACACGGACCCTTGGGGAACCCCCGACGCTACATCACACATATCTGAGTAGCCATTTTTAATACAAACAAACTGCCTATCATTCTTTGAAAATGATTCAATCCAACATAGCAAAAGCTGGTTCTTCAAAATCGGACACAATTTAATCATTAACTTCTTACGACTTTGAGAACCTCAACTACCACTTGTCAAGTATCCAGTCCTGCATTGTAATTGCGTGTGATAAAGAAAACAGAAAAATGACCGCACCTCCACGTGGTGAATGATGTTGATTGGGGCGAAGCTCTGGTGGTGCTTATGATACTGATTTTGTTCATAGGTAGTGCTGATTTTTTTTTTTATTGCTCGTACGTAGTGCTGAGTTCCGGGTTGCGTTTTGACTTCATTATTACAGCTTTCATAATACGCTTTTCACAGCAGCGCCCTCTCCTGTATAGACGTTAAGCGGCTACATGCAACGTTTCATCCATGACATCCCCAGCTCTTGAGTTACTACCACATTTCAGAGCGCCCTACTCGTCCCGCAGTCGTGAAGGCGATGGACTAGAAATCCATTGGGGTCTCCCCGCACAAATTCGAATCCTGTCGACTGCGCAAAAATTTTTTCCTTTTTTAAGAAGACAAATGGGATGGCAATCAATGTGAGCACAGATGCCATGCAAGGCTAGACCCTAAGGAGCTTCGCCCCTAAAAAAAGATGGGGGCAGCCTGGAGCAGACTGTTTTCGACTGACAGTTTTCGTGTACAAAGAAGCCCAAATTAAATATGGTTTCTTGGTAGTCCAGTTCTTGTAGGTCTCGTCTCAAAACAAAAATGTAGGCGCGCATAATACACCTTATGAGGCTCTTCAAACCCGAAAAAACTGATCTCTGGCGGCACCGAATTGAAACCAATGATGCACTGCCCCAGAAATTGGTGATCCCAAAATTAGCAGCCGTACCTCACTACTGCAGTCACTAAAAGAGTGAGAAGGACGAGGCGGGTCCTTCGAACGGCGGGCCGTGTTTTGGCTGTGCGTGCACGCGCTCCATGTGCATGAGACGCCAAACCGTTGTCGAAGGAAGGAAGCTCGCTCCGGAGGCAGAATGGCTGAAGTTCCTCCCTGCTGTTTTCACCCTAACAGTGACTACAGGCAAACTGCTCCTCTACGACATTGAGATGCCGGGCATAGTTTTAAAGGGATAGACAAACTTATCGCTGTCTAAACCTCCGTAAAACTAGTATGTAAAAGAGAGCACCCCTTCGCACTTAGTGCCCGTCGGATAAAGAAGGGGGAAGCATGGGCACCTCCTGGGCGATGGCCGAGGCCGTCTGCCGGTTGTCCCCAGTGAGGAGAACCACCTTGAAACCCATCTCCTTTAGGGCCCTCACGGTGGCACGGGCCTCGGGCTTCGGGGTGTCCGACACCGCCAGCACTCCGGCGAGTTCCCCTGTGCACAGGAGGGAAAGCAGCACTAAGTGTGGTTGAAAGGGGGTTTGTTTCATCATTCAGCATGCGAAGCACCTTGACTTTTTGCGCTGCAGCGTAGAATCAGTGTCACATAAGAAAATAAAGTGCTTTTTGGATGGTAAAAGCTTTCTTCCAGTCAATGCGTAAGAGTGACGCGGTGGAAGCATAAAAAAGTTTACTGAAAACGATTTCTTTGTCTCTCGCCAGCTCGGTTTGCGCATTTGACCGAAGCTAGACTCCTGGCTTATTTTTGGAGAACTAAACTTCGCTAGGTGGAAGATATTTAAAATCCCCAAGTCTCTTCGAAAGGTGACAAGCCATTGTATAACAACTAAGTATCGCCCACCGGAAGGTCGTCAAAGTGTGGATAAGGGTTTGCATTGGCTTTGTTCGATGCACTCTAAACGTCCTCCTCGGGCTCACCTTTGAAGAAAACAATGAATGACCTCAATAGGCTGATAACCTTTTGTAGCCAAGTACAAGTGATTTTGGGATACAAATTGACTTGAGACCGCCATCACCAGCTATGCCCCCCCCCCTCCCCACCCCCAAAGAGAAGAAGAAAAAAGTTTTCGTTTAACGTTGTTTTTTTTAAACAGAGGATCGGGGCGTTGCGGCTGATTGCGATCAGGCCACCGTGCCCGATCATATCTACACGAAACGTTTTTTAATGTTCCGAGTGAAAGCATGATTGTAGCAGTTATGTTGAGAAGTTTCACGAGTGTGAAGACGAAATATGATCAGAGTACACTTCAGCAAGAAATGTTGGCGAAGGCGTGGAATACTGTTGTTCAGGTCGGCGTGAGTTCTGACTTACGGCTTATTATATTTTTAAGATACTAGTAATGGAGAACCTACCCGCAATTTCTATGTATGTCTGTTTGTACAAATTTAGGCTACTAATGCTGAACGAAACTTCAATATTGATTGCATAGTATTGATCTCTTGCCCGACTTGTTAGGACGACCAAAAGTTTTCGAGCAATAGACGATTCGCGAAAATTAGGTCTTGGTGTAAATGAGCATCTAGCAGGCGTAGCAATGGGTTTTTGCACCCATCAAAATGCCATTGTAATAAAATTTGATAATGTGTGTTATGACATTCAAATCGGCTGATGATTTAGGTGCATAAGGTTCCGATATTCTTTTACAGCGAAGCTGTTCTGCGCTAGGGTCTAGGAAAAAATGCGTCTGTGGATGTTGACAGAAAGCTCCCCATTGGTCTTGGCAAGTATGAATAAATAAAAATAAAAAGCGGGGCAACCAGCGTAAGTCAGCCTTCCTTGGCATCTTCTAGATAGTGAGGTCATGATCCCTTGTTATCATCTCTAGGCATCGTCCTCGAGGTCGTCCTAGACATTGTCCTCAAGGGCGTTTTAGAAGCCGTGCTTAAGGTCGTCCTTAGGGTTGTCCTAGAACTCGTCCTTGAGGTCATCCTAGACGTCATCCTTTAGGCATCGTCCTAGACATCGTAAAGATAACAGCTTCATTTGTCCTCCATCTTCACGTGAAGTGGAAGGGCTCTGCAATTTTTTGATTAACAATTAAGAAACAAAACAGAAACAGACAGTTTCTAAGCGTTCATCAATCTTTTTGTTTTGCTCAGGTGATGTTTGCAGCAATTTTTTTTTCATACATTTTCAGTTCATGTGTCTCGCTACAAGCTTTGCTTGGGAACATGTTTTGCCCGATGACGTTTTTCAACACGCGGATGAGGGAGATTGCGCATCACTAAGATGTTTTAATGTCCTTGTTCACCCCTTATTTTGTTGCAACATCAATCAACTGTAATAATTTAGTTGATCTTAATAAACAAGCGTTCAAAGATATGCAGTCTGTGAGAACCAAGCAGCGAAAGCAGATGACAAAGGCGAAACAACCTTTTCTCGGAGGTTCTCAAGTTGCCATTACGCGGCGTTGATTTCGCTGCAGTCGCCAATAGGTTGGTTCCAGCAGATCCGACACTATAAAACAAGCCGGAAAAATCGGTGCTTGCAAGTTGAAAGCTCAAACTTCCACCGGATGTGCAATGAGCAGGTCCGTTTTACCTTGTGAAATTTCAAGGCACAGTTCTCTTCCTGAAAAACTATGAGAGCAACAAACTTGCCAGAGTCAAAGCCGGGCACATTCGCACACGACTGAGTTAGCGATGCATTTAACTTGTGGCGCCATCTTCTGATGGGTGCAGCGAGCAGATGATGCACTCTGTCGGGTGCTCGCTTTTGCTGCCTAAAGATGCCGTCACAACTTAATGGCGTCACTACCTTGGTAGTCTGCAAACATGCCTGGCGTTGACTTTGCCAAGTGTGTTGCTCTCATTTTTTACAGGAAGAGTACTAGACCAATTCCACAAGGTAAAACTGATTTGCTCAGTGCACATTCAGTGAAAGTTTAAGCTTTCTATATGTAGGTGCCGATTTTTCCTGCTCATTTTACCTCGTAAAATCCGCAGGAGCCACCCTATTAGTACTTTAATGACAAAGAACAACATTTTGAATAAATGTTTGCTGCAAAAAAAAAAAACAGGAAAAAAACAAGCTGCCAAGGTGTCTTACTAGCAGGAAAAGGGGAAGCAAAAGCAACTAGTACAAATAAAAGAAATAGTCTACCAGGTACATCTCCCTTTTCTTTCCTGTGAAGCATACGGGGCAAGCTCACAGATCAACCAAAGTAGCAGAAAGAGGTGTCGTACCGTCGACAGAGCAAAGAATCACCGTCTGCCCAAGCATCTCCTTTCTGCACATCAGGGAGTCAACGAACGCAGGAACCACGACTGAGTTCTGCTTCATCCATTCACGGTTGCCAACCAGGACGTCGTGAGTTCCGTCCCAAGCCCCTGGACCCAGAATCAAACAGGAAGGTGTTGCAGGAAACTATCGCCAAAAATCAGAACTCCTGTCATCCTAGATAAAAGTCGCTTAAAAAATAATCAACTGAAGAGTTTCGTACGGCAGCTAGCATTCCTACAAGCTTCCTACAAGTGATTCCTACAAGTTTAGGTATGTTACTTTCAAGCTGCATTTAGTCAGAAGTTTAAAAGTTTATCCTCGACTTTCTCATTCAGCAATCACTAGAGAACGAAACTTCTGAACAATGCACTTTACAAACAAATATCACAGATTGCATTGACTAACCCTTGGAAAGAGCGTCATGACATAAAATAAAGGGTCAGATTATCATATGAAATAATCAGAACAATAGAATATGACTACCGTAATATTTCGAGAAATGCCCCACCCCCGAAAGATAGCCCGCCCCCTATTTTTGGCATGATTTGCTATTCTTTCAAAAACGGCAAAAGACGGCCCATTTTCAGTAATTGCTGGGCCCTGGCCAATGGTGACCTCGGCATAAACGGTGTTACTTAACCACGGCGGAAGGTAAGTGAACATAGCTGACTGGAAAGGGCAATCTTTGGTTCATTGCCCCGTTCCTACGATCACAAGTTTGGGGTCTAAAACTAGCATTTTCTCGACTACTTTTAATGGCACACCGAAAGTTGGCCAACCCCTTATTTTCATTCAATTTGCCATTGATTTTAGGTGGGCTATCTGTCGGAGTGTTACGGTATACAGTTGAACCTCGATTTAACGAATTCACCGGGACCCGCTAATTATTTCGTTAAATCGGGAACTTCGTAAAATTGAGAAAGTCATTTTGCGGACATAGGCTGCGCGGGGAATCCGAATTCGTTCGTTAAATCAGGCAATTTGTAAAACCGGGTTTCGTTAATTCAAGGTTCAACTGTATTAAAAATATGGCAAACATAAGACATAGGAGAGATCCAAATCAGTAATGAGTGACTGAAAGCTCTAAGAGCATTCAAACTCACAAGCTTCGCTTCATGAATGTGTTGCAGCACTGCAATCGAAAGCTTCAAAATCGAGGCCCTGTGCAATCATGACCATACATGGGTAAATTACTTCCAAAATGTAAGTTGATTACAATTACTTTGCTCGAAAAGTGGTTTAACTGCAACTACAATTACTACTATGCAAAAGTAATTAACTCCAATTAGGTAAAAATCACTTTTAAAAAGTAATGCAATTACTTATTTCTGAGAGCAACTCCAACTTAGGCCATATAACTTTAAACAAGTTGTTTCGAATGCAACATATTTGTTCATTCCTTGCTCCAATGTTTGAGGGGGCCTAAGCATCGCTGTACACTATATGTCACATATTGTGCTTTCCTTAGCTTTGTTATATGATGTGCTATTATATTTTCAATAAATAATAATAAATTAGTTCATAAACTCGAAGATGCCAGATCGCTAAAGTAATATTGGGTTGACACACTTTTGTTAGCCATGCTAATGGCTAACAAAAGTGTGACCAAGTGCAACTACAAATTTTTCATGTTAATGTAAATTATTTCCTACGTTGAGTTGAAATTATAATGGCTAAGAAATATATAAGAACCGAATCGGGGCTCCCAAATCAATGCTGACATTATTCAGAAGTGCGAGGTCAGTCTCCTAAATGCTTATGCAAATAATATCCGAAGTAATAACAACAGGAAATAAACTTGGAAATAAAACAAAGAAACAAATATGCAACAGTACTGGAGAGCGACGTGAAAGAAAGAAAAATTACTTCATAGACAATAAAAATCTCCAACCTCAACCTCAAGTGAAAGCTGAAGCTCAATTTTTTTTTTTCTTTCAATATTTCAGCATGTTTACGCTATTGTTTTCTGCTTGCACCGCAGGCGGCGCCACACGGCGCCGTTGAGGTAGGTAGCTCTAAAGAGGACTGTCTCTCAACCCGCAGTGTAAGCAACACAACAACAAACAATGCAACCCTATCTTCGTTGTGCATGTGTGTGTTTGCGTGTCTGCATGTGCGAGTGTGTCACCAAACGCTGGCCACTTGTGCGAGCACTGAGGCTTTCAATTAACTCAATTTTTTTCTGGAATGGACCGGAGTTGTCCTTTAATTACATACGACCCGAGAGTATGCAGCTAGAACCATAGGTAAGAGTGCACTTGAAGCAAAGCAGACCTTCGAGCGATGCATCCTGCAAAGTCTCTTTTCCAATGTGCTGGACCTCCACCAGAGGCAAGTCAGGGCGATCATACTCTGTGCTCTTGTCGGAGGCCACGTTCAGGATGACGGACAGGTTGCCGACCCGACAGGAAAGACCCAGCCCCGAAACAGCCTCAAAATTTTCGCAGCTGCCGAGAATGTCCGTCATGAGCAACTGCCATGGTGGAAAGCAAAGGGAATATCCACGCAAGAGTGAAATGCACAACAGATGTAGCCAATAAAACTCTTCTGAAGATTAAATTAGTACATAGAATGAGCAATGGGTACCAAAGCAAACTGGTAGCTCCTTGCCTGAAAAAGCTTTCTGGAAGCGCATACACCATCAGCCCAATTAGTTCATGCTTTGCTAATATATGCTGCGACAATCACAGACTTATTTCAATTAAATTATTTTTAGAAAATATCTGAACGTCATCTACAATCGGAGGAGGTTTACCATGTTCCTTTGACCATTGTAAGGGGACACTGTGCAAAAGGAACACAATATTCAAACTTTTGTTAGCTCCAACAAACATTTTGCAAGGTTACAAACAATAAAACCATTCACAAAATTTTAATTAAGTACGAAAATATAGTACTATGTTTCTCATAAAAACGTCTGATGGCATTATTACACGCAACAGCTACCACACACTCATGCCAAACTGGAAACATCACAGAAAGTATGCAGAGCAAACTGACTGGACTGAAGACTTCGATTTCTAATGCAAGTTTACATTTGCTAAGAGTTTTAGGCTGTTTACTTTACATAGAAAGGGTACATAAAAACACCTCTTTCTCGAGCTGGCATACCTGCTTAGCATAGCTCGAGATGGCCTTTGCAATGGGATGCTCACTGCCTGATTCGGCGGTGCCGATCAACGCCAGAAATGCCCTCGAGGAGGAAGCCTTGGCCTGGCTCAGAAGGCCCACATACACAAGGACGGGAGTACCACGCGTGATGGTCCCTGTCTTGTCAAAAGCAAAGCACTTGACCTAAGGAGGAAAGAAATAAAAAAAATTCCAACACAAAAATTTAAAAAAAGAAAACAGACCTATGATGCAGCAATGGTTATGAGGACACTAATCAGCATTAGTGATAACAATCTTTTTCCTTCTGGTTCCAGGGTTCGAACTGTCAAAATAAAGCTGCTGCAACACACATACTGTTTTCAACCCAGTCGAGTTTGCGCCATAAAGAGATGAACCCAAACCCAAAGCAGACAGGCTGTTTAGGAATGCTGAAGATTATGCAATAGTATGGTATAAAGATTGCAAGAGGACATGAGTGGCCATGCAGAGGTTCAGCATTCATTTATGGAATGCCAATAAGCCGATGCATCTCCCTAGTTCGAGTGCCTGATGCCCGTGTTCTACTTTCTGCGATCCTATCCTAGCTTAGTATAAAGCAAGGACACAGGTGGGTTGGACTGAAACACCTGATTTAGCCCCAAAAAATGAAGGCAGAAGGTGCAATTTTCTGAGGTTTGTGCCGCATTGTCTATAATGTCTCCACCATCCATTCAATTCAAATCACTGGGCCGCAATGCCAAACAAAAGCAGTGTCCAGTTCCTAACCTACAAAGATCATGAGACAGTGTCTGAAATGAGACAAACCAGGCAAAACAAGTACCATGTACAGCCGTAAAAGCGACATCTTGGCAGACCCAAGGTCAGTCAATTCCTACCAGATACAAGAATGGGAAGACGTCGGGACACCTTTTGTTCCTTTGGAAAGGGCACAGCCACCCACCTTGCACATTGTCTCGAGGGGTTCTGCCCCTTTGATGAGGATGCCGTTGGTCGCTCCCACGCCAGTGCCAACCATGACTGCTGTCGGGGTGGCAAGCCCCAGAGCACAGGGGCACGCAATGGACAGCACCGTCAGGGCACACTGGAATGCAAACTGCATCACCACTTCGCTGTCCGACATGCCCTTGACCTGGAACGCAATATAAATGCGTGTAAGCCTTTGCTGACGTGAGGTAGGTCTGACCAAACATCTAAACAATTGTGGAAGAAAGAGCACCATACTACGAGTGTGTGTCTATTACATTTTACATACTATATATGCATTCTACCGTAGACTACCGTGCATCCGCCCATTCCGCACTAAGCGCCCACCCCAAAATTTGAAACGTGAAAAAATATGCACAGTGGTATGTAAAATTGATGACCTCACATGCGCCCATCCCCTATGTTTTCGCAATCATTTTTAAATGTTAAGTGGTCGATTGCTCGGTGTTCTACAGTAATCATTTGAAACAACCAGGTACTGATGGAACTGCGGTATGCTAAGGTGTGACAGGACTAATTGCTCAACCTCTCAGTGCAGTAAGATGGTACAGCTTATCAGTGTTTACTTTAGCGGTGTAATAGAACTGCGAGTGCGAGCTTGTAGGCCTAGAAGTCTGCCCACTGTGCACGCACACTGCGTGACAGATGGGCACTTTGCTATGCTTTACATCAAATTTAACCCAGCTAAGTTAGTTAGTGCTACACATGCTCACATTCCACAAAAGCAGTAATAGGTTATCTTTTAGATGCGAGAGAAAAATGGAACAAATCTGTGATTGCACAAACTGTACTCGTAAGCACCTTAAAGATGATGAAACTGTGTGCTTATACTAGGTGAAGATTCCAAAACAAGTTCTTGACAGTAAAAGGGTTAATGTACCAAAAACATTGTTGAAAGTAGCAACTGGTAGTAGTTCCAGAGACAAGCATTTTAGTTTTGTTGACAAGAACACCACAAAAATATAAGATGACTACAACTCCATTTCCCCTACCCATTGCTTCTTACTGCCAGGCCTGCCCATGAAAGAAGTGTAGGGATGAAATAAAATGATGACAAAGCAAAAAACCTAGCTCACCAAACCATAGTACTTGTGGATGATTTCAATCCTAGAGAAGCCGACCACAATCCAAACGATCAGTGTAAGAATGGAGAGCAACACCACTGTAGGCACGAAGTAGCCTGCGATTCTGTCAGCCAACTGCTGAATCGGAGCCTGAAACACAAACATTTTTTTTGAAAATTATGACTACATGCTTATTTTGAATCCTAGTTTTTGCATTAAAATAACCCATGTATATTTATTTGATCATCCGGAATAATCTACCAACGTAAAAAAGATAATTTTAGCTTCCTTGGGACTTTCCTTCTCAGTTCTTCAAATAAGTCATGATAAGCAACCAAGAAAAGATATTTGTTGTCTGCACGAGATGGCGATGTAGACTGAACTTGATGAGCACAGTCAGAGCATCAGATATCACTTCAACTGCGGTGCCACAATGACATCATGCATTCAAGTCATTGGGTGACATCAGACGTCCGATATTTTGCTCAAATCATTGCGAGATGGCTGACCTCTTTGAACTCCAGCGTCGACTATTGCGCCGAGGTTGGCTTTTATGTTTCGAGCTGTATGCTGACACCATATGTTGCTTGAAAAGGTTTACTCCGACTTAACATAACAAATTAATAACAAAAGGTACAAACGTTTTGCCACCTATGCAGGTGGCGTCTTCAGTATACACTGACACAAATGAGGTGAGGTCGACCAGTCTCCTTATCACAGATGTCCCTGTAAACGTCCGGCAGGGGGCCACGGTTGGTGTTGCACACCGATGCGTCACGATGAATGAACCAGGACTCGACAAATTTTCTTTGCCCCCACCTTTCCCCACCTTTGTTCTCGGGCCAGCGTCGTCGCAATGTCCAGGTCGAAACGTCTGTACCTTTTGTTATTAATTTATGTTAAGTCGGAGTAAACCTTTTCAATCATGAATTCACCTGGCTTTTGGAGCATTTTTGTACCGTATGTTGCTTGCACTACCGTATGTCGTGCTACAAAGGGGAGTTCGAGGAAACTGTTTGCAACCTCGATAGGTTTAGCCGCATCCCAATATGATCATCAAATTACAAGCAGCGAATGCGGGAAATCCGTCTTCACTTTGACTGTAAAGATGCTGTTCTGTTTGCAGAAAAAGGGCGAAGGGGCTGGAAATATAAGTGAAATGAGACGCTTTTTCATACTTGAGGAGCAGCATTTCAAGTTACTGCTGAAGAAGATTGTGGTAAAAGAAAATAAAAGTAAAACCACATCCTAGGACTACATCTGTGAAAATATGCATATACTTCAACCTCTCAAACTGGATGGGTTTGTGACCGAAAGGTCTCGTGCATCCCTTCTGGCAACAGACTCCACAAAATTCTAAATTCAAATCCCCTTGGGGCCGTTTTTTTTTTTTTTTGCTTCACTTCATGTTTTGTAATTCTGACGCACAATCACATTCCACAACGAATGCGAGCTGCAGAACGACCAGCAGCATGGTTAGCATAGTTACTGAATGACAGAAGATCCAGCCGCTGTTGCGTATCTCATTGTAGGAGAATGAAAAGGACCAGCAACTCCAGATAAATCCTTAGGTGAACTGACTTTTAAAGGGGCTAAGACACAAAAATTCAACAAATAGATTATTCTTGAAATGGAATGCTCATGGGCTACTTTGTACTATATACACCAAGTTTCGCAATTTCTAAAGTTCTAGTAATTGCGATAATCAATTTACGAATTTTGATAATTTTTGTCTGGCGACCAGGCAACACCGCCCAAGTTAGTCATGCCATGTGCCACCATTAACCACGTGATCATGAACACTCTCTCATTCTAAGCACCCCCATGATCGCCCAAGCTCGCCTCGCTGCGGTACGATTGAAGCCGCTCACGCAACTCGGCAACCTTCCAATGCTAGTATCCTCTCTCTCGCTTCTGGCCCATGGACCTTCCACCCTGCATACGCCTGAGAGATTATCGTGGACGACTGCGACCACGGCGAGTTCGTCCGAGACTTACAGTCACCAGTGGGTCGCAGTCAAAATAAAGAGCTTCCAACGTATCTCAATAACAAGCACTCTCATTGCTGTCGCGATCAGTGTCGAAGACTTTGACGAAGCGAGCAATGCCATAGACATAATCGTCACAGACCGCATGCTCAAAACGCGGAAGGTAAACGAGGAAGCTGAAGCTCAAGACGCCAAGAATGCCAAGTTTGTAAATACGTATGTGCAAAGGGAATGCGCGCAGTTGGCTGGCGACGTCACCAGACCTTTGGCCACTGCAGCCTTTTCGAATGGGGCGGATCCGAGGGTCCTGCACGTAAATCGGTTTATCCACAAAACTATCACGCCATTTTCAAAAGAAATTTAGCAGGACTAAAGGAACATACAATGGGTCCTAGCAGTATAGCTATCTCACATTTTATTTTTTGGCATGTCCCGACCTCTTTAACAGGCTCGTTCTTTGGCAATATCTGCTCGGCCCTAAACTGACAGTGCAGTGGAAGCTACGTGCTTGTGGGCCATTCGTACATCAATTTTTTCTAAGTGATTATGCTCTCTGTGCAGGTGTATGGGCGGAACCGTGACCATGTGGCAAAAGAAAGATATACGAATGGTCTAACGAGTGCGCAACAGTCAACTTGAGGGTTAACGGAGAATGAGGGAACAAATGAATGCGACAAATGAGCCATTGCTCAGATAGCACTGGCAAAAGTGCTATGAAACGGACACAATGGTCGTTTCAACGAGACTGGCGTCCCTGCGCACCTTGGACGACTGGGCTTCCTCCACGAGCTTCACGATCTGGGCGAGGGTGGTGTCCTTGCCCACGTGGGTCGCGTTGACGAGGAGCACTCCGTTCTCGTTGATGGAGCCTGCCATGACGGCCGAGCCGACCTCCTTGGCCACGGGCACGGGCTCGCCCGTGATGTGGGCCTCGCTCACGTTGGACGCGCCTCGGGCCACTTTTCCGTCCACCGGAATCTTCTCCCCGGGAATCACCTGCAAGAGACGGCGGAAAATCGGCCATTGGACGAGCTAAAGTGGCCATTACGCTAGCTACCCTACAGAAGAACCCGAAGCTAAAGATTTCCACACTCTTTTCCAAAGGTCCTACACTAATCGAAAAACAAAAGCACTGCCCCTAGATTGCTACAATCACCGAAAGCATCAGTTTTCAAAGTTGTCATTGAAGATTATAATCTCTCCTGGTGACCTACATTTCTTGTTCTCTGGTTGTATTTTTGCATCCATTTTTTCTACTACTTCCTTCTCCCTTCTGAAATGCCCTTTAAGCCCCAAAGATAATCTCGGAGACTAGATTACCCTTTCAAGGTGAAAACAGTATCACGCTGTCGCCAATAATTTCCCTTTGTGTGACCTCAACTCTGATTCAAGCTCACCTTGATGAGGTCGTTCCGCTGTATCAGATTCACGTCAATTCGCTTCTCAGTTACAACCTCCCCTTGGTTGTCCAGCGTTACCAGCATGGCTTCTGTGGCTTGAAGTGATATCAGCTTTGTCAAGGCGTCGGAAGTGTGCCTCTGCGAACGGTGCGCAACAACATTCAAAGCGAGCAAGGAGTATGTTCACCAAAACACAAGTTACCATGCAGTTCTAAGGCCCAGAGGTGGATCTCAATGCAGCCGAGAGGTATGTTATTCAATGTCTATGCAGGCCGGTGGCACAAAAAGGTTATATATCTGTGGATATAAGGATAAACTATCATAGCAAAGCGAAAAAGTCGTCTTGAGTACCTGTAGTACAGTGATTTCTCAGCTGCTTTTCTTTCTTATTTGTTCAGCTGCAATACAGTCGGGCCACTCTTTTCCTATCCCCAACATTAAAAAACTCAAAAGCAAAAATGTGGCATAAATGTTTAAGGACGGTGTGGCAACAAAACATGAAGCGGTACTTTATAAGGTGTTTACTCTACTATGCAGTGCACATACAAATAATAAACTTTGTTGTCTGTTATGATCGTTCAGAGTCACTACGGGAAACAGCTTAGTGATGCAGCTCCAACAGCAATACTGTCTGAAGACAATATTTGATGAAGAGACATGTTCATTTTTTAAAAAACACTTTGAAGTTAGCAGCAGCTACTGGGAGCTTATTGTTATGTGCTTTTTACGCAGAATTTTAGGCTAGTTTTTGTTCATTTTGCCTAAATTTAGGGTTCAGAAATTGAGTTTAGGTTTCAAGTGAAGTGATGCACAGCAACGCTGCATGGCCCTACACTCCTATTCTTGTGCACATGTACAGGGTGTCTGCCGGCCCCCCCCCCCCCCCCCCTCCAAAAAGTAGTGTTTTCCTAATTGCAAAAATAAACTATGCATCGTCGATTGCTAAGCTTCAGAATGAAATGTTATCTTATTTAAAAGTTATAAAGCGATTTTCGAAAATTCTCAATGGTAAAATGGTGGCCGACACCACCCACGAGTACATGGGGCTGAATGGCACAAGCAACCGAGAAGGGGGCCCCATTTTTTCATCGAAAGTTTCAGACATTCACTGATAACTCTAATTATGATGATGACTAGTTGCAAACCTTTTGGCATCTGGTCTGGATCATTAAGCTACATTAGGGTGGAAACTGAGTATTCGGCAATGCATGTAATTTTTGCAGTGAAGAAAAAAGAAAACACTAAAATTTTTTGAAGGACACATTGTACATCTGCCTAATTTTACTGAGCCCTCGCTGAACCTTGCCAAAGACCGTGGACCTGCCTTTGCGAGGTGCTCCATCCAGCGTCCCAGGCAGAGGAAGACGATGAGCATGGGTACCGTGTCGAAGAAGGTCATGGGGCTGTGGTCGGCCTGGGCTGCCATGAAGTAGGCGAGCACTGCCACGCTGTAGAAGTATGAGATGTTGGTGGCCAGCATCACCAGCACGTCCATGTTGGCCATGCCGTGGCGTAACGCCCTGAAGGCCGGCAAGTAGAAGTGGCGGCCGCCCACAAACTGCGTGTGTGAAAGAATTAAAACGACTAATTGGGCTAATTGGCTGAGGTTAATTTTTAATGTAGTGCACCAAAAGGAATTAGGACAAAGCAAATGAGGACAATGCCGTGTCCTGTTCTCCTTGTCTGCTTTTATCCTGGCTTCTAGAAGAAAATGGAGGAGAATGATTCAAATGGAGTTGTGCAAATAAGCACCGGATCCTAGGGTCGAAGCAGAGCTAAAGTAGTGACCAATTTTCATTTATAAGAATGCATGGGATACAAAACACTGCCCAAGTTTTACGTGTAACTTCGTTAAAAGACATACCTTGCCAAATCCAGGCTGATTGATTTATCTGGCAATAGTTAAACACCCATCTTTTCATTTGCCGCATCTTCAAGGACCGATCTTACGAAATCAATTACCAGCCATAAATTTAAACACAATGCTTCCAAATATTCATTTTTCTCTCACATAATTCAAGAATAAAATTCCCCTAAAAATGACAACAATATGCAATCTCACTCTCCTCACACTACGGTTTTACTCAAACGCTTAACAATGTGCCTTCCCTACAATATCTTTTGTCAGACCACTTTCTGAGTGTGTTTTTTTTATGCATATTCAGAAACTGCACCCCTCCTGCTATTGCTATGACTTGGAGTAAAGAACCGCAGTACCGTTCGAAGAATATCAATCGTGAGTATTTTCCCTGAAACATTAGTGCTTACAACCTGCGTTACACCTCTGCTATTCTCCCCAACCGAACTCAAGGGCAGATGAAGATACATACTACTGCCCCATCCTTAATAACATGACACTTTGACACCTTGGCAATCTGGAAGATAAGTCGTCAACGCTTGTGATCTACCTGCACAGGTGTTGCAAACAAGAACAGGAGTAGGTTTTCGAGAGACAGGCCTGGCAGGAGGCAGCAGTGGCTGTCCGTGTCGGCGAACATCATGAAGTACACCATCACCGCCATGGTGGGAACCCCGCACAGCAGTGAGATGAGGAACGCTCGGCGCCACCTTTAATGCCCAGCCAAGGGGAGAACAGAAGGGAAAAATACTTTCGTTTATATAAAGATATAGTAAACACTAAATGTGTGAAAATATTCCAAGCCTAAATGATCTATTTGGGATATCAAATTTGCAAACTGTAAAATGAAAAAAAAAAAAAAAAATGAGAAAGAGTTTAAAGGAGTAAACACTAGTAAAATTTGTCAAGTCAACCAGATATATACGATGACTTGGCAGTGAGTACCAAATTTGAGTTGAATATATCTGCATCGCTCTCAGCAGAGTCTCTGTTTGGTCATTTGCCAACAATTCAAGGATGCTTCTGGAGCTGGGAATCCCAGCATCCACATATCTAGCCAATAAAAAAAAAAAAGATTGAGGTAGACCTACCTAAGCACTTCTTATGAGTTGTGAATGCAAAAGCATGTACATCAATCTTGCTCTACGCGTGTTGGTGTGCTGATTGGCGCTGACTAGAGTTCCTTTTATAGGCTCCCTACGGGAGTCAGAGTTGCGCATTCATCCACGTAATGCTGTCTTTCTGCACGGCATGTTGATCCAGCTCCTCACGTGATTGAATTCGGCGACTAGCGGTGCCGCGCATTGAAGGCGCGCAGTGCGCTCAAAAGCAGGGCAACGTACGCCGGGGCGCGGGCAACGTCTGCTTTCCCGCACAACTTTTGACCCGGCTCCTCATGTGATCGGATCTCGGCGAATAGCGGCGCGGCGGCACGTGGAAAACAGACGCACAACTCTGGCTCTACCGCCGATGGACACGCAGCGCCATGAGGTGGCCGGTTGTTGAAACTGACGCGCAACGTCAGTTTCAACGACTGGCCACCCCATGGTGCTGCGTGTCTGGCGAATGGAAGCCTGGTCGATGCGCGCTAGCTAATGGGATTGCAGAAGTGTAGAAGGTGCCGTTGGCTGTGGACGTGTGCCAGCCAATAAAATCGAAGCGGTGTAAAAGAGCCGTTTGGCATGGTTTCAAAGCTGATGACGTCGGCTCGCTCCATGAGACAGTTAATGCTTTCGCATTAAAAGTGGAAAAGGACCTTATTGTAAGGCAATCTCTTCCTAAATTATTAGACATCCCTAGTTGGCATGGTGGTGACACGGTGGAAATAGTGTGTGCGAAGCAGAATCGAAGAAAGCTTTTAGGGTTTTGCTGAAGAGGTAAGCTAGCGACTCACTTTCTAATCTCAGCTGCGTGCGTAAGATGATCAACGTCGGTCTGGTTCACACCTGCAGGAGCAGCCTCAAACCCCATCTCCTAGAAAATTTTGGAGGGAGCAAAGTTGCTACAAATTGCGTGCTTCTGCTATGCCACAGTACAAACAATTATAAACAGAATAATCGAAGGCCTAGGTCAGCTCATTGTTTTCCTAAGAAATTAAACTTTCAGAATAAAAGAAAAGGAATGGATGTTTTGTTTCTGAAGGTTAAGTACTATAAGATATTGCTCCTCTTGAGAATTGCTCTTTGTTTTTAAATACACTGAGTGCCCCTTGAACCCTGCAGTATTTTATTACAAAAGTGGGACTCAATTTCTACACTTATACGAAGCATTTGGTGTAGCAATTCCTTGTGCAGAAACTTTTACCCTGTACTACATAGTATTTCATCCTTTTGTTTACAGCCTCGGTAGTTACCTCTTTTGAAATCTGCTAAAACTAGTTTGTAGTTTCATTTTTTCATTCCTTCAACAAAGATATAGGAGCTAAGGAGCATATGAAAAAGAGAAACTGCCAGTTCCCTCTCTTCGCATTCTCCACACCTTTGCAACACACCAAATATTAGCATAGGTGCACGGGGGTTCACCTCAATGGTTTGGACAATGTGACGGGGCCCTGTGACCTCAGGATCAAAGACAAAGTGTCCCCTCTGAGTGGACAGGCTGGCAGAGGCCTTGGTGACGCCAGGTTGCTTGAGGACAGCCGTCTCGATAGAACTGACGCACGAGGCGCATGTCATGCCTTTGATCTGGTGGAGTATAGTAGCGGGTAAATTAAACAAATTTGCAAGTATCATTTCGAATTTCTGAAATAGAGGTAGCCTGTAAAGTATGCTGTTCTTGTTCTAGTCGCAGGAAGTGGTAAAAATGTTGACTGTTTGGATTTATTATTATTTTTTTTTACTATTAATGTAGCATAGATTTTTTTTTTTCTTTTAACTATACATTTAGTGTAGGCCTAATAAATAACACTGCTTTGGTTCTTTTTTTTTTTTTATCTTTTGTGTAAACCTTACCTCACACCTGCCACAGCCCGCGTTAGGGGTGAACCTTACTTGTAAATAAAAAAACCACAACTTTATTCCCAGTAAAGAAATGCTGTTGCGACGCTTGGAGGGAACTCTGCTCAGAAGAAGGGTTAAGGGTGCTCGGGATTCAATGGCAGCAGTCAAAAACACGAGAGTAACTCCAGTGCACTAGGAAGCACCGTTCACGTCTCAACGATGGTCCGAAGAAATCTAATTTTTCCCAATTAATTTAATTACTTTTGAAGCAGAATTAAGCAGAAACACAACGACATAACACAACTTTATAGAGAAGTAACAATAAACCAGAACTCCAAATACTGTCCCCCTTTTCCTTTTGCCAGAGAAAAAAGTGAGTTTTACAGTTGGGAACCACAAATTATGTTCAAAGGCATTGAAGCCACTGTCAAATCAATAATTATAGGTTTGAACAGCCAGCTTCATTAGAACTTCTTGAGAACAAAGTAAATAGGTATCTCAAAATATCTTGATAACAAATATAAGCTGTGGAAAACAAGACAAATGTAAATTGCTTGTTTTGCTGCAATAAAATCCAGTACTACGATATACTTAAAAAAAAAACAGTAACCTAGAGGCATACTACAAAATAGGCAGCTTCATTCTAGATCTTCTAAGGGTGAGAGCACAGCCAGCTAATGGTAGCAAGTTAACATGACAGTGCTGGTAATCCCAATTCCACCAATGCCAACGTGATTCAAGCTAGACAGCAAGTAAGCAACAGCCTCCACCACTTACGCTGAGCTCAATTTCCCCATATTGGTACTCGAGGTCTTCGATAAGCGAGGCCTGGTAGCCGAGATCGCAGGTCACCTCCACCAGTTGCAGGGGCGACACTTTTCTGGGATCATATTTTACTTCTGCCCTCTCGGCCAGGAGGCTGACCAGAGCCTGAGCGACTCCTAGTAGAAACACAGAAGAATAAGATTCATCATTAAAATCTCCTCTAGAAAACACTTAAGTCAAGATCAACCATTATTTTTTATATTTAATTTTCTGAGATAAGATGTCCTTGCTAAGGAACTACAGAAATAAAAAAATAATAACAAGAGCTTCCTTTAATACATATATGCAAATCAGAACACACCGTAAAATAATAAGTAGGCACTCAATCCCGTGCAAGCGCCCACCCCATGTTTAAGTAAACTTCCGAATCGGTCACACCATATAAGGTGGGGCAAGTTTGATCGGAATAGATGTACATCCTCGATTTTGCCACTACAATATTAGATAACAAAGACGACCTGGCCTAGTTACCTATGCTAATGCCTGTTTTCAATATTAAAATATGCTTTACGAAGCTCACATGAAATTCTGCATGGGTGACATGGCCCCAGGCTGCATCTAAATACCTCACCCCCGAAAGAGGACCGATACTCATAACAGAGTGATGAAAAGTGTGCTATTTATATTGTCTTCATACAAAACTGTAACATATAAAGCTTTCCATTCAAAAACTAACAAAGGGATTCAGTAAGATCAACTTTGACAATTCAATGAGAGGATAGAACGGTCAGCCAGTCAACTTCTACAATGAACAAAGACATAATTTTTTTGTTAACATATGAATAAACCATTATGATTTAACAAATGAAAGATAATTTTGCCAAATGATATTCTTTATTCATTAGTACAACAAATTTTCTCCGACTGTGATGTCCCATATTTATCTGTGAGCTCAAACGGAAGCTTAGAAACTACACTGCTGCATGCTTTTGTAAAAGCCGTTTTTTTCTGACCTTTAGACAATAGGAATTCCGTAGAGAGTGTGACTGCCATAGGAAACCTAAATGTCATAAGTTGGCCGAGTTCTACGAACGGGAGAAAAAGCTGGACTCTTGACTATGAAAGCATGGCCTCAAAAGACAGCAAGCTATTTTAGGAGGCAGCTCATTAGATTCAGCCATTGTTCCCTCACTTCTCTCATCCAAGGAAGACCCTGTCAGAAAGTCTACGATATGATAAAACATTGAGGATGGGGACGGAAACAGGACTCTTTCATTGAGGACCAGCATACAAAGGCACAAAATATAAAACTGCCCCCCAAAGGTTTCAACGTTCTTGAAGAAGGAAAAGAGAAAATTGCTAAAAAAAGGAAAGGGGAATTTACTATAAATATAAAAGTTCAGAAAGCGCTGCCGTCACCACAAGGCATCAGTAATTTAGTCATCTCTGGTGTTAGCACTTCAACCTCTGTCGTTGTCAGTGATACTGAAGGTAAAGAAATGCTGCTGTTGACAGTCCCCATGGCAAATGATTGAATGAGTTTTCTCCCAAATTTGTAGTTGTGCCTGCCCAGTATTCTAGTACCAGAGAAATAAGGAGTACAGTCATCGCACGTGCAGCTGTGAACGACAATTGGGTGAAAGGACTCATTTGAAGCCTTTGATGCTTCCAAGTTGTGTCCTCTGAGTCGACGGTTAATGCATCTCCCAGTTTGTCCGACATACTGACTGCGGCAGCTTAGTGGAATTGAATAAACCTTTCTTTCTCCGCACTCTACAAACTTTTTGGCATGTTTTACATTGCACCCTATGGGACTGTCGCTCCCATTAACCCGTTTACGCATCTGTTTAAGGTGCATACGACAGAAAAAATCCACACTCGTGTCGAACTTGGATGTGATAGATCTTAAATGGTGCGCGGAATCGTGCCTGTAGGGAATCGCAGCGAAACAACCTTTCTTTATGTCAACAGCTTGCAGAAGTTGTGGCCTGAGAATGAACCTCTCAAGGGTGAAATGAAGTAGGTCCGCAGGAAAGCCTGCTTTTCCCAACCTATGATGCTGAAACTTGAGGCTACTTTCAGAGAAATGCCGACACGCTTTGGAGAATGACTTGAAAAGTGACCTCACTATGTATCTATTCACCTACACACTCGTTTTCAATTATTATTCATAAATTCTGAATTCGACAATCCTCCCTGTACTATAATAGTAGGTGCGCATTTTGCAGTAACTATGTTTGTGCTTCCTTGAGAGAATTGAACAGGCAGTGAAAGCAGTACCTGGGTGCTTATACGCCAACTCAATTCGGTTACATCATGCTACGGCGGTGGCACATCGGGCGCACTTCCGGTCTGGGGCTGTGGGCGGAAGTCACCATGCAAGACGGCATTTCTGTGTTGTTTTGGAAGAAACCAGACTAAAACCTGCCTCTGCGACTAGGCTGCACTAAAAGAACCGGGAGAGGTTTGAAGATCAGTTTTCACATGTTTTCTGTCTGCTCAGTTCGTCTGAAAAAGTAGATAGGTGCCATGAAAAGGAAAACCAGACACTGTCGAACCACGATTGCTTATGCCGAAAGCACTTTGGGTTGAATCCACGGATACCTGTGATCATCAGATCTTTTTTTTTTCCAACATGAACATGGAAAAATCTTCCAAGTTGTCTAGACCAACCGCAGACCACATTCAGTGTGTCTTGACGTTTAAACGACCATCTGATTGTTCAAACTGTCGTCTGCTCTTTCAAACTTATTCAAACTGTTGTCTGCTCACCCAAACAACAGCAGCCAGTAGAACAAACGTTGCAATAGGAGGTAAGTACAGGCCCCAAAAGACTTTCAGGTTTGAAGGATGTTTGGGGTAAGTAGGCTCAGTGTAAACAGTCGATATAGAAAGATGCTGATAATTGTTACCAGTGGCCATCACCAACTTGTTACGCCCGATTCACTTTGTCCGATTCCACTTGCGATTTTCAGTTTCAACGTCGAGCATCATAGCTACCGTACATGCTTTTGCAGCCTGAACGACATCGCCACTGAAAATAGCGAGCAGAATCTCATCATGTAAATCGGGCTTTAGCATTCATGCAAAATGAATCACTGCATGTCACATTATTTACACAAAGTTTTGCGGTGTAACAAGCCTTATTCATTTCAATCAGGCCACTAAAGTGGTAAGGCAATGCTAGGGAGACGTAGGGTCAACAATTCCAATGCGAAGAAGAGCATGGCGACTCACACCGACGCCGACAACAACACATTCCAGTGGTTTGTTGATGCGGGACGCAGTGTTTCTTGCCCACAGCCCATCGCGGCGCCGGTGGCGTGCTGCTAAGGGCGCTCCGGTTTGTTTGTAAATATGAGCTGGTGTATAAAGTCTTGGTCCCTAAGAAAATAGACCACACAAGAAGAAGCATGGTGCTCTGGTCTAAAATATGCTTGAAAATATGTTTCTAAGGCTTCAGGCAACAATGAGAGCATTGTAAGTTTCGGCTAAGACATGAACCTTCTTGTGTCTGTTGTGCAATTTTTTTCAATTGCGTTTCACCGCCCCTATGTGATATGCTGTAAAGGTGTGCTGGGTACGAACCTTCTAACTTGAGCAGGTTCTTTTCCACGGCAGAGACGCAAGACGCACAAGTCATGCCCCTGACATGGAGATGGCATTTTTCCAGGGGTTCATTTCTTCCGTCTGCCGCGAGGAGAAACACTCTGGGTGGACTTTGGTATGTAGAGTCATCTTTCGTGGGTGACACCCTGGAACCTGGGTAACATGTGAAAACGGCAAGAATTCAAAATTGAATTAAGCTAACAAAGCTTACTAACAGCATTAGAGAGCTTAACACTTTGACTTGAGAGGCTTAAAGAATATTTCAAAAAACTAAAAAGATATTTGAGCAAAATGTTGCATACAATTTTAGGCTTTCCAGGGTGCTTTTTTTTTGTTGTCTAAAACCAGTATAAGACATACTTGGCACACTGCAGAGAGTCATCCTTTTAAGATTTCTCTTGTTAGTTGGCAAGAGCAAGGTTGCAAGAAAATATATCCTATATGTTGTTCCGTGTTATGCTAATAATGGCAACATTTGGCACTGACACCATGCCTCCTGTTCCCCAAGCTTTTTTCTGGTCAAGTTGCCATTTTAAAAAAAAGTTCCAAGTAAGATAGCGTGCAGCTTCAGTATTGTGTATTGAAATGTGTAACATACAACGCCTAATATGCAGCTTCACTGAAAAGTTTTTGAGTAAAGGAGGTAATAGCAAACAGAAGCGCTTCCAGAATTCTTTTACCACGATGCAGTAAAATACCCCAATAATACAAGAATGCATCTTCTACCGCAAGTTACATTGAAGATTTCTACATTACTATTAAATAGTACTGGGTCAACTTGCAAATCCCTCACACAAGTCAACAGGTTGTTTTGACATAAGTAGAAGTTCTTACTAATTTCAGGTACTTTGAGGCTGGAAGACGACGCCGTCTTGACCGAAGCTGTCTTGAGGAGCGGTGTCGCTTCGGAATCGCTGGAATCCCCTGGAACCCGGTGTTTGACGTGACACTCGAAACCCGCATTGTTGATGACCTCGACGATCTGAGACGTCGTCACCATAGAAGGGACGAACACGACGGCCGCCGTCCCATCCTGCAGTGACACTCTGACTCCCTCAACTCCCTCGGTACATGAGAGCAGACCTTCTAGACTATTAACGCAGGACATGCAAGTCATGCCGGCAACGCTGAACAGCGCCGACTCCAAGTCTGGAGGACCCTGTTCGCTGACAACCACTGCCGGATAGCCCGCATTGTAGACGAACCGACAGAGATCGGACGCCTTCACTTCATAGCCGTAGAAGTCTACAAGAACCTTGCGCTCCTCCACGGAGATGGTTACAGAGATGACGCCCGCCTTCGAGGTCAGCACCCGCTGCACTGACAGGGCACAGAGGTCGCAGTTGAGTCCCTCGACAGATAGGGTAGCAGACGAAGGCTGGATCTTTTCCGGGAGCGTGACGACGAAGCCGAGCTCATTGACCGTCGTCTGGATGGCATGGGGATCTGTCTGCGTCGTCTCATAGGTTACGTTGGCACGGCCGTCGTCCAGGGAGACTTCGACGCGCCGGACGCCATTGATCTTGGCGACATTGGTCTTCACCTTAGAGACGCAGTCGTTGCACATCATGCCACCTACGAGCAGTGTGATGTCTTCGAGACTTGGGAAGGCGTTCTTAGGGCGGGCATTGAAGCCGCAGTCGACGACTGCCCGGATCACTTCCCGAAGGGTGACTTCGCTGGGGTTGTACCTGACGGTTGCTTCACATTCTTCGGTGTCCACCTGCAGTTAAAGTAAAAGTGTGAAAGCCGGGCTTAATTTTTGGCTTTCTTAATGTACTCACTGCAGCACTCTTTTACCCGAGCTTTTGTTCTCCAAGAAATGCGCGAGCTTGAGATGTGAAATGAGCGTACCGCTACTTCCAGCAGGATATGGGTATCCGATGCTGTTGACAGCGAGGAGCGGTTTTAGGTTACAGTAGCTGTGTTTTGTGCGATTGCTTTCTCTCATTTCTATTTATAGTGGCGTACTTTTCGTACGTCCGTTGTAGTTTTCTGACTTTTTTTTTTTTCACAAGATTCGTGTTAGCGTGTTTACATCGATTAAACAGCCGCACGAGCAAAAAACGCGAATTTTTCTTTTTTGTTCTTTAAATTTTGGAGCCTAGGCTAATTCTGTTTGGAAAGCCATGTGCAAGGAAGGATGACACGAGACTTACGTGTACACTCGAGACGCCGTCGAGGCTTGTCAACTTGCTGTGTATTATACCCACGCAGACGGGACAAGTGATCCCCTCCAAAGAGATCACGTCTGTTCTGGCGAGCGGAGGCATGTTGATGCCGTCTGAAACCGAAATCCCCACTGCTTTGGAATGAATGTGGACGTAAATTGGGACCTTTGAACCAAGACGCCGAACAGCTAGGCACGAATAACCTCGTAAACGAGCCTTTCTTAGCCTCTTCGCTCGTGAACAGAAGATAAAAAGCGCACATAAAGAACGAACGTCTACTCCAAGTTCACACTTGCCGGCGCCGGCGGCATGCAATCGTACACTGTACAGCTGTTGCAAGAGCTGTTGCCGCTCATACGAAAAGGCTCAAAAGGCCCTTTGATAACTTATCTGAATTAGGGGACCTTTCGCGTCATCTAGCGGAAATAATTTAACAATTAGAATGCAAGTTTTGTTAGAAAATGTTTAATTGTTTTAAAATATGATTTTTATTTATACATAATTTTAGCTTAATTTATTTTAAACTACAAAAGTGATTTTGCCCAGCACAAAGCACCTAAGCTTGCAAAAAATGTATTATTTTTCGCCAAAACTAGTCAAAGCCAGTGCCACGAGAAGCACGTGTGCGTGTGTTTACGCCTTTTACGTGGTCGTCCTTTTGCAATCGGCAAAGATGTGTCAGGTTAAAGACTCAAATGTTCGCATTGCTCGTTGTAGCATTTGAGAAACGATTTTCCGTAAGAGCTTCGAAGATACACCATGACAGACAGCGTCAACTCGTCGTGGAGGTCTCTAAAGATCCGCGACGAAATCCTCCGGGCCGTGCTTGAACTCAACTTCGATCAAATGACACCAGTTCAGGTGAGCACGAACTCTGTGGAATTCATAGTCTTAAGAAGAATGCTCAAGCTTAACCGTCGTCCTCTTTACTAACTCCGAGAATATGAGAAGAAAATAGTTGATACGAATACTTGAAAGGGGGGACGAAACAGGACTTCTTTTGAGACCTTTCCCCCAAGTCGTTCTGTTTCCGTCACCGTCCTCGATGTTTTATCCTTTCAAGTATTCGTATCTATTCATCAACACGCTCGTTTTTAATTATTAAAATAGTGGACTGTTCGCCAGGGTTTTTCACCCCTTCAATTGTCCCCCACCTTTTGTAGTGAGCTGAGGCACACCAAGGTGTTCGATGGCCGAGTGGGCTAGCGTACAACAGCTCGGAGCACGTGGAGCGAAAGCTCGCGCTGCGAAACCCTGGGATCTTGGGCTCAATCCCCATCCTTGCCCGTTTCGAACTGGATTAGTATTATACCGGCGTGTGGTCGTGTATCACTACTGGCTAGCGGTTGAACTGCACTGGCTAGATTTCTCATCTACAGCTGGGAGACAAGTCTCCTTTTGAGGCAGACGTATACCCCTTTCAGACGGGCTAGTTTAGTGTCACTACAAGCGAGTGCACTTCAACCCGTCGAAACACACTTTAGGTGTGTTGGTTCTACACAAGAAAACTTAGTGTCACTCCAAAATGATGGCAATGACGATGGGTAAGTAATGGGCACGCAAATTATTACAGCGCATACGCATTTTTTTTTATAAATAACTTCGTTCGACTTATTAGAAACACGTTACCAAGCATTGTTGCGCTAAGTCACAAGCTTTAATCCAAATTTAAATCCAATTTGATAATTACGATCAGGCATTACAAGCCAGCGATACACGTACGCACGCCAGTACGATGCTCATCCAGATGGAAACGAGCAGGGGTAGCCAGGGGGGCTATGTTGGCGCTTTTTGCACTCCCAGGAGACTAGGGAGAAGGAAGTGACGTCAACAACGCAGCAAATGCAGATTGGATGTTGATTTTGTTTTCTTCTGTCAACATCCAATCTGCGTTTGCTCTAGTCGTTGACGTCACTTCCTTCTTCCAAGTCTCCTGGGAGTGTAAAAAGCGCAACATAGCACCCCAGGATTCCTGGGTTCTGCAGTGCGAGCTTTCGCTCCGCGTGCTCCAAGGTAGTGTGCGCGAGCCCACCTAGCCACTCGTCACTCGCCACAACGAAACATCATGAAGTGTGTGGAGGACGAGCTGGAGGGCGATATCCGCAATGTTGGAGAGTGAACGCGCGTGGTTGGGGCACTATTCTCAGTGAGAGCCCAACGCCTTTTAGGTGAGAGGCATGCTGGACCTGGATGCCGACGCACAGGCAAGAATTTCAAGTGACATCAATATGCAGCTGCAGGCCAATGCCTTCACCGTAGCCGCTCTCATGACCGACAACCCACCCGTGATCAGTTGAGAACGGTGGACTTTCCAGAGGAACGAACTGTGGTTCAAAGACACCTTGCCCCATTTGGGCGAGTTCCATTTCAAGCAAGCCTTTTGCGTCTCTCCTGCCACCTTGAGATTCCTGGTGGAGTCTTACAGGTGCCTCCTGGCAGTCGCGAAGGGGCCAAGGCTGGAAACTAAATTAGCTGCTTGTTTTTCTACAATGCACTACTTTCCTGCCAACAGAAAACAAGTGCACATCTAATATTACTCCTATCAAAATAATACTAACTTTACGCAGCGTTAATTTCTTCTATTATTTTTACTTTTTGAACACTGCTATCGAGATTACACACTTGGTCTACCGGAGCGAGCGTAGTGTGCTTCCCGAACTCACTTCATTGGAAGAGTGTTTTTCGGGCAGGGCTGGGGATTGAGCTCAGGATCACTGGGTTCTCCAGCGAGAGCTTTCTCTCCCCGTACTCTAATGTGGTGGGCGCTAGCCCACTCGGCCACCAATACCCCTTAATAAAGACACATTAAAAAAAAATAGACGTTTACAATTATCTGTAATGCCGAATCGGAGTGCAGCTCTTGAGGAGTGAGGAAGGGTATGCAGCTGCTCCCCCTCTGTACCCTCCCATCCTTCTCTGCTGTTCCCATCCCACTTAGCGTAAAACTTTCGCTAAATTTCCCGCTAAATTTCCCGCTAATTTAAGCCAGGATATTTTCTTGCTGAATTGACATGTGGCGTCACATGACACATCACCTAAAATTCTAAGTGTGACGTCCCGTGTCGTCACATGGGTAAAATTTTCCCTCTAAATTTAGCAGAAAAAGTTTCCACCAAGCTAGCAAAACCTTTTACTGCAAAATTTAGCGAGAAAGTTTTACCCTCGTGACGTCACACGTGACGACCCACGTGACGTGATTTTGGGAAACAGCCCGGTTATGCCGACGCCGCTCAACTCAGAAACGGGTTCCTAGGATCTGTGCTCTAAAACAATGTTACATTAAAGAACGATTTTTACGCCAATTGGATGATTCTCATCGATCATCGCAAGCCAAGATAAAGAACGAAGCATATCCAACTTTGGCGTTCTGTTTCGTTCCATGGAACTCTTCGAAGAGGCCCTGAAACTGCCTAATTAAATTATAATTAATCTGTTGTCTCGAACAGTTACATGCTGAAACAAATGTTGGCTCCATCATTCACTGCTAACCAAGATAGCCGTTGAATGACTGACTTTGTCGTCATTTTTTATCAATTCACGCCGCGCTAATCTTGGTTCAGATTAGCCTAAACTCCCAGTCCACTCTCTTTTTTTTTTGCAATGCCACTCTTATACATGTCCTCTCTTTCACGAATTTCTTTTTCTTTATAAGATAAAACTTATGCCACCCTTTTGGTTTCTGTATTGTTATGTTTTACTGTTGAAACACACCTATTTATGCCACGCACTCGATCGAGCGAAGTGAGTTCGTCAAACTCACTCCAAGCCAAGTGTGTTCCTCAGTAAGCAGCCGTGTGGCACACTACAGAAACGACACTAAGGGCGAAGTGCACTCGCTTGTAGTGACACTAAACTAACCCGTCTGACAGGGGTATTAGTTCTAGGCTGTGTAGGCATACACACACACCCAATCTTTTTTTCTTTTTTTGACACATTACAGGGTTTGTGCATTCCAGCCCGTTTGCCAGGACTGATTGCCACTGACAGTAATTCTTAATCCGAACTGTTCAGCCTGGTTCAGCTCTGGCGCTCGCTGCCCATGACGCAACTGGCGAAGAGTTCTGTATGCAAAGACGCAATGCGTTTCCTTCTTTCTGCCTTCCTTGTACATCTTTCTGCCTTCCTTGTACAAAACATCACAAAAAAAACAACGAAAATTGCATGCTAAAAAGGTTTGTCAAAATCAAGAACTTGACGAATCTTGTAGCAACTTTTTTCGAAAATATGTTTAACTGGTCACATTGTTGTGCTAAAGTTTATGTCGAAACTCCGAGTACAAAGAAAGTAAGAAAATAATTACTGATTTTTTCAACTGCGGAGCGGCAGCTGTCGGGGAGACACCGAACAATGGCCATGTTTCTTTGCCTTACCCAGAGACGGCGCTACGGATTCATTGGACGCTGACTGGACGCGCTGAGCAAAAAAGCGCGCTTTTATCCGAGTTTTTGGTTTCGTGAAATATTTGCCAAAATAAATTTGTTTGGGTTTTCAGTTAAGTTTCACAGTGCAAAAGGTGTCACGCCATAAATATGAATAAATAAAACCGCCAATCTCCGTTTCAGAAATGACGCACCTTCGTCTGCGTCAGTTCTTGTTTCGTGCGTCGTCTGCTTTTGCAGTTTGTTGTTTGAATGGGACACGAGAGGCAGCCAGGAGTACGCCCGAAAAAGCAGCGATTTGGTGGCTCTGAAAAGAGCCGTTGGAATCTGAGCTACTGTCTTCATAGTTGCGATCAAATGCCTCATTCACACACACATACACTCGCAAGAACAAAAAAACAACAGTTAGACTCCCAGCTCAACGTGCCGGCCGAGAACTTCGATAAATCTTTCCAGCCTCCCGAATCAGGCAAGTAGCCAGAATTTTGTTTCGGGAGGGGAGGGGAGGGGAGGGGGGGGGGGGGGGGCGCACTTGACAAAATGCTGTATGAGGGGGAGGGGGAAGAAAAGGTCCCAGCAAAATGGAAGATTTCGGGGGAAGGGGTGCCAGGCCCCATGGGCCCCCCCCCCTAACTATGTGCCAGTCTCGAATTTCATCACTGATGGTCTCAAATGCGTCGATGATGTGTTGTTTCAGCCCCGGGATGGTCCTCGATCGCCGGCAAACACTTGGGCCTTTACATACCCCCCGACAAAAAAATTGCAAGGGGGCTAGGTCTGGAGACCGATGAGGCCAAGCCATGTTCGGAGAGCCACAGCCCATTCATCTCCCGGGAAACTTGTTATTGAGCCAGGCTCTCACATGGCTTGCATAGTGGAGATGGGCCCTATCCTGTTGGAATATGCAAACTTCACATTGCATATGTGCAGATTCCAGCTCTGGTAAAATCTCTTCCTCCAGCATCTTGAGGTATGTGTTACCGGTCACCGTCGAGTCGAAAAAGAATGGGCCGATGACACCCTCGCGCCACATGGCACACCACACGGCGCACCACACGACGACTTTCGGCGACTGAACAGCATGTTCGGTTGACCAGTGCGGATTAGTACCAGACCACAACCTGCAGTTCTGCTTGTTTGCTGTGGCCGTCGAGAGGGAAAACAGACTCGTCCATAAACAAGAGGAACTGCAGGTGGCTGGGGTTGGCCTGAATTCGTGCCAGCCGTGCGTAGACCTCCAACTTCAATTTGTGCAGGAGCTGCACTTTGAACAGATCCACAACTGCATGTGCCGGCGAAGCACCTGTTACACGAAGCCCCGGCTTAGGCTGAGCTGACGAGCAGCACACCTAATCAAGAGGTGGGGCTTTGCTTCAAAAGCGTCGAGAATGGCTTGCTGCTGTCCTTGTTTCGGCGACGTTTCTACACGGTTTGGAGATTTGTTTTTCACAATCCCGTCCTTGTCACCCACTAGATGATAGCAGACCGAGAGGATGGTCTTCTGTTGAAGGCAACCCGGCACTTCGTTCGCACTTGCTTGAAGCTTCCTGTCAGTTTTCGCATGGTGAGGCGTTGAACAGAGTAGAAAAAGAAACAGCGATAAGAAATTAAGTTAACGCACTGAGGCAAAAGCGCAAACGTCAAACCGTGAAAGCAGACGATGCACGGAACAAGAACTGTCGCAGATGAAGGTGCGTCATTTCTGGAGCAGACATTGGCGGTTTTATTTATTCATATTTATGGCGTGACACTTTCTGCACTGTGAAATTTAACTGAAAACTCAAACAACTTTATTTTGGCAAATACCCCACGGAACCAAAAACTCGGATAAAAGTGCACTTTTTCATTCGACACATCCAGTCAGCGTCCAGTGAATCCGTAGCGTCATCTCTGGATAAGGCAAAGAAACATGGCCGTCATTCAGTGTATCCCCGACAGCTGCAGCTCCGCTGTTGAAAAAAAACAGTTATTATTTTTCTATTTTTTTTGTACTCGAAGTTGCGACTTGAAATTTTAGCACAACAATGTGAGCAGTTAAAGACATTTTTGAAAAAAGTTGCTACAAGATCCGTCAAGTTTTTTTTTTATTTTTGCAAGCCGTTTTAGCGTGTAAATATATATTTTTTTTTTTGTGACATCCTGTATATATGTAGATACGTAATGAACCAACCTGGGAGGTTTGCAGCATCACAAACCTAAGGGTATGGGCCTGCAGCCTTTTGTGATGACCTGACTTTCCAGAGTCAAATTCAAATACAAACATCGGTGATATACCACTGCCCAGCTAATGGACAATGTTCTATATTCCATCTCACTAAAACCGTCTAGTACAGCTAAAGCTAAAGGGGAGAGAGCGTATCCCAACCTGTCCAAGGGAAGGGAAAGGAGGGGAGAGAGAGGCAGGGATTGCCAGCCTTTCTCACCTGTTCCTCTATTTCCTTGTCTTGAAAAGGTTGGGACGCACTCTCTCCCCGGTGGCTTTGGCTGTTCTGCACGGTTTTAGTGAGACGGAGTAGAGCTGCCATCTTGCTTTTTTTAATTTACTCAATCGGATAAAGCTCGTTTGTTGTGATGGTGGCCTCTTTAAAGTAGTGCACTACAACAGCGTTGTGATGTGCTATGAATCACACAACCAACAAAATTAAAGCTGCCCCATTAAAAAAAGACGGTAACAAAATGTCATCCCAACATGGATTATCCTCGCTGTCAGCTGCTTTGAGTTGTTGATATCTCAGGTCCAGATTGGTGAAAGAGAAACTAATTACAAGCGTGGAGGGCCATCCAACCTTTTCGTTTTACTGGAATAAAGTTTAGTGTTATTCCGTCGGTTTACGGAACAGATCCCCCTGCGGAATTTCTTAGCTTTTCATTTTGCTTCGATGGCATGTGCAGGCAACGACGATCCCGCTGTTTCTTTCGAACAAAGATGTTGCCGTCGAGGCGGTCACAGGAAGTGGCAAGACACTGGCCTTTCTGCTGCCTACGTTGGAAATTCTCTTGAGGAGGGAAGAGCCACTCGGTAAAAAGGGGGTAAGTCACATTCTTCTCGCAGAGAGCAGCACGGGGTGGGGCAATAGCTTATGAGCTGACCCAGTGGTGTTTAGGCCAAGGCGACACAAAAGCGGTGTGGCAAGCCCCAGGTATGTTAAGCTGTTCAAAAAGAGGTTAGAATATGGACTGTCATATTTCTTATTGTTGCATTGTGCAATGCAATGTGGCAGTCGGTTTCATAGCTTAGCATGCCGGAGGCACTCCATGCAACATTTTGCCACTTTGGACTAGCACTAGTCTGGGCCAGCTCATATTGCCGCTTAGTATAGACGCTTGCAAATACGGCCTCTGGTGCCGCCATCTTGCTGCTGGTGTGGGCAGATCGTCTGATGGTCAAGCATTGCAGTGCCATACCCACGGCCTTTGCAGTGCTTGATTATCACACGATCTGCCCACACCAGCAGCAAGATGGCGGTGCCAAGAGGCCATACTTGCAAACGTCTATATATATAATATAATAATCTTTATTTCCATTTAAAGAAATGGTGGAGCAAAAGGGAAAAAGCTTTAACAAAAAGCTTGACTGTCCCTCAGCCCCATCGGCAGCCATTGAACGAACAGTTTTCGTGCAATGAAAAAAAAAAGAAGAAAATAATATACAGAAAATTATTCATTATCAAATGGGACAACAGAAACAAGACAGAATGCTTAAATATGTCAAAGTATGTTTACCAACTCTTTAGGAGATTTCAATTCTCTATTTCTATTTTCTTCTTCAAAGTTCTTAGAAGCTTTGGAATTAAATACCGAGGCATTTGCTGCCCATAATTTGACCTGCATATCGGAACCTTCCAATATTCATTATAACGGGTCAAGTAAACCGTATTATTTTTTTCTAATCTAACTATCTCGTCTAAAAGAACTTCATTCTTAATGGTGAGTAGGAGCCTATAATCAGATAGTTTATGCATTTTTAATATTTGCAGATTACTAAACATATTCTCGTGTGAGAGTCATAAGGCGCGTTAAAGATGGCTCTTAACATTTTTTTTTGAAGCAGATAAATTTTTTTCAGGTTGGATGTCGTTGTTGTGCCCCAAACAAGGTTACAATAACTCGGGAGTGAGTAAAACAGAACATGGTAAATAATTATTTTCACACAAACTGGGAGAAATTGGCTGTGGCGATACGTTAAACTAACAACACGTGACAGTTTGGAAACCGAATAATTTACATGGCTATCCCATGACATATTTTGAGAAAAAACGACACCTAGTGTTTTAAAATTTTCCACAATCTCTATCGGGCTTGAGCTAAATACTATAGGCCTTGGCATAAAAATTTTTTTATTTTTCGGACAAAAGAAAATAGCCTTTTTCTTTTCAATGTAAATGCTTAGTCCATTTTCCTTTGCCCACACCGCCAACTTTGACAAAGTAAAATTAACAGCATCGCATCCAAAATTTCATCGCTATCTAAAGAGGAAATAAATATGCGAGTGTCGTTTGCATAAATTACAAATTTAGCAACAGGGTCTATATTCACCATATCGTTTATATACAGGTTAAAAAAAAGGGGCCCTAAAATACTTCCTTGTGGAACCCCTGAAATAATACGCTTTCTATCGGAAGAATGACCACTAATGTTAATATATTGGAAGCGGTGACTCAAGTATGAATTTAGGAGAAGTCAACGGCTTTAGTAAAATCTGCGAACACACCAGCAACTATTCTTTTTTCTTCCAAATTTTGTAATATATATTCTTTCTGGGACACGAGGGCTGATTCCGTGGAACAATTTTTTCTGAAACAAAAACTGCGAAGATGAGAGTAAATCATTCTTATTCGCAAATTGTATGAGACGGGACTGTATTACTTTTTCGAGGCCTTTAGAAAAAAAGAAAAGAATTGAAATCGGTCAATAATTGTTGAAATTATTTTTATCTCCTTTCTTGTTAAGGACAGATACTTTCGCCACCTGCATCGCCGTAGGAAATACTCCAGACGAAAAGCAAAGATTAAAAATATGGGTTATGAATGGCACCATTATATCAGTAACAAACTTTAGTGGGCGTATTTGTAGATCATTGCAATCGCAGCTAGAGCTGTTTCTTAATTGCATAAATGTAAAAAATACCTCAGCATCTGTGAGAGGTTCAAGAAACATGGAATGACTATTTTTGACTTCTATGTATCTGCAAGGATCAGTATTAATGTTTGTTGCAGATAAATTCACAAAATATTCGCTTAAAGCATTAACTAAGGGAAGGCCACTTAGATGCACACAGTCCCCGGGTAATATTGTCAACTGGCCGATGGCCTGAACCAAGATTTAACACTAAATTTAGTTTTTTCCAAACTAAGTCCGTACGACCATTTGTATCCCTTAACATCTTATCATGATACTCAGCTTTAGTTGTACATAATAATTTTGTTAGTTGGATGCGATATATTTTAAAGGACCATAGACTTTGCGGGTCTCAAGTAAATCGGGTGTTATCCACGGTTTTCTGATTTTTTTAGTTGCCTTAAACATTTTGTATGGAAAATGATGACTATAAATACTTTTAAATAGTTTTAGGAAATGTCCATACACTTCATCTACATCTTCTGAACCAAACATATCACACCAATTAGTATCTGCAATCTCTTGTCTGAATGCATTCAACCTTCCGGTGGTTATACGTTGAAACGGGTACAATACATTATTTCTATTTTGTTTAGGGTTTCTAGTTTTCAAACACATGAATATTGGAAGGTAATCACTTAAATGGTAGCTTATAAGTCCGGATTTTATATTTTCACTATCGGCGTTACTAATAAATAGACCAATTAATGTTTCACAGCTTACAGTGACTCTAGTTGGAATATTTATTGTGTTCATACACCCATTGGTTTCTGTGATCGTATACATTTCCCTCCTCAATGTAGTATCTTTCAACATGTCAATATGAAAATCCCCACCACAAATTACGGTATAACTATTATCATTGACAAAACGAAGGTATGTGTTGAAAGATTCCCAAAAGTTCTCACTGTTGCCATCTGGAGGCCGATAAAACACACTTATTATTACACATTTCGCGCGGACTGTTAATATTTCAAAGTCCTGTGTAATACATGAATAATCTGACAATAGTTCACAGTTAATTGTGTCTTTGATGAGTAGACATACCCCGCCACCTCGGTGAGTAGTGCAATTTAAGGAAAAGCTAACATATCCAGGAAGTTTCAGAACATTACTATCATTATGATACCAGGTTTCTGATAACATTACTACGTCAGACGAAAAAGGAATTTGATTAAAAAACACTTCAAAATCTATATTTTTATTTCTAGCAGATTGGGCATTCACATGAAAATATTTCGTGAAAGCATAGCGTTCAGTACCAAGATATGCTTCAAGGTCACATAGAAGTAAACAACCATGACCAAGCATTAAAATGATAAACAACCAAATGAACTTTCAAAGAAAGAAAAAGAGATTACTGCAACTTTCACAGGTCACCCTCACATCTGACAGCTGCACGCCCGCCCACCCCCACGCCTGACAATAATTTTTCTATTTTGGTGCCATACGAACTGATAGGACCTTTGCTTTGCCCATTCTTTTGTGATCCAGAGAAGTGCCTTGTTTCTTTAGGTTAAGTTTTCTAAAATATAAATACTTTGCTGACCACCGTGCAAGTTTTCTTTTATTCCGAAGCCACTCGTCGCGTTTTTCTTGTTGTGCAAAACGTATGATAATTCCGGGAACTTTGTCGGGCTTCGATGGCAGTCTGTGAAGAGTTACTACTTCACTTGCCTCGAGCGCTGGTAAATCGAGTTTCTGTGCTACCTCGTTTACTTTCGTCATCAAGTTTTCTTCTTCGGCTGGCGGAACAATGTGAATTTCCAAATTGAAACGCCTGCTGCGCCATTCAAGGTCATGTAGGCCCGACTTCAGTGCTTGCATTTCCTTTGTGTGATCAGTATTTTCAAGGCATTCCACGCGCTTTTTTAGATAATTAATTTCCCGACCATGGTTTTGCACTTCTTCCAGTAGCTCTTGATAGTCTTTCGACATAACTTGAATGGATTGGTCGATGCTGTCAACCGTTTCCCTAGGACCTAGAAGGCTCTCTAGCTTGGCGTTTATGCTGACAAGCATGCTTGATACATCGAGGGCAGTTTCCTTGCTGGCACTTCTCATTTTTGCACTTAAACATGTCGGGCACCGCCAATTTTTACGAAGACAGTCACCCTTCGATCTACTAGTTGGTCCTTTAACACCCGAGCAATCTCCAAGGTGGTAAGAAAATTTGCATTCAATACATGTCTCGAAAACCCCATCACCCGGCAACGCCTGATCACACGCGAAACAGGTATCGTGCTGGGTGCCAGCCATGTTACTGTATCAGTTTCATAGTGAGCATAAAAAGGCTATCCATAACCTAAGGGTTGCAGTCGACGGAAAAAGGTACATGCAAAATCTAAGACAGAGCAGGAATAACGCTCACCTGTAGGTAGAAGAACGCAGTTGTACACACTGTACGGAACGTTTGCCGCCGACTGTGAAGACTGTTGTGGCGGGAGCGCTTTTATCTTCGGAGAGGGTGCCGAAAACTGCACCGAGACACTGCGATCCTTGTGGCGGGATATAGCACTGCATCTGCTGTTGCATCATGTCACCTTCTGCTTCCCCGTAGGTTGGAGCAATCATTGTTTCACCGACGAGGGAACTGGCCACTCAAATCTTCCACGTCCTCGAGCATTTCCTGAAGTTTGTGCCGCAGCTGACGGGACAGCTCTTCACTGGAGGCTACAATCCCATGAACGACATAGAGAACTTTAAGGAGAAAGGGTAACGTCTCTAGCTCACTGGGTTTACTGCAAAAGGCATGGTCTTTTATTCTTTGTTGGTGGTCAACGTCACATTTGTTTTAGGGCCAACATTGTGGTGACGACTCCGGGGCGGATGGTCGACATGTTTGAGCGGAAGGACGACACGTTCAACTTTGCCACAAACACAAAGTCTCTGGTAACGTTCAACGACTGTCTTTGCCCAGTTTTCTTCAGCCTGTAGTGGGAAAAGAAGGAAAGAGGCAGCAGGTTAAGAACAGGACAAGCTCTTTCCACAAAGCCCTCCACTCTTTCCACTTTAGCAGAGAGAACGGTGGAGAGAAGGCAAGTGGAGAGGAGGAAATCAACAATCATGGCAGGCTGAGAGCTTTGTGGCGGGTGCTTGCCCCGCTATTCTTAACCTATTACAGGCCTTACCTGTAGTCGAGTCTTCGGGGCTTCTCCTGCTATTCTTAACCTGAAACGTGCCTTAGCTGTAGTTGAATCTTCTTAAGTGTAGATTTGTTGTCTTCACCACTCAAGTTTGTACAAAAGGTACCTTTTTCTTTTTCTATTGCAAAGAGAAAAAGGGCAAGGCTTTTAGCTGAAGATGATTTTGCATGTTGGCTTTTGCAAGAGATGCTATGCTCCTTTGTAACTGCATTATGGTTCTCTGAGACTTCTTAATTTTTCATTTTCTATCAGGAGGTGCTGGTGCTCGACGAAGCCGACCGCCTTCTTGATATGGGCTTCGAAAAGAGGTGCTGGTTCAGTCCGCTCTTCCTAACCTTTTTGGCATTGCTTTGGATGTAGTCTGCTTTGCATTTTACTTCCTTAGAGAAAATCTAGGTGCGAAAATCAAGGCTTGCAAAAATACCTGGAGCCGAAACCTTCAGATCATTTTCTCATTACATACATTTCTGTCCAATATAATTGTGCATCCGACAGAATTGAAAAGATAATTCAGGAAGAGACAAAATTGAACCTTGCTTGTTTAGCTCTTGCCATTTCTTACCAAACTGACTGGGGTTTACTTTGTGTAGACACAAGATGCATCGGAAGACCATTTTTTTGTCACTCTTTGTACTAAGTAGCTTACGCATGCTTAGGTAAACAGGCGAGAGATCCACAGGCATTGACTATATACTGTAAGGCGCTCGAATCAAGACTGAGCTGCTGTAATCTACTTTTCTGTTTGCAAATGCTTACGAGGGGCATCCAGGCCAACTTGTCACTGGCCAGCTCGTCGGCGGCTTCTTTGTCAAATGGGACAGCTTGTCGGAGGAAAACTCGTCGAAGAAGCCAACTGGTCGCCGCTTTTTCAATAACAAAATATATCAATTTTGTCCTGAAATTTTAAAGCAAGTAATCCGTAAAATCACTGCACATCAATTGACCTCCAGTGTGCTCTTTCTTGTCTAAGATAACAACTGGCCGCTTTTGACACTTTCACGGTGCAGTAGAGGACGGTCACTATATCGCGAGTGTATTACTGGGGCGCGTGTTAACTTACCCGGCGCACCTGTTCACGCCGCTTCACGGCGACAGTCTGCAGCGGCTCATTACAAAAACGAATAAAGAAAAGGAACAAGAGGACGACCCCGAGATGACACATTTCTCAACTTGTTTCAAGGTTCTGTCTTATCTTTGCCCTCTTGTGGTTTTTATTTCAGTCTTGTAACCCAACAAGAATGCTGTCTCTAGCAAAAAACACAAACAAAAATTGAGGTCAAAAGATAGCAAGAGACCACAAACTTTTACCTTGGACCATCATTCAACCAATTAGACGAATTACCCTTTGACAAATTCCCCCTTTCGACAAGTTGCCCTATCACGAAATGGCCTGTTCAACGAATGGAGTGTTGACGAGTTGGCCGTTGACGAGTTGGCCGCATGCCCTACGGCAGGCATCCCAAAAGCTCTCGGCCTGACCCAGAAAGAGGCGACGAAGGTGAATAAATTTACGTTAGTTTTTGACATATAGTCCCCTTTGAGGCCCACACACTTCACCCAATGATGCTCCAATGCCTGGATCCCCTTTGAAAAAAATTTAAAAATCTGAAGTTTGGCTTTTTAAAGAGCGGGTCACAGCATCTATGACATCATCATCACTGAAAAAGCTAACACCAGAAAGTTTCTTTCTGAGCTTGGGGAAGCGATGAAAGTCTGATGAGGCAAGATCTGGCAAGTACAGTGGATGGTTGACCACAAAAAAGTCGCAGGAGTGGATGGAAGCCATCACCACAGCAGCTTGGTGTGGAAGCACATTGCCCTGATAGGTACAGGACCACCTTCCGGAGCCTACTGCAACTTTTGGCCTTGATGGCGTCACGCAGGCAATGAATTGGGGCTGCACAGTAGTTCTCTCTGATGCTTTCCCCTTTCTGAAGGTAATGGCTGAGCAGCACACCCTCCAAATCCCGAAAAACTGGCCATCACCTTGCCTTTTGATGGAACAGACCGAGCCTTCTTCAGCTGTGGAGAGAGGGGTGTTTCTACTGTTTAGATTGGGCTTTGCTGTCGGGATGAAAGTGGTGGGCCCAGGTTGCGTCCACAGTCAAAAATTGGGCGCGGAAGCCTGCAGGATCTGACCTGAGCAGCTCAAGATTCTCCCTGGACATGATGTAGTGGGTGCGTTTTTGGTCACACGAGAGCAATCTTGGAACCCAACTGGCAGAGACCCAATTTATGTCAAGATGTTGCATCAAGATGTGCCGAGATGTCTGACCTGTGCAGTGGCCCGTATTTTTATTCGGCGATCTGCCATTACCTCATTGTGCACATGGTCGACGTTTCGTTGTGCGGTTACTTTGGCAGGTCTACCAAGGCTGGGGTCGCCTTTGGAGCTCTCCCATCCCCAATTAAATCTCGCGGCCCACTTCTTCACCGTGCTCTAGGATGGAGCATCCTGTGCCTATGTCGGTACCATGTCCTTGTGGATGCCTGATGGAGTTCGGCCCTTCCGAGACAAATATTCAGTCGCGGAACTTTTCTTCATTTACATCATTTAGCTCGACTGCACGGGCTGTTACCTGTTGGTGGCCGCCACAAAAAAATGTATTGTGCACGTGCACCATTTTTGGTGTGACAAATCTTAAGACGTGCCCACGTGCTCTAATAAGGTTTATTGTCTGCGCTCGCGCTGCTGTGTTGGGCCAATAACTTCTGGGCCACCCCTCGTGCTGTAAGTGATTAGGTAACACAATTCTTAAGATAACTGGCAAAACAGTAACCAGAGTTGGGGACATCTATGAAAGCTTATGGCTTCCCCAGATTCCTTCATTTTTATACATGTGAAAAAGGTTACTAATGGTTTTTAATATCAGATTTACATTTCGAAGGCCACCATACGAGATCCAATTAAATTGTTGTTGAAATTGCTGATGCTTTAAGCACTGTGTTCCCAAACTAATTATGACTTTTAAGAAACTAAAAAGATAGATTGTAAGAGAGTTGGGGGAGTCATAAAACATGCAGAGAGTCATAAAACATGCAGAGAGTCATAAAACATGCAGTCCTTTTTGCAACATCGGAAGGGATTCTGGGAACGGCTGTAAAACTAGCTAAAGCAGGCAAGGGCGGGCATGCAACTGCACACTCTCTTTCTCTCTAATGTCACGTGATAGATCCTGCGGGAGGAGCATACTGGGCATTCACAAAATTAATTGCACACTTTGCACACAGCTTTTTGGGAATTTCGCAACTGTATGATTATCTTGGAATCCAATATTTCTTTCAGAGATTCAACGAAACATACTTTAAGCATGACTTATTTAATTACCGTATTGCATCTAGCCAGCTAGCAAGCATATATGAAGCAATGTCAGAATCTCGCCATGCCGGCTGACTAGAATATGAAAACGAAAGAGGGACATAAAAGACAACACAGAAAACGTGGGCTTCCATCTAAAGCATGTGTCGTCTGTAGTCTTCTGTCCCTTTTTTGTTTTTATTTTGTAGTCACCAACACTCTTTGCCATCCAAATTAGCTGCCTCTTCATTGCCTTTGTACGTTCTGAGAAAATGGCTTTGGACAACCGGTGGTGTCACGTCGTTTGCAGCGTGAATACCATCCTGTCATACCTGCCCAAGCAACGCAGGACAGGGCTGTTCTCTGCAACACAGACCAAGGAGGTGGAGGATTTGATACGTGCGGGACTTCGCAATCCTGTGAGCGTTTCTGTAAAGGAGAAGCAAACCTCCCTCGGCAAATCCCAGAGGACACCGGCACTGCTAAAAAATTTCTACATTGTGAGTGAGCTGGGAAACCTCCGAGTCTGACCAACTTGTACAGTTATTGTCATTCATGCATAAAACACTAGCTGGGGGTTATCTGAGAAATATTTTTTTGGCAGTAAAGCAAGACAGCTGTGTTTTGACGTAGCACAGGACTAAGCGGTATCACGACATTCCATACCGTGACACTGGCCGCCGCACATGATGTCTGTTTTGCCCTCTAATCAGACTGTCACTACACCCTCTCATGATATTGACATCCCTTGATTAGCTTGTGTATTGAAAATAAAAATTAATGGTACTAAGTGTGTATGTTTCTGTGCAAGATTGGTGGTCATTGCCCTCAAGACAGTGTTGTTGTCTTGGATAAGTTGTTTTGTATGTATATACGTTCTATGACAAAAGGGAGCGTGCCATCATAGCTGTACTATTGCTTCGGAACGAGCTCCTGCTCATTTTACTTTGTATCCTGCCACTTCGTAATGCAGTCGCCTTTGCTGATAGGGCTGCTCCATTGTAAGAAAAGTCACAGTTTTTGTATTCGTCTGATGATGACCATACAAGTATGAGTTGGGCGGTATAAACTGTTTCAAACTAGTGCATTTTTTAAAAGGATGTTGGAAGACAACATGTATTTGAAGCGCCATCATATTTTTGTTTTTTGTGACTACTGTATGATCATAATTTTCTGCATAGATGTGTGAAGCAGACAAAAAGCTGGACCTCTTGGTCACCTTTCTGCAAAGTCACTCGAAGGAGAAGCACATGGTGTTCTTCAGCACCTGCGCCTGCGTGGAATACTTCTCTGCTATTCTTGTGCAGTAAGTACTTCAACTGAAGCATGTGAAAAGTTTGATGACAGCGTGCTAGGGGCATCATGGTGTGTTTTTGTCATTTTGCAGTCTGCTCAAGAACACTGCTGTAATCAGCATTCACGGCAAGATGAAATCTAAAAGGCAGAAGATTTTTGACAGGTTCATGACAATGGAAATGTAAGCGCTTGTTTCACCATTTTAGATATCAAGGGAAGAACTGTAATAATTATACAAGCTCAGGAGAGCTATATTGCCATGAAAACATCAGTGGTACCTGACAATAAGTTATCTTGGCAGTAATGAAGCAAAAAGTATTATTATTAATTTTATTTTAACGTACTGCCAGTTATGAGGCCAAAGCAGGTTGATAGGCATTAAAAGTACAATCACACTTAAGTACTGAAAATGTTATCAATAAAACTACAAACATTTTCACTATTTACAGCATCCGTGAATAGGTGGTTCCATTCATCAATAAATTTAATAAACAAACATTTTTCTAAAAGAGTTTGTGTTAAAATAACGAGGCACAATACATTTGTTATGTTTCATTCTAGTTGTGTTATCGAAGTTTGCATGTGTAACATATTTCTGAATATCAATAAAGAAATGATTATGTAGCAACTTTAAAAATAACTTCTATTCAAGTCAACCTGATCTTATGGCAGAAGGTTTGCACTGGACTTCGGTAAGGAGACAGTCTGTGAATCGACAGTGATTGAAAATAAATCAAACAGCTCTGCTTCATATGCATTCTATTTTGTAAATGTTTTGTTGCATGAATGGTTCCCAAACTGGGCTTGCATATTCAATCGTTGGTAATATCAGTAACTTATATACGCTGTTAAATTGAGCTCTGGACCTGCAAACTCTAATTTCCCCCTAAGTGTCCAAAGTTTCTTTTGCACTTTATTGAAAACATTTTTTATGTATGTATTCTACTTCAGATTCGATTTCGAAAGAATGCTTAGGTATTTGTGCACCTGTACATATTTTAAGGGCATCACCCCAATGTTACAGGTGAACTGTGCTGGTATTTTCTTTTGCATTGTGCTCATGTATACAGTTTTCTTTTGTTTAATGGCTGCTCACCCTGTTTTTCACGTGATTAAAGCTAACTGAAATTATAAGGTGTGATCAATGAACAACGTAGGTATTCTCCTCTGGTGCATTCCTTTTAAACATGCTGGAGCAAGACATTAAGTTGGGCTAAGTGGTACATAATAATAAAAGGGTAAAACATTGCTACAGAAAGACAAAGGACATAAGGAATAGATGCATACACAGAAGGTGCAGTGGAAGGAAATCTTCAGCAAAAAAGATGGTGGCCAACAAAGCCCGTGAATAGACAGAGATGAATGGCGTCTTCTACCGAAAGCAGACCCTTTTTCCTAGTTAAAAATTTTTCAGAAATTGCTTGTAACTTTTTTATTGGATGATGGTAAGTTCTGAAACATTGACATCCGGTTCCAACCGCAAGCGTTACATTTGGGTGGAGACAGCGTTCAGCGATGCATAGTTTATGTTTGCCGTGAGAAGAATGTGGTTTTCTTTTCTCGCAAACACCCGGCATGCTGGAAACATGCTCACTTAGTAATAAGTTCACTGAAGCCGTACTGATGTTATTATGATGGTCTGGACCTTAAGAGAGCAGAGATAGGGGTCAAATGATTTCTGTCTGAATGCAGCAGAATTCACGATTGGTTCCCTTTCTTGCTAACGGTGCAACTAACATTTATCTCGATTAGCGAAACACATAATTTTTACACCAGATCTCGAATCTGAATGCTTTTCAGGGGTGTCCTTGTTTGTACGGACGTGATGGCAAGAGGTGTGGACATTCCAGACGTTCACTGGGTTCTCCAGTTTGACGCTCCAAAGTCATCAAGGTATGTGCGGTGGACGTCAGGCTTCTGCATGCGTGTGCTCCTGATTGGGTTGATGCTGGTGCCCAACAGAAACGAGCCTGTTTCCTCTCACGCAGCTCCTTCATCCACCGCTGCGGAAGGACTGCCAGAATGGGTCACGAGGGAAATGCTTTGCTTCTGCTCATGCCTTCGGAAGATTCCTACCTGAAGTTCTTGGAGCTCAATCAGAAGGTGCTTTTTGTCCTTGGATCACGGAATCGCAGAAAGGTTCTTTAGATAACATGACACAGGCAACTGGGATCGAAGCAAGAACGGGTCATTTTGGTGTGATGATGGTGGTGGTGTTTGATGTTGATGGTGTGTTGGTTAAATGGTGATAGTCTGTTAGTTTAACATACACTTGCAATTCATCTGGTCACACATATTTGAGGTCGGAGTATAGCAGACCGCCCTTGCATTTGCTGTAGGTAACCTTGGAAAAGATGGACCCACCTGCCATTGTCAACACAGTCATTGAAAAAGTGAAGAAACTGGCAACGCAGGACAGGTGAGGAGATGCGGATGAATTTTATGAGAATTTTCTTTGCCAACGACGTGTAACACACTCTTCTTTTTTTTCTTTTTAATTCAGAGCAATTTACGAGAAGGGTGTCAGGGCATTTGTGTCCTTTATCCAGGCTTACAGGAAACATGAATGCTACCTGCTCTTTAGGATAAAAGGTAAACAGAACAAGCACTTTTTTATTTTTGTCTCACTCAACCCTGTTGTTGCCTTTCTACTTTGTCTCAGATCTGGACTTCGCAAAACTGGCAGAGGGTTTTGCTCTCCTGAAGATGCCTTACATGCCAGAGCTAAGGGGCAAAGCAACTATCGGATTTCAGGAATCCAGCGTTGATGTCAAGAACATTCCCTACAAGTGAGTGGCACTCTTGATTCTTCAACTAGACGACAATCCTTAGATATCTCTGAACTGGCAACCTTCGCTTATTGCCTTTTGCAAATTTGGCCGAGGGAAAGCAATTGCGAAAGCTCGGTCATCCAACTCTAAAATTGCAAAATTTTGCCCTCCTCCAGTATTTAGAAGAGTGTTGGTTGAGTGAATTTGCAAAATCCGAAGCTCGAGAGTATACAAGCGTTTACAGTAGATGAATACTCAGTGTGGCTTCTACCATCATTGAGACACAATGGTTTTGGGGTTTGGATTAGGCAAGCCAGCAGCGGCAAGTACTTGAAACTTGTGTATCTTGTATGTTCAGGAACAAAGCCAAAGAGAAGCACAGGCAGGCAAAGCTCAAGGAGTCGAAAGAATCTGGTGACAACAAGGATGTTGCCAGGAAGGGCAGGCGTCAGAAGATGAACAAGGTAATGACATTTGTTGTACACCTAAGTTACGGTGTGTAATCAAGTGCGGTGATCGAATTTAATGATGGACGACTTGTGTGCATTGAGAGAACTATTAAGAGAGAGTCATTCTGTTTGTCTAAATATACTGTGCAAAAAAAAAAAAAAAAAAACAGTCGTTGCTAGTATGAAAAGCATATCTTACATTCAAAAGTATGAAAGACTCGCTTGGACAGTAGTGCGGTACCTGGTGGCATTTTGTCCACATCGACCAGAACGAAATCAGCCCTCTTCTTTTGAGAGTGCATCGATTCATTTTTGGCCTCATTATTTCATTTTCCTCTCTTCAATATGTTGCCAGCAGGGACTACCCTAGACATGTGTTTGAGCGTGTCTCGATTGGAGAGTGTCTCAAGAAATACTCTACTGATTGAAATTCGATTTATTCGTACCACTTCGAATGGCACGGTATGGCCTTTGCTGCTGTTGCACCATTAAACGTTTAATTTTCACCATCGTCCCCCCTCCGGAGATTCCGGCCTTACCATGGTAGGGGGGTTTGTGTGACCCAGCGACCCCTTCGAGCTATGTCTGCCACGGTCGCTCGTACTGGGTGACCCTGGCAGACGATAAAGACCAGGGAAAAAAGATTTGTGGGCGGAAATCTACTTATAGTATGCATCCCGTGCTTAGCATTACCAAAATGCGGGGAAAAAGGCGTCCTGGCAGCCGAGCCGACTTTGTGGCTGGTTTGGACCCTTTGGGGCCCTTCGGAGAGGGCGACTCCCTGGTTCGGCTCTAACTTCCCCGTGGACGGTGGCCCTGGCTGGCCTGATCATGTGCTATTTGGGAGGCTGTCTTCTTCTTTCTTATTATTCTCTTCCACTCTCTCACTTCCCCTAACCACTTGACGGCTATGCGGGGACATCAGCATTCGTCTCTGATGACTTTGTAGTTGGTTATACACTCCGTGCGGGAACTATAGGGGGCGCTTTGAAAAACGCACGCAGCGCCGCTAGCGGAGGGGCTGGCGCTGGACCGTGAGGCGCGTTCAGCAGCCTGCGGCGCCTTTTCGCATGCCAAGCTGTGGCGGCGGAAGCGCGCACGGACAAAACTTTTGCTTTTTGAGCCGATACGTTGAGGGTGACGTTGCATGAGTGCTGGGGCAGACCTACCGTAATATCCCGAGTCATCGCCCATCCCCGAGCCATCGCCCACCCCATTTTTTGGGCCAATATCGATTTCCGAAAAAACACCGAGTCATCGCCCACCCCTTCAAATACCCCAGCGCGGACTCTGCGATCCGCGAACACTCATCCTACCCGAATGACGCGGCCGCGGACCTTACAGTTCGAGGACGTCCGTGAGAAAGTAAAACAAAGGAGGGAAAGACACTTCTTTTTGTTTACCTCCGTGAGCGACCCCAAAGTGGTCGTGTATCCGTGCGAAAAGAAAACGATGGAGATAACAAAATAAGAGTTTGTTAATGTAACCGCGGAGTGTTAGGTCAAAATCTGTCTCCGCCGAAGTAAGGTCACCGCGAACCCGCTCCTTCTTCCCGCCCGTCGCGACCGCGGTTGTGCAATATTTTAGGCAAAGCCAACGCGTAAATAAAGCTTTGCTGGAACGCCCTACACAGACGTTTGCAGAGCGTCCCAACCGTGCATTGATAGCCCGCCGTGCACGGACGCACGTATGTACGCACCAAACAAGAAAGTTGCGCAAGAGCTTGCAATTGACAAGGCGCCCGACTTGGCCCGACGCCAAAGTATTTGCCAACGCGACCGCCGGCTTTCCCGCTTTCCCAGCATTGCTCTTGGTCGCTTCTTTGGTCCGCTCGCTCGTTGCGCCTGGTCGGTTTTTCTATTTTCTTGTAGACTTTTCTTTCTTTTTTGTTTTACTAACTAGGAGAACATAGTGGTGACATTCTTTCACGGAACAAACGTTCGCGCTATATGCAGATCGGCGGTGTTTCTAGCGCGTATGCAAGCAACGGACTTCGCTATAGTAAAATATTCTTACGTGAGCATTTTTTTCTATAAAACAATGAAACTAAATCGAGTTTTGAGTTTGATGTATCTCTTGTGCATCAGCGCTAGATACGCAGAGAAAAATAGGCGGTTTTTTCCGCTTTTTTTAAGTGTTTGTGCTCACCCACCGAGACATGGCCCACCCCACTTTTTTAATGAATTTCAGGTGGTGGGGGGGTGGGCGATCTGTGAAACTTTGTCTCCACGAGATACGACGCATAACTATTGGAGCACTTAATGACGCAGCACAGGCAGCACTTCATGCAGTGAACCCAGCGCAACCGCACCACTCCGACTTCAATGCGTACGAACGTACGTGACGTGGTTTCGGTGTTGTTTTCTCTGGGGTTCTCACTGCCTACCTTCGGTACCGGCCGCGCAGCGGCGCGCCAGTCGGGTCGCACGGAGTGTATAGCACTCACTTAGGCTTGGTATTCTCGAAGTCTCGCCTACTGTGGCTACCTAGACTGAAAATGCCTGCTTGTTGGGCTTCGTGGTGGGGGAGCCTGGCGAGGAGTGAAGTGATTTTTCTTCTGAAGAGAATCGCACGTTAAACCCCCACAATTGGAAACTGGAAACGGCTTCGAAACAAAGAAAGCAAGATTGTTGAGCCTGAGAAAGAAACACGGACAAACGTTTTAGGAATGACAAGCAATAACGCAGATCATCCGCTGAGCAAAGCTTCGCCGATTCCTATAGAGAGTAGAATGAAATGGTTCACAACTGTCACAAGTGTATAGGAAATGGCCACTGGCAATTTTCTTCGAGAGGCATCGTCCGAGACTGCAAGCACAACACCATTCAAAAGTCAAAGTTCTCAAAAATATCAAGATCGCCTGCCTCACCCCATCACACTTCCAAGTCGTCCAGAAAAGTCATCTCTGTGGAGGACCATCTAGACGTCCCAAAGGATTAAACTCTTAAAGGACTCGCTGATGAGATTGTTGCCGCAGTTCAACGAACAAAGATCGGGAGAAATGACGCGGAGCCTCCAACAATGCTTGTAATTCTCACTTTCTAAGCACCTAACCGACCCTCGCACATCATGACTGCTTACCTGAGATGCGAGTTTCGGCCAAACATCCAAAACGCACTCCGGTATCTCGGGTGCAATCAATACGGCCACCAAACTGCATCCTGTTCAGGTTCGCAATGCTGCACAAATTGCTCCAGCATGGACCGTGATCTGAAAAACTGCTCTAGTTCTTTTCGTTGCATAAACTGTGAGAGCAAATATCCTGCCTACTCGCACAGCTGTCCATCCTGGTGATGAAAAGAAAAAAAAGATTGTATGCATTAAGGTCCTGCAAAAACCGAGCCACCGTGATACGGAAAAATTTGTTTCTTAACCTTGTTTTCAGAGATCCTATGCAGAAGTACTGAGCGGAAAGGTGGAGACCGCCAGTATTGGCACCCAGACCATGCCTGTCGTAGTATACTGCCCCACTGCCAAAGAGATGACACCAGTCAGAAGACTGACTAGGTTACTGCCAAAGAAACCAGGCAAGTCAGCACTGCCCCTCCAAAGGACGGCTCCTGCTGGTTAGAGCCTTGCGACAGAAACTCCCTACGCAAACGAAATTTGTGGATCATGATCCTCATGAGGGAGCTTATGAGGATCATCAGGGAGCTCATGACCCTCTTAGGACCTCGAAACATTGGTGGGCACCAGGATGTGAGGAGGCATACAAGAATAAAAACAAGCGGTGAAGGAAATTTACCGGCGCGCTGGCAGCACAGGCCCGCAGTGCCATGGGGTGGCAGTCCTTGAAACTGACACGCGGCACCCAATGGAAGCCTCTATCCTTGAAACTGTGGTGTGCACCAGCCCATGGGACCTATCCATCGAACTTTGGCTTCACTGCGCTCCATTGGGAGAGGGGAAACTAGGTGCCGTTTGGTTTGGCTTTTCGTGCGGCTTCAAATCTGGGAGCCATCAGATCGCGGCTTCACTTAGTTTCATTCTGAGAAAGAAGTTTAGGCGCTGGTTTGGTGCGGTTTCAAAGCTGATGACGTCGGCTTGCTCCATGGGACAGTTAATGCTTTCTTATTAATATGTTTATTCTGTACCTGTATTCGCAGACTTTCATAGGGTGATCTGTACGGAGAGACACATAGGTTGGTTCTTTTATGTATTGGTCTTTATATATGTCAATGCCATTTCTGCAATTAAACATGTTATAGAATAAAGATAGTCCGAGATATTTTTGGCGGTCAGCAAGGGAAGGCCTCCCTAATTTATTGCATATAGCAGACAAGCTTTTAAAGAAATCAAGTTGAGCTTTTAGAACTTTTAGAGAGAATATGCAATAATCAGAACGAAAAACTTGGCACCAGGACCTGATAAAGTTCACTACAGAATTATTTGCCATCTCCCAGAAGACACCTTCAAAGCTATGGTTTTCCTTTACAACCGGATTTGGACTGGGAAAGCTTTTCCATCTTTCTGGCACATAGGTTATTCCTGTGCGTAAACCAGGAATGGACAATAGAATTCCATGCAGCTACCATCCCATTGCTTTGACCAGCTGTATGTGTAAGCTTTTTAAGAGAATGATATACGAGCGACTCGTGTGGCTTCTTGAGGCACGGTACTTGATTTGATAGGTGATGGCAAATGTGGCTTCCGGTGCTTCCGTTCTTTGCAAGATCATTTGGTTCGCTTGGAAAAAGAAATTGAATTTCTTTTTCTGGATACCAGCACTTTATCTTGGTATCTGTGGACATGGAAAAACACATCATGTGACTTGGTCTTTTACAAGGTTTTGTAGGCCTTAAAATAGATAGTAGAATGTCCCATTTTATTCTTAGTTTATCATATAAGCCTTATCATCATTCTCTTCTCCTTGGTCATGAATCCACTGCACCTCCTGAAAACATAATTTAGCCGCTATCTTGGGGCAAGTGGCAGCAAAGCCGCCCTTCTTGATGCCGGCTGCCCTGCGTGCCTCGAAGGACTTCTTGATTGCCAGTTGCCATGGCTGCAGCTTCTCCGACGGTGTTGCCCAGCTGTTTTAACTTGATTTTTAACAATTTAATTATTTATTTGTTTAATTGTTTTTCTTCTCTTAGAATGTCATTGGTACCCTTTGGCCATGTTTGGGCCTTGTGCCACTGAAACTCACTACATCAATCAATCATCATCATCCATACTACTAGTGACAGAATCCCTTGTTGTACAGTTGTCCAGTGCTTGGCATTCTTTGAGACTGTAACAGGTCACACCAGAAAATGTGCCAAACCACGCTGAATCATACCGAGTTCCTTCGGCTGAGTGCTTTCGATGGAGGTGGCGGTGGAGGCGTAGAAAAAGAATGAAAAAGTAAAGGATGCTTTATGTATTGATGATGCGTATACCTTTCTTCTGCATTTACTAAATGTCTCGCTGGCACAGTACAAGAAGTGTAGCTAAGTAAGTACCTCTCCTAATACGCCGAGTTATGGCGTATCCAGGAGTGCAAGGAAAGGTACAAAGATCAATGTGGTCTCTTTAACAGTATAAGTATGTTTTCTGTTTACTGCAACCTGCTAGTGCGACACTACTACTCTGCTCTACTTATTTCCGTTCCTGTGTGAGGCAATGGTGCTTTCAGGGAAAGCATTCCATGTACAGTCGGGTAGAGTTTACTCCTCCACCCTTAAAGTACCTCATCCGACTTCTTGGCTAATTTTTTGTGCTGTCGTCAAGTTGTTAAGCACTTGGTTTGTTCATCCAGCTGCTCATTCCTATACTCCTCGTACAAAGCAGTAATTCAGGTTCTGCAACTTTCATGACTTAAAATTAAGATAGAACCCCTGAAACGAGAAGAGGTCACTTTTGATGTTGAGTTACTAACTCTTGACCCGGGTGTGCACTGAGTGCGCATGATTTCACCAAGACCGGTGGCTCTAAAACAAGAGAAGCATTTGGCAGCGTAACTGTAAGATGGGAAAGACTAAGATTGGATGTGACCGTAGTTTTCCGTTTCGCCTATGTGAATACAGCGGCGGCATGCGCACAAACACACAGGACCCATACAAAAGGTCAAAGATCGGGCCGCTACAATTGTTCTCCTTTGTTCTTCAAGCCTTTGTGGAGGTGCATTTGTTTGTGCTGTCACATTTGGGAATTTCTATATACTGTTAAAAAAAAAAAAAAAAAAAAAAAAACTGTCTTAGCAGTTTTTTTTGGTTGATATTTCTTAAAACCAAACTTTTTTCTTCTTAGAACTTATGATTCATCACCAGCTCGCCTTACTTTTGTCTGGCTTGAGTTGTTTTCATCTAAACACAAGAAAGAGCTTCGTAGAGAAAAAAAAAAGAATTTAATGTTAAACTGCCTGCACTGTACCTTTTCTTTTCACGAGCTGGCAGATATCATGATGAAGCCTTCTCTAGTTTACGAATCAGAACAGCTCTGATAAACAATATGACACTGCCTTGTAGGGTCCCCAACGGAAAGACGCCAAGACGAGAGGCAAGAAGCGCAAGACAAAAGAAGACTACACAAATGAAGACCTGGACGAACTGGCAGCAGACGCAAGGCTGATACGAAAGCTGAAGCGTAAAAAGGTGATGTTGCACCTTCCGCAAGGCTTCCCCCAATCTGCTTTAAAGTGGCCGTGAAATTATTTTTCAACTTCTTCCCTTTTTAGCTTCTTTCCTCAACTCACAAATCGTGCAGCGTTACCAAAGGTACAGGGGGGAGAGTATACTGCTGGCAGTCCAAGAGGAGGGAAAGGAGGAACTTCCCTCTTGCTCAAACTTTCGTTTGTGTACCCACACGTCGCCATTCTTTCCCTAGGAAATTGGCCCGTCGCTCAAAATTTACTTTCCCCCCTTTCCCGCCCATGGCTTCCGCAGTACAGCCCACCGCTAAGCTGACAGTGCTGTGGAAGCTACGTGGTCATTGGGCCGGTCACTTTCATCTTGTGCCATGTGATCATGCTTCCTCGTGCATACGCACGTGCAGAGAATTGGGTCAGGTGATGAAAGGGAGGCGGCCGATCGGTCCGGCAAGTGCGTTGCCCCACCGCATTGTCAGCTTAGGGATAAATGGAGTAGTATAGTGAAATAGCATAGTGGGACACAGTGCTCCTGTCCACTGTGTAAGCTGGGGCCAGTCTATGTGCTTTGGGTACTGCAGATGTATCACAGTGAAAAGTGGGAGAGCATTCAAATGAAAGGAGTTACGGAATAGCCCGCCATGTTTTCAAATTTTCGTATTGAAAAGCAAGCTTGACTTTTTTTCTACCGTTTTTCTCCGGGCCCACTGAACGATGTGCGATTAGTAAAATCCCAATCTAAATTCATTCATCCTAGCCCAAAATTCATTTCACGGCCTCTTTAACTTACCAATGCTCACACTTCTCTTACCCTTACAGATCACCAAGGAGGAATTTGACGAGGCATTTGAAGTTTGAAAACCTTCCGAGTGGATTTCATGCACACCGATTGTACAGTCAATAAAAAAACGTTATGGCTCTGGATTCCTTGTGGGCTAATCCGAGTTCAGTAGCAACCTGTTCGTTGAACGACATTTCATTGACAGATTGTTTCATCGACACGCAATGCTTCATTGACAGCTCAGATTAACTTTTTTCTGCGATAAGCTGCATGAGACGGGTCGGTCAGGTGACATAAAGAAAAGCATAAGCCTAAGCTTTAAAGAAAAAAATTTTTTTAATCTGTTCTTTTTTTAAATTTGATGTTTTTGGTTTTAGAAACTAATTATACACCCTTACACTAAATTTGATATCTATATGCCAAATAGTTAAGTTGATATAAAATACTTTCAACACATTATGAGGCAGTAACAAAGTAAAGGAGTTCAATGTTTGAATGCATTTTTCTCTGTTCCACTTTTTGCTGCGAATATCGCATGAAGGAATCTTTTGTTTGAATGTAAAATTATTCCGATACCATAATCAAGATGTTTCTGAACTTAAATTTACTGGGCTATCTACTTTATTTTGTTTTAAGTTGAAGTCTTCATTAAGAAAAAACTGTTTTCAGAAATTGACATAGGACAGATATGCATTTCATAATTTGGGGTAATAACTCTTGAAATATTTACATTTTTAGTTATAAAAACTAGATAGCCTGAAGTCCCACATCCCCCACTTTATATTCAAGCAGTCAAAATGGTGCTTAATAGCTTCATTTGCATATCATAGATTTCTTGTCGAAGAGTGACACATCTTATGCAGGTATACTAAATTGCGTTAGAGCTAAAAGTTTGCACAGTACACATACATCTGATGTTAAATATCCCTGCAAATATCATTCCGATCATGTGAGTAGTTAAGAAGTTAAATCTGTAGCCAGTGTCGGAGTTAACATTTCTGTAATGAGCCACCGCAGACTGTCACCGTGAAGCGGCATGAACACAGAGGGGTTAACGTGAACCCTAGTCATGCATGCGGGACGAAATGTCCTTATAGTGTGCGTGTGCAATTTGCATAACAAGTGCCGATGAAACAATCATGTCGACAAAGCATTTGTCCATGAAAAGTTGTCCACGAAACATAATTCAACGAAATGATAGGGACCCATCTGAATTTTATGTACTAAAGATCAGGTGTCCAAATTTGCACAATATAGGCATATTTATTTGTATATTGAAGCTTGCAACAATGATTTCTTTAGTATAAAACCTTTTCAAGTACATATTGCAAAAGTCCATAAATGAAAAAACGAAAGTGAAACAAGGACAAAAGTCCATAGACGACATAAGAGCATGACAAAACAGAGCTTGCACCTATGAAAGTAATCTCAAAGGAATGATGCAATGGTAGCAAACATTACTAGGCCACATAGGAAGTGAAATGCAATGCAACTTAGGCCTTCATTTCTAGTTATACTAGTCAACAATTGTAAAGCATACAAAAACAAGCATTACCAATAAAAGAACCAAAGCTTTTCCTTTCAGCTCCACTACTAAAGTACATGACTAAGTACAAAATGAAAATCATGTCCCATAGAACAACACATGCAATGAGCAATGAGAAGCCATAACTTAGGGGTAAATTTGTTAGAGGAAAAAGCCTCCAATCCTCGACACAAAGGAGGGCATTTGTGAAAGGCTTTAAAACTAGCGTGTGCGACAAACGACTGGATAGGACGTACGGTTCCTGTCAACCACAAATAAGGACTAGCTCATAGTTGCACTTGTGACGAGATGTACGAGAAATGCACGCTGGAAACTAAATAAAACTAACAACTTGCACAGCACCAGAACATCAACTGGTTTGGTCGCTTCAAAGATTCTGGAGATAATTTAGAATCAACTGAACAGTAAAGTAAAGTGTTTTAAATAAAGCCTCGGTCAAAGTTGGTCCAGGCTAAAAAAAAACAATGCATTTGTTTCGTGGCATTTCAACATGCTGGGATCACCCCGACAAGAGAGAGATTCCGCGAGCATTTGGCTGCACCATGTCAAAAGACCTTCGCCACTCCCTGCAACAAGAACGGTGGCTGGTATGGCAGTCGACAGAATGAGAATGGCAGGGCGTGCCTCAAATGCTTGGCCTTTGGCTGCACGCACACGTGCTCAAGATGCCGAAGCGTTGTTGCAGGTAGGAAGCTCACGCTGCAGATGAGGCCACCGAACCTCCTCCCTGCCGTTTCCACTTTGTCTGCGACCGCAGTAGGGCCACTAGACGAGACACCATTACAGTTCGTCGCCCACCCTTTTGGACCTAGACCGCGGCTTCAACATCCGCTCGACCACTTCCAACAGGACGGCCTCCCGTCCCCCCTGGACGACGGCGCCCCTCGGCCCCTGTGCTTTGCCACCCACTGCACCGCCGTAGAACACAACCGTCGGGTAGCGATGAACCTCGGCTGCGTCGCACGCCTGCCAGTGTTCCTCGCAGTTCACCGCGCCAAACTTCACCTTCCCCTCCATCTTCTTTGCGACAGCCTCAACGACCGGCCGGAAGGCGACGCAGTGTCCGCACCACGGCGCATAGAAGTCCACCACCCACGGCTCCCGGTCGGTGAGGACGGACCCAAAAAAGTCAGAGTGGTCGAGTTCCTCGACGCTGCTTGGCAGAAACCGCGTCGCCCACTCCCGGAAGGAGGCTGCGTCCCGGGACCACCCGTCGAACGTGGAGACGTGGCGCGCGTTGAACGGGCCACGGGGGTAGGCGCGGAGGGTCGGGTACGAGCGGACCCCCTGTTTCGCGCAGAAGTCACGATGCGCGGCGCAGTCCACCTGTCCCACGTGGAGGTTGGGGTCGTCGGCGACCATCTTGGCGAACTTGTTCCACTCCGGGGCCAGCTGGCGGCAGTGGCCGCACCAGGGCGCGAAGAAGTCGACGGCCCAGACATCGTCTTCCTTTTTGCGTTCCACAAGTTCCTCGAAGGAGTCCGGGGTGAGAAACACGACCTTGGGATCCAGCGCTATCTCCACAAACTCTCGGATCTCGAGCGCCGTCTTGAACCCAGAGAGGATGGTCGTCGTGCCGTTGTGGAATAGGACGAGTGTCGGGTAGGAGCCGACCATGTTGTCCTTGCACACAGACGCGTGGACGGTGCAGTCGACCGTGCCGAAACGGACAGCATTGAAGGAACGCGATGTCTTCCGCAGTTCTGGAAGCGTGCGCATGCACGGGGGGCACCACGGTGCAAAAAAGTCCACCAGCCACGGCGATTCGCCGCGGGTCACCTTTGCCGTGAAGGTAGAGGCAGTCAGTGTCTCCAGCCGACCTCCAACGCTCTCCCGGAGGAAAGAAGCAAGGTCCCGAGCGTTAGTGCGACCGTGATACACTTCGTATTCCGCTCCCGGCCGGAGGACCAAGAACAGGGGTGTCTTCGAGACCGACAGGCGACGGCAGACGTCTCGCTCGGAGCTGCAGTCGACGTAGCCCAGTCGGACCGATTGTACGTAGCCCCTGATGTGCTTCAGCTCCAGCTCCAGTGAGCCTTCTGACTGGTCGCTGTTTCCAAAGTGAAGGAACCACGGTTCCGCTTCGTCGTTGCTGCTCAACTCTGCCATCAGCTTGTCAAACTTCTGTAAGGTGATTGTTTCGAAGCCTGGGAGCTCTCTAAGGACTGCTTTGCGCAGTTCAACCGCATCACTCCCCCCAATCTTGACGGGTGGTTTCGTCTTGCCGGCGATCGACTCGAAGAAGTATGCCCCGTCTTTCACGCCGGCTTTTTTGCAAGTCGACGGCTCCTTCTCGCAGTCGACGCTGGAGACGTGCGCCAGCCCATCGGTAGCCACAGCCAGTTTCTTGACTTCGTCGGGAGGCAAGCAGTTCCCCGAGCTCTCGCAAGCCAGGACCACGACAGACCTAAGCAGCGAACGGGCTTCCGGTTCAAGAAGACCCGTATCGGCGATGTCCACGTGGAGGTCTGGCAGTCTCTTCAGCACAGCTGCCTTTAGGTCTTCCAGTCCCCTGTGTCCCGTGTACTTCTCCCTATCCGGGTAGAAGAGGAGTGTTGGAAAAGCTTGGATGCCTTCCTGCCTGCACAGCTGCCAGTCTTCCTCGCAGTTCACTGCCCCGATCCTGATGACTCCTTCGAAGGATTGCGCGAGGGCTCGCCAGTTAGGCGCCAGGTGGTGACAGTGCGAGCACTGAGGGGAGTAATAGTTAACGAACCATATGTCCGCGGAGTCGAGGACGGAACTCTGGAAGTCGTTTCGGCTCAGCGTTACGATCTCGAGGTCGTCGTCGTAGATGCCGAACTTCTCGTGGTAGTAGTTCCAACTGTGGTACTGCCTGCCCCAGCTGGTCTGGTCTTTGTCGAGGCCCTCTTCGCCGTACGTGTCGTACCGCTTGCGGACGTCCGGATCCTTGAGGACTTCGTAGGCTTTGTTGATCTTGACGAACTTGTCGTGGGCGCCCGGGTCGCCGTGGTTCTTGTCCGGATGCATGGTGAGCGCAATCTTCTTAAAGGCGCGCCGAATCTCGCGCGCGTCGGCATCGCGTTCGACGCCCAAAAGTTTGTAGTAGTCGTCGCAAATGACGAGAGCCGGCAGCAGGCAAGCGAGAAATATGGTGCCGGTTTTCATGGCTAATGCCACGTCTTCGTTCCAGGAAATTCTAAATTCGAGCCTCCCGATGTCTCACTCGACGTTGAGACTATGTATATCGTTCGACGAAAGTCAGTTGAGCCAGCTGTCTTGTGCCCTGACAGCACCGATTGAATGAACGTACGAACGTACAGCACCTGTGGATTACGATACCTTGTTTCTACGAGGACTCAGAGTGTCTGGCACGGTGACTTGTCTTTTTAGAAGGACGTGGTGCGATCGGCTGTATACGTACGCTTTGTAGACCGAAATCCGCGATGAAAGGTATGATAAATTACTAGAAACCCGAAAGTTTGGGGGAAGAAAGTACTCCACGAAGTCCTTCCGTTCTTCCAACGAAACTTCTTGATTGGATGACAGCGTGGATTGGATTGGATACTTTTGTGCAAGTCGTGAAACTGCTCGCAAAATCAGAACTATTTTTTTTTCTTCTTATTCATGTGTGCGAAAATACCGGGAACAAACTACAGATTTATTAGATTTTCGTAAATATAAAAATTGCTCCAACTTTCATCGCCTAGCTAGCGTAACTAGGAATGGTAGCTCTGCGTGCGCATAAATTTGTGCTTTTGCACCCCAGAGGAGAGCTTTCCACACATGCCAGCACAGTAGTGCAGAGAAGCCAACCAAACAAAAAATGTGATCGATCTGCTCGTGAAAATTATTATTTTATATACAGTGCAATCCCCTTAAACGATAATGAGAAAACCCGAAAATTCAATCTTATATATGGACTAGAAACGCAGCATTCCTAGTCTAGAAACTGATCGTACATCATTATATGTTGTATCTTGTAAGCTGATTAAACTGTATAAGTGCTGTATACATAATATACATTTTCTATTTAGTTTTCTAAAAAAAAAGAAATTCCGATTTGGAAAGAAATGCACTAACCAAGCTTAAAAGTGCGCGCGCACGCACGCACGCACACCACGAGGAATAAATATTGAAAATAAAAAGATTAAGGCCAGATGCCAGTTGGTGTAACCCAGATGAAGTACAAAGTAAAAGCCTCGGGGCCGCGTTTTGTAGCGTGAGCAACGAGGTATAGGGCGTGAGCTACACTGGCCGAGGTTGAGCAGCTTCGCGTATGCTTCGCGTGGCTCCCAAAGAGCCGTGCTGCGCATGCGCGAGGAGCAGTGACGTCACACGGCGCACAGCTGGCGCGCCTCGCCGGTCTGCGCATTCTAGAAGAGTGACGTCATAGCCGCGGCAGACGCACTGGCACCGCCGCGTGCCCAGCTGTGCGCCTCCGTTGCGCAGTAGCGAAGTCTGACGCTGCACCGGAGCCGCTTGATAGCGCCTCTCATTTTGTGCGCATAAGCTCAGGCTACGCATATCCTGGCATAACCAAGCTAAGCCAACGCAATTTTTTTTCTTTGAAAACGGGCCAGTAATAATTACATACTGAACTTGCGAGTTCTGGCCCTGCAGAAATATGACAAGCCTATTAGCTGTAGATTTGCATGAGTTTAAATATATAAGGTGGCTAGTATAACTGTTCGTAAAAAAATGATTTAATAATTTTATTTGGTCTTGAAATTATTTTATTGTCGGTTTGTACCGTCAACCAATTGGCATAAAAATACAATGCTTAATTTGCTCCCCATTGTGTTTAATCTTGTGTAGCATTCAACCTACAATGTCACATACAAGCTTCATGAATAATTTAGATTTTCCCATTCTCCACTGTCAATGGAGTTCAGGGCTTACAAAGTTTCATGTTAAAACTTTGTTTTTCTTATCCTTTCCCTTATGATTCTTTTTTTAAATAAAAAAATTAGATTGTTATCATTAGTAAAGAAGACATAAAACTATACTTTTATAATACAAATAAAAAAAAAAAGTCACACTTGCCAGACTATGTTTAAACAGCCAGTCTGATGTCTTTGCTGTAGATAAGCAATTCGGCCAGTCCAGTATGACTGTCAACCTGAGGCTTTGAACAGACGGTCGAACCAGCCATTATTCCATTTTGGTTTGGATTCAGTAGCTTTGCATTCTGTTCTGGTTTGGTTCCGATTCAGAGATGAATTCAAAATAATGGTTCGGTTGCCGGTTCCCAAGTGCAAACCGGTTCTTCATAAAAGTTCAAAAGTCCAAGAAGAAAAGGTTTATTTAACACGGCATCATTTGCATCAAAAAAAGGAAGGTAATCAGAAGGTGTGTTGCAGAAACAAAGACAGAAAAACAAATATACTATGCTTAACTCTGTTTCGGAAAAAACAAAAAAAAAAAAAGTGTTGCAAATATTTAATCAACTTTGCGCCGCCACCCGCAAGAGGACGCGGCTCACAATTGACCACGCCGAACCGTTTTTTAATGAACTGCTAACCGCCACACGAGATTATAGTTTTGCTCGGGGTCGGGCTCAAATATTAAATACTCAATTTTGGTTACGGTATTGTTCCGGTTCGGTCAAAAATAACGGTTTTACTCCGGTTTTCGGTTCAGGTTTGGTTCAACATCCTGGTTTTTAACACAGCAGCTTATCAGTACAGTAGCTCTGTTCGATTTACTTACACCTCCTGCACCTTTGCAGAAAAGTGTAGGGCTGCCAACTTCCGCTATGCGTATTTAGATACAACCGGAAGTACACCGCCCTACACTTTTCTGCACCATGCAAGAGGTGCAGGTAAATCGAACGCGGCTAATGCTCATCCACATCAAAATAGGCAGGCGTCATGGTGCAGATTCAATGTTACCAGAGTAATTCCAGAATACAATTGTTAGAATTTTGTAATATATAGTTGCAAGAGTTTTGATAACCTTACCTGACCTAATAACTTCTATTGCAAGTGAAATGAATAAGCGTCAAATACCTATGTAAAATAGTAGCCAACAATTTTAATTGCTACTGCCGAGTTTCTTTCTCTAGGCTGGTAAAACTATTTAACATTAAACCCCTCCCCCAAGACAAAAAAAAGGGGACAACACATTAACATCTCAAAACACACCTGCAAGGTTTATTTACAGAACTTTATATAGAGCAGAAAAACAAATCCCTCTTCGTTGTCTTTTCTTGTCTCAGGGTATTATAAATATGACCGTTCACCAGCCAGGTTGTGCTTTTAGCCTTATATCAAACCTGCTAACCTCCCTTGCCATGTGAACAAGCAGCAGAGTGGAAATGGCAGAACCTAAAATGTCAGAATGTTTCATTGGTCCGGCAAAGACCTCTAAACAGTGGTATGAAAAATTCACAATAAGACGCGCTGTAGAACGGCTTAATTCCTACACAAAATAGTGAATAATAACTGTGCACTTAATTGGGAAAAATATGTTGGTTTTGTTACTGAATCACGCACTCAAAGCTTCCATCCTTTAAATCTTGTACCGTACAGAGCCCACCTTAACTGTTTTAAATATCCTTTTTTTCCTCGAACGATAGAAAACTGGAATAACATAAATGGATCAGTTCGTTACCTCGATTTTGATAGGTTTGTATTAGAAATACAGGAGGTGTTCTGGTATGGTGCCTGGAGTCTGCTATTGAAATGTATGCAATTGTGTTTGTACACATTTTTCACGGTTTTCTAATTTTTGTTTTGTAGGGCGTGTACATCTTTATTCGTTGGCCTTTTTGAATGTATATGTATGTTTTTTTTCCACTCCTGCAATGACCTCATCGAGGTCACAGTATTTTGAAATAAATAAATAAATAACACATTTTCAGCACATTGCCATTAATAGCAGTAAAACTTAACAGTCATTAATGGTACATATCACAGCTTAAATATACCGTCGGCCGAAATTTTTGACACACGTCCAATGATGGCAAGTGTAGACTACCTTAGATACTAGTTTGAACGAAGGCATTAAAATATGCCTTCTAGAGTTTCTATTATTGAACATAAGTTTTGAAAATTGAAAAGAAACTTTCATCAGGAGGAAAAATATTTTTGATGAGGCTTTATGTTGCTTATTTATACATTTGTTGTTGGTCACTTATTTTAGCGACTATCAAACCATGAAAACATGCTAGAAGTGCACCAAAATATTTTATCCTCCGTGCAAAGTTGAAATGAACAGCACATTGTCGTTCTCTTGAATCTCGTAGTCCGGTCCTCCCTGGAAATAACAGGTTCATTGTGAAGTACAGCACAAGCTCAGAGCTGTAAACTAACTAAATGTACTAAGGTTACTGGAATTAGTTGCAGTAATGCTAACTCAGAGGCATTTAAGTTTGAGCAACTGTAGTTAATTAAATTTTCTAATCAGTGCAACATGTTGCCACGGCCTTAAAGGGCCCCTGAAAAGAAAACAAATATCTTTTCTAAAGTCTGGTTAATGCACGGGTGTCAAAAAATTAATTTTAAGCGATAAAAAAAAAAAGTTAGATTAATATTGGTGGCGCGAGACGTGATTTAGTCAGTGGTCGCCTCCCCCTTTCCACTTGTTTCCTCTCTCGGTATTTCGGGTGCGTGGAGGAGAGGTGAATCGGCTTGGCCATCACGTTGAGGTGGAGAGAGTGTATGACCATCTCGTTGAGGTGAAAAGAGTGCACGACCATTCCGTGACGTCATGGACTTTGCACACAGAATTTAAAATAAATCTTGCGCCGTCAATACTGTTCTAAAAAAGTTTATTTTTCGCGTAAAGTTAATTTTTTGACGTGCGTGTCCCACCCAGATTGTTAAAAAAAAAACTTTTTTCTCTTTTTTTTCAGGGGTTCTTTAAATTAAAGAGGCATTGAAGCCATTCTTTAAAAAGGTCATTTTTGATCTTATATTGTTTAAAATGTGTTAGTTCCCACATATACCAAGTCCTATATTACAAAACCGCCTATTTATCTCCAGGCAATAGAAAGACATGTGGACTCTTTTCTCGCGGAATACAATGTGTGGACCAATGAGAACCCTACAATACGTGCAGATCCCTAATGATTTTATTATAACTCGTTTAGAAGAGAGTCTGATAGGTACACATTCGTATAAGACTCCTCTTTTTCTCCACGGGCGAAGCCATCGATTGCAACTCGCCAACAAGCTCCCTTCGTCAAACACTTCACTCCGAAGAAAATTCTTCCTAAAAAGGGTCTGTCGCAATCTTTGAACACTGTTTTAACAAGGAAATAAACTATACACGGTTGTGGTTTCAAGTTTGTTGGGATGCTTAGAGTGTCTAGATTGAGTTGTCACCACAAAAGAATGATCTAACAGTCAACTTCAGTGCCCCTTTAAACACTACCATGGACAAAGTGCCGAGTCATGAAGGAACTGTGCCACTCTCTATTACACGTTGAAAACTAGATTGTCCGCCGGTCAGTGCAGCTCGCCTCAACGTCATAGGATAGTTTGAAAGAAAAAGTTTGAACATAACTTAGAACATGTGCAAGGATATACCGTAAACTACCAGAAGAACGCCCACTTTCACTGAAGACTGGGTTAACCTAGACATAGGCGCTTGTCCGGCCCAATCAAGCGCTCATTGTATAACTTGCAGAATTCCCAAATTTGTGAAATGTTAATAGTGGGCACTTGAACGAAGTGGGCGCCTTTGCAGTATTTTATGGTAACTGTATTCGTAACTTAATTACATTGTAGCTCAAGTAACCATATAATATTAAGTTACAAAAGTAACAGCTCTGTGCATGCATATTGAGCACTAACATAGTACAGGATGAGGCCGTGAGGATCACCGCATTTGGCACGCCTTGCAAAATTTTAATTCTTATCATACATACCTGAAACTGGGCAAGCAAACATTATTTCTCAAGAAGATTTGTGTCTATTTGTTTTTAGAGCTCAACTCGGAGGTGGTTAAATATTAAAAATAGTAATGCAAAAGCGGCGGCCGTGCACTTTCTATGTCCTATACCGGATGTTTGTCGTCTGCACACTGGTTTGTGAGCTTGCTCCCAATTCGTCATTGTACACAGATTTCGTTCAAATCATTACTTATTGCGACTATCCCGCTCGTTGCCAGCCTCTACTAGGCGCTCTCAACGTTTTAGTGTTTGGCAAACCACCCGGGAGCAAGCTCGCAAACCAGTGGGCAGACAACAATCAAGTTGTATAGGGCATGGAAAATACACGGCCGGCTGTTTTGCTTTATTTCTAATATTTCACCACCTCAGAGTTGAGTTCTAAAAAAATTAGACATAAAACTTTTTGTGTAAGGACACTCGCCTATTTTCAGGATTGTATGTCTAAAATACGAATTTTGCAGGGCGTGCCGAATGAGCGCTGGTCCTTACGGCCTCACTCTGTATTAATGTTCCACGACAATGCCTCTACGACTTCTTGGACATGTCCAGATCTGCACAAGGAGCATTCCAACTGGAGAGTTTACACTGCACAATTACAAACAAGCTCTCACCAGGAGTTCCCAGTCAGTATCATTGACCAAGACCAGAATCCCTGGTCGTCTGCAAAGGCAAATTCACCATTTACATAACAGACTACTACATCCAAAGAAAAGAAGTGTTCCTCCAAGCAGAACTAGAGAAGTACCACAGTTGGTAATTAACATCTGAAAAAGCAGCCTTGTACGAACAGCAACCCCTATAGCAGACGTATCTGCATCTGCTGATCTGGTTCAATGTTGTATCTGTAGGGAGTCTGAAGTCATCAGGCTCGACCTAAAATGAACCGTAAAAATCGATGCCTGCACGAAGCAATCTCAACTTTTTGCCAAAGGTGTATTTCACAGGTCCGCTTTTTCTTGTTAAATTACAAAGTGCAGCTCCCTTTCTGTAAAAAAAATAGAGGCCAAAAAACTTGCCAAAAAATCTCCTTATTGAGACTACTTGCGATGACTGTGATTTACTAAAATGAAGATAATCTTTTTGTAGTGTACCTTTGGTCTAAAAATAAATGCAAACAATAAAAACAACTCGAAGTTTAAAAAAAAAAAAGTGGTTGAATAACGACGGCGTCTTTGTTGCCGACGGATTTCGTCTGCGTGTTGTCTGTTTTCGTTCACTGGTTGGCTACCCCTTTAGACGCTGCTCCCGACGCCATCTATCAATATGTGTGCCAAACGTGCCCCACCGCTCGACTCAGTCATCTGCGTCGCCGCCCACAGTCAACCCTGGCAAGTTTTTTGGCCCTATTTTTTACAAAAAGGGAGCTACGCTTCATAATTTTACAAGAAAAAACGGACCAGTGAAATACACCTTTGACAAAAAATTTAGATTGCTTCGTGCAGGCGTTATTTTTACGGTCCATTTTAGATCGAGCCTGGTGACTTCAGACACCCTATTGAACAACACATTGTTTACAAACAAGCCCGCGTTTGCCCACCAGGCGAGGGCACTGCACGCGCGCAGAAACCATGTTCGGCCTAGGCGAATCACCTGCGCATGCCCAGTGCTGACAGCAGCGCCACCACAGCGGCGTGACGTCAGAGAGTTGAGTTGGTCTATACATACAACCGGTGGCCCACTTTTTTTTTCCCTTTTAAGTTACACATTTTAGGCTCAAACATTTTTGGCACCCATTTGGTATGCAGAGCGCAAGTTCATCTGCTTCTTGTGCAGGAGTTGAGGTGACGTCAGAACGCTGAGGTTTGATTGGCTCCAATTGGAAGGATAGTGGGTAGACCTCAAGGCAGCTACAACATTGAGGTCTACCCACTATCCTTCCAATCAGAGCTCGGCGTTTTGACGTCACCGCAACCTCTGTGCAAGAAGCAGGCAACCTGTGCTCCGCATATGCCTATGCCAAATTGAATTTCTTAGAAATATACATTCCACTCTCACTTCTACATTGTGCACAAACAATGACACATAAAGACAGCATCTGTTACCGACTGAAAACATTGTTAGAGACAGTATGACTGAAGAAACAGCGATTCTTGGAGCTTATTTTACCGAAATATTTTGAGCTGAAAGGCCCGCTCATCGGCTTGCATCGCTCGTGTTGAGACAATGACTGTCAGCTTGAAATACTGCAGCCTTAATTAAATAGAGGGTTTAGCACCCTCCTTCTATGAGTAGATCTTGAAAGTCGCTAGGCAGAATTTTTGGTGTCGTTCAAAAATACAACTGGCATAACCAATACACTGTTTACAAACAAGCGCTCATTTGTCCATGCCACTGTGCATGCGCAGAAACCAGACATGCACAGTGTCGATAGTGAGCGGCATGACGTTAGAGAGTTGAGTTGGTGTATAGACACCAGGGGCCCTATGTTGCACTTTTTGGACTCCCACGGCAACTATAGAGAAGGAAGTGACGTGGACAACGCAGATTGGATGTTGACTTTGTTTTCTTCTGTCAACATCCAATCTGCGTTTGCTGTGTCTAAAACGTCACTTCCTTCTCCCTAGTCGCCATGGGAGTCCAAAGAGCGCAACATAGGGCCCCAGGCACGTAGCCAGGATGTTGATGTGGTGGTGGTGAGGGGGGGGAGGTTGCTTATGACAAACATTTGTATGAGGATGAGGGAGAAGGCTCCAACAAACTGAAAAGAATTTTTTTTTTTTTTTGGGGGGGGGGGGGGGCTTTCCTCTCTCTTTTTTTCCCCCTCCTCCCCCCGCCTACGTGCCTGATAGACACTAATAGACCCCCTTCAAAGTAATGCCCTCAGTAACGGTTGATAGTGGAGCTTGTTTGTACATACTTGTATATATTTGACAGCTTGAACCAGGGGAAGATATAGAGAAATTGAGACAGGAGAGAATAGACAGCTGACTACCAACGATTATTTAGTGGGAACTTCTTTTTCCTTGCGTGTTTTCAGACACCAACAAAAATTATTACATATTAAAACCTATTATACTAATATAATAATGCATGTGTATGTTTACAAAATTTTCACATTACCTAAAGCTAAACTAATATTTTAAATTCACCCGCCACAAGCTCATACTGCCATTTTCTGGACCGTAACGCACCGTAGATATTGTCTCTCCTTTTTGTGAATAGTGATGGACGGGGTGCTAACGCACCCACTCGCTTGTTCTTCGATAGCAAGCGCCTCGAGCATCTCACGCGCATGAGTATTGTTATTACTGGCTAGGATGGTTATGTCCTTGAACGCTGCACTGCAGTGGCAAGTCCTGCAATGAGCTGCAAGATGCCCTGCCGACGTTCCTTGAAGGGATGCTGCGTGCTCGCGGGCTCTGTCGTTAATGCATCGGCCCGTCTGGCCGATGTAGCACTTCCCGCATGAAAGGGGAATGTTGTAAACCACTCCTGTCATGCATGGTACATATTGTGTTCTGTGGGCAATGTCGCACGTTTTTTCTTTGCCTGTTCTGTTGTTCACTCGTCTGCACATGGAGTACGCTTTGTTAGGCGCGGAGCATACTACTTGGATCTCATTCCTCGCGGCGATCTTTTTCAATTTGTGCGTAATCCCGTGAACGTATGGTAGCACAGCGATCTTCCTTCGGGTTTCCTCGTTTACTTTTTTGCCCGACTTTGCACTCTTCAAGTTTCTGCAGATGGTCTCACAAACGGGTACCAAGATACTTGTTGGGTATCCCGAATTCCGTAATCGTGACATCTGTTTTTCAAAGCTCGGCCCTATCTGGTGTTTACATGATTTGTTTAAGGCAGAAACTAACGCCGTGCTGGCGATACCTCTCTTAATAGTTCTTGAGTGGCCGGAGGTAAACGGCAGAAACCCTTTTGCTGACCGGGGTTCGTACCTCCAGCAAACGTGCCCTTGTTGGAAAATTAGCGCGAGGTCTAGGAATTTGATATTTTTGTCCACAGGTGATTCATGTGTGAACACCAATTCGGGGCAACTTTCTTGAAACACTTGCAGAATAATATCCTTGCATTCTTCACTCTGGTCGTCATCTTCTGTGGCACAAAGTACTAAAAAATCGTCCACATATCGGAAGATGGCTGTGACCCTTGTATCTGTCAGATTACTTGCGATGATCTTTCCGCATGCCCCCAGGAATAAGTCACACAATTGCGGCGCTACCCGAGACCCAATACATACTCCACTCTTTTGCACATATTGTTGATCTTGAAAGTCTACTACAGTGGAAGTCAGATATACACCTAATAGTTCCAAGAAGGTGCTCACACTTAGTCCAGCATTATTCTGAAACGCTGTAGAGCCCTGCTCCTCGATGGTGGATCGGAGAATTGCCATGAGTCTTCTGTGTGGGATTGAGTAATACATATCTTGGATATCGATAGAAAATCCAGATGTGACGCTTTCTCCATTCTTCTTAAGATATTCAATTAAATGTTCCGAGTTCTTAATTCTGTACGGATCGTCGGATTCTATCAAGGACAACTGTTTCGCCAGGAACGTCGACAAATGGACTTGCCAGGTTCCTCTTTCCGACACAATGGCCCGAAACGGTATGCCTTCCTTATGTGTTTTTGCTGAGAAAAAAACTTGCAGGTGTCCCTTCTTCGTTTTCTTTATTTTTGTGCTGAGGCTGTTAAGTTCGTTATTATCAAGTAGCTTCAGGGCTGCTGGTTTAGACTTCTTGCTTCTTTTTTCTTCCACATGAATGAAGTTCTTAGCCATTGCAGATAGAATCCGACGATCCGTACAGAATTAAGAACTCGGAACATTTAATTGAATATCTTAAGAAGAATGGAGAAAGCGTCACATCTGGATTTTCTATCGATATCCAAGATATGTATTACTCAATCCCACACAGAAGACTCATGGCAATTCTCCGATCCACCATCGAGGAGCAGGGCTCTACAGCGTTTCAGAATAATGCTGGACTAAGTGTGAGCACCTTCTTGGAACTATTAGGTGTATATCTGACTTCCACTGTAGTAGACTTTCAAGATCAACAATATGTGCAAAAGAGTGGAGTATGTATTGGGTCTCGGGTAGCGCCGCAATTGTGTGACTTATTCATGGGGGCATGCGGAAAGATCATCGCAAGTAATCTGACAGATACAAGGGTCACAGCCATCTTCCGATATGTGGACGATTTTTTAGTACTTTGTGCCACAGAAGATGACGACCAGAGTGAAGAATGCAAGGATATTATTCTGCAAGTGTTTCAAGAAAGTTGCCCCGAATTGGTGTTCACACATGAATCACCTGTGGACAAAAATATCAAATTCCTAGACCTCGCGCTAATTTTCCAACAAGGGCACGTTTGCTGGAGGTACGAACCCCGGTCAGCAAAAGGGTTTCTGCCGTTTACCTCCGGCCACTCAAGAACTATTAAGAGAGGTATCGCCAGCACGGCGTTAGTTTCTGCCTTAAACAAATCATGTAAACACCAGATAGGGCCGAGCTTTGAAAAACAGATGTCACGATTACGGAATTCGGGATACCCAACAAGTATCTTGGTACCCGTTTGTGAGACCATCTGCAGAAACTTGAAGAGTGCAAAGTCGGGCAAAAAAGTAAACGAGGAAACCCGAAGGAAGATCGCTGTGCTACCATACGTTCACGGGATTACGCACAAATTGAAAAAGATCGCCGCGAGGAATAAGATCCAAGTAGTATGCTCCGCGCCTAACAAAGCGTACTCCATGTGCAGACGAGTGAACAACAAAACAGGCAAAGAAAAAACGTGCGACATTGCCCACAGAACACAATATGTACCATGCATGACAGGAGTGGTTTACAACATTCCCCTTTCATGCGGGAAGTGCTACATCGGCCAGACGGGCCGATGCATTAACGACAGAGCCCGCGAGCACGCAGCATCCCTTCAAGGAACGTCGGCAGGGCATCTTGCAGCTCATTGCAGGACTTGCCACTGCAGTGCAGCGTTCAAGGACATAACCATCCTAGCCAGTAATAACAATACTCATGCGCGTGAGATGCTCGAGGCGCTTGCTATCGAAGAACAAGCGAGTGGGTGCGTTAGCACCCCGTCCATCACTATTCACAAAAAGGAGAGACAATATCTACGGTGCGTTACGGTCCAGAAAATGGCAGTATGAGCTTGTGGCGGGTGAATTTAAAATATTAGTTTAGCTTTAGGTAATGTGAAAATTTTGTAAACATACACATGCATTATTATATTAGTATAATAGGTTTTAATATGTAATAATTTTTGTTGGTGTCTGAAAACACGCAAGGAAAAAGAAGTTCCCACTAAATAATCGTTGGTAGTCAGCTGTCTATTCTCTCCTGTCTCAATTTCTCTATATCTTCCCCTGGTTCAAGCTGTCAAATATATACAAGTATGTACCAACAAGCTCCACTATCAACCGTTACTCAGTTTCTTTCTAGTTATTTGAGCCCCTCCTTCCTACGCATTCAATCAATGGCCCCGCAGACTCTAAGCCATCTTATTGCCACCACCACGTGCCAAGGTAGGCTACTAGCACGTAGCATCAACAAGAATATAATCCTAGATGATGTAAGGCAAGTCTTCGGCCTTATAGCTCCGTCGCAGGGACATGCTATGCGAGTAAGCAAGATCCTCAGGTCAGAGACTTGGCGACAACAACGTCTTCTCACAGATTTTCTACGTGCCAAGTGTCCCCACTACAATGTTTTTATTAACCACCTGACTATCGCAAGGCATTCAACAGAGACCATGTGGACAACACAGTATCTCCCATATTTCAAGGAGCACCTGGCAAGGAAGGACAAGGAACATCCAAAAAGACAGGCCCTTCAAGTCATCGGAGATATCAGTATCTCAAATAAGGCGAGAAACATACTAGAACAAGGGCCGAAGTTTGCTCTACCACCACGGCTACAGCCCATTGACAAGGTTGCCTTGGTCAGAAACATCGCATCCAAGGCTCAAGAAGAGAGCGCTTCAAGCATAATCAGTGAAGGGATTGACTGCATCGCAAGCCAAAGAAGCTCAGCAAAAGCAAATAGGAGCTTTGGTACCACAGTACATGAGCTAATCAGCAAAGATCTTAAGCTCTGTGTTTCTGATAAGGAAGGCGGATTTGTGGTCTTAGATTCAGACGCATACGAAGAAAAAGCTTCTGCTGCAATGGCTAAGAACTTCATTCATGTGGAAGAAAAAAGAAGCAAGAAGTCTAAACCAGCAGCCCTGAAGCTACTTGATAATAACGAACTTAACAGCCTCAGCACAAAAATAAAGAAAACGAAGAAGGGACACCTGCAAGTTTTTTTCTCAGCAAAAACACATAAGGAAGGCATACCGTTTCGGGCCATTGTGTCGGAAAGAGGAACCTGGCAAGTCCATTTGTCGACGTTCCTGGCGAAACAGTTGTCCTTGATAGAATCCGACGATCCGTACAGAATTAAGAACTCGGAACATTTAATTGAATATCTTAAGAAGAATGGAGAAAGCGTCACATCTGGATTTTCTATCGATATCCAAGATATGTATTACTCAATCCCACACAGAAGACTCATGGCAATTCTCCGATCCACCATCGAGGAGCAGGGCTCTACAGCGTTTCAGAATAATGCTGGACTAAGTGTGAGCACCTTCTTGGAACTATTAGGTGTATATCTGACTTCCACTGTAGTAGACTTTCAAGATCAACAATATGTGCAAAAGAGTGGAGTATGTATTGGGTCTCGGGTAGCGCCGCAATTGTGTGACTTATTCCTGGGGGCATGCGGAAAGATCATCGCAAGTAATCTGACAGATACAAGGGTCACAGCCATCTTCCGATATGTGGACGATTTTTTAGTACTTTGTGCCACAGAAGATGACGACCAGAGTGAAGAATGCAAGGATATTATTCTGCAAGTGTTTCAAGAAAGTTGCCCCGAATTGGTGTTCACACATGAATCACCTGTGGACAAAAATATCAAATTCCTAGACCTCGCGCTAATTTTCCAACAAGGGCACGTTTGCTGGAGGTACGAACCCCGGTCAGCAAAAGGGTTTCTGCCGTTTACCTCCGGCCACTCAAGAACTATTAAGAGAGGTATCGCCAGCACGGCGTTAGTTTCTGCCTTAAACAAATCATGTAAACACCAGATAGGGCCGAGCTTTGAAAAACAGATGTCACGATTACGGAATTCGGGATACCCAACAAGTATCTTGGTACCCGTTTGTGAGACCATCTGCAGAAACTTGAAGAGTGCAAAGTCGGGCAAAAAAGTAAACGAGGAAACCCGAAGGAAGATCGCTGTGCTACCATACGTTCACGGGATTACGCACAAATTGAAAAAGATCGCCGCGAGGAATGAGATCCAAGTAGTATGCTCCGCGCCTAACAAAGCGTACTCCATGTGCAGACGAGTGAACAACAGAACAGGCAAAGAAAAAACGTGCGACATTGCCCACAGAACACAATATGTACCATGCATGACAGGAGTGGTTTACAACATTCCCCTTTCATGCGGGAAGTGCTACATCGGCCAGACGGGCCGATGCATTAACGACAGAGCCCGCGAGCACGCAGCATCCCTTCAAGGAACGTCGGCAGGGCATCTTGCAGCTCATTGCAGGACTTGCCACTGCAGTGCAGCGTTCAAGGACATAACCATCCTAGCCAGTAATAACAATACTCATGCGCGTGAGATGCTCGAGGCGCTTGCTATCGAAGAACAAGCGAGTGGGTGCGTTAGCACCCCGTCCATCACTATTCACAAAAAGGAGAGACAATATCTACGGTGCGTTACGGTCCAGAAAATGGCAGTATGAGCTTGTGGCGGGTGAATTTAAAATATTAGTTTAGCTTTAGGTAATGTGAAAATTTTGTAAACATACACATGCATTATTATATTAGTATAATAGGTTTTAATATGTAATAATTTTTGTTGGTGTCTGAAAACACGCAAGGAAAAAGAAGTTCCCACTAAATAATCGTTGGTAGTCAGCTGTCTATTCTCTCCTGTCTCAATTTCTCTATATCTTCCCCTGGTTCAAGCTGTCAAATATATACAAATAATGCCCTCTTTTGGCAGAGCTGGGAATACTGCCCTGTGGAATGTGCAAAAAAACACTAAATCTGACAAGACCATCACATATACATTGAGATTCAGCGCCTTATAAAGAAGCACCTAATTTTTGGAAGGGGTGCAACGTTTGACACGAACTTTGGGGAGCTGGAGCAGCCCATGTAAGGAAGAGAGGGGAGGTCCTGCATCCTCTGAGCTCCCTAGTTCTCCTCGTCAACAGCGCTAAACCAAAAAAAAAAAAAAAAAAAAAAAAAAAGCACGGCAGTCACTTACATTGAATCCCCCTGTACAAAAAACTCTTCCCTTCCTTTCAGCAGATTCGTCTTCAGCCAGTATATCAGCTGTTTGAGTGTCCCTGGAAAGAACAAGAGCAGGCGTCCGACACATGGCAAGCTGCTGCAACATTGGTGGCTTTCCAAATTCGAACCGTTACATTTTTCCGACGATTTTGATAGAGTTACGTCGTGCTTCTTTTGATTTCCGAAGAGAAGCTCCGCTCCGCCACTGTGTGAAATAAACGAACATTACTGTAATGTCATTTTATGACTTAGCCGCGTGTGACAATTTTATGAAAAAAGTAACTGCCATACCCAAACTCCACGAGAACCTTGGTCTCGCCCATCGTTAGGACATAGCCTGCAACAAGAGCTTCCTTAAATTAACGTGTTGTTGGCGCACGAGCTCAAGAATAAGCTTGATTTAATTAGCTAGCTTGAAGCTTCATTACATTGGTTGATGCGGTCACGTGGTCACATCACATGAGCAGGTGACTTTGTTAAAACGAGCCAACGAGTTGAAACAAGCACACTAATGCTTTTTGGTAAACTTTGGGGTAAAATTACTTTGAAGTTATGGATCTCACCAGTTTTTGCAAAAAAAACTCACGACTTCTTGCGGCGGTCCAATTAAAATAAAAGTGAAAAACAGGAACGACCACAAACGCCATCTCGTGTTTGCTTTTCAAACGCATTCAAAAGGCGCCAAAGTCCCAATATGGCGCCCGTACGCCAGCCAATTTGGGGCGACGTTACTTTATAACTTTTGAATTAATGTTCCCGCGCTTCTAGTTCGCGTTTTTCGACTCCGAGTGCGTTCTTGAAAAGTTAGCGTGTCGCACCGTCCTGGTTTAGATGCGATGTGACTTCGGCGACGGTCCGACGATGGAACTGAAAGGCTACTGAACCCTCGGCTCAAAAAAAAAAGTTGTCGTTCGCCGGATGTTACTGGCGAGTACCATTTTCTACCGTTCGCGGTTTATCGCATCGAGTTCGGACGTGGGGCGTTTCACGCGAAAACAAAACCGGTGCCGGTTCGTTTGAAAAGCTTGCGGCTGTAGCATAACGCAAACTGAGTGGGCGACCGACCTGTATGTGCCCAGCAATTTTTGTTTGATTATCAATTTTGATTAGGGTAACGTGCCGGATTTTTTTCCCCCTCCGATTCACCTTACTCGAACTGCTTTCGTTGCATCTGAGAATGGTGATTGAATTTATTATTGGGCGGAAATGTCGTTAGGATCGATAAACATATTATATAACTCCTCTTAATTTGCTCGTTCTCTTGTTTTTGTATTTTTGCGCGTGCGTAACTGCAATGAAAGCCAAAGGCCCGGCCGGACTCCGTGTTTGTAGCGGGATTCCGAAGTTCAGCGCTAGCATTTTCGGTTTGTTTGAGCTTCAGTTAAACATGTTAGCTCCTTGTTTCATAGCGTTATCGTCCATATCACCGAGTGATGATATGGAGGAAGCGACTGCGTTTGCAGGTCTAACTACAGTCTAAATTTTCAAGTGGCGTTTGATTTATCAATATTTGCTCTGACGTCTTGACATACTGTGCGTCGTTGTTCAGTGCCTTCTTGACCGCACGGTGCTAGTTGAAATATTGCTCGCTAATTTTCTTTTTCCGATCTTGACAGGGCGCGAGTTTAACGCCCTTTGCATCAGTTTCGCTCTAGTTTCACTCGGTAACTTCATATACAAGTTTATTTCGTCTTCTGTTCGCAAAACAGGTTCAAATTGAAGGTTCGGGTAGTATCTGCCTGCTCATAGGTGTATTGGGCATATTGGCTACTATTATTGCCACGTATGAAATTATAGAGGGAACACCTCAACAGTTGGTAACATCTTGTTCTCTGACCCTCATCCACAAGTGCTTGTTCAGCCGTTCTGTATCTATGCCACTAGTGCAGGCAGGCGGGCAGGCAGGCTCCTAGTTAGGTGACTTGTATCTTTTCCATACAGTGTATGTGGCGGTCAGCTAGCAGGCACACAAGTGTAAGGGTTGTAACCTTTCTGCTTTGTCATGCACGCTGCCATGTACACACAATACCCTGTGCAAATAAACTACAATTACAATATAATTGAAGCAGGTCTCAAGCTTTGGTGACAGGGGCCAGAACCCTGCTTTCTCTATGCTTCTGTACCATGTTTCTGGAGGTAGATATTTGGATTTGAATGTAGTCATGTGATGTAAACTGAGTTCTTTATGGATGTCTGCTAAAAAGGTGTCCATCAAGAGAATAAACCTAACCTAAGCCAAACCTAGAATTGCTAAAAATGGTGGATGGTATAAAAAAAAAACATTAAGGTTAGAAGAAAGCTATTTAAAGGTGAGAGGTTTATCAGGTCATTAACTCAACCTGTACTGTATGCTTTTTGAGAAACCCAAAATCATGATTGTGTTTAAGACACGATCGGAATTGCAGAGAAAGGAGCACGTCGCTATCTTTGATTACATTTTTACTAGGCCGTGCTTGATTATAATTTTGCGTTTTCGGATGCTTCGATGGCATAGCTTGAGCTATTATAGTAAAAAGACAAACTAAAAGAAACCTCTACCTGCCCCTTTAAATTGGTGCTTTATTAGGTGCCTATGTTCTTAACTCCTATCCTTCTAGCATGCCACAGGTATGCTAACAAAGAAAAAGCGAGCTGTGCAAAGACGAGATACCTTAAAATACCGGGCAAACGCCCACTCAAAATTTGGAGATAATCACGAAAAAATGGGGGATGGGCACTTGTTCGGTCATCAGTTTTACATATTAATGTACTGTGCATATTTTCTCAGATTTTAAAAATTTGGGAATGGGCGCTTAGTGTGGAATAGACAGATAAACAATATTCTACGGTTAACAAATTTTTGGACTGACTCTTGCATTTCATCCTGCATTTTGGCTCCTAACACAATGTCTTAAAGAGCAGGACTTTAGAACCATGTTTCTTTAACTGCCCCCGAGCTACTGGCACAGAGTTGAACGTCTCGTGATACGAATAAGTGAATGATCGCTGCGGCCACGTCTAGATAATGAGGCGCAAAGTGTGTCGACACTCTCATGAGCAGCTCCACCCGTAGTCGGCGACAGGCTGAGCGGTGTCGTCCACAGGTGTTAACGGCGTGGCAGAGGGTGAGAGGTTTGTGGTTCCCTCTGTGTGCACAGTATGCCATGTCCAGAGGAGCATTACAAGGTGGCCGGGAGCTGAGACTGCGGGTGCGGCACAAGAAGCCTAAGCGTCTGCTTCGCAGCTGGTACAACCTGCTTGGGCAGGACCAGGGCAGCGTCAATGGGTCCGACGAGCTGGAAGAGGTAGGGAACTCCGCAGTTTTGCCTGTCCCAGAGCCCTGGCAGGGCTCAATGTAAATTCGTGCGTCCCTAACCGCATAGTTCCGTCTCCCCAAGAAGGTATGGCGCCAAAATGCGCCTCCGCGACTGGTGCTTTTAGCATCCCATTCCAGCCGTGCATCGAAGGTGGTCCCGAAGGGGCAACAGACGACGTCGCAAAAGCTTGCCCCAATCCTTGCAATTGTGCATAAAAGTTCTGAAAAAAAAGAAAAAGTGAGACAGAATGTGAGTGTTGCTGTCGTCGCGGTGTCATAACTTCTGGCTGCCGAAGCTACTGTGAACTGTCGAACTGGAGAGGAACCTGCAGCAGCACAGGCGTCTGCCACATCCACTGCTGCTGTTGTGACACCCCCGGGATATCCGCCGATGACAACAAGACACTTCTGCGACGTCATCAGGGGGAAATTGGGAAACCTCTCCTTAGGATGTGGTAATTGCACCAGTCGGTGACGAGTTTCAGGCACCATGCCCAGGGTAGGTGCGAAGATGATGAGCGGTAGACTTTTTAAAAAGTGTGCGCCCTCCAGCAGCTGCCGCTGCATCGATTATTTGAGGTCGTCATATTTTGGGCATGTGCTCTGATTTGGCGTGTGTTTGACACGAGTACTGCAGATGCGTTCAATGCGAGTATTGCGTCGGCGCTCAGCGTAAACTCTGATCTGATAACAGACTTTGCGCGAAAAGTGATGCCCAAAATATGGCGGCAGTTGGTTTGCTTGATGGATTGGTGGGTCTATTCTAAGCTTGTTTTTCCAAAATTTACGAGTATTCGGGCATCAGTGCATACAAACTTGTGTTAAGCAGAGAGCAGCAGACAAGTGACAGCTTCTGTTCCTGACCGTGTAGTCTCAGTTGTCCTACCTAAAATGCAAGCTTTCTGCATCCACCAATATTTTCTTGTCCCTAGAATAATTTTGAACACACCAAGCTTCCATGGTGGTTGCAATCTTGTATTGCAAGTATTTGTCACAAGTGACGTTGCATTCAGAAATTGAGAACTTGACACTTTTACTCTTGTTGATTTCTTGTGTCATGTGGATACCCATTTCTAAGGCAATTCCCTTTCTAAAGCAACTGAAGGTTAGACTACTACTTGTTATTTGTCCTTAAGCATACTGCATGCGTGCCAGTTCCTATTGGGAAGGAGATGCAACCATCATAACCCTGACGTCTAAGCAGGGTTCTGACCAGAAATCCTTGAGATCTGGGCATCTGACAATTTTCAGGGTGTTGGGGGAGAAGGGGGAGATCGCTGCAAGTTTTGGTGTTTGCGGCACTTTCTTTGCCGCACAGCAGCGATTTTGCTTGCAGGGATTATGCAGTTCTGTTGCATAGTGCCACACAAGTCTGCCAAAAGCAACAATCTGGGGTGTCGTGCAGTTTTGGGAATCAGTATCGTCTTGTCCAGCAGAGACAAAATATAGAGATGGGTTGGACACCGTAGAGATGGGCAGCCAGCCAGAATAGTGCACGGCAAAGCTACTGCCGCCCACTGTGGGGAGAACCTCGCGTATAGGTTAAGAACTTTAAGGTCATCGCTGCTTCATTTTTGTCTTTGAAAAAACAAAGCAGTTCTCTTCAATATCACCTAGGAAGACCACACATCAAATATTAGGACCTAGATCTGTCTAAATGTTTCTTAAACAGTCCGGCAAACTTTGCAACTCGCCAAGTTGCCGAAATCTGCTGACTCGAGCGGGCAAATTGAGGCGCGACCAACAATGCAGTCAAAGCTACGGCGTGGGTGTAGCCAACATTGATCTAAGCGTCATCATCATTGCCCCCTTTTGCTTGTTTTTACTTCTTTGGGCGAGCGTAACGGGTGATGTCAGCAACGTTTTCTCTCGGTGCTCAGCAGTGTTTACATGATTGGTGTAACGCGCCTGCGCAATGCATCTCTTGGGAGCCGTCCGGCTGCCCTGCCTAGGCCCCGCAGTTACCGCCGTCCCCCACATCACAATTGCCGCTGTCGTCTTACCGTTCGTGACTATTGTCTCTCAAAGTTTCGTCCTCAGTACGGACACCACGTGTGCAGACTTATGTCGCAGTTGTGCAGACATCGTCGAATGTTGTGGACACCAGAATGAGGCGAAGAGTGCATTGCAGATGACATTTGTGCCTGGCACACACCTGCCTGTCGTTGCGCAGAGGATCACGTGACATCCCATACCACATGACAGCCATGTTCTTGGCGGCCCGTGGCCAATGTTGCCGGATGTAGCCAAACTTTCGGTTTCAATTTCTGCTCATGTTTAAAGTAAGATTTTACAATATATATCCCATTTTTCGTGAAGCAAATGATGTAGTGCCTCTTATTAGTGCTTTTCAATGTAAAATCACTCATTATCCCGAAATTTTCGGAATTGAGCAAAGTTGTCTTTTAAACCATAAGGACAACCGTACAAGTTTTTTGTTTGTGTTTCTGGTACTGCACCCTGCTGATGTTGCCGAATTCTGTGTCGTCGTTCGGCTGCGGGTTCAACCATTGAAGCAGTAATGAGCATGAGTCCCAGCAAAATGCTAATGCAGCACTCATGCCCAATCTGTGCCCTGCTATGAAAAACAGGCTGCATAATACTGGGTGATCCAAGGAGCGGCCAGGCTCTTTAAATCGACCGCAAAATTCGGTTTCTTAACCTATCGTGCTACGTCTTTGTACGGCGTTCCCCACAGATGGTGAATTTTTTTTTTGTAAAATTTGCAGAGAGAATTTACCCGAGGAAAAAGTAAAGAAAGAAAAAATGAAAGCCGATTACAACTCCCTGTAACACCGAATTGGAGCGCAGCTCTTGAGGAGGAGGAGGAGAGAAGGATACTAAGGGTTACCTGTTCTCGGGGCGGGGGGGGGGGGGGGGGGGTCATGTGACCTTGGGGGGTCACATGACCCACTAGAAAAATTTTCCGCTAGATTTAGCGGGGAATGTTTTCCGCTAGATTTAGCGGGGAAATTTTTCCGCTAGGTTTAACGGGAAAATTTTTCTGCTAGACAGCGAGGAATTTTTTCCGCTAAATCTAGCGGGGAAATTTTTCTGCTAGATTTAGCGCGGAATTTTTTCTGCTAGATTTAGCGGGGAAATTTTTCCGCTAGATGTAGCGGGTAAATTTTTTCGCTAGATTTAGCGGGGCATTTTTCCCGCTACTAGATTTAGCGGAGAAATTTTTCCGCTAGATTTAGCGGAGAAATTTTTTCACTAGATTTAGCGGGAAAATTTTTCCGCTAGATTTAGCGGGGAATTTTTTCCGCTTAATCTAGTGGGGAAAGTTTTTCCGCTAGATTTAGCGGGGAAGTTTTTCCGCTAAATCTAGCGGGAAAATTTTTCCGCTAGGTTTAGCGGGGAAAATTTTCCGCTAGATTTTGCGGGGAAATTTTTCCGCTAGATTTAGCGAGAAATATTTTCCGCTAGATTTAGCGGGGAAATTTTTCTGCTAGATTTAGCCGGGAATATTTTCCGCTAGATTTAGCGGGGAATTTTTTTTGCTAAATCTAGCGGGGAAAATTTTTCCGCTAGATTTAGCAAGGAAATTTTTCTGCTAAATCTAGCGGGGAAATTTTTCCGCTATATTTAGCGGGGAAATTTTTCCGCTAGATTTAGTGGGGAATATTTTCCGCTAGATTTAGCGGGGAAATTTTTCCGCTAAATTTAGCGGGGAATTTTCGCAGCTAGATTTTTCCGCTAGATTTAGCAGATAAATTTTTCCGCTAGATTTAGCGGGGAAATTTTCCCGCTACATTTAGCGGAGAAATTTTTCCGCTAGATTTAGCGGGAAATTTTTTCCGCTAAATCTAGCGGGGAAATTTTTTACGCTAGATTTAGCGGAGAAATTTTTCCGCTAAATCTAGCGGGGAAATTTTTCCGCTAGATTTAGCGGGGAAATTTACCCATAATGCACCGCGCAATTACGCCGACGGCGACGGCGACGCCGCTCAAGCTGGAAACGGGCCCCTAAGAGCTGCGCTCTAAAAGGCTCAGCTCCTATGGAAACGCAGCGAAGCCACCGGTCTTCAAACAATACGGTGCCGTTTTGCACGGGAGACAATAGATGGCGCAAGCAGTCGCGATGCCAACTGACGCCAACGAAGGAGCATACGTCGCCAATAGCCGACGTCTTTAGCAGACGATTATTTCGACTCAAAAGCGGTGCGAGCTTTTCTGATATCAGTTCCCAATGCATTATTTTATCCTTACTAATAAAACATATTGAATGGACAGATAATCGATTAAAGATATGGTTTGTCGGGATATTTTGACTGTTTTTTTCGGGGTACTGATGTCGTCTGCTTTGCAGTTCCTTGCTGTTACTGCGCCTGTTTTTGTTTCTGCGACTGTCGCCGCTTGCAAAACGCACGTCGCTTTTCACCCGAAAAGATTGTCTGCTAATGACGACGGCTCTCGGCGACGTATCCTTGTTCGTTGGCGGCAGTTGGCATCGCGACTGCTTGCGCCCATCTCTTGTCTCCCGCGTGAAACGGCACCGTATTGTTTGAAGACCGGTGGCTTCGCTGCGTTTCCATAGGAGCTAAGCCTTTTCCTTTCTTTACTTTTTCCTCAAATAAGTTTGCTCATTGCAAATTTTACAAAAAAAAATGCTCCATCTGTGGGCAACGCTGCACAAAGTCGTAGCGTGATAGGTTAAGAAACCGAATTTTGCGGTCGATTTAAAGAGCCTGGCTGTTCCTTGAATCGCCCAGTAGTTCCATCTTTTAATGTGAAACATTCTTTGGTAGGTGTTTGGCATTTCGTGAATCCCAAAAGTGAAGCCTGGATAAAAGCGTGGCCGCGAGCCTCGATACTGATTGGTTGACGGGTGGGAGATGAGGAGAGAGGTGCTCGATGCCGATTGATTTATGTGGAAATCATGTGACCAGACCAGGGTTGGAGTGACAAGGAGAGGAGGCGAGGTAAGAGAGGAGTGGGTTAGAAGCTTCTGGAAGATCACCAGGTTTATCATCTCAAGTTTACAAATGCCACACGTTAAATTATCTAATGAAGAGTGCCTTGACCGTAGACGTCTGGCTGAACAGGCTAGATATGCTGCTAAACAACGATATAAATGTTTGTGATGCTAAAATGTTTCACATATGCAACACAGCTGCCTTGCAATTTGCCATAGGTTTTTACTAATACTTCGAGAGAAGTTTAATTTGTTCCTTGTTTTTAGGTGCAGAAGGATACCAAGCACCGAGCCAACCATCACGAGTCAAAAGAAATGGTTAGTTCAGCTCAAACAAACTTGGATCTCGTTAGCAGTACTGTTTGTGCTATGATTCTCACCTTTGTTCATGTGGCATTTCTACCATCAAATTTATATGTACAGCTAATCCATGGCCTTGTTCGAATCAAAGTGGAAAACCTGCAAGTTGGTCTTCAGCATATTGGTGAAAACAGCATTACAAAGACCAGGACTGTAGTCAGTGACAGGATAGGAGTGAAGTCGAAGATCCTCTTATCACTTTCCACTTTACAGAGGCAACGCTGGAGAGGAGGTCGCCTCCTCTGCAGCATTCACTTTGCTGAAGTGAAAAGAAGTGGGAAGATTTTCCACTTCACTCTTAACTTGTCACCAACTATAGACTGAAGGAATGTGAAAAACAGAATGGGTGCTAACTTTCAGCTAAAAGTTTATTACTTGCACGTCACTCGATTATTGTTGGCAGTTTTAAACAAACTGCTTTTTAGAGGGACACAAATGCATAGTAAAGTTCCAGTCAGGATGCAGGAATTTTTACACTGCAGTTCAATTAATCAGTCAAACAGTTTAATTATACAGTTAATGAGCTGAATCTACTGGTGGCATTGCACGTGCCAGCATGCGAAATAATCAATGCATTGTGTCCTCACTCATATTTCTGCCGAGTGTAACAGATATGTCACATCTCTCCGTTTCGCTCTCTCTCATAGTCTCGTTTCGTTTTTGATGGTGTCTGCTAGTTTTTGCATTGTATACCACGGGAAAAAATATTAGTGTGAGAATTCTAAAAGTAATGATCGGGCAGCGTGTGAAGCTTCCCAGAAGCTGAACACTATATATATATTTATTTTTTTTTACTAAAGACGGGGTCTTAGTGTTCCCTTATGGCGATCGATTGTTGCAAATCCCACTTGGGACAGCCTGAAGTATGTCGTTCGTTCCCGACAGGCGTGCAAGCAGCTCCCCACAAGTGCGCCCCCTGCTGTCGGTGCGGAGCACCTCTACTCCGGCCGGACACGGCTCAATGGCAGCAGTAATCATGGAGCTGCCTTGCTGGACAAGATACTGAATGGAAGGTGCCACTCCCAACGTAAGTTGGTGCCCTTTTGTGTGTCTGCTCCTGAAGCAGATTTAAAGAGAAAATTAAATGGAGGGACAGTTGCCCTTGAAAAGGCTCCCATGCATTCCGAGGGCAGCTTTCTTTTACAAAACAAGAACATATGTCAGCTTTTTTTTTTTTTTTTTTAAGAAATGTTTAGTTTTAGGTGAAATACCAATAATTAGGTCACTATAATAGATCCAGGCAACGCATCATCCTTGACATCAAATCTATCTGCAGAGCCCCCCCCCCTCCCAAGCCTGACCCTTCTCTACTCTATGGTGAACGTAGGCCCTCGTGTGGCTCAGCTCGACATTTTCAATCTCGAAGCATAAATCTTGTATGTTTTACTAAACTGTTTGGAGCCATTCATCACAAAATTTTCTGAGTGGGAGTTACACTATCAATGTAAAAAAAAAGGGAGTCTGAATGGACTTTGTGAGGCTATTTGTGCACTGTCTGTCTGTCATGGATGCTGTTGTAAGGTACTTGTTACTGCTTCATGAGGTCATGCTGATGAGAAAGCACCTAAGAGCTAGATGGGGTCGAGGAAAGCTAGGATCCGATTAGTACTGACAAAGACATGATTAGCCTTGCATGGGAACATTCTGCATTCGGTGAAGCGCTTCTCTAGGTTTAATGTGCTGCTACACGAGTTGGGGCCTCACCTCATGATGGTAGTATGCTGCATATCCCTTTTTTCTTTCTTTTTTTTCACTCATGATTTTATATTTTGAGAGAGCTCGTCTAGCATTCGTTCCACCTCTTTTCATAATGATTGTTGCAGGGATTCTGCTGGCTGCCTTGAAAAAAGAAATGACTTCAAAGATAAAAATAGATGGAAATCTTTCAATATGTAATTATTGCTGTCACCTGCAACACTGGTCAAAAACTTGCCGAGAGCATAAAGCTTCAGCTACGAGTTTTACAAGGACGGTTTGATATCAGAGAAATTTTGAATTGGGATCTAATGTTTCTTCAAGAGTTGGTAAGTTTAATATTAATGGACACTTGATAAATCTGGTCTTTCTTTTATTAATAGTATCAGTGATTTATTGATTGTAATTTTTTTATATTGGATTTTTATGCTAAAATAACAGTTAGAAAAATAAAAAAAAATGACCGCATCTTCACGTGGTGAATGATGTTGATTGGGACAAAGCTCTGGTGGTGCTGATGATACTGATTTTATTGTTCATATATAATGCTAATGGTGCTGATTTTTTTTTTTTTATTATTGCTCATAGGTAGTGTTGAGTTCTGGGTTGCGTTTCGACTTTATTATTACTGCTTTATGGTCGGTGAAATACAGAGCCAGTGGTTCTTCTAGCGGATCAGCTTGGATCCGCTAGAAGCCGTGGGAACGCATCTCCACCGCTTAAAGGGATACTACAACGAAATTTTGGCGCTCATTTTTTGGTCTATATGTGTTCAAAAAAGCAGCGTCACGTCGAACATACCAATATCTTGTTAAAAAAGTCACGAAAAGGAATTTTAAAACGAATTAAACGATTAACAAAGAGCACCTGGTGGATGTCGCTAACGCCTCGCTTGTAATGCCCGTCTAGGAACCTTGACAGCTAGTGACGGAGGTTGTCTCGTCTCCGGCCACGACGAGAGAAGGGGGACAGGAGGAACTCCCCTCTTCCCGAGAATGCCTTTTGTGTGTCGCAGAAGTCGCTATTGTCCCCCTACAAGATTATAGAAGATTAACCCGTCACTCAAAATTCGTACAAAAGCGGCCGCTTCGGTGGCTGGAACGACTAGGCCATCCTCTCGACGTCAGCCTCGCCGTAGCTTTGCTCGTCTTGAGACGACCTACGTCACGATTGCGTTGGATGTCACGTGGTCTCCGCTGGGCCTTCTCCGAGCGCTTGCCAGAGTTAGCTGTTTATAACGAAAAATACAGCCACCAGGCTCAAAATGCAAACGTGCGATTGTCATTTACGGATATTGTGGATCACATTCAACCTATTTTTGATCACGACGGTAATATTTCAAATTTCGTTGAAGCATCCCTATAAGTCAATGGTCCATGTCAGAAAGAAAATATGTGGTATGGATCGTGTGTATATACGCATTTGAGCATTTGACCGCAGCGCCCTCTCGTCTATAAACGTTGAGCCAATGCATGCAAAGTTTAACACGATTATATACACATTTGATCGCAGCGCCCTCTCCTGTATAGACGTTGAGCGCCTACATGCTACGTGGAGTGTAGCGTAGTGGTTAAGACGTCTGCCTCTTAAGCAAGCGGTCCTGAGTTCGAACCCCCGTGGGGGCGTACTTTTTTTTTTAAAGTGGGCTGATCCCGGAGGCAGTGCAGTCTATGTGAGCACGGATGCCGGAGGGATGGACAAGGCTAGACCTTAAGGAGCTTCGCCCCTAAAAACAAACAAAAAAAGTTTTGGGGGAGTTAAATGCATCATCAAGTTTTTTTGGTGAAGATGCGGCAGAACAGGGCGCGGGATCGGCTCCCACGCGTCAAATTCATAGTTCGTCGTTCTTCCTTTTTTCAGCGGAACCGAGCGCCGGCAAAGATGTTGTGCCCACGTTTGAGGACGAGGAGGACGACGAGATCGAGCAGGACAGTGACCTCGTGTGTAGCGTCTGCAACGGGGGCCAGTCGGATCCGCCCAACGAGATAGTCATCTGCGACACCTGCAACAAAGGTGCGTGCCACATTTCGTCCCGCAAAGGGCATTGGGTGGTCAAAAGCGTAGCGTTTTTGGGTAGTCCGTCCTCATACCTGAACGTTCCTTGGGAGTTCTTGGACTTTTTGATCTCAAGGAACGCCTACTTTTCTCAATTGACAGCCGTCTTTGGCTGCTTCCTGGTCCTGACATTGGTGTATTAAAGCGGCGCAAAAGCCTACGGACCTCTTGAACAGTAATACACATGCTAAGGAGTGTCTGGCACATAGTTATGCACCGGTCGATGGCTCCGATCTTCTGAAAAGTTGCTTTGACTGAAGGAGCACTTTACCTAAGAGTAGCAATGACTGAGGAGATTTGGGAGCACGAGGCACCCCCAGGGCACTCGAAGGAAGCCCCGGGTTTGTAGGAATCTGAGAACACGTGGTCTGCTCGACGCCATTCTCTGTCGTTTGTGAGTTTTCTTTGGCAGTCTTTGAGTGGACAATTTGAACTTTTATTATAAGAGTGCTGTTGTACGTGTGCCATGCATTTACAAGAATTTGAAAGAACATGTTACAGCTTGCCTTTTCTTGCCCGATTCTGACACGACGCCAGGGCAATGACACTGTATGTCGAATGAAGCATGTGTAGATGCTTCACTCCGAAAACGTTGCCTTCTGCTCGTGGGTATAAACAATGAGAAAGTGCATGAAAGAAGGAACATTGCGATAAACAGTACGGGGTAACCTTGCCGACGTGGGAGACCTCGGAGGATCCTGGAGACTCCATTTTGAGGGTCTGTTGCTCGTGAATGCTGTCTGCGCGAGTGCCGGCGGTGACCGTCATTGACTCGTGACCCTCCTCCCAGGCTTCCACCAGGCGTGCCACACCCCAAAGATCGGCGACCAGGTGCTCCTGCCAAACATCCCCTGGCACTGTCGGAACTGCGTACCGGTTGGATCGGTGCGGGTGCGTTGCCTTGTCTTAGTGGGTCGACAGTAGGGGTGGGCTATGCCTGCGCCGAACCCGTAATTCGGGGCCGTGTAGATTTGGCATGCATCGATAGGAATCCCTGGATCTTCTTCGAATTGTCAAAGATGTGGCAGAAGTTGCCGGAGCTAACCGGTTCCTCATTGGGAAGATCGGTGGTCGTGTGTATTAGCACGCCACAGCTCGGAGCCCAGGGATCCTGGACTTAATCCTCACCGCTGCCCGTTTCGATCTGCACGAACATTGCACCGGCGTGTGGTCGTGCATCACTGCTGCGCGATGCACTTTAAAGACCTTGGGCATGCACTAATGCTTTACTGGCAAAATTTCTCATCTACGGCGGAAATACTCGTGAAGGCTGACGAAGTCCCTGCTCTAAACATACAATCACTTTTATTCTTAGTTATTCTGATCTCTTGGTGAGTGTTGGCGGCTAGGTTTGCTATGGTTACGGCTTATTTTTATAGTGCATTTATATGTAGGACATCCTCCATCTGCAGCTTTTGTAAAAAATATACTTTAAAGGGGGTAATCTCACTTTCTTCACGGTCCCTGATTTGCCTAAAAATTTGCTAGGTACACAACAAACACAGCTGTAATAACATCCCGAATATTATGCCAAAATAATTTTTTCTTCTCGCAAAGATTTTTTGACTTTCAGTTTTGGTCCTCACCGTGTTTTTGAAACTGAAAGTCTACTGGTATCAATGAAAAAGTGATGCCAGCAGCAGGCAGGGGCTCACTCTTTGGGGTGTAGGATTTGTTCCCAACTGCTTGCAAGCAGTTTCAGGTGTCAAACGAAGACTTTGGAAGCTCGCTCGAGCACCCACGCAGCAGCACGAAACAAATGGTCGGCATAGTCCATTTTATAGATAGCCTGCTCGACCGGCAGGCCTGCCTGCTACTTACATCACGGCACTGACAAGCACGGGTGTATTTGAAGGTTGGTTTCAGCATCATTTTCATTTGCTGATTTCACAATACAGTAGATATTCATTAATTCGAAGTTGGTCGGATGGTGAAAAATAGGCGAATTAAGCAGATTTTCGAATTATCCAAAAACGAAAAAAAAACAACAACAAAGAACGGTGTGCGAAGCCTTGAATCTTGAAGGAAACATTTTATTCAAAATGAGTAGTCATAATGAAAAAGCATGAACCGAAGTAGTCGGCGATATGGGACTGCCACATTCTGTAGTTTGTGGCACCGACCGTCATACTTTCAAGAAGGCTAACAAGGCGCAACATCTCAGAATCGCCGCCGTCACACTCGGTGATATCGCTCTCAAGGTCCGCTAGCAGTTTTACTCATTTTCTTCCATGTTTAAGGGTAGTTTGTGAACCTCATGGTGGTTTGTGAACCTCACCGTCACTGTCCTTAATGCGGGAGAAAAGCTCCTCTTCCTCATCGTCAATCCCAGGGACATTACTGGCACTAGCACTGGCGATATTCTCCTGCTCCATGGCCGGTCGCATGTAAGCGATTTGGCGAGCAACAAGACAAGCGACGGCGACCCGCTCCGCTGTCTCTTGGTCAATCGTGCGACGAGGCAAACTGCATAAAAGCATGGCAGCGACGGGAGCCAGTGACCAAGGCAATGAGTGACACACCGGGCAACAGTGAGAAATCTTCGCTTGTCGCTGCCCCTCGTCGCTGTCGCCATCGCTCGCTAAATCGCTTACATGCGGTTCAGTAATGGTGTGAACCACAGCGGCGCGCGCCAAGAATACTGATCATTAACACCGATCCTCAACTCCACGTGAGGCGAGAGGGACTAAGTCTACTCAATGCCTGCACAAGCCCAAAAAAACGAAGGGACTACTAAGCGCATGGACCAGCAAACAGGAAACGGATTAGTGAAGATGCACGCCATCTTTGTGTTTACTGCCAATTCTGGATGTCAACTGGCGCCACCTAGCAACTCAAAATTTAACCTGAAAGACCAAATCGGCAAATCAACCGGGTAGGCACGCGCGGAGCGCTCATATCATCTGGTCATATTCTCATGAGAAGTCATGGGACCGTGAAAATTTTGCGAATTACCCGGGATTCCGAATAAACCAAGATAGAATTATTGTGGTTCTACTTACAGTTGGAACTCGTTGATACATTCCTGTATTTTTACTTTTTCCCAGCTTTTACGTTTGGAAACGCCGGTCCCATCGAGCTTCCACAGGAACGGGCATATTTGAAGGTCAGGCAGATAAAAAAACGAAGCAATAAAGTACCTCGATTTTCTCCTGCAAAAGGAAACAATGTGCCATTTTTGTTTTGCTTGTCAAAAAAAAAAAAAAAAGGTGTGGTGTTGCCAGACAAAATGCTTTGAGTCGACCCTTGCCAAAACTTCATGAAAAGTGTAGACTGAAAAGGACAAGCACCTTTTCACTCACAGATATTTTTCTTCAGACCACGCTTAAAAAATGTAACTGTCTGGCAACAAAAAAAAAAATTTATTTTAAAGAGTAACACGAACTTGGTGCTTCATCATGCTTTGTTTTGTTTTTGTTAGTTTGCTGGTCCATGTTGTCGCGCGGTTCTTAGTTCCACATGCGAAAGAAGCTTGAGGAACTTTGCCCGGCTGACGCACTGTAGGTTCTGGTACTCCTCCTGGTCCGTGTAAAGGAGCTTCTGTCAAAACTCGTCTAGCACGCTGAGATCTCTCCTGCTTGTGCACTACAGCGTGTCATCCTGCGAGGCCTTTTTTGCGGCTTCAGTGTACTGAACTGTTGTGCCTGATTGCGCGGGGTGAACTGACGAGGAGATCGGCAAACGCCCCTCCGCAAGCCCAGGAATCCGGCGCTCACCTGCGTTTCTGTCACCCAAAGCACCAGGCGGAAATTACTAGCTTTTTCCAGAACGTATTTGAGTTCACATTGACGAATGTTCCCAAACTTTTTCTGAGCCAATTTGAGTTCTTGCCTATGAATGTTTGCGTGAAGTAAATTGTTCCGTATCTGTTGCTATCTGTCTCATCTTCAGCTCCCCTGAATGGCGTTCTTGTTCCTTGGGTGATCCTGGATTGACATTCTATTTCCCCGGTCCCCTGAAAAACATATCGATGAGGTTTTACTATAACTATTCTGGATTTCGCGATACTAAATGGCATACGAGGAAAGGTAAAGGCTGGTTATTCTGAAGATGTAGTTAGTTGGTGTAACTAAAAGAATGGCTGGAGTACCTTTTGAGGGTTGAAAATATCTTTTTGGTGCACCCTTTTTCTGTTGGTGCTGTGTATTGGGAATTTTTTAAAACTTGTTTTTTCTTTTTGATTTTTACAGAAAAGTGCGAAGAACTACAGAAATGGTAACATATTGCTCTCTTTATTGATATCTAAAGTTTCCGCTCTGATTTGACATAAAATGTTCAAAGCTTTGACATACATTTTCAAACGTTTCTTTTAGGTGCTCCAGTACAAATGTTCAAGCTAGGTTTCCCTTACAATGTAAGTATGAGATGAACCTTTGGGTGTCGAGCTAGTAATGACGTGCACTGCACTTGTTCATATTCTTATTGCAGATGAAGTCTTTGCAGTGGGATTCCCAGCACAGGGTAAACACACGAAACTGCTACTGTTACTGCGGAGGCCCGGGAGTGTAAGTTGCCGCCTTACGACATAACCGAGATACTAAATTGGGTTTGCTTTTGGCACTGATGATGAACAGTTAGTGTTTGTAATATGACTTTACTGGAGGCGTGCCAGCACTTAAAGTTTTAAGTTGAATCGATTTGAGAAGGTGTTTCAGCAGACCTTCTAAATGCTCTCAAAACCAAAGAAAGATTTTTTTTTATATGTTTGCGACTAGGGTTTTTAAAAGGTATCTTGGTGTACTGTGTATGGTACCAGGGAAGGCAAAAACCACAGCTTGCGAGCTTCCCCATTTGCAAGATCTAAAGGAAAGACGTATAGAAAGAAAGGCATCTTGCATTTTGTCAGCTTTGTGCTATTGTAAGAATGCATCAGGCAAGGTCCTTGTTTTATGAAGGGGGTCTCCTACTCCTGCATACCTCAAAGCCAGAGGAAATTTTAATATTTTTTTTATATTGGCGATCGGAGCTGTTTCCACTTGCTGCAGACAGCTATACTTTTTGTTGTCTTTTGCTAACAGGTGGAATAAGAAAATGCTTCAGTGTCGCCTGTGCCAGCAGTGGTTTCATGAAGGTGAGGAGACCAGCTTTTTTGGCTTCATGTTTCCTTTGGCATGAGAATGCAATGTGGAATGCCTTACTGTTTCACCAGAGTTGACTACCATATTTTCCAGACCATAACTATGCAAGGTTAAAAGTTTCTATGCGGTGTGGACTACACAGGGGTGCGCACTATACAAGGATTTGTTTTTTTCCCAGACCATCCATCCTGTGTAGACGTCATAAATTTTGAATGACATAACATACTAATGACACTTTATGTACGATACGTGGACTAGGCACCAGGTGCAGGGTATGCACTGAATGTAGATTCCAGGTGCACAGTATCGAAGAACTGTAGCTGGACTTTATTTGGGTTGGACTATATACCGGACTATATACCAGAAAATACACTCTTAGAACTATGGCCAAGGTTTCTTTTAAATCTGGTTTAGAAGGAAAGCAAGTCCAGCTTGTGACTCACAGTTCCAACGGTATTTTCCTACTTTGTATAATAGTACCGTATTTATTCGAATATAGGTCGACCTTTTTTTTTCGGAAATGTTGTAAAAAATTAAGGGTCGACCTATAATCGTGACCAAAGAATTTCGACCTAATTCGCCGACCAAAATTTGAAACCCTACCGAAGGTATGGAGCTATCAATCACCTAGCCGGCGTTGCGGTAGAGCCGCGCGGCTTCTTGTTTCAAAAAGCTTTTGATGCACAAAAACAACCGAACAGCAGCAGCCGACAGCCCGCGGCCGCCGGCTAGGGCTCTCGCGCACGTTCCTCAGGCGTCGGGCTTCGGTTTCGCCATCACGCCTGTAGCGTTCCCCTTTCTGGGCAAGGGGGAAGGGGAGGGAGAGAAACGCGGTGCGCCGTGCACTTTGCCCTCCTATGCGCTCCATTCCTCTCTTCCTCGCAAACACGCGCAAAAAAAAAAAAAAAAAAAAAAAATACTTTAGTTTTTTTTTTTGTTTTTTTTTTTTTATTCGGCGGGTCGCGTGTTGCTTATAGCCGATTCACACGACGGACTGATCCGCGGACGGATTGATCACGTGACGACATATCCGCGGTTCGTCCGTCTCCCAAGCGCATCCACACGAGGGAGACGACGAGCAGACGCCAGTGAGGACGGACCGAACCTGTTCGCACCCCACAGTGCCGCGAAACTCCAACATCGCACAGTAGCACCGTTGTCCAAGAGAGAAATCGACGGTTGCTACCGCGATAAAGAATCGTACGCCGCTGCTACGTACAGATCGAGAACAAAACACCGGGGCAGGCTTCGCGCGAAGCGCCACTAACTTTACTAACCCAACGCATGACAGTGACACAGGCATGATCCTGCCCGAGAAAGCTTCGGCGTAGACGCGACGAACTTCTCGGCTCGCGGAGGGGCGTTTGGAGATGGCTTCACACACTCCGCGCTCGTGCACAACACTCAAGCACACCACATTCACAAGAGAGGGCTTGCTCGGTGAAATCCTGATTGGACGTGCAAGAGTTATCGCGGCGTGCTAGACGAGTTTTGACGGGAGCTTCTTGACACGGACCCGGAGGAGCACCGGAACCTGCGTCGCGTCAGCCGGACAAAGTTTCTGGAGTTTCTCTCACGCGTGGAACCAAGAATCGTACGACAAAATGAACCAACAAACGCACAAAACGCAACGACGCGCCATTTTTGTTTTGAACGACCAGAAGCAAAAAAACCAAGAAAACAATGTACCGTTGCCAGACTAAACGCTTTCCAAGTCAGTCTGCCGCCAAACGTCCGCGAGTGAAAAAGGCGCTCGACTTTATCAGTCCGCGCCTCCGCGGAGGAGGCGCGGATCGCAGGAATCGGTGACGTGCCGGTCACGTGGTACACGGTCCGCGGACGAAAATCGCGATTTGGTCCGTCGTGTGAATCGGCTATTACGGGGCTCGCAGCGTTGCTCGTGTCTTTGTATTTGTTCTTTCGTCGCTCGCCCGTCTCCACCTTCTTTCGTTTCTTCTTGTCGTCATTTTACAACGGTGTCAGTGAGGTATTGTTGCCAGTTTGCGAGGATGTCTACCAAGCTGATGAAGCTTCGGACAACGATATGTGCGGAAGTTCTGACGATGAATAAGTTTTTGACATCGCCCTGTGATTTAGCTGAGGGTGCTGTAAATAAGGGTTTGTTTCTTTTGCCCTAACTTTCCCCTGTTGCTTAAAAAAAAAAAAAAAGAAAGGTCGACCTATAATTGAATTCTTTTTTTTTATTCTCGGTGGGCTCAATAAATAGGGGTCGACCTATTTTGGGGTAAATACGGTACATATTCCTATGGTATATTCCTACCTACGCTCCTGAATTCATTGTATTCAGCAACTTTCGGTGGAGCATTGTGTTTTTTCCTAAGAAAAGAGTGGGTCTATGTTCTGGTGATGCTATTTCCCAAAATTAGATTTTTTTTTTTTATTTTTTAAAATGTGTTGTGTCTTTTTACGCATTACGAAAAGAGGTTGTTTTGTTCCAGCCTGCATTCAGGGCCTGGAAACCCCGCTTCTGTACGGCGACAGCTTCTACTACTTCTCCTGTTCTGTGTGCAATAACGGCCCCGAGGTGGTGAAGCGGATGCCGCTTTGCTGGTAGGTGCACTTCAAGTGGCAGGCAGTCGTCGCCTTATACGGGACGAAAAAGCGTTTGTGACTACACATCTGTCCGATCGTTGCACTTCTCCCCTCCTACTTGAGGGCGCTTCGAACCTAGGATGCTTGACAGTGGTTATTTGCTGAAGAGTTAGCTTGTCGAAGCCAATTGGGTGATCTGTCCAAGTCTTCGGTTTCTTATACTCTCCTTCTAATCCTTGTCTCATATTGGACTTTGTAGTTGGTGAACTAAAGCTTGTCCATTCACTGCAAATGGCCAGGAGTATGTGCCAATTCCCCAATTCCTTGTATAGTAAATTGGCGACTTAAGCATAAAATGAATTGAGGACAGAAAAAATCAATTGGTTCACTGAACTGCTTCTGTCAGAGCTGTCTCGTGTTGTCGGTACATTACCAAAATAGAAGGAGGTGACAGAGGAATTCAATCTTTTAAGTGTGAGGACCATCTTCTAGTTAACTTGGCTGTGAGAATTCATGTGGTACTAAGTCATGCCTTTTGTTGCATGACCTATTTCTGTCAATCGGAGCGATTCTTTATTTCTCCATCAGAGTGAGCGCTCAAAAGGTCACTCAAGGCAAACCTCATATTTGCTTGAAGAATTGTCAAGTCGGAAAACTGCGTTTTTATTGTCGGCTGCTTTGGCATCTAGCTTGACGTTCCTTTGCCTTAGGATGGACATAACGCACCTTACCCTGTACAATCTGGTCATGGAGCACCACAAAAAGTACTACGAGCTGGATGAGGAAATCATGCCCTACCTCAACTCCATCTGGCTTGCCCTGCAGCTTCCCTCTGAAGTGAGTGAACTCGGTTTTTTACTGGCATGCAGGCCTTCCTTAGTTGGAATAGAAAACGGCGTAAGAAAGGTCGCCAAAAAAAGTGCAAGGCACAAACACAGCGCTGACTATGCACTGTCATTTTCTTTTATAATAATCTGACATAAACGAAGAAACGGTGCAAACCGGACAGGGCGACACACCTCGCCCACCTTGCTACAGTTTATTTCAGTAGTTGAGTCGTTTGATTGCCGATAACTCACTTCTGTTTAAAACTGTCCTTCCAGATCTTTCGCTGCTCCATGCGGGAACGGCGGTTAAACATCTACGAGTGCCTGTATGGCGACAGTTCCAGGTATGATTTCTTCTTAGTTTGTTGATGGGCTGTTTTACAAACATCGTTGTAACTTGGCATTATTACATATATCTAATTACTCGCTTCTTAGATGTAAGGCAAAGTAACCTGTTGACACCAGTTTTCCCGTCATAATCGTTTGGTTGCCACAGTGATCCAAAATGAGTTGATTGAAATAATGTGGGGATTCCAGTTCGTCCTATCGCCTGGTGAACAAGATTGGGCTTTATAGAATTTCGCGAGAAATGCTTCTTGTAAACCAGAGTTCCTCACTGAGCCAGCCTGAAGGAACATTTACTTTTTTTTAAAAGGTTTCATTAAGTTTAAGTTTCCTTAGGTTTTGTGCTGGTATCCACTGAAAATGTTTTACCTTTGCTCTGCATTTAAAAGCCTTAACAGCCTTTAAATACAGAGCCAGTCGTGTTGAAGAATGTGTTTAATCTTTTTGGGATTAGGCGTCAACCGCACAACTGTGCTCGGTTGACGCTGGGGCTTTTTCTGACCCAGGTTCAAATCCGGGAAGGAGGTGAAGAAGCGGACGTCGCTGTGGAGTCTGCGGGACCGGTGTGAGCCGCCGGACCCGCGGAGGGCCACGGCCCTGCTCCGGGAGAACAAGAACAGCAACGTGATGCCTGCACGGTCCGCAAAGGATCCTGTTTCCGCTCCTTCAGGGTACCTAATCCTTCCTTTATTTCTCCTTGAGGCCCTACGGCAACGCAGAGGGTTCATAAAGTGCAGGGAACATAAAGGCAAAATAAGCATACAGTTTAGTTTGGAACACACGTGCGATAGGAAGACCATAAAAAAATCTGGGGAAAATCGGAATATATGTGGAAATCGCTTCAAGCTAGTATTTCGAAATCTGAGCATGTTTATTGCATGAAAACAGCAAATATTGTCTCGCAAGAATTATGTTCTCGATTTCTTTACCACAAATATCCTCGTTTAGTTCGTGTTAGCGATCGGGAGAGTCTGAGAATGCCACTTAAAAGTTTGTAGAAGGTCCCCGACCCTGGCTGCTCCAGACAGAAGTTTGTATACGGTCCCCGGCGAACCCCCGAGCTACCAAGACTTCTCTGCCACGAAACCTGAGCCGCATGTGCGAGCCTGCTAGCAAGAGCTTTGAAGCCGTCGCCCATAGACGAGAGGAAGCGAGGCGAGCATTCCATCTGACAGCGCCGAGTGAGACGCAGCACCTCTCTATAACCGCTACCCTTATGTGATACCCCCCCCATTTAGTGTAACCCTCAAAGTCTTAAATAAATAACAAGTTTAATGCGAACGCATTGTTAATTCGTTGACCCAAAATGCTAACATTTCAGAAGAGGTATAAATTCCAAGACAGCCAAAGCGTCAATCGGACACCAAATATTTCATCATAAAAGGGAAGGGAACTAAGGACGTACAGCAGGCAAGCAGTGAGGCCACTTCAACAAGCAACGTTGTTGGCGGCGACGAAGCCAACAAAATTTATAAAGTGAGCTAAGTGACTGCAACGAGACTGCCGGGCGCACCTGCCGTCTACTTTGCCGCCGGAGGTGAATAACGGAACACCGCCTGATGGAGGCAACGTAGGAATGCCGAACGCGCACAAACAGCCTTCAAGCGACAGCGGTAGCTCCTTCGACTTTGAGGCAATGATGCAAGTGACCATCCAGATGGCGGTGAGTGAGGCGATGAACGGTGCTGCAGAACTCTGGCAAATGCAGCAGTGACACACCACACTGGACGTTATGAGTGCAACGAGTGCAATGTCAGCGTACGACCCCTCGATCAAGACACAGCTAACGGTGGAGGCGTGGATCAGCAGGATGGATAACTTGGCGGCTGCCTACGGGTGGAACGACAAGCAGATGACATGCTTTGCACTTGTTAAACTTCAAGGAGTTGTGAAAACATGGTACGACGGACTTCCTGTGCAGACTCATGACTGCACAGTGATCATGGGAAAGGTGGAAAACCGAGCTGAAGAGAGCTTTTCTATCGAGCGCCGGATTCTAGTATCTTTTGAGAGATGGAGTCGCGTCGCAAACAATGGTGACAAAAGCATGGAGATATACTTTTATGACAAGCTAGCCAATGCACGACGATGCAACTTGGACGACGAGGCTTGCATGGGATACATTGTGACAGGGTTACACGCCGAGGACGTGGTGCGATCGTCGAGTGTCAGCGAGTAGAACAGCCCCGAAGAACTCCTGCATTGTAGAAGAGACTGGATGAACGGGTGGACACTTTCAGACAGATGCAGCCAAAAATCACCGAACCCTCACCGACCACATTTTGTGACATGAAGCCTGTCAACAGTGCATCAACTGGCAGAAACAACGCCCTGCGTAAATTCACCGAAAAAGGTGAACCCCTCTGCTTCAATAGACTACTTCCATAAAGCCCCGCATGCAACACAGCGCGCGTTGCACTCTGGGAACTAGTTGGCCAGGGAGGAGAGTGCCATGGTTTCGGTTTCGATCGACACGTCGACAAGAGATTATACACAGAGCGTGGACTATAAACGGCCGCTATTTTATGTTTTCTGGTCCCGAGGGTGTCATTTGTTGTCTCTAAACTAACCTAAATGGCCAGTCATCGAAGCCTTAGCACAAGCCCGAGACGTATAGCTTGTCTTAACGCATGCTTGTTGCATTTTTGTACTTGAGCCTTTCTGTTAGCGTTTCGAGGTATGGTAGACGAGCCAGCGCTGGGAATCTCGACACTGCGAAGCTCGGAGATCTTGCTTGTGTACGAATCAACAAGCTACAGCAGTAAGTATGCATACATCGAGGTCGCGCCTTTACATTAGTGTTGTTGATCAGGAAGTTTGTTTGTTTCGTGCGTCCATAGACGAAATATAACTTTTAGGGGCGAAGCTCCTTAGGGGCTAGCCATGTCCATATGTCCGTCCGCCGTCCGCCGTGCCTCTGCTCGTGAACTAACGAGCAGGAGCTCACAAGCTCCTACTCGTGAGTTCAGCAGCGAGAGCAAAAAAAAAAAAAAAAAAAAAAAAAAAAGATGAAAAAAAAAAGGAAAAAAAAAGTAGGGGGCTTTGAGATGCCATCCCATCTGTCTTCTTCAAAAAAGAAAAAAAGAAGAAAAGCACATATTCTTCTACTGACATAAATGAAAACGGCACCATCAGTTCTACCTATGACCAAAATCAGTATCAAGAAAAAGAAGAAAAAAAAAGAGTAGGGGGTTCTGAGTTGCCATCCCATCTGTCTTAAAAAAAGAAAAAGAAGAAAACCACACATTCTCCTACTGACATGAATGAAGACGGCACCATCAGCACTACCTCTGACCAAAATCAGTATCATCAGCATTACCCGAGCTTCGCCCCAATCAACATCATTCACCACGTGGAAATGCGGTATTTTACTTTCATTCTGTTTTTTTGCAATTACTGTCTTTCTTAATACGCCTGAGTATGCGAGGTAAAACCCGGAGGCGCCATTGAAAAGCTCCATTTTAACGCACATCTCATTGCTTATTTGTACTGCCCGCAGCACTGCACGAATTCGTGAAGTCCCCACCCGCTTGCATTTCACTAATATTCAACATCGCGTACACGCATAAAGTTATCCTGCCAACCATATAGGCACATTTGCACATACAAACAGTTTTAAGAAAGCAAAAGTCGAGCACTTGTGTGAAGAATGTCGCACCATTCGGTGGAAGTGCGCCGGACGGGCATGAACCCCGGTGCGCCAAACGAACGAAATTATTCAAAGCGCATTTGACGGTTTCTAATTGCCATAATATTTGTTATGTGTTTGCTTTCTTCCTCACTGAGTATGCCGAGATAATTTCAGACACACCGCTCAGGCACAGATCTTGGGCGTCAGTAAAAGGTCGCCCAAAAAGGTTTAGCGAGGAGTAGGGGACGCTTGTTCGTGCCTCCGTCGTAGCTAGCCGATCTCAGCGTTTGCGAAAACTTAATCTTATATCAGCATAAAATTTGAGTGTGAGATATGTCATGACACGAGGAAGACATCATAGTAACTTTTGTGCAGTAGTGGGGTCACATTTATTGCGTTTCCTTAAAAGCGAATGCACCAACGCTGGCTCAACTTTGATACTCCTGTGAGGATGCGGCTTGCTTTTCACCCAATGAAGTAACAAGAAGCGGACGTTCGGCAAACAAAATACGTGTAGGGCTCAAGGTGACCAAATTTCAGTTGTAGTTCACTGGTACTAGACGGGATTGCTGACATTGAGCTCAAAGATGCACTCGTGAGGTGAGGCGACTAAGCCACGTCTTACTACATTTGATTACGCACGGACAATATCCGGTGTTTCCGGAACCAAGGTAAGTGCCCCGGTCTTCGTTTCTGTATCGTTCGAGAATGAGTGTATTCTACATTTGTGAAAAGCCAGATAGTCGAAAACTCAAGCAGCGCGTTCGGTGGCGGCGTGATAGCATGAGATGAAGCTGCTCAGTCGAAACCGAAACTGAGTGGCCAACTAGTTCCCAGAGTGCACTGCGTGGTATTTCGCCGCAATGGGGCGCGTCGGTTTTGGAAGAAGTCCATTGTTCTACATATAAACATTATCCTGCTGCACGCCCCAAGCCTCATAAGAGACCTCGATTTGATATATGCAATTGAACCAAACATGAATCGAAAGACTGCCGCCTGAGACCGGGCAAGCCGGACACGCCTCCAAAACCAGGAGTTGTCCTCACCCAAACGTGCAAGCACGGGAAGTCAGCGAAGAAGGCTACCGACACCAGCGTGAAGTATTTCATAAAAGCGCTTTTTTAGCAGAAAAGAGGTCAACGCTTCCGTGAATATGGGCAGCCAATGTGTGACTCCTTGAGAGAGCGACGCAATATCTTTGGCGTTCACGTATGGCAAACCCCTTCACCCTTTCACGATTGGCGGCTACGAATCAAGACAGATGACACCACTGGGGCACGCAAAAGCTAGACTGATGGTCCATAAGGCAACCGGATGTTGACGTATACTTCATTTCTGACGACGTCCAGGTGATTCCGCTCATTGGCCAGCCGTTCACGGAGCAGTCGCACGTCACAATCATTCATAGAAATGACACCCTCTACATTTTCAAGGAGCTCAAGGAATTGGGAGAGGAAGATGGAACCCTGCGAAACATCCAAATACCTGGTCTTGCACCGCGCTTAGTGAGCCTCTCTGCGCAAGAGGCTGCTGTGTTTCCTCCGAAATATGTGGGCTTTGTAACCCTTTATACAAGCGAGGAGCCAAGAGGAGACATCTTCGTTGACCGAAAACAATGTGGAAGGCAGGATCAGGGCCATGTTATCACGAGTTGTGTACCGAAGAACTGCAACGAGGAATACGTCCTGCCAGTGCCCAGTGGTGAATGTGGCAAATCTCGAGATCACGTTTAAAGAAGGAGAACGAGTCGTTCGAGCCCAGTGGTGCAACGAGGAGTGTACCCCATAAGAGACTTTACAGACAGTATCCACCATATAATGTATGCAGTATTTTGAATATAGCAGCCATGCTCAGCGCCACTAACCCTCCCATCCCCCTTCCCCCCCCAAAAAACAACAACAACAACAACAAAGTAAACGACAAATTGATCCCTCACTACTTGTGACCATACCTCGGCAAATTCATTCATGAACTCGCTCATTCACCTTCATTCACATTCACGGCGTGAATCTGAATGGCCCTGTATGAATTCTTGAAATTGAAAAAAAATCATGATGTGATGGTGAATGACTTTGTGAATTTGATTGAATTCGTGATGTGATGGTGAATGACTTCGTGAATTTGAATGAATTCGTGATGTGATGGTGATTGAAGTCGTGATGTGATGGTGAATGACTTCGTGAATTTGAATGAATTTGTGATGTGATGGTGAATGAAGTCGTGATGTGATGGAGAATGACTTCGTGAATTTGAATGAACTCATGATGAGTTGTGATTGTGAATGACTTCATGAAGTGAAAAATTCATTGTGATGTGAATGACTCAATAACTCGTGACGTGATGGAGAATGGCTGGTGAACACAATGAATATGTGATGTGAGTGGCTCGTGAACTTGATGAGTTTGTGATGGGAAGTAATACCGTAAACTTAATTCTCGACGTGATAGTGAGTACGGTTATGAATTCAGAATAGGCGGAAAACATGTTACGCAGGTGCTTGCTTGCTTGCTGGTCGTTTTCATCCTTCACCGCAAACGACAGGGACCCATTTGACTTTAGCGGTTTGGGCATCAGCCTCGCTGCGTAGCCGTGCGCGCCTCAGCGCGGTGGCCCTTTGTCGAGTCAGGTCCTGGTTTTAAGTGGCTTACACAAAAAGGCGCCACAGTCCTATTCCGCAAGAACTGCGAACTCGTGAAGGGCTACCAGCCGTAAAGTCGAATTTAGTCAGGATGAACCTGAATGACTTCGTGAGTCATGCGCAATTCATGATGTGATGGTGAATTCCAGTGAATTCGTGTTGACTGTGATGGTGAATAACTTCGTGAAGTCAATGGTGAATTCAGATGACTTCGTGATGTGATGGTGAATTCGGATTAATTCATGATGTGAAGGTGAATTCCGATGAATTCACGATGGTGAATTCCGATGAATTCACGATGGTGAATTCCGATGAATTTGGGGTGATGGTGAATGACTTCGTGAATTGGTGATGTGATGGTGAATGATTCCGTGAACTTGGAGGTGGCGGTGATGTGATGGGGATGAATTCTTGGTGCGGTTGAGCGACATGATGTGAAGGGTATGAATTCTCGGCGGAGTTTGAAAGCCGTGATGTGAAGGGGATGAAGTTTTGGCACGGTTGAACGCCGCGATGTGAAGGGCTATGAATTTGGGAGGTCGGAGTACCTTGGTGACGTGAATGCGAATGAATTTGGAGACGTGATTTTGTTTGTGATGTGATGGTGAATGAAGGGGCTCTAAAATGCCGACCTATGCTTGTGACAAAGCCACTTATGCATGTCCCATTTTTGGAGATCAGACACCTCTATGGCATTGTTGGCTGAGCTATTGCCCTGACGGCACAAAGCAGCGCGCCCAAACAAGTGCTTCGAAGGCACTGGTACGGGGAACGGAAATAAAAGAACACAACTTTTATTGTGTGTTCTTTATGTTCGTCCGACAATAAAAGCCTTTACATTTCCCGCGTTCAAAGCGGACGACTTGAAGAACCTACTCGAACGGCTCTCCTTCATGCTGCCGGCGCTTGACAGCTCATCAACATGAGACCATGAAACGAAATGGAACACTGAATCTATTTACCTGGTCGAGAGTAAATCATTATTCTCATTAGATGAAAATAGGCACTTGGCACCTGTATGCATCAAACAAAAGTCACCTGCTTTGATAAACCATTTTCGGCTAGTTTTGGCGCAGCATTTGCGCTTGGGAGCAGTAGGGCGCTGCAAAAGTGGATTGGCGCACAATGGCACAATTGGCGCAGTGCTTTCACCCCTGTAACCAAAAGACGATGCCGCGGACCTTACGGTTGGAATGCGTCCATGACAAAGTACAACGATAGAGAGACATTTCACTTTGTTTACGCATTCCCTCCCCAATTTCCTCGACCCCGAGGTTGGAGTACATTCGTGCGAAAGGAAAACGATGAAGATAACAGAATGAAACTTTGTTTTGCTTGCAAAAAAGTTTGTTCAGACAAAACAAAATTGGAAAGATAACGCAAGCCGTAACCGTATATAAACTTTTGTCTGGAGCAGCCGGTGTCGGGGGTCTCCTACAAACTTTCGAGTGGCGTCCTAAAACTTCGATCTCCTGATCTCTAACACTCGGCCTTCCTACAGCACAAACACCCCCGGTGGGAATCTTGTCGGAATATGTCCCCGAAATGACCCTCCAAATCTCAAGTAGCGTTTTGCGTATCTTCTTCGTGCCCCGAGCCCGGCGACTGGTCGTCGTCGCTGCCATCGTCACAGAGCGAAGTGCTTCATTTTGTCGACAGCTGTGATTTCCTCGTAGAAGCGCTGCAAGCGTTGAGTCTCGGAGAGGTTCTGCACTTTATACAATCGTGAGGTAGCTTCTTCACAACAATGTCAGGGTCTCTGTATTTTGGATGCGATTTTCGCAACTCTCCTGTTGCCAGTGGCTCTTGCTGGAGTACCACCATATCTCCTGGTTTGTAGCTAGGCGCAGCTACCCATTTCTTGTTATAATGTTCTTTCTGTTTTTCTTGGTTTTGGCGTATGTTCTCTTGCCTTTTCCCAGAGCTTGAGCTCAGTAACGCAGGGAGGTGGGGAGGGTTACAGTGGTGCTGCGCATGGCTGTGTGTATTCAAAATACTGCACACATTATATGGCGTACACTCCCGTTGGATATCAATCACGCGATGTCAGATGGAAATCACATGAGCCGTGCGATCTGCAGTATCGGTGTGTGTTTAACAAACGTGTTCACCGCAGCTTCCCTTGTGCTTATTGCAACGTGACACGTGAATCTGCAGCGTCCGCAATCTGCACTATCCGTTCACCGTGACATGCAATTTCCTAACTCGTTCCCAATCTTCCTTCTTTTTTTTTTTTCCGCGATTTGCTCACGCGATACTGGTTTCTGTGGCGCACTAGTTTGTAGTGGGTTCTTGCTTCTCTATCGCACTGTGAAGTGCGAATGCACTGCGTTTGCATCCTTCTGCCTTACTCGTAACGGAGGAGTTCATAGCGAATTCCACCACGGGAAAAGTAGAAATTTTCAAAGGATCTGTGCCAACGCTTTTATTTTCCTAACTAACTTCTGTATGAAGCAATATGGCACATCAAAATGTGGCCAATTAGTTGTTCTTTTGAAATAAACAGGTTAATATATTGTGGAAAAAATCATTTTCAATTTTTATTTCTTGAAAAGACAGTGTACGTATGGAAGGCGTATAAATGCTGAAACTTCTACAGCTATGTCAAATTAAACAACAAATAAAAAACATTCGGAATATGGAAAATGTGCCCCACAGCTATTACTTCTGAAAGTTAGTATACTCTAACATTGTCTACTTTGGTTCATCAGAGAGTTAGCCTCCGTAACACGTGTGCTTTTCAATGAAGGAATGCTTATATTGGTGAAGCACAGATAGTACACCTCGCATCCCCAGCATAAGGCTTCCTTTCTGTTTTACCTTGGTTTTGTCATAGCCCTGATTGCAGTTCCCTCGTATTTAGAAGTTTTGTGCTCCTTGTTTCGAACATACAACATGCACACCGGCTCAAGACAGCCTCAGAAATTATAGTGATGCTAACCAACAACCTTGTGTTAAGCAACGCCTAAAGTGTCCCCACAACTCCTGAGGTCTCAAAATATGCCACAATACAGTTGAATTATGTAAATAATGCCATCTTTGTTATGAAGACTAATGCAAGCAGTTGGCCATGTTAGACAAGTGCAACCACTTTTTTCAGAAAAGTGGTTGCACTTGGTTGAATAATTCAGTATTGTCGAATACTAAATTCGATTAAAAGCGAATGTTGAATAGAACAAAATTTTGACGGGCTATTCGTAATTACCGAATATTCACCCATCCCTACCTATGGGCCTTTTTCATTAAAGAGTTGAGGCAAATGAATTACTTTATAAAGTAAAATCATTTGAGATATGCGGCAACCTTTCATTCACATCACATGTCAGGTTTTAATCACTTTCATTCCATGCGTGACCTCATGTTTCACGTGAGCGTTTTAGGTTGTTTGAAATTCCCATGCGAGGTCATGTAGCTGTGACGTCTGACCCTATCAACCAATCAGAATTTTCTCATCTCGCCAACGCCAACTTTTCTGCGACACAAGCTCCTTAATGCTATCGCTATAGTAGAATTGTATTGTAGACACGGTAGAATTCTGATGCACGCTTGTTTCTGCCCAAAGGGAGGCGCTATTCAGGAAAGGACCTGGGAGAGGCATGTTGGTGCTCCCTGGGCGAGAGAACGGCCAGATCAAGCGACGGAGGCGGAAAGCACATGACATCCCGCAAAAGGTAAGTGTGGTCTCGCATTTTGTCACGTCGGGCAAGTTGTAGCACTGCTTTGGAGATTTGGCTGGGGGTGAAAAGTGTCATTGTAATTGCTGAGACTGGAGACTGGCACAAAGGTTCATTTCTTACTTGCACAACAGCAGAGTCGGAGCACTTGAGACTTGTGAAAAGGGTATGAATCGTTTTTTGGCGCTTGAATGGAGCTCTTTGCGACGCAAGTTACTTCATGGCAGCCGCAATTTTGTTTCTGCTTTCTGGATGCGCTAACCTTTGCCACTGTTTTCGTGCATCTTTCCAAATCTTGGTTGTAGCGAGCTTGAAATCTGATCCAACCAAGATTGTCTAAAATCGTCTCTTCTTAAATTTGAGTTTGGATCCACTGTCTGCGTTATGCCAAATGTGCTATCAAAAGAAATAGAATGATTCTTGGGTTACGTCAAGACCTAGATGAAACCGGCGGATCTGTACAGAGACACAGGTGCACGTTATGCACTTAGTTCTTGTGAACGGGACAACGAAAGCCAGTGACATGGCACTGTCGAACCCACCTGGTACAGCGGCCATTTCCGTGTTTGCTGAACAGCTTCGCCTAGCACGTCATGCACTTAGTTCTCGTAAATGGGCCAGTGAACGCCGACGACATGAAACGGTCAAGCCCACTTAGTACAACAGACATTTGTGGGTTCGCTGAACAGCTTTGTCTTGCTTTTGGAGTCTAGGAAATCTGAGGCAGTCTTTTTCGCTTCACTTTCAGGGTGCGAACGCAGCCGGCAAAGCCAACATTGGCCAATCTCGTAAGCAGGTTCTCGGCAGACTCCCCAGTGGCAAGGCACAACCCGTCCCAAATGGCATTGCTCCGGACCCTTCCGCCAGCGATGACGACGAAAGCAGCAGCAGCTGCAGCACCGCCGTTTCCTCGACGTTCCTCGACTCCTTCATCCCGGTGCCGGACGACTTTGAAGGCGGGAACAACCCGTTCCGACTGTTGGAGGCGTCCCCTCCTCCGCCCGTCCTGCCCCCGAGGCCGAGGCCGGGGAGACCCCGCAAGCCAAAACCACCCCCGGACAAAGTCCCCTCGGAGGCGAAGCAGCAGCAGCCGCCGCGACTCAAGCCGAACCAGGTGGACACGTTGAAGCCCGCGCAAAGTCGCCGAAACTCGCGGAAAGTGACGTCGTGTCGGGACTCTCATCGCATTCCAAAGCTGCAAGACTCGCGGACGGTGACGCTCGCCCCCTCAGACTCTGACTCGGATTCGAGCGGGAGCAGCAGCACGAGTACCACCAGTACCAGTACCAGCTCGAGCAGTAGTGGTAGCAGCAGCATCACAACGGAGGAACGCGACGTGATGAAAGTGACGGCACCACAGCGATGGAAAAGTGCACTGCGGAGCGGAGAAAAGTGCGACACCTCGAAACGTTTCAGTGTCCTGGCCAAACGCGTCGGTGTGGACGGGAAGATCCAGTATCTCGTGGAGTGGGACGGAGCTAGTTCAAGGAGCTAAGAAAACGGGGAAAAAAAAAAGAAGGTAAACTAGGATGTTTGCAGAACGGTTGCGTCTGCGATATGTGCGGAGTGACCAGCACGAGTTGCATGTTTTCGTCGTGGAGTGTGTTTTACGTTGTACAGGCAGCTAATTGTTAGGCCTTGGTTTGATGCCAACGTGTTCAGCGTGAAGGAGGGTGTCGTCGTCACACGACGTCCAAGCTATTGCTACATTTTTTACAGAGCTTGGTGGCGAAAGAGACGTCTGTTTTCACAACAACTTAGTTTGCAACGGTGCTGTTTATAGTTTCCGAGTCTCGCACGTCGTCACCAGGCCTGGATCGACATTCTCGGGACAGTGTTGCTCGAGACGGTTTGTTTGTGTGGTGACAACTGGTGGATAGATTGTTTCGTCTCTGTGTGAATACGTCTAATGGTGCGACGAGGTTTAGGGATGTCTGTGGCAGGATTGCACTTGCGTGAGCGACAAAGTATCCGATTAGTCTTCGGTTGGTCAGTCGAAAGACGAGCTTTTTAATTCTCAAACTGCCGAACGTGCTATGAAAATAGAAACAAAAATGTGGGAGCAACAATGAAGTCCATTCTTGTGTGCAGGTGTTTAGAATGCAATGTCTGGTAGATTTAAAATTGTCTATTTTTTTTATTGCTATCATAATTTTTAACCTGTAAGTTCCTAGAAATTGTGCTGCTTTTGTAACCTAGTAGTTTAATAACAAATCGAACTTGCCTCAACCCAGTGTTATAGATCTAGGATCTTGCAGAGAAAAAATAAGATCAAAACTATCTGCAGCCATTACATTAGTCTGTCCCATGGGTGGGCTTCGCTTCAACTGCCATTGTTTGCGTTATTTAATGGACTCTAGGTGTTCTCAGTGCAGTAAAAAGACCTGAAGTCTGTTCCTTTACTCTTGCTAAACACTGCCTTTTTATATAACTTTTTTCTAGTCTAAATTTGTTGTACGTGTGTGTGATTTGCATCTGAAACATGATTTCTGAAGTTGATTTTGCAGGTTGGCAAGCATGATATCTGAAGCAGATATAATTTTTTTTTTGTGATTTTGTCACATGCATATAAATATGTGCACCTAATACTTACACATAGCATACCAAGAAAGTTTTTTTGGTGCCCTTGGAGTTGTAAACACTTGCTGCGATGGTATCGATTCTCGTTTCATACATGTAATGCAAGGAGCTTGCTCGGTGTACAGTTGAGGGATTTTGCAACAGTGTCTGGGTTCTGTTTGGCTCTCTTCAATGTGGCTGTTGTCTTGTTAGGTCCTTTTGCAAAGCATTTTTTTTTTTTCATATAAATTTTTTTGGTTACATATTGTTGTTTTCATATAACATTGGAACCTTAGTGTTCCTGGTAGTGGGTCTTTGGAGGACATTAAGCACAGTGAATGAGAACCAAAGAATGATAGATTGCATGTGATGTGGATGAATGTTTGCATCAAAGTGCCGTTGAAGTGAAATAAAATATATTTATATTGATGCAACCATTTCAGCATGTGCAGTTACGTTAAACAATAACTTGGGGACAGTTGGTATTCAATTGAACTGAGTGGTTCCTTAAAAGGTGTAAGTGCTGCATTAGAAAAACGTGTGCTATAACATTTAAAGTTAAACTTTGCATGTAATGTTACCATACAAAATTTTATTTTTCACTGAAGGATGTAGCAAATATTGTTGATACTAGTGATGGACCGAATCTGCCGAACTTCAGATTCGGAAAGGTTTGGCATATGGCCGGACTTTTGAAGGAATGTTCGGCAAAGATTCGGCGAAAATTCGGCAAATGTCTGCGCACGCGCGAGAACGCGACGGAGTCATGGATAGCAAATGGACGCCGTGCAGTCGTGCGGTTACCATCGTGCAGTGTAGTACCACCAGCGGTTACGGCGCGGTGTGGAGTAGGCAACACGGTAACTGCGTTTGTGAGCGAGTGTGGTTCTCTTCAATATTTTCTGCCTCAAGTATACATGCCTTGCGCCTGACGTCACGCCGCGATGCCCCGCCCCCGATCGCCATTGCTCCGTACCAACGGAGGACCGGAGAACCTACAAAACGTAGTCGACGGCGTGTTTCGTCCGACCGTGACGCGTTTACGCAGTTTGAGAGCGTAGCGCCTTTTGTTTTTTGTGTGTGTTTGTTGTTCTTCGCACAATTTGTAAACAAATCGTTTTAATCTATTTTTACCAGCGCCTACGGGCTAAATATGCCGTCGCCGGAGGAGCGGACGTTGCCGCTCTGCGGAGATTACTAGGACGAGCTCGTTGGGCCTACGAGAGCGAGATACGCGAAGAAGATGGAACTTTGCGACGGCGAGGATCTCTACAAACTTCGCGTCGGCGTGGACACGACATTCGACGCCGCCTTTTTCCCTAACGTAGCTCGCTCAGCCTCGAGCGCTGCGACTCGAGGCTGAGCGATCTCCTTCGTCCGTGTAACCGAGCTTCAAACTCGGCGCCCAGTCAGGGTTCGTGTCATCGAACAACTTAGAAGGAGCTCCAGTAAAGCAAAGAAAACACGCCATTCGCTGACGCGCTCACGTTCGCGAAACTCGGCGCAGCAGACAATGCTGCGCCGAGTTTTACATTCGATTTTGCGACAGCAATGGGGTGAACGCGTCCCGAAAACGGAGAACGACAAGAAGCATTTCCTACCTGTAACAAAGTGCTCGCTGCACACCTGTGTGTTCACGTTCGCGACCAGGTCGGCCCTGTTAATCTTCGCAAACCACATGCTCCTTAGCTTCTTTGACAGTTCGTGTGTCCGCCGACACTGAGCGGGGATCACCTTCGGTAGTTTGAAAAATCTCGCTTCACTGACGGTGTTACGATCACGACGCTTGTTGCTCTTAGTCCTGTTTGCACAATTAATAGGGAATTGTAGTAGAACGTTTCCGAAGCCCGCTAAGCACCCGGATAGCGCTCCGTAATCCGCCACAAGACCTTGAACTATGCAGACAAGGCTGGCGGCGCGCATGCGCAGCTGCGGCGTTTTCTTCGGGGATAGCGTAGCGGAGGAGAAAAACGATCTACTACAACTCCCTAATAACCGCACACGCAACCATTCTACGTAGCAAAACCTTCGCTCAGCAAGGCAAACTGACGGCAACTCCAGGGAACTTCCTATGCAGCGATGACGATTTGGTACGGCGTTATGGCGACGGCCCTCCCAGCATGCAATTTTAATGACGTAGGTGCAAGGCATGTATAGAAGATCGGCTAGTAATTTACGCAGTTTACTGTGCAAGTGACAAATGATGTGGTGCATTCTAAAACATTGGCCAACAATGGACCTTTCCCGAGAAGCGTTCTGCGCACGCGCGAGCGCCCGATGCCAAGCGGCGGAAGTCGGAACGAAAAATCGAGGAAATTCGGAAGGAGGCTGTATATCAGCGAGTATAGAACACGTAACTGCAGCATATATATAATTGTGTTACACAAAAAAAGAACGTCGACGGAAAGGAAAACACGACGTTTGGGTGGACGCCACGGATGCCCCTCTTTCAAGTCGCATTGGGCAGGCGCCGCTGCTCAGAGCGCGAAGAAACTGGTAGCGTAGCTCCCATTATCGATTGGTAGCACAGGTATGTCACTTCCTCGATTTTTAGTTCGTGCAGCAACCGCCTGGTGCCGTCGGTATGTGGAAAAGGTCCATTACTTCAAAGCACTCCTCGCAATTATAACAATTCAATTTTCGGCTCAGGAGTAGTATGTTCCAAAACAAAATAATATTGATTTTTCAATTAGTGCTATATCGCGATTTTCGTGTATCTGCAAAACACTAAACAGTACTATAATGCTCGACGTTGCACATCCGATATTCCTAACTCTCCCCATCTTCCGAAACGGTGTGTGTCCGAACACCAGAAACTGGCGTTTTAAAGTTTAAAAACGAGACGTTGCGAATATGGGACGGACACTTTCATGCAAAGCTGACGTCAAGTGACTCAAATCGAAAAACATTCATATTTACAATATTATCATTATCTCTTCTGGTAAAGGCTCAGCAACCGTTGCATTTGTTTTCGCGCACAAAACGGTGACTCCCAGAGAAAGCAAGAATGCAGCGTTATTGCCTTCATTTTAACCAAAGATGGGCAAAATACATGCAAATATGTATCGAAATACAAATACAAAATACTACGTCAAAAATGTATTTAATTACAAATCTAATTGCATTTCCAAAAAAGCATTTAAGTAGAAGATACAAATACAACCATATGCATTTGGTCTGCTCCAAATACTTTTCCAAATACATTCCTCAAAATTTGCCTCAGCGACTTCCGGGCACCTGCAACGGGTTTCTGGGTATCTCATTTCAATTTTGCATCACACACTCGGGAGTTAGTGCGCCAGGCTCTAGTAACGTAATAGAAATATAATCACAAAAAAATGTAACCAGCTTGGACGTAATAGGGGAAAAGAGTACAGAGCTTCAAGCAGCTTTCTTTTGGCGATTACATTTTGGTATAGACCAACAAAGAATCGAGACGACCAAGACGCGCAGCGCTAGCTAGAGAATTTTTTTATTGTTGCGACTCGCACCGGTTACCAAAATCTGGACGACCCGCGCATTTAGAATGTTCCAGGCAAAAATATGGATGAAAAACAGGCTGGAAAGCATCACAAGTTGTCACAGGCACTTATTTAGCCAGTCTGCCCGTGAACGTCGATTTCGTAACTATTCTTGCCCTGGACTAGCACCGTAATCACAAAGTCACTAGACGCTTGTGCTTGATTGTGAGACACTGCTTTCAGTGCAGAACGTAGTTTTCTTCCTGCTCTGGACAGTGCCTTTAAAATAAAGCCGGAGGAGAAAAAGAAAAAAGCCCCATGGCCGAATAAAGGATGGTCTTACAATCACATGCATAAAAACAAGATGTATTTTCGCCCACAAAATTGTATTTAATTACAATTGTATTTGAAATACCCCCGTTTTAGTATTTAAATACACACGTCAAATACATTACCCAATTTGTAATTAAATACAAATGCAAAATACACAAAGTATTTGAAATGCGTATTTCAAATACTTGTATTTGAAATACTGCCCATCTCTGATTTTAAAGGGATACTACAACGAAATTTCGGCGCTCATTTTTTGGTCTATATGTGTTCAAAAGAGCAGTATCACATGGAACATACCAATATCTTGTTAAAAAAGTCTCCAAAAGGAATTTTAAAACGAATTAAACGATTAGCAAAGAGCACCTGGTGGATGTCGCTAACGCCTCGTTTGTAATGCTTGTCTAGGAACCTTGACAGCTAGTGACGGAGGTTGTCTCGTCTCCGGCCACGACGAGAGAAGAGGGGCAGCAGGAACTCCCCTCTTCCCGAGAATCCCTTTTGTGTGTCGCAGAAGTCGCTATTGTCCCCCTAGAAGATTATAGAATATTAACCCGTCACTCAAAATTCGTACAAAAGCAGCCGCTTCGGTGGCTGGAACGACTAGGCCATCCTCTCGACGTCACCCTCGCCGTAGCTTTGCTCGTCTTGAGACGACCTACGTCACGATTGCGTTGGATGTCACGTGCTCTAAGCTGGGCCTTCTCCGAGCGCTTGCCAGAGTGGGCCGTTTATAACGAAAAATACAGCCACCAGGATCAAAATACAAACGTGCGATTGTCATTTACGGATATTGTGGATCATATTCAACCTATTTTTGAACACGACGCGAATATTTCAAATATCGTTGAAATATCCCTTTAACAGTGTACACCAAGGAGGTTGATGTACATACACATGCAGGCTTGCGCTGATGATGCCTCAAAACCGAAACTCCCGTAGCGTGATTCGTGGCTGCGCTAGAGCACTGTATATAGCTCCTACGGAGCAGAGTAGCGCAATCCTTTGAACCCCGTGTTTTGCCGACAACATGGCCGACAGAGCGGCTCGGCGCGAGTCACGTGGTACTCAGGGTTCCAGGAGGCGGCCCGCCCTAAAGCCCCGCCCTATGGGAGAATACATGGACATCGACACAACACGGCTGATTAAAAAATGAACGGCGAGTTCACACCAGGGTGTCGAACCGGAACCGAACCGAACCGAAAACCGGAACAGAACCGTTATTTTTAGCCGAACCGGAACTGAACCGAACCGAAATTTTCGCCGCCATCTTGGAACTGAACCGGAACTGAACTGGAAAAAAATATAACGGTAACCGGTTCAAAACGGTTCACGGTATTTTTGTTTTTTTTGTTAGTATTACAAATTTTATATTTGGGAATAAAAAAGTGGCACGTGTATTCCCCTACGTATTGATCAAATCGTCATATACAGAATTGCAATGTATAATAAATCCTGCGTTTTTGCGGCACTTTCTTATTGGCACTATGATTAGGCATGTGTCACATCGTCACGTGACGTCATGATGTCAAGACATGCTGTAAAGTAATGTCACATCACGTGACCCCGTGAAGTTACGTGACTCACCACGTTAAGTCGATTCAAATTGAGAACGTCGCTATATCTATTAACGTTGTTGATAC